TGGCAGCAACCTCTGCTAAAGCGTGGAGTCCTATGAGCCTGGTACCATGTCTGCAATGCACCCAATAACCAAACAATAGCTCAAGCAATCAATGTTCCTTCAGAGACTTCAGCCATGTAATAGACAGATGGAGCAGTCAATACAGAAATGTGTTTTTTAAATAAATACAATAAAATAAAAATACTAGTTTCTCCCATGACACATCTTAAGGGGTTTTTAACAGAGTTTTTCATATTTTGCAGTTCTGCGCAAGCAGCAATATTAGCCTTGCAGGCATAATTCAGCATCCTGAGAACCTCATGTTTCATTATTTACTTACATTAAATTAAAACAAGTTTCTAGCTCTTCATAAACCACATGCCCTTGGAGATAATGTGTTGGGGGCCTGCGTTGCCACGGGCAGGGCCAGGGTTATGCTAATCATAATTTACAGCAACAGTAGTAATAGTCATAGTTCTTGCAGCAGCGTAGCATTGGTTGCTGGTGCCCAGAACAGACCGGCTGCCAATGCCACCGGTGCCCCCCCTCCTGAGTCAAGCTGCATTGCCTTCCTGCACAGGGGGGAACCTGGCTGGCTGACGCAGTCCTTATCAAGTGATTCCCTGCAGCGCCTACACTGGGGTCACCCCTTGTCTCCTTCCTTCCCTGCCCACTCACTGTGCACCTGAACTGCTCTGCCAGCTTCACCAGGGCAGAGTAGGGATCCTGTGGAAGCCAGCTCCTGCCTGGGGGCACCTGGTTGCACCCCCTCAGAATTTTGTGCCCGGGGCCATGGCCCGCCTGCCCCCCATGCTACCCCATTATGTCCTTTCCATCCTCCCCACTCCTGAAAGCCTTTTGGCAATGCCTGCTTCTTGCTGCTGTGCTTTGACTTGATATGGATTTATTAATTTTCCTAGCTGTTCCATGATTTTGCCTTCTGATGTTAATGGCTAACTGTGATCTACCTTAAGTTTCAGAAAGGTGGGGTAGAAATAGTTTACATAAACAAATGGAACCCTATGCAAATAGTATGGACGGGAGGTGGGGCTCAATAGCAACTGATGCTCTTCGGTGACTGCAGCAATCTTATCATCTGGACCACCTGGGGTTGGATGCTGTACATGCCACATCTGGGCATAGAAAAGAAGAAGAATCAGGCAAGTTAGTGGCAAATCCAGAATATGGTCCATTGAAATAGACAACTCCTCAGCCCCAAATTCTTGGGAGCTTGCTACTCATTGCTAGAAGATATTATTGAGGTCAAAAACGTAAGCAAGAAGTAATTATAATAACAGGTCAAATGAATAAGCAGCTCTCTCTAGTTCATAGAAAGAGCCTATGCCCCCTATAAAAAAGGGAAGAAGCTAAATATAACCAATTCAGCAACTGACTAATTATTCCATAATTGCCCATCATAATACCAGCCTTTTAAGCATCTTTAAGTATGGACTAGCACCTATAAAACAATGATAGGATAATGATCGTGGGACTCAGTTGCTGACAGCTTGATCGTGGGACTCAGTTGCTGACGGTAACTATATTTGTAATGTATTTTTGTCGGTGTTTGTCCTTTGATGCTATGGCCTGTTGGCTACGCAAATAAAGTCCTTGTTGTTGTTGTTGTTGCAGCGGCTGGATGAATTTTGATCCTGAAAAAGTAATTGATGCAGCCTAGCTGTAAACAGAAACAGAAACCAATACTGTGCAGAGAAGCCAATAAATCTAACTCCCTATAAACCTGATGCACTCACCTTTATTATTGATCGTTTTTCATCACTGGCCTGCCCAATGGGAGTTAAGGCTGCATTCCCGCGTACACGTATTTGGTGTACGCATAATTGCAGTGAAACATATTTACATGTAAACAAGCATAGGAGCAGTTTGCAGATGTGTCTAGGAGGGTTCCCCCATCGCACCCCACCAGGATCTGTTTCCTAAACAGCTCCTAATGAAAATGTTAAAATGACTGGCTTGTACTGTGTCGTCAAATAGGAGATCCTGTTGCAGCTGCTACCTCAGTCAAGAGCTGAAATGCCACAATAATGGCCACAAAGGGCTCTGAAACCAGATTGACTTTCCCATATACAGTGGTACCTTGGCTTACAGATGCTTCAGGTTACAGACACTTCGGGTTACAAACTCCACTAACCAGAAAGTGGTTGCTCCAGGTTAAGAACTTTGCCCCAGGATAAGAACGGAAATCACACGCCAGCAGTGCAGCGGCAGCGGGAGGCCCCATTAGCGAAAGCGCGCCTCAGGTTAAGAACCGTTTCAGGTTAAGAATGGACCTCTGGAACAAATTAAGTTCTTAACCCATGGTACCACTGTATATTCAAACAATCTCCATTATGGATCCATTAGATCACTGAGATATTGGAGCAAGCCTTCTTAGTTGTGCCATGAGACCAGCAAAAAGCTACCAGTTAAATGTGCACTAATAACATTTTACACCTGTATCCAGAGACATTCATTTTTGCACAACATTTGTGGGGAAGTTATACATCACATTAAACAGATGTTATTCCACACTTTCCAGCTAATTGTCCCATCACTTTCCTTGATGGAAAAAGTCCCATTTTTGGAGGGAGGTGGATTTATTGTGCAAGTGCACCAAATCAACTGTAATTCCACAACCTGAATTTGTCAGGTGACTGAATGCCATTCAAAAGCACTGACAGTCTGGAAGCACCCTCTGATATAGTGTAGCTCAGAGAGAGAGAGAGAGAGAGAGAGAGAGAGAGAGAGAGAGAGAGAGAGAGAGAGAGATTCTTTCAGGCTAATGCAACACTGTATTTTTTCCCATTCACTTACACCGATTTAAATAAATCTGTTCGTTTAATTTGATGTTTTTGTCTAGCCACGGTATCTGCAACCTAGCCTTTTCCCCAGGCTCACAACTGAAAAGGAAATGACAGCTTGGACAGCTATAAACAAGCGGTTGTTTACAAAGACTCTTTCCACTCTTGTATATTGCGAAGGCAAAAATAAAATAAATAAATGTACAAATAAGGTGCTTTTAAAAGGGGAAGTGGTGGTGTAAATCACCTAGGTGTAAATCATTTGAAAGGTTCCCTCCCAGCTTCAGCTTCCTCAAAAGCAGTCCACAGTTGTTGATTTTAAAAATAAATAAAACTGGATTTTAACCCTACTGGTGCTGTTCACCAAAGGCAGATCATTTCTGTGTCCATTAGTTTATTAAATTTATATCTCACCTTTCGTGGAGCTCTAGGGGGCATACATAAAGTTCCCAGGCAATTTCCCATCTTGACACTGCTTAGTTTCAACAAAATTGTTGCACCATGTGCCTTCAGACATGGGAATACTTAATTATATTATTATTATTATTATTATTATTATGGTTTGGGGGAAGGTTCCTACTGTGGATGGTTGCAACTTGAGAATTTCAGGCCCCACACTCCTGTGGCTGCACAAAGCTGGTTAAGCTGTTCCGTTGTCGTCATCCACACAAGGCCAACAAACTGCTTATTGCAATAATAACTAGATACACGCAGCACTATTAATAGAACGTTCTTTATTAAGTAACAATTGTGCCAAAACATGCTATGAAACAGAAAGGTTACGTTAAGAATCATGGACAAATCAATGCAGAAAGGTTTTGTAGCAGATTCATTATTATTATTATTATTATTTGACTGATTGGATGTTCCTTAGATATTAAAATTCATTAAGTTAAAACAGAACAAAACAAGGAGGGCTGTGTAATAATCAACAATACCAAAATTGTATCAAAATGCAGTAGAAGTGCATGAACTGTTCAACAGTGTAATGGACTCGCTCAGGAGGTTGTGGACTGTCCTTCACTGGAGAGGCTGGATGGTCATCTGTCATGGATGCTTTAGTTGCGATTCCTGCATTGCAGGGGGTTGGACTAGATGACCCTTGGGGTCCTTTCCAACTCTGATTCTATGAAATATATGTAAGCTGTAAACATGATTTTTTAAAGTTTAAGAAGTCGGGGGAAGAAATTGCCAGTCAGTATTAATAATGTCGGTATCGATTGCCCTTCCTCCTGTCTTTATTAAGAAGTTTACACATTTGCCACGAGGGCAAAACTCGGGACTATTGTAAAAAAACAACAACAATAACACTAAACTTTCTGCCCTAATTTTAGGCATCATTTTTAGCTGCCAGAGCAAACCATGCCAGAACAGGCACTTTCATAGCCAGCCTGCCCAAAGTGCTTTGTTCTGCAGGAAGGACAAACTTTTGGCCCTTCCTGGAGCTAGGGAGAAGGTGGGCAGGCAGCAGCACAGCCGGGTGATGGGAGGGCTGGGGGTGGGGAGTCAGCAATTCACTGCCACCCATGCCACCCATCGGACTGCCTCTGTTTGCCTAATGGTAGGAGCAGCCCTGGTTGCAGAACCTTGCGACTGAGAGCCAGAATATAGACACCTGTAGGAGTCCCGTCCATAGCACCTTCGCTGGCCAATCAGCTCCCCTGGAAGGCTGCCTATAAGGGAATGCAAACCTTGGCTACATCCCCCACCCTTCATCCAACTTGATTGGCAGCTGAACCATCTTCCACAGTCACAGGCAGAGATGCCTCTGACTATCCCTGAGAGAAGAAGAGGAGGAGGAGGAGGAGGAGGAGGAGTTTGGATTTGATATCCCACTTTATCACTACCCGAAGGAGTCTCAAGGCGGCTAACATTCTCCTTTCCCTTCCTCCCCCACAACAAACACTCTGTGAGGTGAGTGGGGCTGAGAGACTTCAGAAAAGTGTGACTAGCCCAAGGTCACCCAGCAGCTGCAGGTGGAGGAGAGGGGAAGCGAACCTGGTTCACCAGATTACGAGTCTACCGCTCTTAACCACTACACCACACTGGCTCTCTACATGCAAAGAATTTGCTCTATTACCAAGCTATGGCTCAAGCAGATTTTGATCCATTTCCCCCTTGCCCATATTGTCATTGTTTCTACCCTTTCAGATTTGAGTTTCGATTTGGACATTGATTTTTTTTAATCCACTTAAAACACAGCCAATTCTTTCTTCCGTGCTAATATCCTAATGCACAGCCATCAGCTCGGGGATCAGACCCTGCCCAGAATACATTGCTAGAAGAAGGCAGGATTCTCCAGTGCCTCCACCAGTCTCCTTTGGTGATAATTTGGCCCCGTCCAAACATGCTCCTGTTGTGCCCAGTTACGGGTGCCACGACCCTATGTCCCTTGGCTATCAGTGCTTCTGTGATGTTCTGAGGGATGCCATCTTCCAAGGACACGAGCCATGCATCCACTGTATAAAAGAAATGCATTCAAGGATTAAACTGGACGTGCAATACTGCAGGAATACTAATCAATTTCATAAATGCCATTCAACCCAAAAGACTTGGATTGAACGAAAGCATTAATTCATAGCTCTAAATCAGGCTTCCTCAACCTCAGCCCTCCAGATGTTTTTGGCCTACAACTCCCATCATCCCTAGCTAGCAGGACCAGTGGTCAGGGATGATGGGAATTGTAGTCTCAAAACATCTGGAGGGCCGAATCTGAGGAAGACTGCTCTAAATCATGATCCCTTGAAAGGCAAAGAGAATATTCCAACCCATTTCCACAGGATGCAAAAAAAGAAATGTATCTATGTGTGAGAAAGAAAGAAAGACCTTAGTGTGACATTTGTTATTTGTTGCATCTCTGTCCATGTGTGTACCAAACTAGATGCAGAATAAAGCACTTCCCTGTGTTCCTGATTCTGATGAACTACATATTTTAGATTTCCCACAGCTATTAAAATAAGATGAGGTTGTTCGGTGTCTGTATGCTCATTATGTGCGTTTAAAAACATGTCTTACCCTTTCTGTCATATTCAACACAAAAACGAGGCACATCCAAAGCCTGTTGTGGATTCATTCCAAATTCCAACATGTTGAGCAGTACCTACAAGGGGTACAGAATGGGGTAAGATGAACAAGGAAAGACAAGCTTCTTACATAAATTTGATACATCCTTAGGAAGTCATAAATTCACAGAGCAGCAACAGCCTGGGCAAAATAGTTTTTTTTTAATCCACATAAATGGTGGAAATCACAACATGACTGACAAAGCAACTGAAGAGGAGTTATATTTTATCTTCATTATGAAAAACAAAGACAGTTTCACTGTACTGAAGCAGCACTGCAAGCTGGATCAGACGATACACGTACCCAATCATGGGGGAAGACAGCAACAGAAGACTTGCCCTCTTCAACAAGTCAGATGCCCATTCATTGGCCTAACATTTCAGTAGGGCACAATTGCATGAAATCGAACACGAGTACACCCAGTTCGTGCAGCTGACTTCATCTAGGATGTCGATTGTGAAGTTCACCGGATTTTATGCCGGATATGCTGTATTCAGGTATTATTGCATACCCACGTATGGGTCTCAGAGGTGAGACAGGTGTGTCAGGTGGAGAGGAAGGCATGCAGTCGGGCAAGCCGACAACAACAACAAAAACCAAGCAAATCCCAAACCCTGAAACAGCCTCAAACACATGAATTCTAAATGTTTGCAAACACGCATCTTGAACTGCAAAGGATATTCTGTAGGGTTTGCAAATGGCACGCTTACAAAGAAGTAGTTAAAAGATGCAGAGGCTCACCTGAACATGCCCTTGTGGCTGCATGAATCCACCCATTACTCCAAAGGAGCAGAGAAGCTCCCCTGAATCAGCATCAGTAGCCAGAGCAGGTATAATTGTGTGATATGGCCTCTTCCTAGGTGCCAAGCAGTTTGGGTGACCAGGCTGTAGTGAAAAATTGGCTCCTCTGTTCTAAAAAACAAGTCAGTACAGTAAAAGGCAGAGGTTGGCAAAACTGCCCTGTGGGCATTAACAGGACAATTCCCTAACAATTTATGTAGTTACCTAAGGCTGTTAATAAAGGCAATAGCAAAACAAACCCACATACACTGCTAAAATAGCAGCCAGTTACAAATTATGAAGATGCTACTGCAAAATGTACCAAATATACAGTTTTAAAATTAAGGTGAAAAATTGCCAAACTCTGAACCACCTCCCTAGTGTAACCTCCTAGGTAAATATACCTCCCCAAACTACTGCACAGCAAATAAATAAATGACTCCCTCCATTAATGTAGGGACAACCCTTCCCATATTCAACTTATTGTAACAAGATCTGATCTGATTTGATTTGATTTAATTTAATGTAAATAACATTTTAAAGCCAACCAGGATATGAAATAGCAATATTATATACTAGATAGCACTGTGTACCAATTAATATTAAAGCAATCTTCACTCTCTCTCCACTATGGACGGAGGAGAAATTCGTTTCAATATGTATGTCAAGATGAATCTATCTACTTTGTACTTTCTGAAACAATGTGCAAACTGAAACACAGCTATTGCTTGATATTTGCACTCATCCCTATTTTTCAATGAAGCTCTCCAATCAAACAATATTTAAAATGCATATACAGTGGTACCTCGGGTTATGAACAGTCCTGCTTATGAACGCTTTGGGTTACAAACTCCACAAACCCGTAAGTAGGTGTCCTGGGTTGTGAACTTTGCCCTGGGATACAAACGCAATCTGCTTCCAGGGCCGCGGGAGGCCGGTGTAGGCAATGCGCGCCTCGGGTTAAGAACAGACTTCTGGAACGAATTAAGTTCGTAACCCGAAGTACCACTGCATCAGGGGCAAATGTGTATTAGTAAAAATTACATACAAAATGCATGGCATTAGGGGAAATTGCTTGTAAACATGTGTACCTTAGACAAAACAGCATATAAAAATGTGTTTATTATGAGAAATTCACGTTAAAATGCTCATGAATTTTCATGACGATCGTTAAAAAAAAATTGCAGTTTGCTGCAAAATGTGGAGAACTGAATTTAAGAGGTGGAGAAGCAAAAGTGACAGATCTTTCCATTCCCACTCTCCACACGTGTGTACACGCATGCACACACGCTTGAAAGTATTTTCTCACTTGTAATGTAAATCCACAGCCATCTGGTACCAGCCCTGTGCCAAATCCCATATAGTTGCTGTTAATGAAAGAGCAGGCATTGCCTTGGGTATCCACCACTGTGAAGTAAACAGTGTCACTTCCAACCGGGAAAGGATTTCCTTGATTATATTTGGCAGTTGCCCTGAAGGAAACAACAACAATTCAATAACTTCACACAGAAAAAAAAAGTCATAAACCCGAATATCTGATTTTATAGGGGGGTTTTCTGAGAAGACCCACCCCAGAGCCCAAAGAGGATGTCAGTGAGGGCAGAGGAAGCCGCAAAAAGACTGGAGGTGCAGTGGGGCTCTGTTTCAGTTGCTCAGCCTCCCCACCTAACAGCTGACATGTGGGGTAGCGCAGCCGCAGCCGCCACTTCCTTGTGCTGCCTCCAGCTGGCCCCAGAGCTTCCATTTTGGTTTGGATTGAAGACACAGCAGCAGGGGACGTGTTTAGAGGGCGCTCTCCATTTCACATAATTTTACTTATGCGTACGGGGCCCCAGAACATTAACCCCTGCACAAGTGGGGAGTTCGCCTGTAAGCCGGGTTAAACAAGGTGTGCTTATTTATAAAGAAGAAGAAGAGTTTGGATTTGATATCCCGCTTTATCACTACCATAAGGAGTCTCAAAGCGGCTAACAATCTCCTTTCCCTTCCTCCCCCACAACAAACACTCTGTGAGGTGAGTGGGGCTGAGAGACTTCAGAAAAGTGTGACTAGCCCAAGCAGCTGCATGTGAAGGAGCAGGGACGCGAACCCGGTTCACCAGATTATGAGACTACCGCTCTTAACCACTACACCACACCACATTACATCCCATTGTGCTCATGTCGCGTTTGTGGGCTTCACTTTCGAGCATCTGGTTGGCCTTTGTGAGAACAGAGGATGCTTCTTCTTCCTTTCTTAATGAGCCCAGATGCAGTAACGCCTGCGACCGTGCGAGTTTTACGTTAGTAGAATAGAGATTGTAGCTTCACTCACAAGCAGCCTTGCCTCAAGTTCCTAGTGAAGTTCCCTGCTCCCTCCCCCTAGAAACAGCAAATAGCATGTTACAGAAAGATAAGGCAAAAGCGGCACAGGAAAGGAACAGTGCCTGTAAGTCTTTTTATGGTCAGGTAATACCAGATCAAATAAGGGGTTACCGCATTATTTTATGAGGTGAAACCCAAACACAACGCTGCCAACAAATTTAAACAAACATTTTTATCTAAAGTACACAATAGGAGGCTAACACACATGGGTACTTTAAAAATGCCACATACATATAATCAGGTATGCCCTACTGTAGGTACTTAGTCCCTTGGGTTTTCAAGGCCTGTTGTTTTCTAAGTATATGATTGAAGACATGGCGGGACTTAGCGATACAGCTGCAAATAAGTGTGTTTTAAGTGCAATATACAATGTGACATTAGACGGCAATGGTGAGCCTTATGGAAAATTCAAAGTATTTTTTTAAAGCATTTTCTGAATTTTTTTTATATGTGTGTAGATCCCACCTTGGTGTTGTAGGCATGAAGGCTCACCAATTTACAACCGTGAGAAGTTTGTTTATCTAACATTAATCTCAGGGTCATGGGTTCGAGCCCCACGTTGGGCAAAGGATACCATCCTGGCAACATTTTTTGCATGGATTTCTCAATAGGCATTCCTCCCTGCAACAGCATACTCAAGTGGCGAGTGCCAATATTTATGTAGCCAGGGTCGCTGAGAAGCAAGAAATAGGTTTTCGTATGCTTCATGGAAGAAGTAAAGAAAACGGAAAGAAATGACGCAGAAGAGGCATAAAACCCCAAATAGCCCAATGAAGATAGTGCATGTGCAATAACTGTGAAATAACCACAGAATGTTGAGTGTTGGTTGGAAAGGGAAAATCGTGGTATTTAGAGTGGAATGCACCAGTTGGGAGGTAATAAGCAGCAGGCTTGAACCTCGATCAGAAGCAATTTTCCCCTCACACGTACATACACACTTCCACTTGCTTCCATACAAATAAACAAATGCCCACAAGCATTCTGCAGCTTTCGTCAGGCTCTCCTATAATAATTTATCTTTCGCCTGAATGCCTCACCCGAACTAGGTAATCCATGGCCATGACTTCATAGGCTGGGGTCCAAAGAACTGTGCAACTATTTCTGGATGCTTACAAAAGTTTGGGCTCGAGTTCCCCATTCCACAAAAGCCACTTTCAAACTGAACGGGTTTTCAAAAGCAAGCTTCTGATACTGTGTTGCAGCCTGCTGTTCAAAGAAAAATGTCAAAAATCCCATTGGGCATGCCCAAATGCCTGAACTAACTCTCTGGATCCTGGCCATTGCAAATAAAAGAGGGCTATAATCTGATGTGTAAACATCAAGAAGAAGGCAGCTACTTTGAAAGAAAGCCAAGGCCAAAGAAAACAACTGTTCCATATTTCAGGATCAGAACACTATAGAAGTATACAGATTAGAGCTTCGGATTCTGACCGTGGAGACCAGCGTTCAAATCCCCGCTCAGTCACGAAGCTCACTGGATAACACAGGGCCAGTCACCAACCCTCAGCTGAAGTTACCTCACTGAGTAGTTGTGAGGGTAGAGCCATTTAAGTCATCTTGAGAGCCTTGGAGGGGAGGTGGAAGATCAATGCAATAAGAAATAAATACAAGCAGTCAAGAGATGACCCCTTACCTCTGTAAATCTATCAGCTTCGAACGGTCTCTGGCATAAGGTTTGGAAAGGAGCTTTGTTGTGGGCACAGCTACCTTTTCTGGATCTGCACAGTACCATAAAGTATCGGCAAAGCTAACTTTGACAGCTTCGATGAGGACGTGCAAATAGTGAGCAGTATTATGGCCCATTTCTAGAAAAGTAAACCAGCACAAGCATCAGGTCAAAAGAATCACTCACCCATGAAAACTACAATTGACTACACAAGTAATAATTGTACTGAATTCATTCACAGACTATGTTCTAGATATAAGAGCCTAAGAGACATTCCAGTATGTGGAGTGCGCCAAAGGGAGAAATATAACTTTTTTTTCCTGCCTTTATTCTCTTCCTCCTTCACCATCCACATTTGGCTATGTACACATTATTGGTTTAAAACGCAGTGAGGCCATTTTTTCACCTGTGTTTATAATCACTTTTGCACAATGTTGTGCATATCAGTTTGGCTGCATGTGCCTCCAAGTAGTCTACTGTCTATTCACGCGGGTTTTTAAATCTAATAGAACACATCAAAACGCAGTATTCCTCAAGAAACTGCAGGATAGATGTGGAATGTGGCAAATGTCATGTGCAGAGTAAATGTGAGTGTGTACACAACCACTGCCTTGCCCTCCCTCCCTCCCCCTGCCCCCCACCCCTTTTCCTCCCCAAGCCAGTCTCCTTTCTGCACCCTAAACATGTTTCATCTCATGTGCTCCTAAGCAATGCCACCTCCAAGGCCCCTGGGACTCTTCCAGCAACCAGCGCTCCAAGCTAGAGGGCATGCACTGGAAACAATTGTTGAGGGCTATTGTGTGACAAGTTTGCAGAGTTTGGATTGCTCGGCTAAAAGTGTCTTGAGACAAAATGGTGATGCAGAGTGAACAGAAAACATTTACACTTCCTACCCTGTTATTTATTTTGGTACATTAAAAAGGTAAAGTCACCTGCAATTTAAAAAAATAACAACAATTAACAATTAGTGCAGTGACTAACAGTAGTTTTGGTTTCGAATGGAGGCTTTTCTTGACCTAAAGCTGAAACAATTGGAATGTTTCTTCCCTATTCTTTCTCCCCACCCCCACCCCAAATAAGTAATAGGACTTTTTAAGATGCTGGTCATACCTTTCAAGTTGAAATTTTCTAAAATGTTCAGGGCTAATAGCGCTGTTATTCCTTGCCCATTTGGAGGGATCTCCCATACATTCAGACCCTGGAGAAGAAATAGTGGTCACTTCTCACACACTGTACCCCAGAAAAGGAACAATAAAGAAAAGGAAAACTTTCCACGCAAGACACTGATGACTTTCAGTATAAAAGTCTTTCCTGCGTTGCTGAATCAAGACCAAGACTGTGTACACACAAAACATTTAAAGCACCGTACATTTAAAGTTTGTTAAGGGTGCTGGGAGTTGTAGCTCTGTGAGGGGTCAGTGACTGTTCTCAGAATTCTTTTTTGGGGGGGTATGATTTAAAAGTTAAAGGGACCCCTGACCATTAGGTCCAGTTGTGGCCGACTCTGGGATTGCGGTGCTCATCTCGCTTTATTGGCCGAGGGAGCCGGCGTACAGCTTCCGGGTCACGTGGCCAGCATGACTAAGCCGCTTCTGGCGAACCAGAACAGCGCACGGAAACGCCGTTTACCTTCTCGCTGGAGTAGTACCTATTTATCTACTTGCACTTTGATGTGCTTTCGAACTGCTAGGTTGGCAGGAGCAGGGACCGAGCAACAGGAGCTCACCCCATTGCGGGGATTCAAACTGCCCACCTTCTGATCGGCAAGTCCTAGGCTCTGTGGTTTAACTCACAGCACCACCTGCGTCCCTTGGGGTATGATTTCAATGCATGTAAATGCAGTAGCATATAGCAGAGGTGACTTCTGTAATTTGGCAAGCAACTTCACTTAAGTATGCAGTGGTTCAAACCTCGATTCCCAAATGCCTTCGTTATTGTATGTTTCGGCTCCCGAATGCTGAAAACCCGGAAGTAAATGCTCCGGTTTTCAACCATTTTTCGGAACCCGAACATCTGACGCGGCTTCCGCTTGAGTGCAAGAAGCTCTTGCAACCAATGAGAAGCCGTGCCTCGGTTGTTGAACATTTTAGAAGCTGAATGGCCTTCCAGAACAGATTATGTTCGGCAACCGAGGTTTGACTATATACTATTTTAAATAAGTTTGATTTGCTCCCGTATCTTCACCACACAAATGCTTTCTTATAACAACTGCCCTCATCTACATCCAATTCTTAAAGCTAAAAAAACAATTCCAGACCATTTCATACGCATAGTATATTTGCTGGTGGGAAACAATAAGGGGAAAGTCATAGTTCAGTGATCCAGCATCTGTTTTGCATAAAGAAGAGACCCAGGTTCAAATCCTGCCCCAGAACTGAAATCTACTGCTGCCAGTCACGGCTGACAAAGGCAGATCAATGGCCTGACTCAGCATATGACAGCTTCCTACATTCCTAATATATCTTTCAAAAAACGTTTCAGAAATACTTAACTAGAGTGAAAGCAATGACACAAGATTTTCGAAGGACTATGGGTCTGAGTGAAGATACATAAATAACGCATGTATATTTAACTTTTGCTTCTTTGTTACTCATTGTTCTCTCTCTCTCTCTCTCTCTCTCTCTCTGTGTGTGTGTGTGTGTGTGTGTGTGTGTACACATCAAACATGACTAATAGGTTTATTAGTAAGTATGGGCTTAGAAAGGTACTATTATTGGCAGTACTGGAATGGCACGAGTGCAAAACATGACACACCTTCACTAATAATATGGTATCTGAGCTTCTCCTTTTCTTGTGTGGGAACTCTGGCATCACAAGTTCCTCAGGCACAGACACTCTCAGAACTGCCCTGAGATTATTTGACACTCATGAGTGTCACACAGGTATGTGTGATGACGTTTTACTTGCAGTGTGATGAGCTTTGACCAGGCTATATAAATGCTGGATTGAAATCTCTCTCCTTTCCCCGCTACCCAGTCAGAAAGGGGTTCCAGAGGTTTTGCCACTCAGTGATGTATGTCTATGTGCAAACATCTCTTGTTTGATTCATGCTCTCTTTCCATACCGCCAATCACCTGTGCTGTGTGTTAAGAGATGGACTTCTTAACAACCAGGTGGAGGCTTGATGAGGGTTAAACACCAGCTTCTGAATACTATAGGAGTTTTAGACTGCAATCATCTGCTACAAACCTATCCGGGAGTAAAGACCCATTGAACTCAACATTTCACTTAAGTGGGTTGCCTTGGGCTATACCAATTTTCTGAGCCCTAGGTCATGTGGCAGAGCTCTATTTACAAGTGGTACCTCGGGTTAAGTACTTAATTAGTTCCAGAGGTCCGTTATTAACCTGAAACTGTTCTTAACCTGAAGCACCACTTTAGCTAATGGGGCCTCCTGCTGCTGCCGCGCTGCCAGAGCATGATTTCTGTTCTCAGCCTGAAGCAAAGTTCTTAACCTGAGGTACTATTTCTGGGTTAGCGGAGTCTGTAACCTGAAGCATATGTAACCTGAAGCGTATGTAACCCGAGGTACCACTGTATTTCAATTTCAACAGCAAGCATCAACCAGTTTTCCACATTTCTGCAGCAATTTGGTGTTTGTTTGTTTTTTAAAAATTCATTGGCATTTTGGTGCATTTTTCTCATAATAAACACATTTCTGTCTGCAGTTTTAACTAATATACATTTAGTATATCTGTCTGCAGTTTTAACTAATATACAACTAATTTCACATTTTTGGAAGCAATTTTCCAAATACTGTAGAATGCTTTTTTGTATATTATTTCCCCCAATATTTACATTTTATGTGCATTTCCCTTTAATATATGATTTTTTTGTAAACACTGCTTGGTTGGAGAACTGCATCGCAAAATCTGAATAAGTGAAAATTTCAAAGGATAGCTTTGCATCTTCTTTTGGAAAGTGTGGGTTTGACTTTAAATGTGAACAGAACTGAAATTCTCCCTCCCTCCTAGTGCAGAGTATCTACAGAACTAACTAATTAAGCTTGTATTGGGGAAGCACATGTTTCTATTGGTAGCTGCTACTGAAATCTGGCAATCTCCCAAATCAAGCAGCTAGCAAGGGGTTTTTTTTGGGGGGGGGGGGACGATAATTGCCAGAGGAAAAGTTAAGCACTGGTTTCCTTTCTCTATTCCAGTTCAGCTTGTCTTCTCCTTCCCACCCTCTCTCCAGTGCAAATGGCTCCCTTTCAAAGGAGTTTTGCAATAGTGAAAGGGCTTCGGTATAATGTGAACTTGTTCCCTTTGCATTTTAGGATGTACAGATGTAAAATAACCCAAACCTTTCTTTTTTGTAATTGGGGTGCCTTGGACCATGATCGCTCCCAGACAGTATTTTGTGGCAAGGATTCACACAAGTAATGGAAATTTAGGTTTGTGCAACTGAAGTGGATCTGTTGCCCTTGCACAGCAGCAAATCCCCTTTTAAAAAAACGAACTCTTTGCAGTTAGGAAAGTGATGGGGAAACGCGCTAAAAAGCAGGAGATGAACAGATGATTAACGGGGAGTGTGTATAACTACTGCACAAGCAAATCAAGATGTATTCAAGATGAACATTCTTATCATATAACTCCCTGAAAACAAATCAGAACAAATGCTTAATAAGGACAGGACATAGTCTAACCTCCACATAAGCAAATCGAGAGGGAAGTGAAGTAAACAGGTTGTCTGTATGAACCAAATTTCAGAGGCCTAGCTCTCTGGGAAGTACCATGAATTTTAATAGACCTGTGATTCAGTCAACAAGCCCTAGGTGCCTTCACATTACCTACTGACTAGAAAAAAGAGGGGCAAAATTCACATGGTATGCCATCAGATTATACGGCACTTAAATTGAATTTGTTGAGGGTACACATAAAGAAAGTAACCACCTCATCAGATATTTCAATCATGAGCCCAATATGTTAGAGACACAAATTAGTGTTTAAGTCGACCTCTCAAGAACACTTCAACTGACCTCTTCTCTCTCGCTCTCTGCACACATTCCCTCAAAAAACTGGACACCCCTCAATGTATTTCCCATTATTTTCAAAGGAAACAACCACAGCCAAGTTCAGTTTTGAGAGCCTGTATTCATGGCATGGGTGGGTCTGGAAGGAAGGTAAGAGTCTGCCAGGCAATTTTATTACCGTATGAAAATTACAGGATGAAAAACAGAGGCTACAAAACAAAGGGGAGGGGGGAAATCCCAAGAATGACCTGGCAAGGAAACCCCATTTTCTTTCCAACCTTGGCTGTGCCACTGGAAAGTACCGCTTTGAAGTATAAAGAGAAACACATTGAGTAAAAAGGCATTCCCGTTCACAGAAAATTCTGTGGGAGGGACAGATAATGCAAAAGCTGGACCACCGTTGTAGTGGATACTCCCAATTCTTCCATTACTGGAAGAATTCAACTGTGCGGCTGGACATGTGTCCAATTTTTAATATAAGCATTAGATATCAAAGGCTCAAAGCTTGTTAAAAGGTACTTTCAGATGCACTGGGAAATGGAACAGAGGCTTCTCAGCCATTGTTCCCTAGTTATGGGATGCTTTGTTTTGAAGGCTGCTGGAGCCTGATTCTTTTTTTAAATAAGGAGACTTAGGCTCAAGTAAGGTGTGTGTGTGTGTTTTAAGATGGCCATTTCCAGTGTGAGGTTGGACAGCAAGGCAAGAATATTTCTATGGTTCAGATTGAAACTCGGAGAAGAATTCAGAGTTCCTAATTATCACACTGAGGAGAGCGTTACAAACCTCGGAGGCTCTGAGCTCTCTGTATCTAGGTACCGTGTATCCAAGTTTCACCAATATCTCTGTTAGGGACTCACGAGACTGTGCTCTAGTTGCCCGTGATTAATTCCACAAACTCCATTCATTTTGGAACATTGCAATCGCCGCCTTACCTTGTAATTTGTGACAATAGGTTTGACTTCTTCAGTGGCGTGGCTTTTCAGGTCCTCCAAATCCATCACTCCACCATTGCTCTGAATAACATCCACAACAGCTTTGGCCACACGGCCTTCGTAGAAGCCTCGTTTGCCAAGTTCTGCCAACTCCTGGAAGAAGAAAATAATCTGGATTGGAAACTGCAAAAAAAGAAAAGCGTGTTTTTGGTGGGGGCAGAAATACTATGCAATGTGACCTTGGATTCTGACAGTGACGCTTGCTTGCCTGGGTGGAGGGCAGAGCGGGGAGGGGGTGTCTATGAGTGTATATATAAACCAGGAAACAAGAACAAAGATAAAATTTACATTTGTTGCTGTCAGGGAACTGACATCGGAGCTAGAGGCGGAGGGAAGGCTCTCAAATGATGCTGGAGAAGGGCCCAGCAGGGAGAGAGGCAGCTCAGCAGATGGGGAAGCAATTCAGCGCAACACCAGGAATAAAGAGGGGCAGATGGGGGAATCGGCGAGAGGGCTCCCAGACTCTTCACTGGACACCAGCGAGGAGAGCACGGGTCCTCCGCTACCCACGCCCTCTCTGCGCAGAAGACTCGGCAGAGAGTAGGAGGAGACTGGGTGTCAAACAACTTTTATGTTGGAAAAGGTTTAAGAAACGCCCACTGACGGATTCTGCTAGCGACTGAGGCAGCCACGAAGTGAAGGGCTGTCCAGACTGAAAGGTTTAACAAGGCAACAAAGCCAGGAGAGGCGGCAACTTACGCACGAGCAACCCATACTCTTTACAGTTGCACTGTGCCATTTGCTGCTTATTAGCTGGGTAATTTGGCTCTCAGGTGTCTGGTTTGCCGAAGGAATGCACTACAGACTTGAACATCATCTTAGGTCACAGTTCAGTAGCGGAGGTTAATCAAAATAGTAGAGGCTTAGAAGAAATTCCGCCGAAAGAAGAATGGCAGACAAAATTAATGGACTGTGCAGAATTAGATAAAATGACAGGAAGGATTTGAAACCTGCGGGACCAGAGATTTACAGAAGATTGGAAGAAATATACGAACTATTTGAAGAGCAACTGTAATCAACAAATTACGCTGGTAGGACTACAAGAAGTTTTGTAAGGAGAAATGTATGAAGCATTGCAAAGTAGAGAAAGAATAGAGATATTAGTTATGAGTTAAATGTAATTGTGGAAGTAAGAAATGTATATTTAGTATATGTATATTTAGTGAATAGATTGGAAAATTTTCAGATGTGATTGATGGAAGTCAAAAAAATGGTATAAGATATGAAAGTATGCTTAATTACTGTTGAAAATGATATGTTGAAAAACTAATAAAAATTATATTAAAAAACCACAAAAAACCACACAAAATAGTCAAGGCTTAAATCCACAAATAATTTGAGCCATTATTTAAGTAACTGAATGGAAAGCTTTGGTAGTTAAGAACATAAGAGTAGCCTGCTGGATCAGGCCAGTGGTCCATCTAGTCCAGAATCCTGTTCTCACAGTGGTCAACCAGATACCTGAGGGAAACCAGGACAACAGAACATGAGCGCAAGAGTCCTGTCCCCTGCCAGGGCTTCCAGCCACTGTCATTCAGAAGCATCGCTGCATCTAGTTGTAGAGCTAGAGCACAGCCATCATGGTTAGTAGCCAGGTTTTTTTTTTAAAAGCAATGTAGAAATAAGCAGAGGAATAAATAAGCCTCAAAAAATTGCTTATGCAGTCCTTTGTAGTCTTTTGGCAAAAGACAGCAAGAAGTTAACGGTGGTGGTATTGGTATCATAATTATTTCAAGAGTGTTTTCTGAAAAATCAATGGCTTGCATTAAAAAAGGGCAATGACTAACCAAGAATCTATGTAGATGGAAGTGGGAATTAGTAATCCTGATAGTGGAAAGGAGGGAGAAATCATTTTTCTCGATCCTTGTGCACTGTGTGTGTGTGTGTGCACGCACATGTACGGCTGTTTCAGTTAGGCGCTTAAATAACTATGGATACCAAAATGATGAGATGTTCAAAAAGGGTGCCATGACTGTCTCGGCAAAGCCTTGGTCACTTGTAACACACATCAGCTGCACATTACACTCACAGACTGCAAGTATATTCCTGCATTGTAGGGGACTGGACTAGAGGGCCCTCAGGATTAAGCAATTTGCTCACCATGGAGCTACAATTCTCAGAGTTGTTTACCAATCAACCCCTCTTCCCAGGGAACCCTGGGAACTGAGAACGGAAGCTCTGTGAGGGGAATAGGGGTCTCCAAACAACTCTCAGCACGCTTAACAGCTTCCAGAATTCTTTGGGGGAAGCCATAACTACAAAAGTGGTATCGCAGGGTGGAATTCAATGTCACGTTATTATGGAAGTTCCATCTGCACAAGCGTTGCAGACTGCCAGACAGAACAACCCTGACCCCCATTCTCCCTCCCACAAGCTGTTCCTGCCCACCCACCCCCACAATTTGGAGGGGCACAGGGCACATGGCAGAGGAGAAGGGCAAAGTCTTTGTGCTGATGGGCTGCATTAAATGAATGCTGCCCATTGTGCTCTGAACGTTTGGTGGCCCAAGCCATAGCTGGCAAGACCAACTATTCCAGAACCGTCCTTTCATGTGGCGGTAAAATGTAGTAACTTTATTAAATATTACAGCATTTTTATATTTGTTTGAAGGGTGTATGTAGAAAGCAAGGGTGAGCTGTCGCTTTAAAATTATAGCATGCACAGTAAATGAGTAGCTTCAGAAGTAAAGAGAGCACAATTAGGCACTTATGTACACAAAAGGAAACTGCCTGTCACTCCTGATGCGATTTCAAAGAAGAGCAACTTCAACGCCAGTCATTCAAAGGGGATATTAAGTTGTTGGTACCAGGCACCAACAAGACAAAAGGGCATGTGTCATTCCCCGTGTTTAAGCAAATAGTGTACCATCCTCTACGTACCAGGTTACCACCTGGCACCAATTTGTTAAATATTAACAGATGAAATCGGCAGGTCAAGAAAGGCTCATTCCTCAAGTGAGATAAACCCTGTAGGAGAGGGATCTCTCTCATCTAACGCACTGACTCTTGAAAGTCATATATCCTTTGTTGTTTATGTGTCATTTGTGCACTTATTATCATGTTAGATGTTTGTCTTTCGTTGTACTCAAGAGCCGTGGTTTCCAAAATTCCCAACAACAACAACAACAACATTGCTTATGTAGCAGAGAAATGCACTGTATTCCCTGCTGCACTTTTGAAACATCACCTCCTGCGACAGAAAGTAGATGCCTAAGACATTGTTGTTTACGCACACAACACCCCCTAGTGAAACAGAAATACCTGAAGTTATTGGCTGGAAACAAAGAGTTCTCTGCAGACTGCTTTGTATAATTATCTATTTCAGCATGCATAGACAATATGTTCGACACACATCACAATGCACAGTTTGTGTACTCCCAGCTTCATTTGGAGGAAATTATCTCATGTGAAGTGTATCCAACAGAGGCTAATTTCATCATTTCTATACAGTTCTCTGTAAGAGATCCAAAATCCGCCTCGTAGATATTCAAAAACAGGGATGGAGGCCTGGACTCCCTTAGGTGACAGCTGACTTTTTCAGATGAAAACAGGGTTGTATACCAGGTTGCTCACTGTTCACAGCTTTCATCCTTTTGTGAGTGAATAGCAATTCTGAATTCAAGCAGTATCAAGCACCGCACACATCGATCTAAGCAAATGTGACCAACGCTATGGCCGGCAAACAAGAAGCTCACAAATCATTTGCCATGGCAACAGCAATGTTGAACTTCTATTTCACATTTAGTTTCCAAAGGAGATTGTAACATGGAATTCTGTTCAAAGAGAAAATATCCCCCCCCCAAAAAAAAATAATTCACTGGACATGCTCTTTGGATCTATGTCAATTCTCTTCACACATTCTCTGTTTTAGGGTCATGCATTTGTGGGATTTGAGTTTTTATTGAGCATAACATTTCATCTATCTGCTGGGTGACTCTGCTCACTGCAAGGCTCTGCAATGAAGTGGAATATTTGTACCAAGAACATATAATTCAAGGCCCATATGTGGTTTAAATTTGCTGAACGTAGAATTTATGTGCTAAGATCTTTTCATTTCCCCTTTACGTTCAGCTACCTGGCCCTGATCCCTCCCAGTTCTCCATGCCATCACAGCAGCTAAGTCAATAACAGCTACTGGGGCCATTTGCTATCACCAGTGAAAGCCCAAGGCGACATCAAAGTAGCTCAGCCAGTGGCATCAAGAGATACAGAAAGACAGAGGGAACTGTCTTTCGAAGGAGTGAACAGTTTTGAGGAGAGGACCAAATATACCTGCAACCCATGGTCTGTGCATATGTTAATCGTATATTAAATTATATTTGCATGTTTTAAAACTGCGGATAAATGTTATTCACAACTCTTGAGTGTAGGGAAATGAATACATTGTGGGTGGAGGAAACAACCCAAATTGGTTATGAAGTATAGGTTAAATGCGTTACATTAATCCAAGTTGAACAATGGAAGGGAATTAAGAATGACAAGGGATTAGTTTGAATCCATCTTTTCAGCCTATAGTGTTCTGTTTACTGATTTCTATGAGATTGGACTCTGAACAGCTTCTTAGCCTTACATTAGCTCCTCAGTAAGGTTAAGAGGCAGTATTTGTTAGCCTGCAGCATACTGACATTTATAACTATCAGAAAAAAATGAAAAAGGGAGATGCTGCTGAAGAATATTCAGATACAGCCTCCAAATCTCTTATGCTTAGTGAAAACCAAGTTAACCTGGAAGCAAATTCAATTGCTGCGGAAATAAAATTAAATTTGATGTACATTACTGTCATTCCCCACTAACTTCCTTGCATAGCGTGAAACATTTCTCTTTGGATAAATACCAGCCTTCATCATTCCCATGGACAACACGTCTCACTTCCTCTCTAAAAGATGGAACCACAGATGGAGCCGGGGGGCAGGGGAAGGAGTATGGAACCACAGATGGAGCAGGGGGGCAGGGGAAGGAGTATGGGGTCTAATTCCACAATGAGTACTGCCCTGATCTGATCCTTTCTCTGTTCAACATGTCAGCAAAATACTACTTCCTAGATGGCATGCTCCCAACATCCCTTCAAGATCAGAGCAGGAAAAGGATATGAGTCAATTACCTGCACCAGGGCAGAAACGAAGGGTCAAAGAAGACACAACATGAACTGCATCACTGGAAAGATTGTATAGAATCGTAGAAACGTACAGTTGGAAGGGACCACGAGGGTCATCTAGTCCAACCTCCTGCAATGCAGGAATCCTTTTGTCCTCGAACCCACAACCCTCAGATGAAGAGCCTCATGCTCTACCAACTGAGCTATCAGATTAGGATTTAAAAAGAAAAATAGTAATAGGTGCCAGAAGAGACTGATTCTTATTGGGGATGCAAGGTATGAGGAAGGAAGAATTAAACATCAATTTAATTGAGACCATAGAATGTACGGAGGGGAGATTTAGTCCTTCCCTCACCCCCTTACTGCTCTTACCCCTCCTAGTGGGGAGGTCCCGCCAGTGTCAGCTACAGCTTTCTTTCTAAGGCTAATAGCAGCGTGGGTGGGGTGGTTTTTTCCCTTAAAATCATGGTTGGGGAAGAAAGGGTTGAATCTCACCTTGTGTGTTGCAGTCCCAATAAAACTGGCCCCTCCTATATATATATATATGTAGTGTTTTCTAATTTTAAACCACTTTGAGGTTTTGTTTTTGTTTTTACAATCAATCAGTAGATGCATTTGGTATAACACCTAGTTTGACCCTTGATTTTCTCCTCCTTTTTTGAACCAATCGTGTACTTAAAATACTGAGATTTGAGGCAGAACACCTTGTAGGCTTTTGTATGGTAAGTTCCATGGCACCAAACAGTTTTATTCCCTCTACACCACACTGAATTATATGGAATTCAAATTGCCATACAGTAAAACACAGTGTATATGAAATAGAAGGAGTAAAGATACAGTTAGAATTCATACAGCATCTAGCAAAGCACATTACAAGAGGCAGAAAATAATTAAGTAGTCTGCCAAGGCTCTTGGCACTTTTCAAAAGATCTGGGGCGGAGGGGTGAGGCAGTTTGGAAATCACTGTTCTAGAAGAGCTTGGAAGAAAAGCTTCTTCGTGATCCCTGAAATCTCTCAAGTGATTGACCAAGAAATACTTCAGGCACCAAGAGTTCATCCACCAGCAGTTCCACACTTGCAAAGGGTTGCCAGTATAGTATCATAATACAGTGGTACCTCGGGTTAAGTACTTAATTCGTTCTGGAGATCCGTTCTTAACCTGAAACTGTTCTTAACCTGAAGCACCACTTTAGCTAATGGGGCCTCCTGCTGCTGCCATGCCGCCGGAGCACAATTTCTGTTCTCATCCTGAAGCAAAGTTCTTAACCCGAGGTACTATTTCTGGGTTAGCGGAGTCTGTAACCTGAAGCGTATGTAACCTGAAGCATATGTAACCCGAGGTACCACTGTATCAGCCAGCCAGCATTGACATCAGAAGTTTCCACATTGCATGGCACCTGATATCTTCTTAGAACACATTTGCAGGAAGTAAAGCAATACGCATCCCATCTCATCCATGGATACAAGCAGTCACCTGAAAGCGATTCCTGAGATTGCAACAGCAGTAAAAATGGGCTGCTGCCACTGCCCTGGTTGCTGCCAGGATTTCTGTGATTATGGCACTCAGGCTACATGTACATGGCAGTTTATTCAATTTTCCTGACATTTCCCTACCTGTTAATTTCTGCATCATATCTGAGTTTCTGCACAACGTTAAAAACCACTTCTGGAAATATAGTGGAACATAGATCTGGTTTGGAACTCGTTTCCATGTTATTTCTGAACAGATCTTTTTCTGGAAGCAAATAACATGAAAACGAACGCTGAATTTGTGCTACATTCCACTGTATTTCTATAAGCAGATTTTACACCGTGCGAAAGCTCAAATATAATGCAGAAATGAACGGCTGGGGAAATGTTGGGAAAACTAAATAACCTGCTGTTTGAATGCAGCCATAGTTCTGAGCTGAGGACACTGGGCTCAAGAGAGTTCAGCTCACCTTAAAAGTGTCTGCCAAAAAGGGATTGCAGAAGACTTGTCCGTGATCAGGTGCTTGGCCATCAATCAGCAGGTCCTTCCCGTGTGGGTTGCCAGGCGCCTGAAGCGCATGAGCATTTTTCTTCCAGCAGTAGGAAGCAATTTCTGAGACTGGAAAGCCCTTCTCAGCCAGGTCTATAGCTGGCTGCAGAATTTGCCGCATGGAAAGCTGGACCGGGAAATATGCCACAATTATTTTTCCATCTAGACGTAACATTTGAAATGTACATGTGTCTGATTAAAAACATTCCCAAGGGCCTCCTCTTTACAAAAATTAACCCTATAAACAAAGCTGTTCAATAGACTATTGATAAATAGTAAAGTGGGAGAAAATATGAATCAACCAAAACACTCCCAGGTCTCTATGACTGTGAATATACGCTTGAAAATAAGCTGACAATCTGGCAAAATTTCAGAAGTCAAGTGGGGTAACATTTCTAGTGATGGGGGAGGAGATTCCGTGGCCTCCATTTCTCCTTGCATTTCCGTACATCTGGAAGGAGTGGAAGAAATTGTGCATAATAAACTAAATCAGCAAATTCAGGTTATTATTGTTTTTTTAAAAATGCAAAATATAGTTGCTTTAAAAGAACAAAAAATCTGCCAAAAAGAAACAGTTTTGGTTATGCTATATTCCTGAATCTGCATGTTCATTTGGGGTTCACCTTTTTGCTTCCATGCAGAGCAACAGCATCGCACCAGCCAGCTGCCGCACCAGGTACGGTGACGTTGTGTGCATGTAGTGGAGGGGGACGGTTTGCCTCGCTGAAGCCGTGATCTTTTAGCAGCTCAAGGGTCAGGGCCTGTGGAGACCGACCGCTGCAAAGCAAACAGAGATCCGCATGGAAACCAAATTACAAGCGTACTGAAAAGATAAAAGGGAGGAAAAGAGCATCCATTTGACCTTATTTAAAAAAGTTTGATGATGGTGCTACAGTTTCTAGGCACGGCACTGTAACAGTGCTTAGAAGCCTCATGGCAACAACCTGAAATAATGTTGAACATTTTCCAGGGCATTTTCACAGAAATGATTCATCAAAGGCTGAAATTCTGTCATCTTTATTTCCAGAAACTCTTATTAGATACACCAACCAATTGCTTTTCTTAAAATGGTCTGTTTCAAACCACTATTCTCAAGATATTACATTAATTCAGCAACACAGAAACAGATGTTCTTAACCCATACAATGCTCTTAACCCTACGAACTAGAATTGTTAGGTCCAAACCCTCGAAGAGCTTCTGTACCAGTAATATATGGGTCAGGAACTGCCAGCCTGTGGGCCAGACATTGCCCCTGGGACCTCCCAGTGTCCCCTCTAGACTTGGAAAAAAGAAGTCTTTGGCTGGAGCCAACAGATATTTTCAAGCCTAACAGTAGAGCATGGAGGCATTTTCAGAGTGTGTTTCACAGCTGGAAGGGGGAAAAGGTAATCGTTTTCCTATTACTCACGCTGCCAACAATGCCCCACCAAGCCCCCAAATGCCCTGTTGGCCTGAAAACAAGTCTATTGGCTCCGATGGGCGGCTGCCTCCCCATGCCTCATTGTTGTGGGTTATGGGTGGTTAAGTCTCCCTTCCGCAGCTACAGTCTCCAGGAAGATCACCCCTTCACCATGAAATAAGACTTGGGGATGAAATGAAGCTACTTTTCCCCAAAACCTAATTGCTGGGGGAGAAACGGTATTTACTTATGTATGCATGTGAGTTAAAGTGCATTGTGTATGCCCACCACTTGCATGAGGCTCCCAGAAGGTTGGTCAAGATAGAATGCAGCCCTCTAGCTGACCTGCTTTAAAAGCTACTCAAAAGGGTGGTATCTTCTGTCACCGTAGTCCTTTGATCTGGCAACTGTGGCTATTGGCTGACTATTCCTGTGTTAGGCACATAGCCCAGTTTCGATGGCTGATAGAAGGCGGTTTACTGATAAGTGGGAAATCTCTCCCATGTGTTTGAATGAGAAGCTAGAAGAAGGCAATACACCTACACACACACACTCCAGCTAGCAGAGAGGAAGAGAATGTATGAGCTTTTAATAGAAAATGTGTCTGTCCCTGATGCACAGATCCCCACAAGGCTTCTCTGCCCTTCACTGCCCCACTTTATAGCTCCTGTATACATTTAAAAAGCCACAATACGGCTTGTTGCACTACCCAAACCCAGATTGTGGTTTGTTTCAAACAAATCATGAGTGATAAGCCAGAAATAAACCAAGAAACGAACCTTCAGTTGAAGGTTCAGTTGAAACAAACAAGTCTTGGTCTGGGTTCGGACAACATGACAAGCCATACTATGGCTTGTTTGAGGTGCGTGAGTGCTGTGGGAGGAGGGAGAATTTGCATAGGGCCTGCGCAGCAGGAGGGAGGCACACTCATATTTGAAACATGGCTTAATACAGAAACTGTCACAGCACACGAACCAAGGGTGGGAATCAACTAAGTTATTGCATTTGCAAAATGAGGTCCACTCACACAACAAGACTTCTCCCTGCACTGCCTAAATCTGCTCTGCGAGTTTGAGGGAACCACCAGAACATGTTTAGGGGTCATGTGGGGGAGAAAAGGGTGGAAAAGTCTTGTTGCACAAGTTGACCTTGTTCCCCACATGCATGCGCCACTTAGTGCAATGTTGCTCTAAGGAGTTTCCTGTTTCTTTGTGAAAGGTTCCTGGGAGGAAAATAATAATCAGAGGAATTTCAGCATGTCCTGCTCTCTGCCCTTGGACTACAGCAACAGGAACTGAAGAGCACCTGGACCTGATACTATCCTTTTATAGCATCTTCCTATTAATATTCAACTTAGACCTAAAGGGCAGCTATTCCTCTGCAGCGGCGAAAAGTAGAATAGCATATGAATGTAGGAAAATCAGAACAAAATGAAAAGGAAATGAGGTGCAAAGCTGGAGTCTGACCTCCTGGTTAAAATGAAAGTCTTCCCCATATGAAACCAGAACTGCAGACACTCTGTCCACCAGGATGTTTGCACAAAATCGTTATCAAGTTCAGCTTAAAAACAAAGTGACATTATGCACACAAGCCTGAAGGCACACACTAAAACTGGACAAACACCATTTGTATACATTGCAAACAGGCTCGTGATAAGTGTGGCAAGCCTGAACAAAACCACTAAACTGAGCTCCGTTATATATGTGGAATTCCATTGAGAAATTCTGTCCAAGTAATCTGTATCTGCTTATTTTCCAGCAGTCGAGCTAGTGGCAACAAGCTGGTTTGCTGTGCTTTAATGACTCTCCATTTGCCACAGTTTCCAGCCACTCCCCTTCCCAAGCTTCCCATCGTTGCCAGTGTGATCCAGCAGATAGAAGGTTGAGCTTCAGTCCGGAAAACCTGGATTCAGACCTGTGCTTTGAATTCATTGTGTGTCATGAAGCAAGTCACATAATCTTGGCTGGCCAACTGTCCTACTTCAGTGGGACTTAACCCCAGGAAAGAGTACACAGGACTGCAGCCCTAGTCTAGCATTCTGTTTCCTGTAGTAATATCACCTACAATAAAATGTATGATGTCAGAAAAGGAAGTGGCATCTCTTCACTCAACAACCTGGCTGCCATTCACAGAGTAGTTTTCTTAGGACAGTGATGGCGAAACTTTTAGAGACGGAGTGCCCAAACTGCAACCCAAACCCCACTTCTTTATCACAAAGTGCCAACACAGCCATTTTACCTGTATATCTCTTTTTTTCTGTGTGTTTCACGCTTCTTCTTTATGACTGATGTTGTAATAAATAATCCTTCAAAAATGTTATTGCATTACATTCTTCATTAAATTATCTTTCCATTGAGATATAATTTTATGGTATAACTCAGTGCTTTTTTTCTAAAAAAAAATGTTTAGGGATACTCTTGTTTTGACTCAAGAAAATCACCACCAGGGGAAAAATAAATACAGTGAATTTCTTCTCCCATTAAATTCACAAAATGTCCTCCTGCGTCCCCACAGGAAAAAAAGGACTGGTATTACTCCAAAACAAAGTGGTGTTATGAGCCATCAAACCTGGGAAATACATTTTTTCTAGAAGGTTCCACAATTTTGGCCACTGGAGGGCTATACTAAGAGCCACCCTCTCCCAATTTTTAATATGAGAAAATAATGGTTGTTTGTGTGCACACATACAAATAAATATAAATACATAAATAAATAAACTCAGCCAGATGGGCAGGGTATAAATAATAATAATAATAATAATTGTATTTTGCCTTTTCTTCAGCTGCCGTTTGATTGCAGTCTCCACAGAATGAATTTCTCTGCTGGCTTCTGTGGGAAAGCCCAGCAAACATATAAACCCAGCAGCCCCTTCTTAGGCTGCAGTCTTTATATGCTTACTGACCCAGGGAATTAAGCCCTGCTGAACTCAAGGCGGCTTACTCCCGAGTAGGAAAAACAGACTGGCGGGAAGCCCGGGCACATCAAACGTCAATAACTGCTCAGCCCCTCACTCACTTTCCAGGCCCTGGTGCCACAGGCTTTGAATGGTGGGAACCCATTCTCCTCCCCCCCCCCCCGGCACAGAAGCTATGGCCCTGGTGCCACAGGCTTTGGACAGTGCGCATGAGCCCTCCTCTCCTCCTTCTCCCCTACCCGCCAGCACAGAAGTGACGGCCCTGCATGCCCAGAGAGAGGGCTCTGAGTGCCCTCTCTGGCACACATGCCATAGATTCGCCACCACTGTCTTAGGACTCAGCTACATTAGGTTTTTTTTTTTAAGCGTTTCAAATACTGTATGTCATAACACTGTTGACACCAGATGGTGCTGGGGAGTCCCATCTTTTGGCAATTATGAGGTTATAACACGTTTTCCTGAAATGTTTTTTTGATGCGTCTAGATCCAGCCTTGGTCCTCTCATTTCTTGGCCCCTACTCTCAAACCAGCAGCAAAAAGGTGGTTTTGGAGGGTGAGTGGGGGAGTAGAAATTACAAAGAGAGAAATCCCAAATGCACAGCTTACCCCAGCACGTAACTGAATACAACTATATTTTCTAATACGTAACAGAATACAACAACTCTCTGCCCTAGTACATAGCAGAATACAACTGCTCATGTGCGCGCGCTCTCTCGCTCTCTCTTTCTCTCTCCGGTACTTACCTTCCATTGAGACCATGTACCTGTTTTGTGCTTGCGTCATAATAGAGGCAGAAGCAGTCTCCACCTATGCCGGTACTGCATGGTTCAGTAACATTTAAAGCAGCGGCTACTGCTACAGCAGCATCTGCCGCATTGCCACCATTCTTTAAGATATCTGCAACAGAGATACGCTCATTAAAAAGAATAACAACCAACAACAACAACTCTAAACTAATAGTGACTTGCAAACCAAAACAGGGTGCGTTACTTTAGGAAGTGTTAGAATCACAGGATCCTAAGAATTAAAGAAAGCCATGCAAATGCTGATTTTCAACTGTAATTGAAATGATTTGAGAATGGTTTTGTATGCCAGAAGAGAGGAAGCGCGAGTGAGTTACACTTCCTAAACTGTGGAAACCTCAGCCAGGAGATCTTCAGTATAGCGCTGCACCCCAGATTAGTCACAGGGGTCTAAAGAGGCACCAACTTAAGTCTGGAGCCAACCCACTGAATGTCAGATACGACCCACAAAGGAAAAACCAACATTTCACCCATTAAAATAACAGCAGAACTAATTACCGATGCCTATATTTGTTGCGAGAGGCTGGCTTGACGCAACGCAAGCACTACTGCAAACCACCGGGGACCTCCGAGAACAGAAATTAAGATGTGGCATCCTTTTCGGAAGAATATACAACACACACAAAAAGAAATGGGTATTAAAAGGAAAACCTGAACTAATGTACAAAAATAAATGCGAACCCCAAAATCAAATCCATGAAAATGGACCCATATAAAACTTCACAGAGTTCTGCAAAACTCAAATTGTTGTGTCCAATATAGCTTACAGTTATATATACTGAAGTTACATCATGTTACCATATTTTATGTAAATCCCTCGTTTTCATTTGGCAAGTGAAATGGAACTCCCCAAGCCATATCAATTCCCTTGAATTCAACAATAATACAACTGTTAATTAAATGAGTGTAATTTCCACCACCCCCAGGTTCAAAATTCAAGTTGAGGAACAAACTTGATCCACAATTTCACACACACGATTTTCACCAACCGAAGTTAGGCTGTGTCAGATTCAAAGCCATCCTGATGGCTTCTTATTCAAACCTGAGAATTCTGAATACGGGAATGCTGTGTTCCGTCTACCAAAATTGGGCTTTAGCAGTAACACAGTGCAAACACAGTTGCTTATATGTGCTGATCCAAAGGCTCGGATTGTGGTTCTGTTGCTTGATATAGTGCAGCACATCTGTCCATGCAGAGGGAAAGCTCAGTGGGTACAGGATGAGGCTCTTAATCTCAGGGTCAGGGTTCTGAGCCCCATGTTGGGTAACAGATTTCTGTATTCCAGGGGGTTAACTTAGATGACCCTCATGGTCCCTTCCAACTCTACACTTCTACAAATCTGATTCTATAACAACAACAACAACAACTCCCATTGCAACAGTTTGTTAGAGCAGGCCCCACTTGTTCTGTAATAATGTGTGTACCCAGCAGAAAGGTGCAGGTACTTGTTGAGAAGCAATTGCAACCCCTCCAAAAATCCTTCATTTCAGGACAAGGAAGGTATCAGTGGTGCCATATGGACAGGACCTTGGGGGCAGAGGTCCACAGTCCCACTCAGCAGAATAAGGAGGGGCTGCCAAACACAGTACGGAGGGTTGAGCACATTTTGAAGTGACGTAATGCACATTATTACCTAAAGAGGAGAGAGAATAATAATAATTTAACAATTTAATAATTAATTTAATAATTAATTAATTTAATAATTTAATAATTAATTTAATAATTTAATAATTAATTTAATAATTAATTTAATAATTAAATAATTTATTATTTATACCCCACCCATCTGGCTGGGTTTCCCCAGCCACTCTGGGTGGCTCCCAACAGAACACTAAAAACAGAAAAAACTTCAAACATTAAAAACTTCCCTAAACAGGGCTGCCTTCAGATGTCTTCTAAAAGTAAGATAGTTGTTTATTTCCTTGACATCTGATGGGAGGGCATTCCACAGGGCAGGCACCACTACTGAGAAGGCCCTCTGCCTGGTTCCCTGTAGCAATAAGGAAACTGCCAGAAGGCCCTCGGAACTGGACCTCAGTGTCCGGACTGAATGATGGGGGTGGAGACACTCCTTCAGGTATACTGGGCCGAGGCCGTTTAGGGCTTTCAAGGTCAGCACCAACACTTTGAACTGTGCTCGGAAACGTACTGGGAGCCAATGTAGGTCTTTCAAGACCGGTGTTATGTGGTCTTGGCGGCCACTTCCAGTCACTAGCCTAGCTGCCACATTCAGTTGTAGTTTCTGGGTCACCTTCAAAGGTAGCCCCACGTAGAGTGCATGGCAGTAGTCCAAGCAGGAGGTAACCAGAGCATGCACCACTCTGGCGAGGCAGTCCATGGGCAGATAGGGTCTCAGCCTGCGTACCAGATGGTCCAGAGTCTACACACCACTCTTAGAAATTAGTCACTAGTGATTACGCTCACAGGTGTGGGGAACCTTTGGTCCTCCAGATGTTGCTCAATAGCAACTCTAATCATCCCTAACCCTTGACTCATGGGAGTTGTAGCCTGGCAGCATCTGCCACACCAAAGCTTCTCTTGCCCTGAAACAGTACCGCCTCCCTACTAGACAGTCCTGCCTGGGGACTTTTGCCAGAAGTGGAGTTTTGTGCATGACAGATGCTGGATTAAGCAGCTCAGCTGGACAGTACAACATGAATACAGTGGTACCTCTTGTTACGTATTTAATTTGTTCCAGAGGTCCGTTCTTAACCTGAAACTATTCTTAACCTGAAGCACCTCTTTAGCTAATGGGGCCTCCCGCTGCTGTCGCTGTGCCGCTGGAGCACGATTTCTGTTCTCATCCTGAAGCAAAGTTCTTAACCCAAGATACTATTTCTGGGTTAGTGGAGTCTGTAACATGAAGCGTATGTAATCTGAAGCGTATGTAACCTGAGGTACCATTGTACTCTTAATCTCAAGGTCATGGGTTGAAGCCCCACGTTGGGCAATATATATATATATTATAAACATCCTATACATTGCAGAAAGTTGGGAGTTGATGATCTTCGTGGTCCTTCCCAACTCTGCAATTGTTTTTGAAACGTCCAACTTCTCCGGCTTAAATAGCAGCTGTCCATCGCCTTGCGGGCACAGAAGGGGCGGGGGGGGCGCGAAGGCAGCATTCCCCCGACAGGCTATATACTCAGTTGGATATCCTGAGGTGCTGCTTTGGGGTTTTCTTTCTGTAGCTGAGGAGAAGCCTCAGGAACTGGGCGGCGAGGAAGCGGAGGCAAGCAGCGCTCGGGTTTCCAAGGCGTGGCTCAGCCGAGCCCTGCCAGCTGCTGCTGCGGCTTAGCCGCTTCTCGCGCCCCGAGGGCAAAGGTTGCCCCTCCTTCTGTGCCTCGACGCCCAGGCAGGCCCAGCCACGCGCCCGTCTCCTTTAACGGACCTACTTCTCCGGTAGGAGACAGAAAACAGAAAGGGGTGAAAACAAAAACGGAGCCAGCCGCCAGGGGTCCCTTTCATGCGCGCGCACGCGCGCTCTCCTCGCCCTCCCAGACGCCCCTCCTACCTGGCGCGCGCTTGGAGAGGAGAAGCAACAGCAGCAACGTTGTCCTGACGGAGACGAAGGAACAGCTTTGGGCTCGCCTCACGTGACCGCTGAGCACGTGACTCCGAAGCCAAGGTCCCTTAGCACCTTTGGTACCATACGAGGAGAGGAGATTTGTTCTGAATCCAATTGGTCCGTTCGCTAGATATTATTTGGGCGCAGGAATGGACGCCGCTTTGCAACATTTAGGGCTATTTGTGGGGTGGGGGCAGGGCCGGATTTAGATGAAGAGAGGCCCTAGGCTACTCCATTTGTGAGGCCCCTCCCAACCCCCCACCCTCACTACTAGAAGAAAATGAAACAAAATTGAGTGAAGCCAGGGATGATGATGGGTATTTAAAATTCTGCGATTATCAGTTTCTCCTCTAAAGGACATAAGATGTTATTGTTAAATACCATGGTGAATTTAAAAAAATGCATAAAATTAACACTGAAAACTTTTGCAATAACTGAACTTTGTAAACCTTTTGTGGAATAAACATTAATTTTTAGGGGAATGAAGTTGTAATGTTATTCTTTTTTTAAAAAAAAAACCACACATTGAGTTTACAAATTATATTGCCTGTGAAGTGTAAATAACCTGACAGTGTGGCACTTTTGGAATCATCTTTATGTTGCCATTAAAAAGTCAGTTTTTAAATACATATTAAGAAGTGAACTACAACCATCAAATACAGTAAGGCTAAAATGTTTTTTATCCCCCTAGCCTTCCTCATAGCAAAATCATCCACAACTTCATGAAAATTTGTTTGTCTACGTTTGTCACTTTCAGTGTACAGAATGCTCAGTGCGGACAACTTCAGACATTATGGCCCTTAATTCATTTTTAAGTCTTTTGAGTCTTGAAAAACTCCTCTCTCCTGAGCAGTTAGTGACCATAAAGCTAATAAATAGCTGCAAGATTGCTTCCACATTAGGAAAGGCCATCTGAATTTTTTCCTTGTATTTAATTTGATAAAGGTCTGTATGAGACAGAGAGTGCTCTGCTGTAGGCCTATGGCTTTGTGTCATGTACAGGTGAAAGTGCAAAAGTTCATCAATAAGTTTCAGGTCAATATCTTCTGGGTCTTCCATCATCTTCTGGGTCTCCAATATCTTCCATCAACTGTTCAACACCTTGCTTAATTTCTTGCTTAGATGCTGTCAAATTAGCAAGAATGGCAAACCATTGTGCAACATCACTGTACACAGTACTTCTTCTTTTTAAATTGGCTTCAGGTGCATCTAATATAGGAATAAAGGATTTTATCCTGAACCTATCTCTTGAAGAAAGAGCATCTAAGGCATCAGGTACACTTCTGTCATTTCTTTGCCGTTCCCTCACTCTTTGTCTCCTTGTTTTGTAGTTGACATTTGGCAAGGTGGCTTTTGCTTGCTTCTCAAGCTCATCAAAATTATCTCTAATTTTCCTTTAAAAAAATCCAGAAGTGAACTGTACAAACTTGCACAAGAACTCAATAACAGGTCTGGTTTTTGAAGGGCTTTGTTGACCTTGTGAAAATGACCTAGCACACAGGTCCAAAAATGCAGCATAAACACAGATTCCAGTTCTTACATTTTCTGCAAAAGATTGTTAGCTTGGAGCCTGGTCTCCCCCTTCCCATTAATGTCAGAATCAGGATGAGGTCCAGTTACCAACCTGCAGCCTGGCCTCCTGCCTTCTACAGGTAGTTCTGGATCCCTCCGAGGATCCCTTCCCACTGCTGCCTTCCCTGATCCCCAAGGCCTCTCTCTGCCTGTGGGCAATCTGCAGGGCATGCTGCAGGCACCAACAGGGCTCTGTGAAGTGTGAAATATAGACTTCCCTACCTGGAAGGGGTGAGGCCAATGCCAGTCATACGTGCTTGCCTTACTCTGTTCAAGCCAAGGAGGAGGGAAGGAATGGAAGAGACTTGGGAGAGCTTGCTTGCCTAGTCTATCTGCCCCAGCCGGCCCCCAACTCATACTCTCCCACTGATTAAAGTGCCACACGTACCACTACTGACCTGACCCTTGAGCTGTGCAGCTGGTTGTTGACTCTGGGCCTTCTGGCTCTGGATTCTGAGTTGGAAAATTCTGGGGTGTGAGGATACTCAACAGCCCAGCTCACCAGGGGGGAAGTCCCTGCAGGTCTCTATGGTCAGTAGACCACAATCTTTATTGTTGCACGACAGGTCTCCACACAGAGTAAGAACCCTGAACATGGGTAACAAGCTCTTTGAAGACCTTCCCTCCCTGCCCATAATACATTTCCAGAACCAACATTGATACATTGCTGATACATCAACATCATGTCACGAGGAGGGAGGGGAGTCGTGAGGTTACCCAAGTTCATCAACTTGCCCCAGTTATCAGATCAAGTTCCCAACTCCTTCAGAACCTGCCACCTAAAGAACAATAAAGCTGTCTATGCATATCTTTGCCTTCTGGTCTCAGGAAACCCATCAACGGATGTTCATTGTTCTCCTCAAGGGAGGGGTGCTCTGTACTTGACTGTATATCCCAAGGATTATGGAGGAGGGTTGTATCCAAGTTGAGTATGTGGCCTCTCACTTAGAGGATTATGGAGGAAAGCGATGTCCAAGTCTGCCTTTCCTTTTGAAGCAAAATGTCATTGAAATGGGGAGAATTGGTTATGGAATTGATTTTATGTGATTTTCATCAGCACGGTCAAGTACAAGGGGGTACAATTTTGACACTTTCTTGCAACAATGCAACAACTTCTGCCAATAGAAACCAGAAGGGATACATTTTGCAAGCTTTCTCTATTAATAGTGCAAAGGCTCATTGTCCTGGGCAGGGGTCTGCAACCCGTGGCTCCGGAGCCGCATGTGGCTCTTTTACACCTTTGCCGCGGCTCCGGGGCGGATACTAGCGAGGGGAGGAGGTGCATTGTGCGCCCCGACACTCCCCACTGTGGCGGGCGCTGTACTGGCTGTGACGTCGCATGGGGGCGGTGCATGCGTTAGTCATGCACCGTACCGACGTCACCTTCCCGCCCGCTGTCAGATCGCGGCTCCGGAGATATATTTGTTTTAAATGTCGCAATGGTTTTGTGGCTAACAGTTGTTTTTTCTTCGGAAACGGGTCCAAGTGGCTCTTTTTGTCTTAAAGGTTGCAGACCCCTGTCCTGGGGTTTTGAGGGAGAAGAGGTTTCCGATAAGTGCCCCCCTTTATTTCTCCCCCTTTATTTCCACAACAAGTACTTGAGTCTGTACTCTGAATAGTGACACCAGGGACCTAGAAGGGGCAGCGCTTGTCACCCCAACCCCCCTGCACAGTCTCATCAGGCTGGCATTAAGGCAGTTGGAGGAATTGGGCCAAATTGGGCCCTGTGGGTGGCTCCTAAGGGGACCCCCATACCAGGGCAATCTAGATGGATTTTATTTATATCTCTAAGATTCCAAGTTGGGCCCCAGAGCTTCAAATTGGTCCCCACTGGATAGCCCTGAGTCTCATAGTTGCTGGGCCCAAGTTGCCCTGCCCTTGCATGAAGTCTTGGGTTTGCAGTTTTGGGAGATGGGAGACTGCGGCGCTGGGGAGCAGGCTGGCTGGCGAGGCCCCCTAGATTTAGAGGCCCTAGGCTTCAGCCTACTTAGCCTATACATAAATCCAGCCCTGGATGGGGGGTTTGGTGGGGTGGGGAGAGTGATAGGAAGGGGAGGAAGATTCCAGTCAGAAGTGTAGAACAGTTTGCATGGGATGAAGGAAGTGCACAGGGAGGTTTTCCTCCTTTTGCCTTATGATAAGTAAAAAAGGTAAAGGACCCCTGGATGGTTAAGTCCAGTGAAAGGCCGACTCTGGGGTGTGGCGCTCATATCACATTTCAGGCCAAGGGAGCCGGCGTTTGTCCATGTTCAGGTTGTGTGGCCAGCATGACTAAACTGCTTCTGGTGCACAGAGGACCATAATACATCTCTACAGTTCAATGATCTGTCCAGAGTGTGTGCTTGGGGCGGGGAGGGGGTGTCTGAAAGGAGCATAGTTAAAGGGCACAGCTATGGCAATGGCTAACCTCTCCAAAAGCATACGGGTGAATGTGATGTTAACATCCAAGAACAAGATGAAGCTCTACCAGGCTTGCATGTTGAGCACACTACTTTATGGAAGTGAGTCATGGGCAGCTTGCAGCTGTCAGGAGCAACACCTCAGTGCCTTCCACTTATTCTGTATCATTTGGGCATCACATGACAGCATAGTCTCAAACAAAGATATGCTCTCCTGAGTCCACATTCCCAGCATGTTCACACGCCTGTCTCAGCGAAGTCTATGCTGACTTGCTGATGTCCACAGAATGGAAGTCTTGGGAGAAAAAGCAATGACAAACCTAGACAGCATCTTAAAAAGCAGAGACATCACCTTGCCAACAAAGGTCCATATAGTTAAAGCTATGGTTTTCCCAGTAGTGATGTATGGAAGTGAGAAAGGTAAAGGTAAAGGTACCCCTGCCCGCACGGGCCAGTCTTGCCAGACTCTAGGGTTGTGCGCTCATCTCACTCTATAGGCCGGGAGCCAGCGCTGTCCGCAGACACTTCCGGGTCACGTGGCCAGCGTGACAAGCTGCATCTGGCGAGCCAGCGCAGCACACGGAACGCCGTTTACGTTCCCACTGGTAAGCGGTCCCTATTTATCTACTTGCACCCAGAGGTGCTTTCGAACTGCTAGGTTGGCAGGCGCTGGGACCGAACGACGGGAGCGCACCCCGCCGCGGGGATTCGAACCGCTGACCATGTGATCGGCAAGTCCTAGGCGCTGAGGTTTTACCCACAGCGCCACCCGCGTCATGGAAGTGAGAGCTAGACTGTAAAGAAGGCTGATCGCCGAAGAATTGATGCTTTTGAATTATGGTGCTGGAGGAGACTCTTGAGAGTCCCATGGACTGCAAGAAGATCAAACCTATCCATTCTTAAGGAAATCAGCCCTGAGCGCTCACTGGAAGGACAGATCCTGAAGCTGAGGCTCCAGTACTTTGGCCACCTCATGAGAAGAGAAGACTCCCTGGAAAAGACCCTGATGCTGGGAAAGAAGGAGGGCACAAAGAGAAGAGGATGACAGAGGACGAGATGGTTGGACAGTGTTCTCGAAGCTACCAGCATGAGTTTGACTAAACTGCGGGAGGCAGTGGAAGACAGGAGTGCCTGGCGTGCTCTGGTCCATGGGGTCACGAAGAGTCGGACATGACTAAACAACTAAACAACAACAACAGAATGGAAGATGGCAGGATCCCCAAGGATGTGTTCTTTGGGGTGATGGCTTCAGGCACCAGGCCCATTGGCAGACCAACTCTACATTACAAAGACGTCTGCAAAGGCTGACAACATCAACCCTACCATGTGGGAATCTCTTGCAGACAACCGAAGCACCTGGAGACAATGCGTCAGGTTGTGTATCCACAGCAGTGGCCAGAGGAACAACCGCTGGGAAGAGTGCAGAAAGAAGTAACGTCACAGTACACCTACATCAGCACAACTGGATGCCTTCATTTACCTCAGCTGCAATAAAACACGCCTCTCCTTTATTGGTCTCTACAACCATGGCAGGTACTGCAGCTCTCCCAACTGCTTGACTTCACCCCCAAAGGTGCACTCTTCCATTGTCTCCTGAGACAGATGGATACCAACCAAGTGTAAGAAGCAGAGGCCTGAGGAGAAGAATGGACAGGAGAGATAGAGAAAAGGGTGGTGAAGCAAAAGAGGATCTAAAGAGAAAGTGGGAATAAGAGTTCACACAGGAGCAAAGAACAGAGGACAATGTGCTCTTTCGGCAGCTTTGGAGACTAGAAATTGTGAGCCATAGGGATGAAGAAAGCCCCCATTATAACATAACCCACATTGGTGGTGTGGCTACTACCCTAGATAAAAGGTAAAGGTAAAGGGACCCCTGACCATTAGGTCCATTCGCGGACGACTCTGGGGTTGCGGCACTCATTTCACTTTATTGGCCAAGGGAGCTGGCGTACAGCTTCCAGGTCATGTGGCTAGCATGACTAAGCCGCTTCTGGCGAACCAGAGCAGCGCACGGAAACACTGTTTACCTTCCCGCCGGAGCGGTACCTATTTATCTACTTGCACTTTGACGTGTTTTCAAACTGCTAGGCTGGCAGGAGCAGGGACCGAGCAACAGGAGCTCACCCCATTGTGGGGATTCGAACCACCGACCTTCTGATCAGCAAGTCCTAGGCTCTGTGGTTTAACCCACAGCGCCACCCGCATCCCCACTACCCTAGATACTTCCATGCTTTTCCCAGGGCACTTTCAGGGGACTATTTATTGAGCATTCATATTCATTTGTTCCCAGGGAGATCAGGTGATGTGGGACATGGGACGTGGTTAAGGGAATTGTGTCATACTGGCAATGTGTTTTTCCAGAAGGGTTTCTAAGCATGCATTCTCTCCTATGTCATTGGAAGTTTACAGGCATTCCCAGGCGTGGCCAGGGAGTCATCGCAGGCTATCAGCAACCATATCATTCCTCATCATTTATGTACAGGGTTAAAGCTGGAAGTCCTTGGGAGGTTTCCTGTATTGATCGATGTCAGCTGCCAGGATGGGAAGACCACAGCAGCAGATTAAATATCTAGAACTAATACACAGGGCAGGGAGTGTGCATCATGATTTCATTTATGAATCATAGCTTTCTAAATGCAGGCTTCTTGTACTGAAGTCTTCGTGGCCATGTACAGATCCCTAACGTTTCCAGTATAAACGTATCTGCTAATCTACTTTCCAAACCTCAGGAAAGTCTCCTTGGGCTTTGTTGCACTGAGGCCTGTGACCTTAAGAAAACGGTTGTATTCTTGGGAGCAAACACAATAAAATAGGAATCAACAGATGATATTTCCCTCATGTGTGTAAACATTGGTTGGAGTACTGCATCCCAAAATCCAGATACAGTGGTGCCTCGGGTTAAGTATTTAATTTGTTCCGGAGGTCCATTCTTAACCTGAAACTGTTCTTAACCTGAAGCACCGCTTTAGCTAATGGGGCCTCCTGCTGCCGCCGTGCCGCCGGAGCATGATTTCTGTTCTCATCCTGAAGCAAAGTTCTTAACCTGAAGCACTATTTCTGGGTTAGCGGAGCCTGTAACTTGAAGCGTATGTAACCTGAAGTGTATGTAACCCGAGGTACCAATGTATGTGGAAATTTCAAAGGATAACTCTTGTTTCTGCTTGCACAGTTTTGGAAAGTGCAAATCTGATAAATTTGCTTTTAAACACGAACTGAAACAAATTTCTCCCCCATCTCAACCAGCACAGCCATTGATGAAAGGTGACATAGAAAGTTCACCCAACCATTATTTAATGTTACCTAAAGAGCACTGATCTTCGACTTTCGCTGTTGCTTGTTTGCTATCTTTTGAAGATACCTTTCTGCTTTATCAGAAAGCACTTATCCTTATCAGAGTATATATGCTTCATGCATTAATCAGTGGGTGTTTTCCATTTTGTCCTTATCTAATGTTTATAGTGGGTCACTATCCAGTATCATGTAACAAGGCCTTGGGTTTTAATATTCCACACATTTCATACAGCCAGTAGAATTGATTCCCAAGTGCTTTTTTTTCTAAAAAAAATGTTTAGGAGTACTCTTGTTTTCCTACTCACATTGAAATACTGCCCCTCAATGAGGCCAAACTTAGATTCACAAAATGTTAAGAGGTATACATACCCCTGCGTCATCGTCCCCTCCCCAGAAAAAAGCACTGCATGCAAGAGATAAAAGCTTGCAAAGATTGAAACAACACATTGTTACCTCCCAATAATCACATTATGATTATGATTTACAGCAGACTCTTCCCCACACTGTTCCGAGACAGCAGAACTGATCAATATTGTCAGCTAGTATACAAAAAGGGAGACCTCTAACTTAAGGTTACCAGATGTCCCCGTTTCCCGGGGACAGTCCCCAGATTTACAAATCAGTCCCCATACAAAACCCATTGAAGTTGAAAAGTGTCCCTGGATTCATTGAAAAAAATCTGGCAACCTTACTCTAACTATATATGGTGATGTTTTGCTCTTTTCACATATCAAGGTGGTGAGAACAGCATTGAGGGAGGGTGTGAAAGATAGGATGCAATTTGCTACTTTTGCCCCCAGAGAATTGAAGCACGTATGAAATGGGCATCGTTTTTCATGGGGTGTATGCATTCAACCAGCCCTCATCTCTAGAAAACAGGTTTCACAGATCTCTGTATTGCTTCAAACACCTGTGGAACCCTTGACGAGGTGGCAGTGGAACAAAATAATGTAGCATGTACTCTGCAGGTGGTGATTTTTCTGTCTTTGCCCCATCAAGTCTGCTAAAAGCTATCATCTGAAAGATTCACTACAGATTAGTCCACAGAATACCATGTCATGTCATGGGTGGGCAGGCTGTGGCCAGATACAAGAGAGGGCAAGGTCCCTACAACTTTAATTTCAGCAGGTGTCATTTTTGAAGCTGCCCCATGCTTCCATCCCATCATAGAATCATGGAATTGTAGAGTCGGAAGGGTTCCTGGGGGTCATCTAGTCCAACCCCCTACAATGCAGGAATCTCAGCTATAGCATCCATGACAGAAGGCCATCCAGCCTTCTTAAAAATAATCAATGAAGGAGAGTCCACCACCTTAGAAGGGAATCTGTTCCACAGTCAAACAGCTCTTCCTGATGTTTAATCGGAATCTCCTTTCTTGTAATTAGACTCATACCCCCCAGAGCAGAAGAAAACAAGCTGGTTCCATCTGACAACCCTTCAGAGTTTTTAAGAGGGCTATCATATCCCCTCTCAGTCTCCTCTTTTTCATGTTGAACATACCCAACTCCCTCAACTGTTCCTCATAAGGTATGATTTCCAGACCCTTGGTCAATTTAGTCGCCCTCCTCGGCACACATCCTAGCTTGTCAATGTCCATCTTAAATTGTGGTGTCCAGAACTGGACACAGTACTTCAGGTGTAGTCTGACCAAGGCAGAAACAAGTGGGACCATGACTTCCATTGATTGGGTCACGATACTTCTGTTGATGGAGCCTGGAATAGCATTAGCTTTTTTGCTGTTGCATCACATTGTTGATGCATCTGTAAATTTGATTAGCATTTCCTCAATTCCTCCATCCAAGGTGTTTCTAAAGTCTGAAGAACAACAGGCCTGGGTCAGAACTCTGTGGTACCCCACTTGTCACTTTTTTCCAGGATGATGAGGAACCATTCATGAGCACTCTTTGGGTTCAGTCAGTCAACCAGTTACAAATCAACCTAACACTTACCTCGTCCAGCCCACATTTTGCCAGCTTCTTCCCAAGAATATAGGGACGCGGGTGGCACTGTGGGTTAAACCACAGAGCCTAGGACTTGCCAATCAGAAGGTCGGCGGTTCGAATCCCCGCGACAGGGTGAGCTCCTGTTGCTCGGTCCCTGCTCCTGCCAACCTAGCAGTTCAAAAGCACCTCAAAGTGCAAGTAGATAAATAAGTACCACTCCGGCGGGAAGGTAAATGGCGTTTCCGTGCGCTGCTCTGGTTTGCCAGAAGCGGTTTAGTCATGCTGGCCACATGACCCGGAAGCTGTATGCCGGCTCCCTTGGCCAATAAAGCGAGATGAGCGCCGCAACCCCAGAGTCGGTCATGACTGGACCTTTACCTTTACCTCCCAAGAATATAATGAGTGACTTTGCCAAAAGCCTTGCTGAAATTAAGATACACTATATCTGCAGCATTCCCCTGATCCACCAAGCATGTAACCCTATCCCTATCAAAAAAAGAAACTTGGCATGACTTTTTTTTTAGAAACCTATGTTGGGTTTTAGTAATCACAGCATCCTTTTCTGAATTAATTATACCAGAATAGTGTTGTGCCTGGTTCTATCCATCTCCTCTAGCAGGTTGCCCTAGAGCGAATGCTTTCCAACAGAAAATGGCAATTGTACCCTGCAGAGATGATGATGACCAAACTTTGCTCGCTTACACAATTTCCATGGTTCATCTGAAAGTCATGCATTGTTTGATTTACAGCTTTTATCTTGTTCTTACTCTCAAGGTAGCATAGATTCATTATCAGGGCACTCACCCATGCAAACTTATCGGGGACTCCCTATGAAATCACCTAGGCTTGGCGATGCAATGAAACACTGATGAATTGTTCATTTTTATTTCTGCCATGGCTAAGCATTTAAGGGAGGGGGCGGAGGGTCAAAGTACATCACCCAAAATAAGTCTGCATCCCTGGAAAGGGCATTTTCCAATAATCAAGCTCCAAGCCACTGGCTGTCTTGTCCATGCTAGTAAAATATTAACAGAGGTATCTGGTTGTCATGGCAAGATGAGAGGTGGTTCTGGACGTAATCTCATTTGGGGGGTGGAGGGGAGATGCAGAAAAATGAGATCATGACAATGTCGGCATATAAATGATCGGAGCATGAGTTAGCTGGCAGACTGCAACCTCTGTGAAGGAGACCGTACCAAGTGGGAATTGGAGACACAAGCGGATTGGGTTAAAATAAACCAAGAAGTTTTTGTCTTTCAATACTAAAGGGATCCAGGGAAAGTTTTATTTCTTTGCTCATTCTTCCCTAGTGGTGCCTGCGCTATAGTTTTGGAAACATGTGTTGTGGAGGGTGTGCAAAGTGCCTTGGAGGTACTCTCATTCCTCTGGCCGTGCTATGTACCCTTGCTAATATTTTGTTGTTTTTCCCCGGAGGAGAGGTCGAAACCGGTGACCATATTTCAGATGAAGTTTGGTACTTTGGAGGGATCTTGGGTTCTGGTGTACTGGTGAGTAGGACAACGCATTATGTTCTTCTCATTTTTATTACTGCCTTGAGCTTTACAGTGAGCAGAAATCCGACTACATTATGGGTGTGGTGGACAGTCTGTGTTGGAAATTAGATTGCCAATGCGTTGAGTATGCAAGCTGGAAATTCAAACAGATTAACTTGAAAACTAATTGAATAGTCTATTACGAAAGTAGACGACTTGCCTATTATGTTAAAAACAAGACAGACATGTACTGCTGAGATGCCTCTAATAAGTCCAGAAGCATTGCTCTGCGAGATTAGACCAGTGTTTCAATTGATTGATGGATATTAATTGATTGATTGATTGATTGATTGATTGAAAGCTTTTATATGCTAATATTTTAAAGATCTTTCTAAGTGATGTACAACATAAAAAAATGAACAATATCATTAAAAGAAAAATACAAAATAAAACCAGTATAACAGTAGTATAACAGCACATGAAAATAAATAAAAGCAAGAAATTGGGGTATTCAAATGCAAATATCAGGGTCCGATCTTATGGGTCAGGCAAAAATATATGTCTTTCCTAGAGGTTTGAAGCAACGAATGGTTGTTTCTTTGTCTATGGCAGAGGGAAGGGCATTCCATAATACAGGGACAATGACAGCAAATGCCTGTTTTTGGGTCACCACCCTACAATATTCTTGGGCACAGAGTTGAATTTCCTGAGACAGTCTTCTAGGTGACCTGGTCTTACATTCCTACCAGTCCAGCATTACTTAGTTTACAGCAATAGCCAATACAGCTGAGGTTTCTTAATTAAAATTACTTCTTTGGGTGCTGGGACATTTGCAGCCGAGCTTTGTACCTTGTAAAATTTGAAAGTAAGTCCCAGTGCATTCCATGGCACCGATACCTAAATGAAATTTGGTGAGGATTCCATTGTTGCGCTACAGTGATCCTGCTGCTTCCTCTGAGAGTAGACCTGCCAGATGCAAATGCTGGGTTTGGAAAAAGACGGTAGACATTTTAGAAGAAATATAGTGATCTTAGGAACGACCGAGCCTCAAAGTGCATTTTCTGTTGTCATCAGATGGTATTTCCTGCTTTAGTCTTCCTGGGTCTTAAGAATAATGATTGCTGTGGCTGCTGTGGTAATGAAGGTTGTGGAAAGAGGTTTGCAGTAAGTATAAAAGCAATGCCCTCCAACATCTCGCTGTCATTCCTCACCCCACCCCTAGCATTTGCCTCCTGAGGCGGCTGCCTTACTCTTATCTAATGATAGGGCTGGCCCTTAACATCACTGAAGCGACTCTCTCAAGGCCAAAGGGTTGAGAACCTCACTTGTGACTTCTGCCAGCGTAGGAAGCTGGTCTGGTGAGGTGGAGACACACAGCAACAGGACTGGCACAAATGCCACTTACTGAGAGGGTGGGGGGAGCAGGGGTAAGATCAGGGTTGTGTGTGTGCCCAGGTGGTGCCACTCCTTTCGTTCCGCTCGCACAGTCCTGGCCTCGACACCATTTATCTCCTGATAAGCAGGATAGACTTTGGTGTTCCTGGCGCCAGGAGGTTGGTGCTTGAGCGACTCATGCCCACAGGATCAGGAGAAGTCTGTGGATTTGGATAAGGTGACTCTCTGATGCACTTCCCTGTGCGCCATCTGTGAGTCATCAAAACTGCAAACATGCCAGATGGATTTTTAGGATGGACTTTGGCTTTGACCTTTTGCTCGTTCTTGGCAGATGTTTACTTCCGTAATATTTGCGGCAGTTGGAGTTGTGGGGGCTGGATACAGCTTTGTTGTGTCGGCTGTCGCCATGAACAGAGGCCCTAAGTGTCAGGTAGCAAACAGCACCTGGATGTATCCCTTTGAAAACGGGTAAGATGTTTTTTTCAACCTCTGGATAGATTCTCCATCTCTACTGGAAGGGTTCTTGCTTTCTCGTCTTGATCTATAAATCCTGCAGCAAAGTGCTTACCAAATATTATGAGCCACTGGATGGCCTCCAACCATCAGTTTTTCAAAGAGCAACTTGTAAGGCTGAGCAATCACATTTCTGACTGGCGGTAGGAGTTTTCCTCATCGTCTGGGTGGACAAAGTCAGCAGAGCCTTTTCAGTGGTGGCACTCAAGATTATGAAATGCCTTGCAGCTGGCCCCCACCTTCACTTCTCCCCACACCAGTTAGTTACTAAAGACTATTTTATTCCACCTGGCTTGTAGTTTAAGAAGCAGACAATGGGCGGCATCCATAAAATGCTTCCACTAGATGTTTTCTTGCACAATGGAACTTCTCCTCTCCTGTCCCCATGTGCCCTCTTTTCCCCCTCCCCATAAGTCTGCTCCAAAAGGTTGAGGAACAGACTGAAAGGGCACATGAGGAGAGGAAGGGAAAGTTCTGTCATGGGCTACTTTGTTAGAGACCACCCAATGCTTTTAAACATTTTAAGACAGCAAAACCTGTGTCTCTTCCATCCTTGTTTCATAAATTGTAGTGTTTGAAGTTGTAAGGCACCTTGAGTGGCGTTTTTACAGTGCAAGGGTGAAACGAGCCATTCCTACAGGTGGCAAGAAGTTCCAGAGGAGCAGTGCTTACCCAGCTTTGGATACCTATGAGAGGAAATCATTGGAGCATTACTCCCAATTAATATATATATATTGTTTTCATTTACAAGTGTACTGCTTGAGTATAGTTGAGGCACAGCTTAAACAGCCAAAGTTCACTGCTCCCATGTCAGAGAGAGACAGCCAGCACCCCAAATCCTTCCAGAATCCAGAACTCACTTATTTGTGTGTCTCTCAGTCTCCGTTAGAAGTGCAACCTGCCTCTTATTTCCTTTAACCTACCTGAGACACATGCCACACCACTGAATATTACAGGATAACAATTTGCTTGCATTTGAATGAGAAACTACTTAATTCCGCATTTCCTGAAACAATATGCAAACTAAAGCAGCTATCCTTCAAAATTCGCACTTCTCTCTCTCTCTTTTTGCAGCACACTTCTCCAAGGCAAACAATGTGTACAAAAATGCATATCTTACAGGGAAGCGTGCATAAAAAGCATACGTGCTTGAAAATAGCATATAGGAATGCATTATGGTACGGAAAGCGTATTGCCAAAATGTGTATATTAGGAGAAACTGAACAAAGATGTGTTTATCGGGGAAAATTTGCACTGAAACGCAGGAGTTTCATGAGGATTAAGAAAAAATTTCTGCAGAAATGTGGAGTGTTGAATTAAAGATTGACTGGGGGGTGGGGAATATGAGAAACTGACAGTTAAATTGAGAGGTTTGTCCATTTCTGAAAGTGCTGGCCAGGTGTTCCCTCACAATGATAGCCTTACTGACAGAAATATAATAGAAAATCAATAAAACTTCTTTTTCGGGCACAGGCTGTATCTGACGGACCATACGTTATGGGAAGACTGCAGATTTCCAGAGTCCATCGTGCCCTGGAACTTGACTCTGTTCTCTCTACTGCTGATAATGAGCGGAGCTCAACTGGTGCTGTGTGGCATCCAAGTTATCAACGGACTCCTCGGAACGCTGTGCGGGGACTGTAAATGCGGATGCTGTGGGGTAAGATGCTTTCGTTGGTAGCAACATGTATGAGCATTCCTGGTTCCTTTCCCCCTTTGCCAATTGGGTTAACCAGCTGCTTACAGTCAAGGCCAGCCTAAGACATTTTGCTGCCCGAGGCAAAGTAGACATACTGAAGCTGACCCAACCAACCATTTGACCTTACTTCGCACTTCCCCCGCGGTAGGGAAACTCTAGCTTGCAGGCCAGTCTTGACCCACACGGATCCCAGTTTCACCTGCAGTGCCTTCCCCCCCTTCAAAACATCACCCACTTGTCAATCAGCTGGCATCACTCTGAATGATGAGAGTCAACGAGCAGAGGATGAGATTCAATTCTTAAGTTGCGCATGTCAGTTCCTCACAGGGAATTGACTCATGCAGCCAAGGCACCAGGATTTAACTCCCCCCCCCCACTTAACAGCTGATGAATGGGGGGATTAAATCCTGCTTCCTGGTTGAGGTGGTGGTGGTTTACATCCTGCTCAGTTCAACTAGGATTTAGTGAAATCCTTTTCCTGGAGCAGGACTTTGTTTAATTCAGAGCCCATGATAAAACAATTTTCCTTCCTCCATTTTAGTGACATGTGATTGATGGCCCTGCAAAACTGTCAATATGGCCCACAAGGGTTAAAATATGGCCCATGGAGCAAAAAAAGGGGGGGGTTCCCCACCCCTTTCTACTAATGATAGAGCCGGCCCTACCTATGGTGTTTGTTAGTATTAACCATGCATTTTCCAATACAAACAAATGCACAAAATGTTCCCCATAGCCTTGAAATTGCAAGGAAGGGGGGATGAACAAGCTGTCCTCTAATTCCCAGCATACTGTGGACCTTTATATGGGAAGCAGACTTATCCGTCATTTAACAGTTGGAGGGGGTCTTGTCCATGTAGTCCAACCCCTTGTTTGATTGAGAAAACCCAGAGCTAGAGCCTCCCTAAGAAGCAATTGCCTGTCCTGTGCTTGAAGACCTCAAGCAACCACCTTGCTAGGAAATTTGTTCCAATGTCACACGGCTCTTACCGTCGAGATGTTTCTCCCTTCATGAAGTCAATATGCATTCAGATAGAGGTGATCCATTAAATACACTGTATGCTTAAGATTTGGGCTGTGTATACATGGCTGGCTGGTTTAGGGGGAAACTCATCAAAATACAGAATTTTCATAAGGAACAACAACAAAAAAGATACAGAATAAATATGCACCAATGTCATGTGCACACCACTTTCCAAATCAGCTATGGGAGCATAGAGTAACCCCCCCAAAAAAGCTTTAAATTAAAAAGCTATAAATTTAAGGCAACCTAGTATGAGAGCCCAAACTATGGACAAGCTGGGAGCTTCAGCTGATGGATTCTCATCCTGAGTAAACTTAGCAGTCATGGAATAAGAAGCGAGGTCCTCTTATGGAGCAGTAAGTGGTTAAAGATCAAGAGGCAGAGAGCAGGAACATATGGGATAGTTCTCCCAAAGGAGAGAAGTGAGAAGTGGGGTCCTCCAAGGATCAGTATTTGCAGCCATGCTTTTCACCTTGTTTCTAAATGACTTGGTGCTAGGGGTGAGCACTGAGATGGCCCCTGTTTGCTAATGGCACTAAAGTGTCCCAAGGTGGTAAGGACTAAAAAGGGATCACAAGGAGCTCCAAAAGGATCTTTCTAAAACAGTTGAATAGGCATTAAAATGCACGTGTGGTTTAGTCTCACTGCAATCAAGTATAAGAGACGCGGGTGGCGCTGTGGGTTAAACCACAGAGCGTAGGACTTGCCGATCAGAAGGTCAGCGGTTCGAATCCCTGTGACAGGGTGAGCTCCCGTTCCTCGGTCCCTGCTTCTGCCCAGCTAGCAGTTCAAAAGCATGTCAAAGTACAAGTAGATAAATAGGTACCGCTCTGGCGGGAAGGTAAACAGTGTTTCCGTGCGCTGCTCTGGTTCACCAGAAGCGGCTTAGTCATGCTGGCCACATGGCCCGGAAGCTGTATGCCGGCTCCCTCGGCCAATAAAGCAAGATGAGCGCCGCAATCCCAGAGTGGGCCACGACTGGACCTAATGGTCAGGGGTCCCTTTACCTTTACCTTTAAGCAAGTATAAAGTGTAAGCTGGGGAGGAATAGCAAATATGCACAAGCAGGTTTGTTGCAAACTCGCAACAGTCATTTAAACAAAAAACAGAACCCTGCCGGAAGACTTAACAGCATGGGAGCATAACTGGAGGCTGACTGAGAAGTGTCAAAATAAGGCTCCTCCTAGCTTTGCCAAATAGAGAATGAAAGATATGACCAAATATCATGATGATTAGCCTTTACTCTTGTCAACCAGTGTATAAGAATTCATTTCCCTCTTATCTTTTCTTTTAGGGAGATGGAGCAGTTTAAATATACAGAAACTGCAGAAATCACCTCTTACAAGGCCGAAAATGCCCTACCAGACCTTGATATGATGGGCCAAATCAAGTCCGCACTAAGCACATCTAGAATGAAGGGTGTTAGAAAGAGCCCTGACGGCATTTTCCCTTCACATCTCCCAATGAGTTTTGCAACTGTTTGGGCTATATAGCAGGGGTGAGAAGAAAATGTCCAGCCCAAGGACTTCGTTCCCTCTTGGCCAACCCTACCAAACCACACACACATGCATGCAGACACATCAGCTGTCCGCCCGACCCTATAAAGACATTTTAGCCCTTTTCAGGTCTCATTGCTGGACCCGTGGCAGAAATCTTCCTGGAGACTGCCGCTGGGCAAAGAGGTTTAATCTTTCCCAGCTTCCCCCAACTATGCCCTCCATACTGCAAGAAGGCTTTGTCCAAGCCTAATTGCAGTGAGGGAGAGGCAGTGGGAATGGGGGTGCTGGGTGGGGTGCTTGCAAGAACAGTGGTTTAATTAGGGTTGCTGTGTAAGGACCTGGGCAGCCTTTTTAAAAAATGAAAAGCCAGCCAGTTGATTTTTGTCTACTTCGATACAACCCCAAAATTAGAATTTATGGCCTTGAAATGTTGGCAACCCAGAAGCATCTCCCTGCTCCTCTTTCCCCCCAGCTGGGGGAGTTACTTTTACGTGAATACTGACCTCCCTATCACCACTTATAATATAAATCTGGGATGGGGAACATTGTTCAGCCTGAGGGCCATGTTTTATTCTGTGTAACCTTGTGAGGGCCAAACGCCAGTGGGGTGAGGGCCAGAGACAAAAGTGGGTGGGGTCAAGAATGTAAATGCCGTCTTTGTACAGTTTCTACAGCCACCCCTCTGTTCTCCACTCAGGCGAGGAAGAGGCCTTGTCAAAGGTCCAGGGCACGTTCCAGCCAGGCACAAACAGTAAAGGAGGGTGTGAAGCTGGCCCAGTGAAGGTTGTGGCCTGCAGAGTCCCAAGGGCCAGAGAAAGAGGTCTGAAGGGTTACGCTTGCCTCCTAGATCTGAGGTTTCCCACCTCTGCTATAATTATGCTGAGTCTTGTTTGCCACGTGGAAAGATGACAACCCCCATGCTTCCAGAACTGAAGCATAACTGTAGACTTCCTGACTGGATTTGGGGTGGCCAAGAGAGCCAATATTTGTATACACCACATCCCAATGAGGCTTTTGTGCTCTTGATTACTACATGTCAGGAGAAGTTTAGCAGAGGCAGCTGTATTGCAGTGAGAAAAGCTGCTGCTCCTCCTCCTCCTTTTGGACATGTCTGTTATAGGCACAGAACCTTCCTTTGAATTGATTTTTTGCTCATAAGGTTGCCAGATAATTTCTGGGCTTGCTCCTGTGCTTCTAAAAGCAGCGTTGCAAAGAACTTCTAGAAATAGCACAGGGATTGGAAAGCTATGGTCCTTTGTTGTCTTCCCTGGCCATGGTCCATGCTGCCAGAAGTTGATGGGAGTTGCAGTCCAACAACATCTGGAGGGTCATAGGTTCCCCAGTCCTAAAGCAGAGGTCTTCTTTGGCATGAGGGTTTAAGTGCTGAAGGAAAGCTTCAGCTTTCTGCATCTTTGAAGACACGGGAGCAAAACTAAGGGGGAAAGCTGTCAGCTCTGGCCAAACATATTTGTGAGCTTCTGTTGATTATTAGCAGCTAATACAAATTCTGATGTTATTTTAATGATTGCCCCCGATTTATTTTATGCTCATGGAATTACAATTCTGTGACACAAATATTTCACTGTATATATTAAGACCTTTGTGCTGGGGTGGGGTTGTGTGCATGATATGCAAATAATTAAAGTGTTTTTCAATTTTCTTTTTCGGTATAAACTTTGTGTGTGTTCTGAATGTTGCGACTCGGGTTTCTTTTTCGCTGACATTCGGTATCCGTCTTTCTGAGAGCACCCCATACCTATGCATGTTTACTTGCAAGACCCAGTGTCTTCATGGGATGATGACTTTGAGCCTGAAGTTCCATCAACCCTGGTTTCCCATTCAAATTAGTCAGTGTAGACAATACAGAACTAGCTGGTCCAATGATCTGAATCAGTGTAAGGCAGCTGCCTCTGTTCCTGGGTCCCTAATTTTGTTGACACCACAGGCTCACTGAGCATGGAAAGTTCAATACAGATTTATTGCCAGCTCTGTTTCTCTCCATGGTAGGTCCCCAAAATTGGCTGATCTTGGAGTAGATTGGAGGTGGCCTTGCTGGATCTGAAACCCCTTCATTCACTCAAAAGGCTCCAGGGCTGAACCCACCATCTATGCCTAACCAGAGCTGGGATAGTTACTTTCCTCACACTGGTTTCATTGGGGGTGTAGTGTTTAAAACAAGTATCTGCTAGACCTTTTCCTGGGACCACACACACACAATATTCTTGCCATGGGTAGTGCATGGCAGCATAGATTTGGGAGTAATGGGACTCTCTGCCACTTCACGCACATCCCCCCAAGACAGGATTGCTCAGCCTAACATCAAAGTGGACCACAGAGATCTGATATCTTGAGAAAGCCCATCCTCCTTGTCTAGGGCTCAAGCGTGAATATCCAACATCTTCTACAGAAGAATGGGGAAAAGCAACCCATTTTTCAATCTGTTCCAGCATTCGTGTTATTCGGACAGCTATCCATGTTGGCAAGCAAAGCACAGAAACAGACCTGAACAGGAAGGTGAAAGCCCATTACCTTCAAAAGCAGATTCCCTCAGGTCTCAGGTTTTCTTTGCATGGTTAAGAACTGGGTTATCTGAGGCCACAAACGTCTGTAGTCAGAGACTTCTGTCAAGTTCTCAAATCACAAAGGCAGCTAGCAAAACCATTTACAACAGCAGCGCCACAAGGCAAATAACCTAGAGTCACCGAAATGCTCCCAGAAATATCATCTGAGCAATAATGATCTCAGAAATGCCACATTTCGAACATTTAATTGCAATACAGCTGGGAAGGAAGAAATGTACTGCCCTCTTGTGACTTGGCCCCATAAATAAAAATGAAGTCAGTTTTAGCTTGGCAGCATCTTCTGGTGCTTTTCGCTTTCCTGAGTGTTCTACCCCTGGGAACGTACCTTGTTGAGAGAGCACAGGAGTCGTTCCAGCTTGAACAAAGCCATCTCCAGGCATGTCTTGATGTATTAGGGAAACAGAAAATAGTATGAACAAGTTCGTCAAGTACATATTAGGTTGCCAACTCTTCTCTCCCAGTCTCATTTTCTGTGCCTGTATAATGGCAACCCGTCACGTACAAATTAACGAGATGCTTTCCCCCTCTGCCAGGAGAAACTTCGGACGATTGGTTTAATCGTCATGCTCTCGTTGCTAAAACAGAGGTATCAGACCTAGCTTCATGCCAAATGAAAGAACCATTATCTTCGTTTTCTTTCTAGTCACAATATACAAGCTCAATTAGAGAAAGGAAGGACTGGACCTCGTTGGCTTTGCATGCCGGACCTCTCTGGTAGGCATCACTAGGTAGTTAAGAAATACACCTGCCTGTAGCAATAGAGAGCAGCAGCTGCCGGTCAGTGTAAGGCAATACCAAGATAAATGGGCCAATGGTCTGATTTGATAGAAGGGAGTTTCCTATGAAGTTCTACCCCCATCCCCAAGAGTGACTGGACGCTATTACATCAACAAGTACATAGATTGGAAGTTTAAATCCATTTCTATTTTATTTTATTTTTTTCTTGTACAATATTAAAAGAAATATTTATTTTTTTTAAAAAAAGAAAACCAGAACCAAACTCTGGATACAACCGTTTGATCTGATTGAATTTTGAAGCATACGCTATGTATGCAAATCATTCTACATTGAAAAACAAATGCTCACACAAGATGGCATATAGCATAACAAACTGATGTAAATAAAATAAAAAAAGTATTAAAGTATTAGCACATAACATGGATGTAGTGTATTAAGAAAACTGAAACATGTGTTTCATCACCCATTTCCCTTACTGAAAACAGAGACTAGTCCCTCCCACCCAACTCTTAAAAAAACAACACAAAAAAACCGCATTTGTTTTCATGAAGCCTTCTTTCCCAATAGTTACCTTCTAGTGCAGCGGTTTTCAAACTTCTGCCTTTAGGGAATCCTTTTTTTCGTTGGCTGAGGGACTCTGGCAAACCTGCTACATAACCCCTAGTTGCTGCAGAGGATTTTGGGGAAACATTCTAGGGTGTAAACTCAGTGAACACGGGGCACAGACTAGGCCTGTTGGACCTCATTGCCACTTAACATGACCTGAGAACGAACCCTAAAACTCATCCAATACTCCTCTGTTACAGGGGGAGGGAAACGGAGGGTTAATTTTTTACTACCCTTCCATCCCAGTTGTCTTTCAAGAAGCTTCCCTCATAATGACCCTGAGATGTAGGTTAGGCTGGCCCAAGGCCACCCCTGGTGCTTCACAGCTCACCAAAGACTCCTGAGCAAGCTTAGCAGTCAAGGAATAAGAGGCAAAATCCCCTTGTGGATCAGGAATTGGTTAAGTAACAGGAAGCTACTAGCCATGATGTCTGGGCTTTCTATCTGCACAGTCAGAGGCTGCAGTGCTTCTGAATACCAGTTGTCAGAAACCACAGGAAAGGAGAAGGCTCTCGTTCTACTCCCTGGTTTCTCATAGGCATCTGGTCGGCCACTGTGAGAACAGGATGCTGGACTAGATGGGCCACTGACCTGATCCAGATGGCTATTATTAAGTTCTTATGAAGCAGGGAGAAAGAATAGATGGATAAGTTTTCCATATGGAAGGATGTAGGAAGTGGGGTCCTCCAAAGACCATATACAATCTAGAGTTAGGAGTGAGCAAGTGAGATGGCCTAGTTTGCTGATGATATTTAAGTGTTCAGGGTGGTTAAAACAAACAAACAAAAAAGGGTGTGTGTGTGAAGAACTCCAAAAGGACCACTCCACACCAGTGTGGTGTAGTGGTTAAGAGCGGTAGACTCGTAATCTGGTGAACCGGGTTCGCGTCCCCGCTCCTCCACATGCAGCTGCTGGGTGACCTTGGGCCAGTCACACTTCTTTGAAGTCTCTCAGCCCCACTCACCTCACAGAGTGTTTGTTGTGAGGGAGGAAGGGAAAGGAGATTGTTAGCCACTTTGAGACTCCTTCGGGTAGTGATAAGGTGGGATATCAAATCCAAACTCCTCCTCCTCCGTGGTAAGATGCTAAATGCAATTCAATGTAAACAAGTGGAAAGGCACAAAAAAACGTATTAATTTCACATATGTACTCATAGGGTCTGTACTGGAGCAGGACTATGGATTCATAGTGGATAGCTCCATGAAAATGTTGACCCAGTGTGTGGCAGCTGTGAAGAAAGCAAATTCCATGCCAATAGGTCAATAGGAAATGAAATGAAACCTGCCATTATAATAATGCTGCTACCTCAAAAAGGTTGGGAAAAGTTCGAAAGACTTGGAAAAAGTTCAGAAAAGGGCAGCCGGTACGATCAAGATGATGGAGCAAGAGCCCACCAGGAAAGGTTACAGCATTAGAGACTTTTTAATTTGCAAGTAAGAGGCGACAATGATAGAAGCGCACAGCATGGAGAAAGTAGATGGCGTCAAGTGTTTCTCCCTGTCTCCTAACATTAGAATTTGTGGACATACAACGAAGATGAATGTTGAAAGATAAGAGAAAGTTAAAACTATGAAATCCACTCCCACATGAGGCAGTGATGTCCATCAACTTGGATGACTTTAAAAATTTAGGCAAATTCATGGATAAAACTATCAGTGGCTATGAACCCCAATGTTTTGCCTCCGAATACCAGTTGCTGGAAATCGCTGGAAGGGAGAGTACTGTTGCTGTCAAGGTTTTGCTTTCCTGTGGACATCTGGTTGGCCACTGTGAAAACAGCTTTCTGGACAACATGGTCAACTGGACTGATCCAGTAGGACAATTCTTCAGTTCTTATGGCTGAGTGGGGGTTTGAACCTTGGTCTCCCGAGTCCTAGTCCAACACTCTAACCTCTACGCTGCGCTGGCTCTACACGCAAGGTGGCAGGTCTTCTCTCTTTCATGCTGGGTCATCCACCATTACTTATGGTCTCATTGAGGAGCTCCTGAAAGGTACCCCAGGCTTCCCTTTAGCGCCGTTTGAAAACCACTGCTTTTAACAGCACAACTGGGTGACAAGTAATCAGCACCTCACCATTTGCATATAAATCAGCATTTACATATGAAGTCACTCAACCTTTCTGATCGACTCGGTGCCACTCGCATATCCGTTCATTGTCGATACAAGTAGTGTAAAAAAATTAAAATTGGGTTTCACAAGCCAAAAGTCACATGTCAACGTTTTGTCAAATAATTAACAATAGATTCCATTAGAAATAACTCTGTGTTTGCAAGCCTTTTTTAAAATTAAAAAAAAAAGTATTTGAAAATAGGGCTTCAATGAAAGCCCCTGTTCTCTCCCCCATCCCTAAAACACACACACACACACACACTTCTCTGAATATTAGAACAACACCCCCCCTCAAAATCTTCACTGTCGTTTGGTTCATTGCTTAATTTTTTAAAAAAACAAGTTTCTGGCAGTTGTTTTACAATAGTAGTTAATGTTTTAACTGCAGCTTTCACCACAGCATAACACACACTGCCTTTTAAATCACAGTCACAGGGAACCAGAGGTTGTAGAAGCCCAGAAGGTCCCCCTCTCAGGCCTGATTCTTAGCTCTCACAGTATAGCTCTGAATGAGACTCCCCCACCCACTGGTGGCCTCCAGACATTGCAGGACTCCAGCTCCCATCAGCCTCAGCCAGCCTGGCTGATGCTCAGGGATGACTGGAGCAAACATCTGACAGCCCCGAGGATGGAGAAGGTTGCTCTAAACTCTCCAGTGGAGATACTCCTTATTCTACAATCCTAAGCGTGTCTACTGGAAAGTAAATAAGCCCCACTGAGTTCCACAGGACTTGCTTCCAGGTAAGTGTGCTTAGAACTGCAAACTTAAACCAAGCATACTTTCCTAATCAAAATGTGCCCCTCTTCACTTTAAGCTACTTCAGACAAGAGGGAAGTGGAGCAAAGAACAGCATAATTACTTTCTCCCAGGTTTTCCCATGTTCACAGCCCCCCGTCCAAAGATCTGGAGGTGCTCCAATAATAAAATGAACATCCCCATTGACTTCTATGGAGGAGTTCGCTCTGCTCGGTCAAAGGGATGCAGGGATGGAGATGTCCCTTCCACAGAAATGAATGGGAAAGACCTTGGTGCATACCATGTGGTTCACACACAGGATATGCTGCTTCCAAATCAGGTTTGTTCTAGAAATGGCACCACTTGCCCTGAATTTTGCCTCCCTCTTTGGGATGGTGTCCTTGGCACAAGGCAATACATTAATTATCCTTGCTGTTGCAACCTCTGACCCGGAATTTCTTGAGCACCTCTTCTGCCACCAAGTTCCTTCCCTAACCTGACCCCCGCTTTATATAGATGTGAACACTTTCTGGGAAATGAGTGAAGGGGATTTTCCACTCCCTGAAACGAATTGTTGGTGGGTATTTTGGATGTACAAACCAGCACGTGAAGTCCTTTCCCCTTTTCCTATGGCTAATGAAAATTTGGAGCTGGTCTTTCAAGTCTAAACTTATGTGGTCAGATCCCCACCCCCCCACGGATAAGCCAGCCCCTCTTCATTCAAGCCTCAAATCTCAGATATGATCGTCCAAGTATGGCCAGATCTTATCTTGGATGCAGCAGGGAACCATGGGGTTGTTTTCACATATTGTAAGCGAGCACGAAGCCCCTAACTGGAGAACAATGATTTACATTAGATTTGGAGCTGGCCCTGGATATTGTCTGCTTTCTGAGCATTTTCAGCCCCCCCCCCAAAAATACTAAGAGAATAAACACCTTAGGACTGCCTGATTTGCATTTTATGGCCGATATCTATAAATAATAGGAAAACCCAGGGTCACTGTTTGAAGATGTGCTTTCTACTTTGTTAATAACCAACTATATATGGTAAGCCAGCCAAGGAGAGGAAAGCCCTTTAAGAGAAGGGCACAGGGAATGCCCATTAACTGAAAATATACTCTGTGGGTGCAACGATCTGCTAAAATGAACGGAACTCACAAATGCCTAGCTTTCTACCTGTCTTCTCACCCACCCCGGCTCTATGAGTCAAATAATGAACTTTTTACCTTTCATCATCCACATCTTAAAATATTTATAATAATAATAGTAATAATAATAATAAACCTAACAAGCCTGGTGCGGTCAGATCAGCTACCTTGCAACAATTCTCCCATAAGGTAGTATTCACAGGTATTGATTTGATCAGTGGTGGTTCCACATATAGTCAGTTTCCATGACCTGCACTTCTAAACACTCCAGCACTGCTATTTCCCGTTACAACCAATCTCCTTCCAAGCCCAAATTCTGACGACTTCAACCTCCCCACCCATTTCACCTGCCTTTTTTCTTCAACTAGTCTAAAGAGAGGGGTGGGCAGAGGGGACCCATTCACTGTCCAACATTGTGCTATAGCATCCCTTCGCCAAGCTGGTGCCCACCAGGTGTTTCAGACTAGAATTCCCATTGGCCTCAGCCAGCATGAGTTGGCAAAGGTTAGTATGCTACAGCAATGGTTTCTTACTCTTAAAACTAATGCACAGCAAAGTGCTATGCCTCTTGCCTGCCCTGCCTATTGTGTATTAAGAGGCTCGCACGAATTATAATGCCTTCTATAAAAAGATGATTTTTTTTTTCAATATAAAAAAAAGCTTAAAATTCATAATTATAAATAATATCAGTTAAAAATACTTAAGGATCTCAGGACGTCATTTGCATTTCAGGGGAAGTGGAGATTGAAGTCCTTGATGCATTCTCAGTCCCACATATCAAGCTGTTTTTAATAAAGCAACCCTATATATGAATATTATAGGTATGGAGTACAACATGTATAGTGCCTTGTGTCCCATTAAGTCAAGAATAAAAAAAGCCATTGGGTAAAGAATCCTCAGCAACTTTGCCAGGCTGACAAATAGATGCTGGCTTATCACCTATATGATAATGTGAGACTCCTGTTTCTAGCTTCTTTAAAAATTTCAACGACAAAATAATTACTAAAAATAAAGAGAAGATAATGAGGCTTTACAAAATTAATTCTTACTGCATTCAGAAGTGTCAAACCTGTGCCGTATTTTTATCCTGAATTTTGGAGGGGGAGGGGGAAGGTGTTCTGTTGAGTGCCCGCTTTGTGCAGACTAAAAGCTGCAAGAAAACCATGTACTGTTGCAGAATTGTAGTGAATATTAAGCACCTACATATAAAGTGTACTTCTTAGGGGGAAAAACACTTTCATAATCACATTTTTAGTGTTATATATATATATATAAATGTCTGTGCGTGTGTATATATAAAATGGCAGCAATTAGTACCAAACTGGTCTATTTTACAATATTGTAGTAGTGTAAAAAAAAAAATTGTAATTAAAACATTTCACCTACAAACCATTCAATAATATATTGTGGGGGTGAGGTGGGGAGGAAATGCAAATAGTATTGTTTGTGGATTTGCAAAAAATCTGGTTCTGGAGCCTTGTGGCTAATTAGAATTTTTTAAAAAAAATGTTTTCCATACAGCCCAAGTTCACTTTTAAAAATGCAATGATTTTTTAAAGCTCAAGTTATATAAGATGAGAAGCATTTGGTACTATTGTCATAAATACAGCTGTAGAACTGCACTCAACCTGATAACGTGCAGGATTTTTGGAACTAAGCTGCCTTCTTACAATCTAAAGCTTCTTCTGGTCAGATTTATTTTATTTTCTTATTATTTGCTAAACTTGTTGTGTGTAACTGATGGCTGTTAAGTTCAGCTATGCACCAAAAGACAAAGAGAACCGCTCATATGTAACTAAAGAGGAAAGGTTATAGATGCATATATAAGCAGTTCTACTTTAAATATATATATATATATATATCTATATATTTCATACTTAAGTTACTGTCAGTGAAATCTAGACCGAGATTCACTGATTAAAAGGGTCTCGCAGACGTCGGTAAGGCACCAAGGATGGCTAACTGAGAGGCTTGAGGATGCTCTGCCCTTATTTTTTGTTTTGCTAGGAGGAAAAGAAAACGTTGCATTATCAGTTACAGCCAGGTGAGAAAGGGCTCGTTTTTGTTGAGGACCGATTCTACATCGTTGAGGATGGGGATCAGGTCTTCAGATTCCAATGTCCCAAGGTCAACGTTTGTTCCTGGAAGACAGTCAAGGAAGTCGGGGAAACGGGTCTGTGGTGGGTTGATATTCAGGGGAGTCTGTGCTACATTATCTCCTGCAAAAGAAGAGAAGGAATCAGTGAGGTGGGAGCTTCTTAACCAGGAAATTATTCGGCCTTTGATGGCAAATCAGCCGCTGTTAGCTACTGGTAGACTTTGTTGCTCTCTCAGCTTCCATCTCCCAATCCAGACTCCCTGGGTACTTTAGTGTGGCTTAGTGGTCACAGTGTTCGACCTGGGAGACCTCTGCTCAAATCCCTACTCAGCCATGAAGCTCACTGGGTGATCATGTAGCTCAACCTACCTCACAAGGTTGTTGTGAGGATAAAATGGGGAGGGATAGAACCATGTATGAGCTCTTTGGAGAAAAGGTGGAGTGCCAATGTAATAATAATAATAATAATAATAATAATATAATATTTGGTGGGGCTCAACTTTCAAAACGATATAGCTCACACCCTAATCAGTGCTTGGATGGCAAAACCACACTTCATTTCTCACTAACACCAAATGTAGTTACAGGACAGAGGTTTCCCTGTGTCGGTATCTGTGAAGACCCATCGGGGATCACATTTCCAAAAGACCATCACAACTTTTGATTTCTAGTAGGCCGGAGAATACCTTCCAGAGGCAAACCCTCAAATCTGTTTCAGAAGTTCTTGTTGAACATGGAATCAGGTTCTCTCATGTAAACGACCAGCTGGAGAAGAGAGCACCTCTGATCATGTGCAGAGTACCTGTTCTGCACTCCTGCGTCGCCAGTGCCAGCCCCACCCATGCCAAGGGGTTAATGGAAGGACTGATAGCTCAAATTACAGGTGGGGTCAGAATAGGGTTCCTTCACCTTTGCAATGGGCCCCATTGCTCTCTGTTTTAGAAGGGTATAGGGAGCTATGGTTTGGTTAAAACTGGAGGGAGTCAAGGAGGGACACTTGTGGGTTTTATTAAGGGCCTCCCTACCTCCCCCCCCCCAATAATGAACCCCAGACCCCACTCTTCTTGTGCCCACACGAAAGCATGTGCTCTGCGCAAATGCAAAAGTAACACTGACAGTCAAGCGGATCTCTTAGGGCGTTGCTAAGAAGTATATATATTTTTTTCAAAAATCAAAATGCTTCTCATTCCTACCTGTGTCCATCTCATCTACATTGCTGAGGTAGTCTTCAGGTGTAGTTGGTATGCTGTAACATCCTAAGCCTAGGCCACTGTCTGTGCTCTGCTCCCTGGAATGGTATGGCCCACTATGAATCAAAACATGAAGAAACCTCGGTCAAGGAAGCGCTCATCAGATATATGTCACCAGAATGGCTTTAGGGAAGGACAGCCTGCAGCTAGGCCTGAATGCCCTAGATAGGCCTGAATGTACTCCCATTTGTTTGTAGGTTCCAGCTCACCAGCCTAAAATCTGCTACCTAGCGCAGAATAGGGCGATAAAAGCAAACCTTCTAACCCCTGTGGTTTAGGCAGGTGGGCAGAACATGGCGAGAGCTCAGAAGCCAAACGGAGCTACTGTAAGTATGCGTTAAGGAGAAGGATCGTAATTCGGTGCTTTGCATGCAAAAGGTTCCAGGTCTGATCCCTGTAATCTCTCTCGTTCCTGGCTCTCTTCAGCCTTTGCCAGCACAGTCAAAGGTCAGGGATGATGGGAGAGGCAGCCCAACAATGTCTGGAGTGCCACAGGAGATCCCCATCTCTGCAGTAGGCCATTCTGGGCCAGATGGACATATATTCTGACCTGGCATAAGAAAGCTTCATATATTCATATACTGTACTTTGTGCACTGAACAGCTCCCTCTCCATACCTGCACTGTCCTAATTGCTTTGGCCAGGCTCCCTCCTTCCCATCTGCCCTCCTCCTCCCACTCTTTGCCAAGAATTCCAAATTTATCAATAGCCAGATTCTTGGGAGAAAGCTTATCCATAGAATAAGTAGGCATTGCAAGCAGAAGTGCATGGTGATTTGCAAGTAACCAAATCTGTTCCCAGCCATTCTCCTCTTGGCAGCAACAAAGGCTTTTTTGGGGGGCGGGGGACACGCCACTCCCAGTACTTTAACTGGGAGTCAATAGCAATGATCTCCATGCTAGGGAATCACACCTCCACAAATACGAAATGATGCCAACTGTTGAAAAGCAGCCATGTTGGTCTGCTAAAGCAAAGTTCCCAGCAAGCTTATTAGGACCAGCCAAGGTTCTTAATACGGTGTACATGCTCCCCAGTTACACCAAAGTTGTCCTCAGAACGGATGCCAAACCTGTCCTGTCACACTGGAATGTTCCCAAATCACAAGGATTTTTGGCCAGTTTCTGGCTGATATTTATAAGGTGCAAGTCATACACAGTAAGATCAGAATTGGTCATAGAGGCCTGGTTTGTATGTAACGTTAAACCATAGTTAAAACGAAACTATGGTTTATTGTGAATGTGCAGCATGCTTGTAGACGCTGCTGAAAAGATCCTGCTCCACTCCATTCCTCACTTGCTGCTGGGGAAAAAGTCAGCCTAGCATGTTGTGATGCCAAAACGGCGGGTCATGGTTTGTATATTTCCAAACAAACCTTAAGTACTAAGCCAAGAACAAGCCTTAGTTACTGCTTGTGATTTGTTTGGAGAAGAACACACCACAAACCCAGGTTTGAACGTCATGACACAAGCCGGACTCTGGCTTGCTTCTCAGTGTCCTGGCTGTAACAGGAGCTGGGAAGGATCAGAGCGGGAACTTTTCAGCACTGAGCACGAGCACACTGCCCTGCCACATTAAACCATGCTTTGTTTTTAACTATGGCTTAATGTGATGTGGGAACTGGATCAGAAGGATCAAACACCTGCTTTATCAAAGGGTTTGCATCTTACAAGCAAAGCTGGTGGCTTCTGTCTCGGTCTACAACCCAAAAAGCTAAATGCTTTTGCTAAGAAATCACATGCCTTAGCAGGTATGAGAATTTCAAATGCGGCCTACGCTGCAGAATATAAAAAAATGTTTGTGAGCAAACAGTGTACTTGCCTGTTCAGGAAGGGATCCGACCCATTATTTGTAACAGACCTCATGTCTTGTGTCATGTTAGGAGGTGTGCTCACAGCAGTCTGAACTGGAGCCATGTTCTCAGACTCCATGGGAAGTTGTCTGTACAAATCAGCTTCCTAAAGTAGAAAACGAATACATAACTGTCAGTGCTGGGGCCAGGGGGGCCTGGAAAACAGGTTTCTAGAGGTACGAGTCCCATGTATGCCCCATCCATCCCTATTTACCAGGGATGGTGCCTATTTCCTGCAGCCTGGTCTGGTTTGCTTTGGGGAGGTATTTTGTGCATGTCTTTAAACAAAAAAATTTAAAAACTGCTGGCACACATGTGCTGTAGAATTCTGCAGGGTTCGGCTTGCCCCACATCTCCAACCTCTAGAGGATAAAATGTCTAACTCAGGAACCAAGGCACCTTAGCTCTAGCGCAGGTGGTCTGTGGATCACCAGTGGTCCACAAACTTCTTTCAGGTGTTCAGCGGCATTGTCTGCAAAAGCACCATTTAAAATCATACAGGATCTAGCACTGCACCTTACAATTGCTACAACAGGCAAAAATAATAATCAGTAAGCGGTCCATTAGAAATGTTCCAAGTGATCCGTGGGGACAGGGGGAGTTTGGGAACGACCGCTCAAGTGTACAAGGCATACACATGCATAGACACAAAATTGCTGTGACTTACTAACGGCCTGCAGATCACAAATGTTACAAGGCATTGCAAATATTTTAAGCGGCGATCCTAACTGAATTTAATGGGCCTTACTCCCACATAAACTGTGTTTAATGTTGCATTTTAAATCGTTGTGACCTTCCCTAAGACTGTGTGGCAAAAGGCGGGTAATAAATCAAATTAATAACAACAAACAAACATGCAACAACAAAATGAGGTTAGGATTGCTGGATCTGCCCAGTTTCTTTTTCCAAACCCTGGCCCCTTTTGCTGGAAACAAATACCCTCCGTTATTTCACAGGCTAGAAAAGGAAGGCAGAGGGGTTGGGGAAAGAGGTGATTCATTACATTACAGAATTTCACTAACACAGACATAAGCTTCTCAACAGGCAGTCCCAAAGAAGCAGTTAAAAAATGTCCACATACTGATCTCAGGAGGTGCATCGTTATTTCCTGGAGCGACTTCTGATTTGCAGTGATGTAAGACAATGCAGGAAGCCCGTGATACGAAAGTTAAGACAGCATGCGTGCATCATTTGATTCAATACACCAAGTTTGCCACTCATACCCAGGAACTAGCAAGTGGGTACAATTTGTGCCAGGATGACCTACAGTTAATGTGCAGCAGCACACCTTGTTTCCTTCCCTTTATTTGGAATATAATAACTAACTAAAAGAGGAAGTAAGCATGCAAAACTTCTATACAGGAAGTACATGAGAGAATGCCAGGAATGTCTGTGTTGTTGTTTTTTTTTTTGCAGTGTGACAGTGACACCAAGTGGGTGAAAAGATGATGACACAGGGTGTGTTCCCATTTGTACTTGTATTCCCTAAGGAAAAATAAAAAAGGAACTTCTATTACTGTAATAGGAAAGAGGAGAGAATCCCTATTTCTCTTGAGAGTCGTTTACACAACTGATTGCATACCGATCCAACTACAGATTGTAGCAAAAAAATTATGAAAAGTTAAAAAATATAGCACATTGCAATTCTAAGTTTACAGGTCTGCAAGTTTGTCTGTGGGCATAATCCACTGGGAATTTCTCCTGCATAAACTCACAATTCCCAGAGTTCCCTGTGAACGGATGATGGGAATGTGGGCAATTGAATACTTGTTATTGCTTCACTCCAGATATAATCTTACGCTTGCACCCGTTGACTAACAGCAGCAACAGTCATGAAATAACACAAAACCTGCCATGGGAGGGGGGCAGTTGCATGTGTCTCTGTACCTTTACATTCAAGCTCTTTGCCACTTCAGGACAAGGTAACTATCAAACAATTAAAACCCGCTTCCCCCTTCTTTTCTCCCAGCACAAAGGAATATCAGACGGCTCACATTTGCTCAAACCTGCTGTGTGTACTACACCTAATGAAGTGGCAGTAAGTATCACAGTATGTGTATGAAATATAATATCACTCGCTATTTCCTGTTGTCCAGCCGAGCAGATTTAATTACTCCTCACCCTGGAAATCTAATGACGCTGCTTCTGGAATGCAAATGGGAACCAAACCTAGTTTGGGATGCTGATGCGGTACATGTGGCACCCTCCTCTCGGATTGCTAAATTCAAACTGTGCCTGTCGCTTTCATGCTTTCACCAAAATCACTTAATGTATGTCAATAAGTGCTTGTGTTTTAATTGAAGGGGGCTAGGCGATATATCATCCAAACCGGTTTGAAGTCCATATCATGATATCGGTTTCATATTTTTTTGACCTGGCAATATATTGCGAATCATGATATGTGCTATGCAAAAGTCACAATGTGGGGAAAACCGTGAAGCCAGCCAATGCTTCTCTCGATTGCTGCAGCCCCTGTTAACTCTACCAGTTCAGTTCTCCCCTGCCTCCTTGCAGTGGGCAGCAAATCACAAGAGCAGGGACTGGCAAAAATCACGATACGGGGAAAAACTGAAGCCAGCCAATGCCTCTCCCCACCCCACCCCCAACACACACATTGATTTTCCCTTCCTTTGCTCTTCTCAGGAGCTCTTGGGGAAGCTGTGGCCTAGGATCTATGAGCAGGGCTGTTGCCTCCGTTGCACAGATTTGCAAAATTGGAGAACACACAAATAATTTGCAACTGAACACGCGGAATGTGGTGTAGGGCTGGGTTACTCGCTTGCATCGCTGGCAAGGCTAGTCTGTTTGCCTGGGGCTGCTTCACACAATGATGTTCAAAGGCTGCTACCTAAATTTCAGCTGGCAGACTTCCTTATTACGTGCTCCCCATTTAAAGTAAGGGTGGGAAACCTTTTTCCCTGCCAGTGGCCGCTTTCTCTCAGGCGGCGATGTTTCAGGGGGTGGGCACATGCCAGAGATGGGTGGGGACAGAGGAGAAAATAGGGCAGGGCACCCCCCCCTTCTGCTAACCTTTTCCCCCTCCTCAACTGCCCACATGGAATTAGGTCATGGGCCACAGGTTGCCCACCCCCATGGCTATAAAGCTCAGGTACCTTCTGTAACAGGGACGTGGGTGGCGCTGTGGGTTAAACCACGAGCCTAGGACTTGTCGATCAGAAGGTCGGCGGTTCAAATCCCCGCGACGGGGTGAGCTCCCGTTGCTCGGTCCCTGCTCCTGCCAACCTAGCAGTTCGAAAGCACATCAAAGTGCAAGTAGATAAATAGGTACCGCTGCGCCGGGAAGGTAAATGGCATTTCCGTGTGCTGCTCTGGTTCGCCAGAAGCGGCTTAGTCATGCTGGCCACATGACCCAGAAGCTGTATGCCGGCTCCCTCGGCCAATAAAGAAAGATGAGCGCCGCAACCCCAGAGTCGTCTGCGACTGGACCTAATGGTCAGGGGTCCCTTTACCTTTTACCTTCTGTAATACAAGCAGTGGAAGCTTTGTGGCACTCTTGAACTAGGCCGAAAGCCTTGCCTATAGTAGCATCCTTTGATTTTCTGCCTCCAGATGTTGTTGGACTACCTTTCATCATCCGCTGGCTACCCTGGCTGGTGCTGGTGGGGGTCTGAGTCCAGCAACATCTGGGGAGCCAAGGTCAAAGAACTCTGGCCACAGGGCAATTTTTGTCATTCCAGAGGTTGCTGGACTACAACTCCCATCAGCCCTTGCAAGCATGGCTGCTCAGCAAAAACATCTAAACGGCAAAAGGTACCCTGCACTGGCATAGAGCCTGGGATCTCTTTTCTGTCTGGCCTTCGATCCAGTTTTGAAGCCTAAAGACAAAACCTACAGTTTCAGAGCAGGAGGGGAGGGACACTAATTTGCATGTTTAAATCACATATTGATAAAGGCACTTCCACATGGAAGTTCCTGGGTCCATGGGTACACTGCCTGCAACTTTCTCCCACTTCCCAAGCGGCAACTGTTGCAGTGTAATGTTATGGTTAGATCAGCCTTTCCCAAACTGGCGTCCTCCTTATGTCGCTGGACTTCAACTCCCATCAGCCTGACCAAATGCATCCAACAGCTAGGGATTGTGGGAGTTGTAGTCCAAAGCATCTTGTTGGGAGAAGGGTGAGTTAGCGTGTGAGACTAGGATTCAAGTGACCAGGCTTCGAAATTCCCAGTCACAGTGTGGCTTTTGTTAAGGGTGCGGAGTGTTGTTAGGAGACCCCTGGATTCTTTGGGGGAAGTTGTGGTAGTATGACGCTGCTTTAAATGCAAGGCCTCACTCTGCCTCATGGTAGGGCTAGTCAACATCAGAGTACGTATGGGAAAACCTCAAGCCTTCAAGAGTGTTTCTCTGCCTGTGTGGACTGTACACCTGAAGTCTGATTCGAGAGAGAGAGAGATTGAGAGAGAGAAGAAACTAGCCTACTGTACAGAAGGTAGAACTCAAGTTCATTCCTCTACCCTCTTTTGCACCACAGGAATGTGTCCCACCTCCTATTCTGGAAGGGAATGTGTCCCTCAGGTGAAAAGCCTTCTTCACCCATGCTTTGCAGCAAAAGAAGACTTTAATGAGGGGTGTTTCGGGTCTGCTACGGCAGTGCGAAGCGGATGACAGGTCTGTGAGCACACAGAACCAGACATGACACTTCTGGGAGAGCAGCAAGTCATCTGGCAAAAGGAGTCCCACCTGCAGGCCAATCATGACATGCTCAATCATTGACACCTTCTTTTCTTTCTTTTCTTTTTTTTAAAAAAATGACCTTTGGCAGCCGTTGCAGTCTGTTCTCTTTGGTGGTGGTGCTGTGAGTACAACCATCTTCCAGAAAGCAAAGGGGAGAGGAGTCAGGAAAAAAACACAGAAAGGGGAGATCAAGGCAACTGTGTGATGTTGCTGCAGCATTCAAATGCCCCACATTGCAGCAGCAGCAGCAGCCGGAGACCTGCTCTTTCGGCAGTTTCTGTAGAGGCTGCCAAAACATTGTAAACGCTTCAAACGGGCTGCAGCATGCAAAAGTGTTCACTGTCTCTACACACACACACAGAGAGAGAGAGAAGGAACAGGTGCCTTATACTGAGTTAGACCATTGGGCCATCTAGTTTAGTATTGTCTACACTGACTGGCAGGGACGCGGGTGGCGCTGTGGGTTAAACCACAGAGCCTAGGACTTGCCAATCAGAAGGTTGGTGGTTCAAATCCCTGTGACAGGGGTGAGCTCCCATTGCTCGGTCCCTGCTCCTGCCAACCTAGCAGTTCAAAAGCACGTCAAAGTGCAAGTAGATAAATAGGTACCGCTCTGGCAGGAAGGTAAATGATGTTTCCATGTGCTGCTCTGGTTTGCCAGAAGTGGCTTAGTCATGCTGGCCACATGACCTGGAAGCTGTATGCCGGCTCCCTCAGCCAGTAAAGCGAGATGAGCGCCACAACCCCAGAGTGGTCCGCGACTGGACCTAATGGTCAGGGGTCCCTTTACCTTTACTACACTGACTGGCAGCAGTTCTCCAGGTTTTCAGGCACGATTCTCTCCCAGCCCTGTCTGAAGATGCCAGGGATTGAACCTGGGACCTTCTGCTTGCCAGACAAGATGCTCTACCCCTGAGCTACAGCCCTTCCCTGGCATAATTTACTCCGTGCAAAATGATTCTGGAAATCTCCAGCCACATTTCCTGGACCCTTTCCCTGCAGAAATAGCTGCGGATGCGCCAGCCGCTGAATTGCCCCTTTGAGAATGCGGGAAGGGTCTGGTTTCATGCTGCTCCTCACTGTACTTCCGTCTCACCCGGTCCTCTGATGGAGGGCAACAACAAAAAACATCCAGATCACACCCCACCTCCCTGGCATTTGTATTCCTCAAATTCCCCTGTTCTGTAGTGCAGCACTCTAAGTCACACCCACACCATACATTTGAAACTCATTCAGCGCACAATTATAGCAAATGGCTTACCCCAAAGAATCCTGGAAGGTGTAGTTTGCATGGGGTGCTGGGAACTGCTGCTCTGTTATGAAGTAAATCACAGTCCCCAGGATTCGTTTTTGGGAGAGTATGTGCTTTAACTGCAAACCATTCTTATGCTGCAATCCTACAGTCCCTGGACAGGGTCTCAGGAGCCCTAAGATAAACCAGATCTTTGATGCCAGAGAGAGACTGGATACCAGATTCCCCCTTGCCTGCTACTACAAAAATATTTGATGCTCTGACCCAGCTGACATTGGAGCTGCGATAGGTGTACAGATGAAAGTGGTGGTGGTGTGAATTGTCAGGGTAGTATTGGGAAACTGATTGGAGCCAAAGGATGCAAAATATTTCTGGTCCAGCAACACCCCACCATTACCACCACTGAACTGGGGCGAAAATTATACCAGCTGAGGAGCTGATCTGAATGTCTCCCTCAGATTTCCCTCCCATTGCTCCTAATGGGAGGGGGAAAGTCATTTAATATTAGAAATCCTGATAGGTTTTGGCTAGGTGGTTAAGCTGTCCTTCTGATTTACTCCAGGCTTAGGACTGCATGGTGAGATGACGATCTAAGAACATAGGAAGTTGCCTTATACTGAGCCAGACCATTGGTCCATCGAGCTCAATATTGTCCACACTGGTTGGCAGGGACTCTCCAGGGCTTCAAGCAGGGGGCATTCTGGGAATCACACCTGAGATCTTTGGCATGCAAAGGAAGCAGACGCTCTTCCCATTGCGAGCTTCATCAAGGAAACTGTTCGAAGCCCGTTTGCCCATTTTAGATCATATTGGCTGCTGTCCTCAATGTACTTACTAGGGAGTAAACCCCATGGAACAAGTCTTAAAATTCAGGGGAGACGTTCATGGGATGACACTGTTCATTTCCGAAACAGATGGGGAGAGAGCGCAGAAATCAAATTAAGTTACAACTGTGCACATGAAATATGAATCACATGCTAACTGACGAAACTAAGGCAGCTCTCTCAGCTCACCAAACCTCTTTAGCTGACAGGGTTTCCCAAACTTGTTTTTGGACTACAACTCCCATCACCCTTAGCTAGCAGGACTAGTGGTCAGAGATGATGGGAACTGTAGTCCAAAAAACAGCGGAGACCCAAGTTTGGGAAATGCTACTTGAACACATATGAAGAGCCTGAGAAGTCAGGTCAGCGGGCCACCTAGTCCCAACATCCTGTTCTCACAGTGGCCAACCAAATGCCTATGGCAACCCTGTAAACAAGACCTGAGCACAGCAGTGCCCTACCAACTTGTTACTCCCAGCCAGCGGGCATTCCGAGGCATACTGTCTCCGACAGGGGAGGTAGACCAGAGCCCCTGTGGCCAGTAGACATCCCTTATCCTCTGTGAATTTGTGTGATCCTCTTTTAATGCCATCCAAGTTGGGGGCTGTCACTGCTATTCGGTGGAAACAAATTCCATAGTTTAACAATTAAGTGATTAGTGATCAAACATTGTCCCAACCTTCTAAAACTGCAGCGGGATATGGGGAAGGAGAAACCCCATCAGCTCCAGAGAGCTGCTGGGCGTATCTCTCCAGGCAGGGCAGCTGCCGAGTCGGAAATTTCTGCAGAGCAAGCCTGCTGTAAAATAGCCAGGCAACAGCAGCTGCCGTCAAGTTGGGGACTCGGTACTGGAGGAGAAATAATTCCACTCCCTTTCACCCAAACCCTTTCCCTCCTCCTTTCAGTCGCCTAGCAGCCAGCCCCCCCCGCCCCCCAACACACATCATTTTTCCTCCCCTTAAATGGGTTGCATAATTCTACGATTCTATGAAAAGAAAAGGCAACATTCAGGCAGCTGGGTGGGGTCTGCTACCTTGAGTCGACCATCAGTACCGCCCAGACTGCAGACAGGAAGTTCATAAAAGTTCCTGCTGATTAAAGGCTGCGGGCCAAGGATTGCACCACAATTTCTTTTTTTAAAGCTGCTGGCGGGGGCAAAAAAAAAATCTGCTCCTCATTAAAATTAGCACGCACAACTGCGACACGGCGGAGCTCGTAAGGTTTGAACAGCTCCGTCCTCCCAAGACCAAGTGACTTGCCTTGCATGGCTCGGCTAAGGATTTTTCAGGGTGCAAAATCGGGGCCTCCATCCAACAAGCGACTGAACGCGGCACAGACCACGGAGTGCCAAGGAAACACAATTCTGGGTTGCTGGAAGCAGTCTTGCCGAGCCAATAATCTAAGCCTTCCGAAGTCACATCTGTGCCATGCATTTAAAGCACACAGCTTCCCCCAAAGCATTCTGGGAACTGTAGGCAAGCCGTATGCTCCATAAACCATGGTTACAGCAACCAAAACTTGCCATTTTGGGGCCAGGTGGCTCCAAAGTTGTATTTTTCAATACCTTGGAACTCGAACGCCTTGCAAGACGAGTGTTTCAGCTCCCGAACGCTGCAAACCCAGAAGTGATTGTTCAGGTTTGCGAATGTTCTTTGGAACCCGAACGTCCGTTGCGACTTTTGCGGCTTCCGGTTGGAAGCCGTGCCTTGGTTCCCAAACGTTTTGGAAGTCAAACGGACTCCCGGAACAGATTCCGTTTGACTTCCAAGGTACGACTTTTTGGTTCCTGAAATTCATTCTGATTATGCAGTTAAAATATAATGGATAGACTTCTACAGGATGCGTTGCTAGCGTGTGAAAACAGTCAAGACCCAAGGATCCCCAGGCATGATCCTCCAGATGGCGGAGACATCTGGCGCCATCCTGTTGCCCAGGTATCTTCACTTGGTCGCAAGTGGCCGGAAGCCAGGAACAAAATGCGCCTGGAGAATTTCAAACGCTGATATGAGGGGTACCCAGTTAGAGACTATGCCCTGCATCCTTTTTGCCATCTTGTGCATCATTTCATAAACAAAGAAGATGTTTACCGTATTTTTTGCTCTATAAGACTCACTTTTTCCCTCCTAAAAAGTAAGAGGAAATGTGTGTGCGTCTTATGGAGCAAATGCAGGCTGCGCAGCTATCCCAGAAGCCAGAACAGCAAGAGGGATTGCTGCTTTCGCTGCGCAGCGATCCCTCTTGCTGTTCTGGCTTCTGAGATTCAGAATATTTTTTTTCTTGTTTTCCTCCTCCAAAAACTAGGTGCGTCTTATAGAGCGAAAAATACGGTGTATCAAAATGTAAGAGAGGCTCAGTATAAACTGATCAGGGGTAGTTAACTTCTCAACAACAACAAAAAGACTGAGAAAGCTGCTCCATTGGGATAACTGCCTACAGAAGAACCTAGCGTCACCAGCTTGCATTCATGTCAATGAAGATAAAACGGAATCCATTTTTATATTTAATTTTACTATTATTGGCCTTTGAATGGACACAGCTTTCCGATGAGGGAGATTTGACATAAACAGCTACATATATCTTGGGCTAGTTATTTTAAAAGCAAAAAAGATGGGGCTGTGCGGGGGAGGGGATTTTGCAGCCCACGCTTTGATATGTCCTGATAGGGTCAGTGGCATCCTTGGTACATCTGACGGAGCGTTAATAACCCGCCAGAAGCGACATGCCAACTGGTGTCGCTGCACAAATAGAAACCATACCTCTGTTTGCTGCCAAGAAATTCGATACCGCCTTACTAAATACAGTATAAACAAATGTTACCCTGGAATAGCCAAAGGGGGTTAAGGCAGAAATCCCAAAGGCAAAAGGACACTGTAGGCAGGAGAATTCCAGTCCCACCCCCATTCTAGATCTTTTGCATCCCTGTCCCATGCATATTTACCCGGAAATAAACCCTGTCGAGTTCATTAGGATGAGCTCCTAAGAAAATGAGCACAGAATAGCAACCTAAGCTGGGGTTTTTTAAAGTGCAGACAGATCACCATGAGGAACTGGTGTGATGTGTTTGCAACGTCCCTTAACTGTGTATGCTATGAGGGCAGGCAGCAATGTGGGTTTTCAATTTTTAAAAAAATGAATTGGAAAAATATCCCAGAATGTTTTGCCTATGCAAATTAGGATAATTTGGCTTGGCCCTCCAGATGTTACTGAACTGCAATTGCAATCATCGTTAGGCACTAGGCATGCTAGCTGGTTGTTGGAAGCTGTAGATCTTCACCCTTGCCCTAGAGAGCGATCTAAATTCTTACGTTTATTATTTTGCTTGTATTTAGTAAGCAAAGCTAAAAACTTTGAAACTGCCAAGCTTATCTAATACTGTGTATTTACAGTTGGCATCCATTCATTCTTAGAAATGGACCTGCGCAACTGCAGGAAAATAAAGCACTGAAAAACATATGAAGACAACTTTCACTCAATGCCGAAATTGCCTTCATAAAACTAGACTATACTTAATTCCTACCCACATTGCTCCTTGGAGTAAGTGGTTAATTGTGTTAGCTAGGGAAACTGATTAATATTTGGGGCAAAATACAGTATCTTCTAAAGGGAGCTGCTCCCCAGTTTGTGAAAAGCATTCTTTGGTTCAGAATGCTTTCTTCCTTTGTGTATTTCGTGTTTTTATGTCATGATTTTATCCTGTGAACCGCCCTAGGACCTGTGGGTATAGGGCTATATACAAGTTTAGTTAATAATAATAATAATAATAATAATAATAATTCCTTAAAGCCATGTAAAGGAAGCACCAGATGTGAGGCATTATAAAATCCAAATCTTGTATCATAAGTGAAGTCCAAAATTGTGCAACAAGTACATGATGAGGAAAGTCTCCAGGCAGTGTATAATTGCTAACAACATTAAGTCTAAGATATCTGTAAATGCAAAATGACATCAGTTTCACAGCTGGCCGCAAACTGCTGAAACAGACTTAAGAACTAGCCCTTGGGAGTATTTGTAGCCTTTGTCACAGGGAGGCTCTCCATGTGATGGTCATGTGGGCACTAGCCACCAATAAGAGCAAAGCACATGGGAATATTAGTGCCCCATATACATCCTGCCCCCTGCCTTCCTGTGAGTCTGTTCATACGCCATTTGGAGAAGCTAGGAACAAGTCTGCATGCTCCCTCACTGTGTGAGGGAGTGAACACCCAAGCCAGGACACTCCATGAACGCAAGTGTTCACCCAACTCTGAGGAATTCAGACCTCTTTAATCTTCCGAAGAGCCAACAGCACTAACAGGGTGTGCCTAAAAACATAGCAATACCTGACGCATGAGTTCCTCCTGGCGCATGCGAATCCTCTCTCGTTCCATCTGGATCCTCTGAAGCCTCAGCTTCTGTTGCTGCTGCTGCTGGGAAGTCAAGGCATTCGGCATGTTCAATAAGGCGGCTTGAGGGTTTGGGGTAGGGTGGTTCTGCTGGGATATAGTTGTACTGGGTGTCATTTGCGGCTGGTGCTGGTGATTCATTACTAAGGAGAAAACACAGTTTAGAAAATTATTTGTATATTATTATTATTATTAGCACCTGCCCTTCAACAGAATATTAATTACAGCTTTAAAAACCGTCCAAAATAAATTACAGGCCAAGGCAAAGAGGCATGTCCTCAGCATACACCTCCCTTCTAATCTAGGCTTTTAAACACCAGTGTTAACACTTTGAATTTGGCCCAGAAACACGCTGGAAAGCAATGCAGCTGTTTTAAAATCTGCAGCTTTGGAACGACACTGACAGGTCCTTACTACTGTATGCGTGATACTTCCCCATGCATTGTTCTGAACATAGGAACAGAAGAATGATTTCCTGGATCAGGCCAATAGTCCATCTAGCCCAGCATCCTGTTCTCACCCAGATGCCAGTGGGATGGCGAGCAGGATCTGACCTCAAGAGCACAGTTCTCCTCCTGTGGTTTCCAGAAACTGATGTTCGGAAGCATCACTGTATGCCACGATAGCCATCGTGGCAAGTAACTATTGATAGCCTTATGCTCCATGAATTTGTCCTTTAAAGCCCTCCAAGTTGCTGAGACCATCGCTGCCTCCTGTGGGAGCGAGTTTCATGGTTTAACTTGGTGGATCAGTGCCAGTGGATTTGCCCCGAGCTATCCATTCAGATTCATAACTGAACTGCGACTTCAAACCACGTTGAAAGCCAACGCTTTGTGAAAGCCATATTAAAAGTCATTGACAAGTTTTCAGTGGGGTGTTACAATCACCACAAACTTACCATAAGTGACTCGGTCTTTTAATTGAAAGTCCCCCAAAGTGGTTAATTAAATCTGACGAACAATGTCCAAGTCAAAAATCCACAATGTCCAAGAACTCCTAATTTAATAGTTTAACAACAACAACAACAACAACAACAACAACTGAACATATTTTGCTCTCAGAGCTCAGGAATGCCCCTCTTTCTGAGGTCCTCCATGCTCCCCTTTCATGCTCAGTTGCCTCATAGATCCAACCACGACATAAGAACAACAGTCTTGTAGGTAGGGGTGTGTGTCTTCAGCAAAATGCAATCATAGAATTTCAGAGTTGGAAGGGATCTTGAGGACCATCTAATGCAGGAATATACAGGGACTGAACTTGCAACCTTGGTGTTATCAGCACCACGCTCTAGCCAACTGAGCAATCCAGGCAACTGAGTTTGTAGACACCTGGCTGATGGGCTTGCTTGGTGGGTGGTAGCGGTAAGCAGAACAGGCAGAAAGAACAGAGGACAGATTGCAAGAGTTAGGAGGTTCAAGGAGAAAAAGGAAACATAGGCATCCATACCAGCAGGCGACAGGTAAACTAAGTGTTTTGGAGAAAGCTAGACAACTTTTCAATGCTTCTGTTTAATCTCTCTTACAGTTGACATATCAATGTGGGTAAAACAATAATGAACTTGGAGTGAGGAAGTGACTCGGAATCTATAGGGCTTTCATAAATAACAAAGGAAGAAAAGGAAGCAAAGCAAAAGAAAGGAAAATCAACACAAGCTCTGTGGCTGACTCTTGCCAACTTTCCCCCGAGAAACTTGTCTATACCATCTGAACAAAGAGCGCCTTCCCTTCCAAATAGCCTCTACAAGGTTTACTTTGGGTTGCAGTCGGTGAAAATCTGCCCATCTGCGATTACAGCATGCAAACTGCATGAATAGCAGAATGGTGCGTTTGACAAACTGCTGGTATGCCATACCGATTCCTTTTCAGTAATGTCAGCAATTCCTTAGGTATCCTACTATTCCCCACCCACTCGTGTTAAAAGGTAAGTTTAGACTGGTCAATTTCCAGAGCCATCAGAGACATCAGTTATAATAGCTGCAGATCCCTCTCTACGTGCCTACTGTGAAAGATTTGGCGTGGTTTTAAAATTTAGCTTAAAGTGTGGGATATCTGGCTGGTTTCAGTAACAGAAGTGTGGGACGCAAGAGTGGTCTGAAGTTACCCAGTGCAATTCAGTTTCTTAAGCTAAGCTGTAACCCGGATAGACCATCTGATATGAGCCACCGTGATCACCTTCGGAGGACAAATGAGATGCAAATATTACCCCTCGAAAGCAACCATTCATGAGTTACCTTACCACTGGGTATCCTATTTTTGCAGCAGCTCAGACATTGCCCCAGGAGCAATTGGCTGAAGCAGTGCTGCTAATAATGAACAGCAGAGTGTTTCTCTGATAATCATTCCACCTGGAAGGAGCAGAGAGCAGTTGAGGCCTTCATACAGCGAGAACAGCCTTCTTCTTTTTTAAAAAAGGGCCACATTTCCACACAACCCACAGATGTGTGCCTTATTATGAAATGGCCCAGATACACTCTGTGTGACACCATATGTGTACTGCAGGGATATCCAACATGGTGCTCTCCAGATGTTGAACTACAACTCCCATGAGCCACAGCCGGCACGGCAAATTGTTAATAGATGATGGAGGGCATCTCGCTGGCTGGCTGGCTACCAATGTCCTCCCCTTGCCTTTCTGCAGGCTACGAGGTGGAAATCGTCCTCAGGGCAGGACCCACCATTCATAATGCGGGAAGAAGGCTGCCTTTTCTAAGTCTGGTGCATTCAGCAAATCTGCCCACATTTTTGCCCTTGTTTCTTGCTGGCTATGAAGCAGCACAGATGGCTTTAAACCCAACTTGAGACTTACAGGGGCTCAAAAGCCCCATGAGTTTCAAGTGTATTTTAAGAACGTCAGGAGATCCTGCAGGATCAGGCCAGTCACAGTGGCCCATCTTGTCCAGCATCCTGTTCTCACAGTGGCTAACCAGGTGCCAGTTGGAAACCAGCAATCAGGACCCAAGCACAAGAGCACCTTCCTTCCTGTGACTTCCAGCAACTGGTTTTCAGAAGCATTGACTCATGAGCAAGGAAAAGAAACAGGGAAGTGATCTCATTTGGCACCAGCTGGAAAGCGACCTCACTTGGGCCACTTCCAGATAAGCTGTTTATTTAGCATGTGTTCTGACTTGCTTACACAAAGCTTGTGGGGAAGTCAGACAACGTTGGCTATTTATCAGGCAATCGTTCCCATTGATTCGCAGGGAGGGTTGCACAATGTACAGAGCCTTTCCAGTGTGTTTTCTCATCACCTTCCTTATTGCAAAAAGTCCAGCTTTAGGATTCAAACCCTACTTGCACAATGGAGGAGCGGAGGAAGGAAAAGTAAGATGAACCTGAGCATTCAAAGGCATTCAGCGCCATCAGTAAGGACATGCAAATGAGATCACAAGGCCACAACCACCTTCACACGAGACAACCTTGACCTCTCTAAGTCCCAGGATTAACGTGTGATTTGTGACCATCTGTGTTTTCGTTTTGCACTGTAAACTGAAGCAAGATGATTTTTCTTCAGTCCACTGGGAAACTCAGCTACGCTTACTTTCCAACTAGGCCTCGCACAGGCCCTTGCTGTATTCTTCGTAAGTTTCATGTACAAATTTACCACAGAGCAGGGTTAACCACTATTAGCAAGAATGGTCCTTTGGCAGCGGAAAGGGGCGATTTATTTGCTGGATATACGCAAAGCGGAGGCTACAGGCGGAGGAGACACCCATCAGCACAGGTGTAAAACGTCAATGACGCATTTGTTAAAATGGCTGGCGCAGTTTTTATTCTTTTGGCCTCGGCAGAGTCTAAGTACAGTTGTGGGTTAGCCCCCATAGAAAAGGTACTCCACCCCACCCCCAGAATAGTTCATTACGAACTGGCCAGCGTCAAGTGTCTTGCAGAGCTGTCTGATGAAAAACACATGTCTGCAGAAGCAAAACCCAGCCACATTACACTTTTGACTTAGTCACGACATTGTGAAGGGGGGGGGAAGAGTCTCTCTCTCTCTCTCTCTCTCTCTCTCTGCTCTTGCCAACAAAGAACTGCCTGTTTCGTTTACTTCCCAGAAACAGCATTAGCCTTCCAACAAGGTCAGCAAAAATACTGCTTTTCAGTTTGGAGCATGCCATGGTCCAAAAATCTGTAAAGTATTAAATAAAAACACACTGCACTGTCCTACGTGCACAGAGAACCTTCTCCTCTGGAGTTCTGGGTGGAGAATAATAACCATGCAGAAAACTCCCGTCCATTAGGAGCAGATACCTAGAGAGGTCTAGGGCAGCAAACACTCAGCATCCATTTCCTATCCTCATTGGTTGGTTGTTAAAACGATGCCGGTGCAATGCCACTCATTTGGATTAATTGCAAAACAGTTTTAACCAGGTGGTTTTTAGAGACTGCAGCCATATTACCTTTCACATCAAGGACTGGATGGATCCAATCAGTGTGCAAGTGTGCACCTTGGAGTTGCCCTTCTGCAGTACACCTGCTTCCTGCATATAGCAAACTTGGTCTGACATCAAAATCCTACACATGTTTACTTAGATGTAACTTCCAGGGTGTTCAATCGGGCTTATAACAAGCATAGCTTTTTTAGGATTGTGGTCTTCATTGCACAGGTGGAGCTGTGGGATGTGTGTGGGGGGGGGTAGAGACTAAGACACTGGCATGCAGTTTTATGAATGGTATTTTTGCACTCTCTGGATTGGACTTCGCAAACCCTATATTAGAGTCTGCATTGTGAGACAAGGTGACCTAGATTCTGTGCCAAACAAAGCTATGTTTTGGAGCATGCGCATCTTTTGGAAATCTAGATAATTCTGCTCATACTGCACAACTTATTTTGCTTCCACAAGCCATGGTGAAGGTGGAGACATAGAGGGTGTTGGAGCCCCACTCACAGAAAGAGAAAAAACACCACTCAGTCCATTTCCCACCCTGGCTTCTAAATTTTCACCAGGCATTGACCACATGCTGTCATGCCTCTCTTTTCAGACTTATGAATCAGCAGCCTGCTTTTAATATGTATTTCTAAAACCAAGGTGCTCAGGATGCTAAATGTCTCCCCAAAGAGCTTGAAGTCCAGCTGCAGAGTCACAGAATGCACATAGCCCTTCTAAGAGAAAACATGATTTTCCACATCAAGGTACATGCAGCATACATAGCTTCAAATGACTCAAGTAAATGAGCCAAGCGGGAAGATGGAAGCAGGAATTCCCTTCCAAACCTGAATGTGGCAGACACTAGAAATTACTACCCAAAATTACTCTAGACCTTACTTTGCCAAATTAGTGCCTCCCAAAAACCTGTTCCCCACAGAAGTGGTATAATGTTCAATTCCTCCTTCCAACAGGGGCTGGTAGAAGTTTAGGGTTTTTTTTGAAGAACCCACTGGTACATTTCTGGAAGATTTGAAGAAGATCAGTAAAAAGTTTCCTACTCCCAATTATTTAACACACAAAATTGAAAGGAGGGGAGGATTATCCGTCGTGGCCTTCTGCCAATCATTTACCTGCCAGCTTCTATGACCCTCACCTGCAAAACATGCATATTAATATTGCTTTTGCCAGGTCTGTGTGGTGCTCTGATGGTTGGTTTTAAGATTTGTGTTTTAAGTTGTGTTGTGTTGTGTTGTGTTGTGTTGTGTTGAGTTTTCAGGTGCCGATCTGTATTTATAGATTTTGTATTTGTATGGCTCACTGAAGTGGGGTAGATCATTGGCTCTGTCCCCCGGGAAACCTTTTCTCGCCTGGTTCGTTGTGGGTGAATTTCAGAATTTCTAGTAATCAAGAAAGAAGAAGGAAGGAAGTCTAAAGTCTGTCCATCTCTGTTTTAACCTTCTAATTGTGTACACATTTGCACACCAGTTCTGGCCTGTCTCTGGTGACAGTTCTGACATGGATAGGCTTCATGTAATTGCTTGATGCTTACAGTATGGTGCGCTCAAATTTATGCAATTTGTTCTGCGCTCAAGGTGTCTCCACCCTGAGATGGGGTTAGGTCAAGAGAAAAGACGACTGGTCCAAGATAACTGAGTGGGGATTTGAACTCAGGCCTTTTTCTCTCGGGCTGTCTCTACCCACTAAACATCACACATATATTGCCGCTTACATCTGGAGGATTACATTTGAGAAAGTAGGTATGTCTAAAGCCAACCCTCTGATTGTGAAGCAAAATCTTTTCAGCCTGGTCTTCCATCAACTGAGTGAAAGGAAACACATTTCTACAATGGTCTCGTAAGGTAGCAAAAGCATACTGGGAAATGATATATATTAAGCTGGAAAAAATGTTGAAAATAATATTTGCTTTAAAAAAAAACCAACCCAGAAGCTTTTTTTCTTAGGAATAATAGGTTTGGAGATACCCAAAGAACAAAGGAAATTATTTATGGAACAAAGAAACAGTTCCAACTAAGGAAGACTGGCAACAAAAACTGATGGTATATGCAGAAATGGCATATGCAGAAGATTAAGAAACCAAGAAGAGAGATGTTTTAATATAGAATGGGGAAAATTTATTGATTATCTGGAGAATTACTGTAAACAACTGAAATCACTAGCAGGACTGATATAAAAGTGTGCAGTGAGAATAACTTAAATAGAACATAAAGGATGATTAGTGGATAAGATATGAACTGAATATGCAGTGGGGAAAGATGTAACAAAATTAACCACAGAAAGGGGGGTCATTGATGACTGGATATTTCAATTGGATCTGCTAACTCAGATGTGGGATTATATTGTAAAATGTGAAAATGAAAAATAAAACATTTTTGAAAAGGAAAAGCCTTTCTACAAAATGGGGCAGAAGTTGATTCAGGTGCCTCAGTAATTATACATCCATCACCTGAAAACTGTATTATTCATCACAATCCCCATCTGGCACCTGCCAGTTCATTTCAGGATCTGCAGTGATCAAACACAGCTTGAAACCGGAAGAGCTTTCACAGCGCAGGTGAAGCTACGATAGAGCTGAGGCTGGGGCGTGCTCTCTCAAAATCTCAGGTCTGTTGTAGCGAACACCAGCTTTGGCAAAGGTAAGTTCATTCTCCTTATTTCTGGAAGTTCCACATGACTAATGTACCCAGATCTGAACAATCGCCACCTCTGAAGGTTACATCCCATATTATCACAGCAGGATGTGGAAAGTGTGGTTCACCCACTCATTGTTGTTAACAGAGGTTTGCACTATGCTTTTATCTGTAGGATTTCCTGGTGACTTGAAGAAAGAGAAAAAAATAAGTCAGAATGGATGGAAAGTATTAATGGAGCCAAGCCTGAGAAAGCCTGCCCTATCTCCTCCACTCGAGGTGGGCACTTTCAAGGCAGTTTGGAGGGGCAGTAGCAGAGGCTTGTGTTTTCCTTGCCTCTCCTTTTTTCCCACCTGCTGTGAAAAATACAGCATAGGCAATTGTAAAGTGTGCCTATGTGAAGCAATGATTCTTCAACACCAACTTCGTTGGACTGGTCATGTTCTGCGGATGCCCGATGATCGTCTTCCAAAGCAACTACTCTATTCCGAACTTAAAAATGGAAAGCGTAATGCTGGTGGTCAACAAAAGAGGTTTAAAGACTGTCTCAAGGCAAATCTTAAAAAATGTAGTATAAACACCGACAACTGGGAAACACTGGCCTGCGAGTGCTCCAATTGGAGAACAACCTTTACCAAAGGTGTCATGGGCTTTGAAGACACTCAGGACGCAAGGGAGAAATGTGCTAGGAGGAAGGCACACTTGGCAAATCCACATCGTGATCAGCTCCCGCCCGGGAACCAATGTCCCCACTGTGGAAGGACGTGTGGATCCAGAATTGGCCTCCACAGTCACTTATGGACTCATTGTTAAAACCGTGTTTATGGAAGACAATCTTACTTGGCTATGAGTGATCGCCAAAGAAAAAGAAGAAGATATATATCACATCATACATGCACACACACACAAATATATAGCACATGTATCTTGCACATGTGCGCGCGTACACACACACACACACACACACACACAGCCTAATGTGAGCATGCTGCCTCCCAGAGAGGAGATGGCAGGAGTAGTCTTCTTCCTCCACTTCTCCTCCTGCTGTGCTGCTGCAAACCTGGTAATGGAGAGATTTCCATTTGCCTGCATTCATAAGAATGCTTTTTGCAAATTCAGTTCTTATTTATCAGCCAAGAATCGAGCACATCAAATCGTAATCCTAGCTGGGGGGGAAACCTCATACATGAATAGCAGTGTGGGTGGCCACTTGAAATGCAGCTGCATGAAGGCAGATCTATGTCATGATTGCATTTATGTGTGAAGCAGCTCCATGTGCGCCGATTCTCATTAAGATAATGCCAGCCATTTTTAATGCAGTTTGTGCTAGCATAACGCAGTTGCTTGAAAACACTGCTGCAGGGAGCTGTCACAGAGGGTGCCCTTTGCATTTCATGGACTTCTGATTCCACTTACCCCACATACCTGTGTGTGTGTGGTTATGTGTATATAGGGTTGCCATATTTCAAAAAGTGACACAAAATCTCAAATAATAATAATAATGAGGTTTTGAGCTTTTTTTAAAAAATGAAATTCACCGAAGTCTACACTTTCTACATGGGCTGCCATACGTCCAGATTTTCCCGGTCATTTCAGCGATTTCCACCCAGATGCTGTTTACAAGGGCCAAATACTGGCTATGTCTGGGAAACTCGGAACATATGCCAACCCTAGTGTATATCTATCTATCTCCATTCACAAACAGTTTGTGCTGTATCCACAGAGCTGTGTCCTTCATGCAAGGACTTCAGCTTGCTCAATGGAACCTCCTTTATCTCTTCTTCATCCACATGCCCCCAGATCTGTTCTGGGAGTTCCCCCAACTCTCTGGAGCAGATTTTGCAGGGAAGTACCATAGTGCTGGGATGCGGGTGGTGCTGTGGGTTAAACCACAGAGCCTAGGACTTGCCAATCAGAAGGTCGGCAGCTCGAATCCCTGTGACAGGGTGAGCTCCTGTTGCTCGGTCCCTGCTCCTGCCAACCTAGCAGTTCGAAAGCACGTCAAAGTGCAAGTAGATAAATAGGTACCGCTCCGGCGGGAAGGTAAACGGCGTTTCTGTGCGCTGCTCTAGTTCGCCAGAAGCAGCTTAGCCATGCTGGCCACATGACCCGGAAGCTGTACGCCGGCTCCCTCAGCCAGTAAAGCGAGATGAGCGCCACAACCCCCGAGTCGGTCACGACTGGACCTAGTGGTCAGGGGTTCCTTTACCTTTACCATAGTGCTAGAAGGTGTCCTTGCAACTTTATTGTGTATGCAATCTGCCAACAGAGGGGAACATTTCATGCAACTGATACAGTGGGCTCTAGTCCATGGAAGCTTATGCCGCTAGTCCTGAAGATACCATAAGACTTTTCTTTTTAAAGGGGGGCTCACCAACCAGAGCTCTCTCCAAGTGGCTGCACTTCAAAGAGCCACTCTGCTGTCATTTGCACATGAGAACCAGGCCAAAAATTCTGCACTGCTATGCCAAGAAGGCTGACAGAGAAAGAGTGGCCAATACATTAGTTCAACACTGCTGGTGGAAGCCAAAGGATAAAATACTTCGGATATGGAAAGCTGTCCCAGAGAACGGGTGTGGCATGGTTCTTGACTCAACGGCAACTCATTGGGTCTTTTTTCCTTTGACACTTCTACCCCTTGCATCCAGCTCAAACACCCGGCCAGCTTTTCTACTTGCCGCCCATCAATCACGTCACAACAGCAATTGCAGAGGCCTACAGCCTGTCTGGCAAGCCAACGGTGCAGACTGCCAAGTAGGAAGGTCAGATCGGAATTCCTTTTCGGGTGGAAAGGATAGAAAGGGGAGAGGGAGCACCTTCTTCTTATTTTCTTGTGGAATTGCCAACTAGAAGGAAAGGCAAAGTAGCATTAACGGGAACAAGTTGGTGTCAGCAAGGCCTCTAGGAAAAGAAACCAGGAGGTACACAAAGGAAGGGCCATAGCTCAGCAGCAGAGAATCTGCTCTGCATTCGGAAGGTCTGCTTGGATGATACAGTGTAAAGGTAAAGGTAAAGGACCCCTGGACAGTTAAGTCCAGTCAAAGGCAGTGCTCATTTCGCTTTTCAGGCCAAGGGAGCCAGCGATTGTCCAGTGTGGTGTAGTGGTTAAGAGCGGTAGACTCATAATCTGGTGAACCGGGTTCGATTCCCCGCTCCTCCACATGCAGCTGCTGGGTGACCTTGGGCCAGTCACACTTCTTTGAAGTCTCTCAGCCCCACTCACCTCACAGAGTGTTTGTTGTGGGGGAGGAAGGGAAAGGAGAATGTTAGCCGCTTTGAGACTCCTTAGGGTAGTGATAAAGCGGGATATCAAGTCTAAACTCCTCCTCCTCCTCCTCCACAGAAAGCTTTCCGGATCATGTGGCCAGGATGACTAAACTGCTACTGGCCATTTACCTTCCTGCCACAGTGGTACCTATTTATCTACTTGCACTGATGTGCTTACAAACTGCTAGGTTGGCAAAAGCTGGGACACAGCAACAGGAGCTTACCACCGTCGTGCGGATTTGAACCGCCAACCTTCTGATCAGCAAGCCCAAGAGGCACAGTGGTTTAGACCACAGCGTCACCCGTGTCCTGGAGGATACAGAGGTGCATGTGGGTAGAAACTAGCTTATTGCACAAAGGTAACATTTACACTATTGGCTCCACCCACTTTAACCACTGGCGCCATCCACCATTAGCACGTGGCCCTTGGAAGGCTCTGTCATGAACTGGCTGGAGACAGAGGAGCAGTGGGAGGCACCCAGGGGAACCCCCAGGGGAAGACGGCTCAGAGCCAGGCGATTGTTGGTGGGATGACAATGAATGGTCATAGGGAGAGGAGTTAGCAGACTGGGAGGAGAAGGTATCAGAAGCTGAAGGCACAAGAGGGTTTGGTGAGCAGGAAGAGGCTGTGGCAGAGAGCAGTCCAGAATCAGAGGCAGAAGTGGAAGCTGGAGAGAAGGGGCGGGCGGGCAAGAGACACAGATAAGGCAGGCTGCTGAAGGAGCCAAGGAGTCTCACTCTCCTGCCGCAACCAGCTCCCCTCCCACCAAATCTCCTAGAACATGCAGAGAAATAAAAAGAGCAGGACAGAGATGGGTTGTGTGCAAACACAGTTTGTGACTATTTGGGAAAGGCCCTGGGGAGGAGGAGCCGAGGAGAGAGTGGTGGGAAGGTGGGGACCTTCAGCGCTTGCAACTGTTTCATTGGGGCAAGACCTACTGAGAAGAGTTGCTGGGATCACCAGGCCTGTGCTGTTGTGTTTCTCTGCATAAGGAGTTATTGCGGACTTGTCAAGTTTGTTCTCGTTTTCAAAGGAACAGACCATTCCATAGATAAACCATGGAATTCGCTCCCATAGGAAGTAGTGAGTGCCGCCATTTTGGATGGCTTTAAAAGAGGTTGAGACAAATTCAAGGAGGGTAAGTATCAATGGCTACCAGCCAGTGTTCTTCCTTCACAGTCAGATGGGCCACTGACCTGATCTGGCAACTTCTTCTGGTGTTCTTATACCATTTTTCTCTTTAAGAAGGAATACTTTCACCACACAGGTGGGTTTTTTTTTAATAATAATTAAAAAAAACACAAGACACACATCTTCTTGTAGTCTGGGAAACTGTTCTTTGCATATAACCATATTAGGAGAAGGAATCAATCTAGACCCAATGTAAGACAGTGACAGTATCAATACGGATTATAAATTGAATGCATGCAATTAAGAAGATGGTCCTGCCATAAGCACTAGACGTCAATACATCATGAAGAAATACAAGAGATGAACACACACCGGCAGGGATCTCAGAAATATTGAGCTTGGAATATGAGATCTTTAGCTCATAAATCTACAGCATGAGTTAAAGACTAGAAAGCAATGGGAGAAGCAAAACCAGGCAGAACAACTGTTAATTTCAATCATTTTTTACCTCAAGACTTATCTACGGGGTTACTACCGTTTAGTTGCATTATTGTTGATAGATCCTCCACAGGTACTTTTGTGTGCTTCCCTGCAAACATAGATGCAGGGGAGATATAAAGCAAAAGCAACACGCCATATAGGAACAGCCAAACTTTCCATCTCATCATGGGAAGCAGTGCAAGATAAACACACACAGACACACGTGTTTGTAATTGGAAGTGCAGGCCAGGACACAGACCTGGAAAAAAACCAGGCCCCCACCTTGTTCATGGCACAACTTCAAAAGAATTTTTTTAATTCCTCTGGTGCTGAATAACGCGAGGGCAACAGACAGAGGTGTAGCCTGCTTTCACTAAAAGGTTTTGAACCAGCTATTGCCAGAAGGGTGGTTTTGACTTCTTATCCAGTTTCCATTCTGCTTGTGTTGTCTGGTGGGATGTTGGCACAAGAGAACTGGCTTCGGGGCTCAAGCAGCGTTCCAAAAAATCTGCTTGCTTAAATACCTGACATGAACTCAACGAAACAGATTTTACAGCATTGGGATATGACCGGGGGGAAATGGGTCTTACTGCCACTGAACTGCAAACACCGGTGCTCTGAAAATCAGAATTTGCAAATTAGGAGACAAAACATAATTCAGCAGTAGAGCACAGGCTCTACATACACAAGGACCCAGGATCAATCCCAGCATCTCCTGCTAGAGCTGGGAGTGTCCCCTATCTGTAGAGCCACCACCACTGAGAGTAGACCAATGGACCAATGGTCTGATTCAGTATAAGGCAGTTTTCAATGTCTGGGAATGTATGCTGTGGTTCCCCACTGCCAGCATGAATCTCCTCTTCCCTTGTCAGCTTTATCTCTAGCTTAGTAGTCGCATCCATGTAGGTATTAACCATGGTTAATGCTAATCAGGTTCCCTCTTAACCAGGTTTTATAAATCCAGTTCAGATCCTGATTTTACACAGAATTACGATTCCCGAAAGAAAAGCGTGCAATGCAATTATATGCATATCTACTCAAAGAAGCTCCAACTGAATTCAACTGGACTTACTCTGGGTAAATGTGAATGGGGTTGTAACTGCTATGATTAATAAAGAGAAAGTCACTTCTTTTTTCAAAAAGCACGCTCATGTGATGAAATGCCGTTGCACTCAGAAATTGCTTTTGGGCTTCCCATAGGCATTTGGTTGACCACTGGGAGATCATGATGCTGAACTAGATGGGCCATTGGCTAATCCAGTAGGTTCTTCTCACATTCTCAATGACTACATTGGCCCAGGCTGCAATACAACAGGCAAACCATTCAGGAAGCATTCTCCATCAGGCTTTCTGTGCACTTGGAATCGCAGTTCGTAATTGCATTGTCTAACCTGAGTATGCATGGGACTATACATGCAACCAACCAACCAACCAACCAACCAACCAGAGCCCTATGTGAATTACAGCCTAGTCTTCCCCAATCTCATTTGCTCAGGTGCTGTATTAATATTCACTAATTCAAAATAACAACTTTGCATTTGTCTAAAAACTTGAATACATCCTCATCTGCTTAGTTTGGTTAGTTTTGGCTCATATAATCTGAAGCATACTACATTCCACTTGCTAAAAAATACCCTGAGATTTTCTGTCATAATCTCTTAAAATGGTCTTAACACTTTGGTCAGTATTAGTTATTTATTAAAACAATCTCTGTACTGCATTTCCTGTAAACATCACAAGGCAGTGTACAAAAAACATTAAAAGTACATTAAAACTTAAAGAATAAATACAATAGCAGCCAACATTAGGCCCAAATACCTGGGCACACCTAGGTTACAGCTTGTGGTTTATCTGGAGAGAGGTAAACCATGAGCCTTAATTCAGATGATATACTGAGCCAAACCATGGCTTCACTCAGTATAGCACAGCAAGAAAACCACTAAAGAAAAGAAAAACAGTTGCAATCTTCTTTCCACGAGTCTGTATATTTGCTAATTCATACTAAACCATGGTCTGGATTAGGGTTACATATAAGCAGGAGAATTATTACAGTCAACTGGCCTATGAAAAATTCATTTTTAGCAGACACCACAATGCCATCAATCTAATTCAAAGGGGAGGTGATTCTAAAGAGAACCACTTTGCAAAGAAGTATGCAAGTATCTTAAGTACATACACCAATCTGGTCAGGGAGGCCGAGAGGTGCATCTGAGGGGTGAGGATCTGTCAGTTATGGGCTTTCTCTTCCACTGGGGGCTTACCATTTTCACTATATTTTATTAGGCCAGTTCAAACCTCTGTATAGGCAGCTATGTCATGATTGGTGTGAAGCAATAAGAGTGTTAATTTCAGTTTTTAACAACGTATTACTCACTCTGATCCTTAGGATATTGCAGGAAGCAAGCTCACTATTACCATTTGGTATGACTCACTTAATTGTCCCCTAGCCTTCGGGGGTTTACTCAGGTTTATTCTTTATATTTAATTCTCATGATACATTTGCCACTGTCCAGTGACTCAGAGAGCAATCCCACACTCCCCCTTTATGCTCCAGATAAAAGTTGCTGAGATGGTTGCCAGGAGAAAGCAAACAGAAAGGAAGTTTATCGTAGCACAAATAATACTGATTTGGTTCAGCATTGCAAATCCAAACACAGATCCACAAAGTGAACTTGAAGAACTCCCAAGTTATCTGTGTATGGTTATGCATACCATCCACTCACAAGTTAATGTGGTTTCTCTATCAAAGTAAAACATAGCACAAACTCAGACCCTCCAATTGTCCATATTTTCCAGGGACATCTCTGATTTACAGAAGTTGGGGCGGTTTCTGATTTGATCCCAGAATGTCCCACTCTCCCTTAAAAAGGTAAAGGGACCCCTGACCATTAGGTCCAGTCGTGACTGACTCTGGGATTGTGGCGCTCATCTTGCTTTATTGGCCAAGGGAGCTGGCATACAGCTTCTGGGTCATGTGGCCAGCATGACTAAGCCACATCTGGTGAACCAGAGGAGCACGGAAATGCCATTTACCTTCCCGGCGCAGCGGTACCTATTTATCTACTTGCACTTTGATGTGCTTTCAAACTACTAGGGTGGCAGGAGCAGGGACTGAGCAATGGGAGCTCACCCCGTCGCAGGGATTCGAACCGCCGACCTTCTGATCGGCAAGTCCTAGGCTCTGTAGTTTAACCCACAGCGCCACCTGTGTCCCTTCCATTTTCCCTTAGGACATCCCTATTTTCATTGAAGAAATGTTGGAGTGTATGGAGTTATCTGACCCCCTGAGCCATCTGAGCAGCCCTGTATAGGAAAGTTTTTTTAATGTTTATGTTTTATTATGTTTTTTTATATGTTGGAACCTGCCCAGAATGGCAACCCAGTCTGATGGGTGAGGTATAAATAGTTTAAAATTATTATTATTATTATTATTATTATTATTATTATTATTATTAGATAGCTTGTCCCTATTTTCATCAGAAAACTGTTGGAGGGTGTGCACATTTACTATGACCTGATACCAAGAAAGACTTCCAGGAACAGCTATCAATGGGAGGGGCCCCCCTCTGATATCACCCTCACTGCCTCCCAATGTAGGCCTTAACCCAGAAGGGGAAATATATCAGTTTATGAATCACAAGAAGTTAGGCATCATCCCCTCACCTGTCATACTGAGTGTCCATCAAAGGGGAAGCTTTTTATTATTTGGAATCGTGCTGCTGTTTGCACAGAGTCCAATGCCCTTTCTGAACATCCTGTTACTCACCCAGGTTTGGCTGTGACATTGCCATGGATCTCTGCGATACAGGGGTGGAAGCGGCTGAAGGATGATGGCTCATGTGGTTCAATGGCTGGGTCATGGTCTTTCGAGGATCTTGCCACGTCGTAATCTTCTCTATATGGCTGCAAAACAGAAACACAGGCATTTTAGGCTGAGAGGAACTGAGGAGATTTCAGTCACAAATATGACCCAGAGCTCCGATTGTCCATCTGTGCACATCAGCCATTCCCCCTAACTTTTGTTAGGTCTTACAACTGTAACATTTATCAGTATCCAAAAAATGCCCATCATCCCTGACCGCTGGTCCTGCTAACTTGGGATGATGGGAGTTGTAGTCCAAAAACAGCTGGAGAGAGACCCAAGTCTGGGACACCCCAGTTTAAACAATATGCCTTTGTACTCTGATCGTTCTTCCCCCACTATCCTTCTCTCGTGTTATCTTCATTTCCCCTAATATTATGTTGGGTTGGTTTGTGTGCCCCCTAATGTAAATGTCTTATGAATAATAATAAGAAAAATAGAAGTCATTCGAATATGAAAAGATATACACTCTGTCAAACAGAGTGTCAAACATATACACTCGAATTACAAGTAATTTGAAGCTTGGTTTCACCTTTACCCTACATTTTCAAACTTTGCAACTCAAGGTCACTTTCACTTTGTACGTCTCACATGCCCTTCCTTCCAGCAACTGACTCACTTCCTCACTTCAAGGTTTCCTTCAATACTAATTCATTCTCCCTTTGTATGACACCATGCAATGTTTGCCTTTCCTGTATTCTTTAGGTTCCCAAGCCGCCCACCCCCTTCCCTCTGATTTTGACTCATTTCAGAATAAAGACTTGAATAATATATTGGGCTGAAAGAGTTCCCTTGTGAAAATAACCTGTGAGTGATTCTTTCATTACAGTCGTACCTTGGATCCCGAACGCCTTGCGAGTCGAACGTTTTGGCTCCCAAACTCCGCAAACCCAGAAGCGAGTGTTCCGGTTTGCGAACGTTCTTTGGAACCCAAATGTCTGATGCAGCTTCTGATTGGCTGCAGGAGCTTCCTGCAGCCAATCGGCAGCCATGCCTTTGTTTCCAAACATTTTGGAAGTCGAATGGACTTCCGGAACAGATTCTATTCGACTTCCAAGGTACAACTGTATTAGGTAAAGGTAAAGGGACTCCTGACCATTAGTCCAGTCCAGTCGTGACCAACTCTGGGGTTGCGGCACTCATCTTGTTTTATTGGCCGAGGGAGCCGGCATACAGCTTCTGGGTCATGTAGCCAGCATGACTAAGCCGCTTCTGGCAAACCAGAGCAGCGCATGGAAACGCCGTTTACCTTCCTGCCGGAGCAGTACCTATTTACCTACTTGCACTTTGACGTGCTTTCGAACTGCTAGGTTGGCAGGAGAAGGGACCAAGCAACAGGAGCTCACCCCGTTGCAGGGATTCGAACCGCCAACCTTCTGATCAGCAAGTCCTAGGCTCTGTGGTTTAACCCATAGCGCCACCCACATTATGACCTTAAATGAGAATGCTTCTAGCAGAAATGAGAGTAGGTTAATATCTATTTGACTGCTGGGTAAAGTTTACAAATTTGGCAAAGGATAGGTTCCCAAAGGCATGTTTATGAGAATAATTGCGATGATGCTCTCCATAGTTGCCCATTTGGTCTTAGTGCCTTAAATTAGCCATGCCCATATTTTTCCCACAAACTATTTCTTAGAATCAGAAATCCAACTGTTAAATCGGAATGCGTATGCATGCACAGACTTTATCATCTAGCTCAGCAATGACTGACTGGCAGAAGCTCTCTTGATTCTTGAGAAGAGATCTTGCTCATATTTAAGTGCTCGCCCCCAAAACTGGGAATGCCAAGGATTGAACCTGGGAGCTCCTTTCCAAAAACCAAATTCTGAAATGAATGGATAAACTGGTAGTTTCAAAATGTAAAGACAAGTTTACACTTAAATTCCATTCACTGAGGGCTGATGCACATACAACAGCTTCCATATTGCAGTGCTTCACCATATTCTTTTGTCATACTAGTTTTAGCCAGTAATTAAGCAGATATAAGTGTACTCTCCTTTCTCCTGCATAAAAAAGATAAAAGCTGCAGGTGGTGACACGCTTGGGATTTTAGGAGAAATTAGGAACGTTACTGAAAACATACAACTTGGCTGCAAGTTGTAAATCACCGAACTCAGTTAGGGAAGCTGTTTAAAATCCAACTTAGCACCTCCATTCAAAACTCAGCTTTCTTCCTGAGGTCCAAAATGTAGCTGAAGCTTTTACCACAAGGGCCGCCAACATGGTGCCCGTGTGCACAATGGTGCCCTTGAGGTCTTCCCATGGTGCCCGCAAAGGATCTAAACGCCCCCGTCCCCCCAAGAAAAGCACATAGAAATTAAGGAGGAAGCTGGAAGAGCAATACTTTTCCTACTTCCTTGTTCAGCTCCTACCTGTTCCCCAAGACTTAGATTAATTCTAGTAGATTTTACTTTCACCCCAATCTCTAGGGGAAAATAATGTGAGTATGCACATACTTTCTCTCTGTTGTTCAGTATGGGGCTGATCTGAGGGGATAAGTGATCAGAGGGTGTGGTGCCTAAAACCCAAATGTGCTGATGGGCCTTAAAAAACGGTGAGCACTGTTTTACTGTTTCACCTGCATATTTGCAATAAGACCTGCACCAGCTGTTGGTACTTCCAGGAGGCTGTGGGAAAGACTTGCCATCATTGCCCATCCTGCCATTTGAATTTTGCTGCAAATGGAGGAGAAATGTGAGAGCCTATGTCATCTAGCCTGTATGCCAGCTGCATAGCTCCCTCTGAACTGCATTTATGAAACATTCCTTGGCCAGTACCAAAAACTTTATTGTTGCTTAACTTTCATTTTTGCCTTGTATTTATGCAATTTAAGCCTAGATTTTTGTTGTTGTTGTAATACTGGATTTATTCTGTGTTTGCTAAATGGCTGATTTTTGTTATTTTGAATTTGCTAACATGCTCTGTGTTTTGTATATACAGTATGTATTTCCAGTTTTCTGATGTATTGAATGTTTGCTGTAGCACAGCTTGTTGTGGGAAAGCGACATACAGTATAAGTAAAATCAATCAATATTTGGGCAAGGTCCAAAATACTAGACCTACCTCCAATAAATGCTAGAGGGAGCAAACACGAAGGCTTACTTTAACAACACTGCCACTTTAAAAGCAGCCATTGTTTTCGGCAATAGCCTCTTCCTGCCCCCACCCCGGGTTGCTGGCATGCTGTAAATGTCACAGCGCCAAGTGATATCTACTCTTTTGGGAAACACATTTGTCACACAGCACTCCCTTGCTGCAGCATTTGCTTTCTTGCTCACCAATTGAGAATGAAAGGAACCGCAGAGCCTGGCGTTTTGTTTTGCTCCTCTTTGCTTTGCCAGCCAATACTCTAACCCTTCATGTAATCTGGACCAAACCCACTGGAAATGCCCCTGTTTTCTGCAAAGGGATTTGAAAGGCTGAGCCCTGCCAGCTGCTTCCTGTCCCTCCTTAGCTACTGGGGGTGGGGGGAATAAGGAAGCAAAACAGCACAAAGTACAGTGGTACCTCGGGTTACAGACATTTCAGGTTACAGACTCCGCTAACCCAGAAATAGTACTTCGGGTTAAGAACTTTGCTTCAGGATGAGAACAGAAATCGTGCTCCGGCGGTGCGGCGGCAGCAGGAGGCCCCATTAGCTAAAGTGGTACCTCAGGTTAAGAACTGTTTCAGGTTAAGAACGGACCTCCAGAACGAATTAAGTTCTTAACCCTAGGTACCACTGTACTGAAGCTGAGGTCACACAGAAAGGAAAAAGCAAGAGCAGACCCATGAAACACAGAGATAGATTTCAGGTTGTTGGAATGAGAGATGCTCCAACTTTGACTGTCATGGCTTCCCCCCAAAGACTCCTAGGAACTGTAGATTGTTAAGGCTGTTGAGTGGTTCCTTGACAAAATACAGTTCCTGGGATTCTTTGGGAGAAGCCATGACTGTCTAAGTGGTGGGAGAAGGCTTTAAATGTGTGATTTGGATGTGACCAACGCCACCCAGTGATCTTCGACGCTGATTGGGGATTTGAACCCTCATCTCCCAGCTTCTTGTCCAACACTCTCTATCAGGTCTATTGGGCTTCTCAGAACTTTAGTTTTCAAACACCCCACCTCGAACACGTAATTGCTGAGCTTCCAGTGGCCTCATGAAAAGTTTGAAAGCATGTAAGCAATGATTCTTGAAGTTTCACATGCACGGGCATCGCTCAATCTCTCCTCACTCGATTAGTCAACAGAGTGACTCATAGTTAAGCACATAAACTGCCTTCACTGAAAAGTCCTGAGAGGTGAAGAAAACTATCTGTAGTGTGGTGTTTGCGCCACAATGCCTCTTCCCAACATGAGAGTCATTACCTGGTGTTGCAGTCAATCAATCAATGACCACGCTTGCATCCACAGAGTGCTCAATTCCAACAGATTTGCACAACAGACAGAAACAGGTAACTGGGCATTGCTGCAGAGATTTCCAGATACGATGCAGAGCTCAACTAGAGGGAACAGGGACTCAAATATGCCAAACGATGCAACAGAAGGTATTCGACGCTGCCTGGAAAACTGATCAAAAGGTGCAGGGTGCATAAATCTGAAACTCTGCAGCTGCACAAGAGAGAGAGGAATGTTCTATGCAAACATTAGATGTTCAAACTGCCTGAAGCTAAAAGCCAGGGAGTGCCCTGGATTGCCCTTCTGGTGCCATCCTGGCGAAGGAAAAGCATTTCAACTTCATTCAAGAGCATGGAGGTGGAATCTATTTGGAGGGGCGGCCTCACTCTGAGATACATCTAAATGTGCTCCTAGTTCAAGGAATTCAAGGGAAAGCTGCACTTAGCAAACATGGCTTAACTTCATAAGGTGTGGAAAGCTGCTTATTTATTTTTAAAGACTGGTTTATAATTAGCCCCCAAATTTCAGCTATCCCTGGAAAAAAATGTCTAAGGCTTTTTATAGGCCAAGAAAGCTGAGGCAAGTATGAAAAAAAGGAGAGTCTTTTTATACTTGGATTCAAGAGAGTCATTCACTATCCATGTATTCCGACACGTAGAATAATTGCTCCTTGCTTTCTTTGGCGAAAGTAAGCATTCTATAGACGGTTATAAACAAAATCGGTACATCGGGTAAAACCAACTTCAGTTTGTGAATGTACAGATTTTGACCCAAAATCTGACCATTATCATGCACACACCCTGAGTATTTCTGCCTAGCTGGAATATGTCCTTAAACGCTGAAAATGCTTATTGCTTGCCTGGTTGTGCGAGTGCAAGGTCTACTGTACCAAGCTAAAATTCACATTTGTAGCTCTGGCCACTTTTGCCTCTTATCCCTACAGCCACAGGAATGCGGCCTCTGTTAGCCTGCTCAGAGAGGAATGTGGCCCCGGGGCTGAGAAAGGTCCCCCACCCCTGATTCAAAGTCTGCTGGAACCAGGACATGCCAGTGTCTCTGAAAAAGAGAGGTCACTGAAGCAATACGAAACTGCCACATTATTGATTGAAAAAGAAGGCAAACATTTGTAGGGATTAAATCCTTTAGAGGGGTAAAAACAGGAAGCGGGGAGTACGAACCCAGCATAATTCATGGCAAACTTTAATATTTTGTTAAGAGAGAACAAAATATTCGCATAAGCTTACGGAAAGCTTAAGACAGGTAAATCCTGAAGTTTGGTCGGTGACAGCAATCCGCAAGCATTGTGTCAGCAGCAGGTTAGGCAAACCTGCTCTGCAGGCGTGTCAGGCTTCTGTCGCAGTTCCTGGTTGCAAACAGGAGAATGTGGTTCTCAAAAAGGGTCTTCTAGGCCAGGTAAGTGAAGGCCAGTACAGTAAGGTCTCAAAACAACAATGACAGGATGCAAGAGTACCTTACTGCAAAGTTATTTACAGCTTCTGACATCCTTAAACTAGAATGCAGATTCTGAAAAACATCCTATTGTCATTTTTTTTGTCACAAAAGAATATTCGGCGCTCCCTCTATTAGTGAGTTCATTCATTTATTTATCAAAACATTTCTGTACTACTCTTCATCCTATTTGGATTTCAGGGTAGCATACAAAATAATTTTGCAAACTAAATTGCACTGTAATGTAAATGTAATAATAATAATAATAATACCACCTCAGCAGACCAGGATTTGTAGAAGATTAAAATTCCTGGGTGAAATTAGAAAAATAAAAAATAAAATTTGGCCTGACTCCAAAAAACTTGCACCATACGCAGGCCTCTCCTTGGTAGTGGCGCCCGCCCTGTGGAACCTCCTCCCATCAGATGTCAAGGAAATAACTATCTGACTTTTAGAAGACCTCTGAAGACAACCCTGTTTAGGGAAGTTTTTAATGTTTTGTGTTTTGTCATGTTTTCAATATTCTGTTGGGAGCCGCCCGGGGTTCCCCAGCTGGGGAAATGCCATCTGTCTAGATGGGTGGGGTATGTATGTATAAATAAATAAATATCATCGTCGTCGTCTTTGGGAAGGACATTCCCTGATGAGGGGGTCACTACTGAAAAGGCCTTGCCTCTTGTACAACTTGTCGCTGATAAAGAAAGAAAGAGCCTGAGCAGATCTTAAAGCAGATATTATTACTACTACTATTATTATTATTATTATTATTATTATTAATTGAATTTATATACTGCCCTACACCTGGACATCTCAGGGCAGTTACTGTTGTGCCAACAGGACCAGAACCCAAAGCGGGCTGCTGAAACCCTGACAGTAGGTGTAGTAGACCAATATACTTTAACGGTCCGACTTGGGATAAGGCAGCTCCCTATGTTTCCATGTAACTGGTGATAAAGGGGAGGTGGTGGAGACATGCCAAAACAGACTGAAGAGAATTGAGCATGCTCACTAGCCCTGGAAAGTTGACTTTAGGTTGGAAAATGAAAATGGATAACAGTGAGACATAGGCCGCCTGGCTTGAGCTCTGAACAAGAGCACTCCTGTTGGGTCAGTCATACTTGTGTATATATTTTGGGAAAGTCAGTGTGTCACATTAGTCCCTAATGCACACTCAGTTGAATGTTCAACATAGCTGGGAGGGAGCCGTGGAGCAACAGCAGCACCCCTCTTTCTCTCCCTCACGCTATGGGGAGAGGCGAAGCTGCCCGGTCCCCCAATGCTTGGCTGAACAGCTGAGGGTTGGATAAGTGAAAGGCTAAATCTCTATCACCTCTCCCTCCCTCCCATAGCCGTTCAACCAAACAGCTACAGTGACAGCTGTAAGGAGGGAAGGGGCAGCAAGGATGGCTGACACTGCCTCTTGCCGGATGAGAATTTTTTCTCCGCCCTTCGACTCTGGTTAGTGCAAGTTAAGAGCAAGGGGTCTCCTGGTTGGACCACTTTGCAGAGCGAGCCTGAGAATCAGAATCGAGGCAGTTTGGGGCCAAAGTCTACATTCCCCCGCGGGGTTACGTTTCCTTTCGGAACTTCCCACTCGAAAAGATCGCATGTCCTCTAGCATTTTGTACTAATGACACACACGTGATATTTTAAAAGAGTGACTAGCTTCTAATCCCTCACTTCCACTGCATCCTAGCCAAGAGAGGGAGAAAAAGAAGCAGGGCTGGTGTTTTTTCTCCCCACAACCAGCAGGCAGGCAGCAGCATGAAAAATATTGCCGGTCCTTTTCTACTACTCGCCAGCTGTAATGATCCATCTCTCTGCACCAGTCTCTGTTTCCTGGATTTAATATTATACAGGCTCATGAAACCAGATTGGAATACTTACTCAACACCTAAGCATTAATTGTTTTATAATAAAAAAAAAAGAAGCAGAAGAAGAAGAGGAAGAAAGGAAACGTAGAGATTTGCAAAAATCTCCTATTTTTGTTTAAGGGGCTATTATAAATGTACATATTGTACACAGTTATCACACGGGGGTTCCTTTATCAAGGCTCTGCCGTGTGTTCCTGGGACAGAAGGGAGAGTGGATTTTGCGGCTGGGCTACATCAAAGGAAGGCTGCTTTAGAGCAAGTGGGAAGTTGATGACTCATCAACTTCAGCAACCCACATGTTTTCACTCATTTACTGCTCTTCACAGGGTGACAGCTTACATTGTCCTGCACAATAACCCCGTCAAACAGCTTCCACCTCTACAGAGCCATTACTAAACATTGGGACATCTGTTTACAGAAAACCATTGCTCAACTGCTTTTGTTGTTCTTGTTGCCTTCTGAAAAAAAAAGAGGTGTTCGTCTCCCCCACTATTTCTCCCTCGGAATCATCAACACAAGCTTTCCTTTCTTCTATGGCAGGGGTGGCCAACTCCCAAGAGACTGCGATCTACTCACAGCATTATAAATTGGAAGTGATCTACCCCCTTTTTTGAGGTTCAGGTCAAAATGTTGAGCTTTTTTCTAAGTTGTTGAGTCATCTACCTGTTGGACATGCCTGTTCTATGGTATTACTATGGTGATGGTTGGCAGGCAATTAAAGGCAACATCTCTGGAGCAGGTAATTGACCTTAAGGCCAAATGCTGTGAGTCAAAGGCCTCAACTCTATCAGACTTTCCAGCACTTGACAGATATATTAGGCAGAGTTGTGAGAAAAGCAAGAGGGAACAAGCTGGGATGAGAGAGGGAAGAAGAGGAGGGATCTTGTGGAACAGCCTTCCCTGGAAAATAGCATTTGGAAACATTTACTTTTCTGCATGCACAAGTCCACGTGAATATCGTTCTCACCCAGTCTCCCATTCTCAAAAAATACTTTTAATGAAACAGCGGCATCAAATGAGGATACATCTGGGGTCTTTCTTTTGGTGGCGCTGTAGTCTAAACCACTAAGCCTCTTGGGCTTGCCGATCAGAAGGTCAGCGGTTCAAATCCCCGCGGCGGGGTGAGCTCCCGTTGCTCGGTCCCAGCTCCTGCCAAACTAGCAGTTCAAAAGCACGCCAAAAAGTGCAAATAGACAAATAGGTACTGCTCCAGCAGGAAGGTAAACAGCATTTCCGTGCGCTGCTCTGGTTTCACCAGAAGCGGCTTAGTTGTGCTGGCCACATGACCTGAAAAGACTGTCTATGGACAGACGTCAGCTCCCTCGGCCTGTAAAGCGAGATGAGCGCCGCAACCCCAGAGCCGTCTGCGACTGGACTTAACTGTCAGGGGTCCTTTACCTTTTTTACATACCCTTCTGACCCTCTCTTTTCCCTCCAGGACTTTGTGATGAAAGACAAAGATGATGGTGAGGAAAGTGGTATTATCTTGCTTACTGTTGCTCTCAGTTTTGTAAGGCAAGCTCCAGCCTGCTCTGTATACAATGCCCTCCAGCCCTTGTAACCACTCCCTTGACTGAAAGGCATACAAACTCGCTCACCTCAAGTGCTAATCTCTGCCTCTTCACCTGCATATACCGGTATATCAGTGCCTCACTGGGCAGGAAAATGCAGCAATAGCCCCCCTCCAAGTACCTCAGGAAAAAGACCAGCCCTTTTGCATTTACAGCTCCACTAGAATTCTATTCGCTGCATTTCTGAAATGCATGTTAAGTGGTTGCTCCTTTTTTTTTTTTTTTTTGGTATTTCATTTTAACAGCACTTCAGAGAGGTATATAGTATCACAGAAGAAAGTGAGACTGGAAATATATGTACATTGTTATTGGGACCAGTTCAGGTTACTTGCAGTGGTGGCATACCCTCCAACATTTCTCCGGTGAAAATAGGGACGTCCTATTCCGTAATGATAATTTCACTATTTATATCCCACACATCTTACTGGGTTGCCCCAACTACTCTGGGTGGCTTCCAACATACATACTGTGGTACCTCTGGTTACGTACTTAATTCCTTCCGGAAGTCTGTTCTTAACCTGAAACCGTACTTAACCTGAGGTACCACTTTAGCTAATGGGGCCTTCCACTGTTGCCGAGCACCGCCGCGTGATTTCTGTTCTCATCCTGAGGTAAAGTTCTTAACCCGACGTACTACTTCCAGGTTAGCGGAGTCTGTAACCCGGGGTGTTTGTAACCTGAGGTACCACTGTAAAAACACAATAAAACATTAAACATTAAAAAAAAAAAAATCCCTGTACAGGATTGCCTTCAGATGGCTCGGGGGTCGGATAACTCCATACCCTCTAACATTTCTCCAATGCAAATGGGGACATCCTAAGGAAAAGCAGGACATTCCAGGATCAAAACAGAAACCAGGACGACTCCTCTAAATCAGGGACGTCCCTGGAAAATAGGGACACTTGGAGGGACTGTGGTGGAAGGGTGCAGTAGATGACACAGCATAAGGGGCATTGTGGGAAATTTAAATGGTGGCTTGCTGGCCCAGACGTCAGGGCAGGTATCTGGGCCTGTGGGCACTGTCTGGGAGGTGGGGTCCCAGCAACTATCTAAGAGCAGAGATGGGGAACCTGTTGCCCCTCAGATGTTGTTGGGACTACAGTTCCCATCCTCCTTAACCACTGGCCATGCTGGCTGGGGCTGGTGGGACTTGGAGGCAAGCACCATTGGGAGGGTCACATGCTCCTCGCCCCCTGTGTTATATCCCTACATCTACAGTTCCCAAGATTCAGTGGGGAGAGGAAATGAATGTTCCGTGTGTTTAAAGCACTGGTGCAGATATTCCCTGAGAAAACTGGCTTTCCCAAGGGCAGCCAGTGTGCATGTGGATGAACTGGGGGTTCTCCTCTAAAAGCTGAGGAAAGGGCACTAGTGACAATATAGTCAAGCGGTAAGACGGCACATCAGCCCTTTGAGAACAGATTAAAAAATTGCCAGAAAGACCAAGATCTATAGGATCCTAAGGCTACTCATCCCAGAATATTGCTGCGCCTTATACCACACAGTTAAACTTATTTAACGAAGCTACGAACATGAGTTTGACCAAACTGCGGGAGGCAGTGGAAGACAGGAGTGCCTGGCGTGCTCTGGTCCATGGGGTCACAAAGAGTCGGACATGACTAAATGACTAAACAACAACAAAACTTATTTATTACCACATTTAAGGGGCCTTTGACACAGCAGAACCAGCAATTCCTCTAAGACAGGCAAATAGCTTTCATGGTCTGTATCTGTATTGGAACTGTTTTTCAGATGTTTTTATTGTTTTATTGTTTGGTTTTTTGCTATCCTGGGCTCCTTTGGGAGGAAGGTTAGGATAGAAACTATACTACTACTAATAATAATAATGATCATCATACAAATTTGCTGCCTGCTGCTATGAATACATAACCTCGATTCATTCATTACAAAAGCGCTGTTGGCTATAGAATGGGATGGTTGGTGTGGAAATAAAAATCCACCAAGGAAGTGGAAATAATAGAATTTTCTGCATTTCATTTAATCCGATCAGGGAAAGCATTCTGAGCCAATTTCACAATCGTACCCTTTTTGACAGCTGCTGAAACCAGCATAAGGCTCAAGTGGGTGGGGGCTTCCACTTTGGCTCAGAACGCTCCCCCGGACCGGATCAAATTCAGCCTATCACTCTTCAGAACAGTCCCTGCTTCTCCAGCATTTGCAGGGACATTTTATATCCTACACCTGTCTCTTTAAATCCACAGACTCTGGTCGGCACATCCATTATTGTCGTCATCGTCTTAATCCAGGCAGGGCCAAGACTGTCTTATGTTCGTTTGAAAATATTTGTATTGTAAAAGTAGCTCTGTAATGATGGCGGTGGCGCACATCCAAGAATTATCAAGTTTTCCCGGGTATCAAGATCTGCTTCTTTCTTACCCGTGATCAAAAAACACAGTTCATTAGGCACGCAAGCTGATGGGAAAGTCTTCTGTGAAGGTGCCGCTGAAATAAACAGGGATGATGGAGGTGCACAGCCCATGCAAGAGCTGCAATTGTCCATAAACGAACACAAAGAGGAAACATCCATGTTTTCTCCTATGTGAACTGGTCCAGCTCTCATTTGCATCCAACACCCTCCTCTGGGTGCTGCTGCCTTCAGAGATTAGGCAGCTGGCAACAGAGGAGAGAGAGCCTTTCAGTGGCAATGCCTTGCTTCTGAAATGGCCTTGCCAAACAAACATGGGAGATGCCAAGACTAGCAACATTTAGATGTCAAGTCATGACTCTTTTGCTCTCTGGGGATTTTAATCGTTAGGGACGATGACTCGCTTCGTAAATGAGTTTTTACTATTTTGATTGGCTGCTTAATTGCTCATTGACTGTTGCTTCTGTTTGTGTTTGGTTGGTTGGTTGTGCTATGTTTTATAGCTATTTATGTAAAACAATTTTTTTCTGACATGGATTTTTATTGCTTTCGCTTCCTGTGTGAGCTGCTTCACGGACTGGAAAATGGGACAGTGGCAAATAACAGGGGTTGTGTAGGCGAATTCCGCTGGTGAACTTCCACCAGCAAGTCACAGCTTCTATTCTTGTCCTGCTTCTCAAGAGTGCTCGTGTGCTATTTCAATCGGGCCAGAGCGCTTGAGTTTTGGTAAAGTGACGATTTTGAATGCAATATGGAACAAAGAATATAAGGGGCCTGGAGAGGTCCAGGTTTCAGGTATGTTTGATATGGACAACTAAGAACAAAACGAATGAAGTCAACACATCTTGGTTTGAACATTTCCAAATCAGAGTATGCATTTAAGAGAAAATACTTGCTTAAAGCTGAAATCCTAAAGCTGGCCAAGGGGCAGCTGGGTGGGTGGGGGGGCTTAGGAAGAGGGCCATTCTGTGGACAGAAAGGAGAGGACTGGGAAAGCGCCATGTGTAGAGATATATTGCCTGTCGCTGGCAATAGGTCTTGGAAGATGATGTGTTAGGGTGAGTCATAGAAGACTTTGGGTCCACTGGGAAATTGGCCAGAGTGAGTTGGGAAGACTTGGGAAGTGGGGGCTCTTCTGCCACACCCACCAGTCCTACAAAACCTTGGCATTGCTTGGTAAGTAATGTGACAACAGGATGGTGTAATTGTCACATCTTTGATCTAGGCCCTGGGAGGCCAGGGTTCAAATCCTACTCTGGCCATGAAGCTTACAGAGCGACCTTAGGCCAGGCACCATCACTCAGCACAACTTACTTCACAGGGTTATTGTGAAGAGAGAGAAAACAGGGAGAGGGAGAAGCATTTATGCCACCCTGATCTCCTTGGGGAAAAGGTGCAATATAAAATAAGATAAAAATAATCTCCAAAACAGGAAGAAAGATTTGTTATGAAGGCTGGCTTGGCCTTATCATTATGTCCAGCAAAAGAATGCTAATGACTTCTTTAATGGCTCAAGAGCTTGCCCCCCACAACCAGTAAAAAACAAAACAAAAAACAGCTAATGGCTGAGGTGTACGAAGAATGCATGGAATGTGAGAGCCATTTTGAAGAAGGCTCTCATTCCCTCACTTCTTCCCTTCCCCTCTCATCTCACAGGAGCTGGGTGGTTGGGCTTGTCTGGTCTTACAAACCTATTAGAGTTCTTTGGGAATATCAACAAGCACGCATATATATATATATATATATATATACATATACACACACACACACACACACACACACACACACATATATATATATATATATATATATATATATATATATATATATCTGGTTGCAGTATTAGAAACAAAGATGTAAAAGCCAAATGGCACCTTAAACCTAGGTTACAGTCGCCACAATGGTACGTCTAGCCACGTTTTTTTACACGATTACAAAGCAAATGAAGACAAGAGGGGAGGGGATTTAGCTGAAGATGGGATAAACGCTGTGCACAAAAGACAAGTTTAAAAAAACAAAAACCAAAGACGAAATCAAGTGGAAACGTAGTCTAGAAGAGATGTGGCTGCAGTTTCATTCTAGCCAAAGTAAAAAACAACACCCCAAACCTCTTTTACTCAATTAGAGAGGATAGTTTGCCAAAACCTGTAACTTTATAAATTTGTGAACAACTTTGCATAGAGAATTTATTTGGTTGTTTTTGCAATTTGTGGTATTTGGAGGGTTGTAATCATAGGCCTTCAAACTGCTCACACACATTTAACTATCATCTAATAGTTATATCCAACCAAGTCATTCCATTTGCACAAGGACTTTCACTTGTGCAATGAAATTGCTCTCCCTTTCCTCCTCATGTGCGCCCCCCCCCCCAAATCTATTCTGGGGGTTCCCACAACCCCCAAGAGCTGATCTGGGGGTGTATGGAAATAAAATGAAATGAAATTAAAGGGAAGGCAAGGTCCATCGTACAATCAAGAGTCCTTGCACTAATGGAACCACTTCATTAGATACAATCTTAGGAATCTCTTCATGCAACCGCATAGAATCATGAAATCTTAAGAGCTGGGGTCATCTAGTCCAACCCCCTACAATGCAGGAATCTCAGCTAAAGCATCTGTGAGATAGCTACCCAACCTCAGCTTAAAAACCACCAAGGACTAGAGTCCACAACCTCCAGAGCGAGACGGTTCCACTGTCAAATAACCTTCGACAGTGAGACCTCAATTCCAGTCTCACATCCCTATGAATTCCTGGTCACAGAGGAACACCGGTTTGCCCTTCTGTACATGCCTGAAGCTTCCTTGCCCCTTAAAGGAGCTGTCTGATTATGTCTGTCCTTAACACATGATCACAAAATACTTGTCGGCCCCAGACAGGGTGTTATAGCAGACAGAGGACCGAGTTCAAATCCCTGCCCATCCTTAAAGCTTGCTGTGGTCACCACATCAGACTAATCCGTGGCTGCTTTGAGTTCTTTGGAGGAAGGTCAAGATAACAAATGTGATAATAAATACACACACACCAACGCTAACTACCTTCTCATGGTTCATAGTCACAGCTGCGGCAAAGCACTGTGGGTGGCTTGACTCAATACCGCGGAACAACTGATGGGAAACCAAGTCCCAAGCATTGAAGAAAAGAAGACAGCTGCTAGTTCTTATTATTTGCTAACTTTAGCCAGCTATTCATCTCCTGGTAACACATCACTCACAGTTAGGAGTGCAAGCTAGAACTTCCCAAAATAACAGTGCAATCCTATATGTGTCTACTCTGAATTAAGTCCCGTTCAGCTTTGTGAGCCTTACTCCCAAGAAAGCGGGTAAAGGATTTCAGGCAAAGACAAATGCTGTGGGGATGTGGCGTCCGTTATATAGAGTTTGATTAAATGATTGCGTTCCGTGACAGGTTCTGCCCTTTATGCTTTTAGGAATTTGATCGTGAGCCGGTTGACTATATGGCCTTCCAAACAAGGGCCATCTGTCGAAATTATTCACATAGATAAATGGAAGAAAACTCAAAAGGAGCAGGAAAGACTATTTATGTATGCAGCCATGGCTGTACAGATGTTACTGGCCCAGAGATGAGAGGAAGATAAAGTTCCTACCGGAGAAGAACAGCAGATTAATTTAATGGACTAAGCTAAAATGACAAAAATGACCGGAAGAGTCAGAAATCAGGAAGACCAAAATTTTAATAAGGAATGGGGGAAATTTATAACTTAAAGACCACTGTAAACACTTGAAATCATTAGTAGGATTGGAATAGAACTTGTAGTTTGATTTTGGACATAATGGAAGAAGTAAAGGGTTTGGATAATCATAAAATATGCAGGAGGAACTGCTTAATAATAGGACCCACATAGGAGAGGATGGAAGTCTAGGAGATTCCTTCGAATCTCGTTTTTGTGATTTATGCTTGAGATACCTCTGTAAAATTTGAAGCTGAAAAATCAAATAAAAATATTTTTTAAGAAAAGAAAACTCAAAGCAATTTAAAAGGAAAATATAACTGTATTTTACTGAAATTCGTTGCTCCGTATGAGGCATATTTAAGCAGAATAGAGAAAGGTGCCTGAGGAGAAACAATTGAACTTTTGGTATTTTCTGTCAGGAGCTGGTTGGACACAGAGGAACAGTGAGAGGAACCAGCCAGGGAACCCCCAAGGAAGGAAGGCTTAAAGCCAGGGGATTGGGGTTGGGATGACTGTGAGTGGCCACAGGAAGGAGAGGAGGTGTCAGAAGCTGAAGAGGTAACAGGGCTCAGTGAGAAGGGAAAGTCTGTTGCAGAGAGAAATCCAGAAGCTGAAGCAGGAGAGGGCAATGAGGGAGGCCAAGAGGCAGGGATGGGTAAGGCTGGTGAACAAATGCAGGTGTCTCCCCCTTCTGCTGTGATAAGCTCTCCTCTCCCCTGGTCTCCCAGGACCAGGAGAGGCAGGAAATGGGAGGAGAAAATACAGGGTGTAGTCTCCAATTGCTTGGGGGGAAATCCTGGAGAAGAGACATAGGCAACTGTGGGGAGATGGGGACCTCTAGTCTCAGCAGCTGCTTCACAGGGGCAACATGGAAATGAGTTGCTGTGCTCATTTGGCCTCACGCTCCTGTCTGCACCCCATTTTGCTAATACAGTGGTGCCCCGCAAGACGAATGCCTCGCAAGACGGAAAACCCGCTAGACGAAAGGGTTTTCCGTTTTGGAGGTGCTTCGCAAAACGAATTTCCTATGTGCTTGCTTCGCAAGACGAAAATGTCTTGCCAGTTCCTGCGGGGTTTTTTTCCTTTTTCCCAAGCCGCTAAACCGCTTATCAGCTGCTGGCTAAGCCGCTTATCAGCTGATCTTTAAGCCGCTTAACAGCTGATGCTAAGCCGCTTATCAGCTGATCGTTAAGCCGCTTATCAGCTCATCATTAAGCCTCTTATCAGCTGATCGTTAAGCCGCTTATCAGCTGATCTTTAAACCTAAGCCGCTAATACTGTAGCGCTAAGCCGCTAAACCTCTAATGGGCTTGCTTCGCAAGACGAAAAAACCCGCAAGACGAAGAGACTCGCGGAACGGATTCTTTTCGTCTTGCGAGGCACCACTGTAAAGAGTTAACTACAACTCACTCAGAGCGATTTGCTGCTGCTCGCTCCTGCCATCTTCGCACTCTGAACTTCAGAGCCCCTTTTGTGTCACAAGCTGCTGGGCCTATTTAACCAACTGTGTCACAAGTCCAATTTCTCACTCAATTAACTGTCATGACAAGTTCTTATTCTGAAGTGGAACATTACTGAATTGCTTCAGCATCTTTTCTCCTACACAGACTACTAATTAAAACCATTGCTTTTCCAAAAGAAATGCTCTTTTCCTGAGCTAATTTTAAGTGCATCTGCAATTATGAACTTTTAAAGAATGCCTCAGTAATTTACTGGTTTCATTGTTGGTCAATGCTGTGGACTTAAAAACATTAAACTAGTTATACAAATGGAAACAAAACATTCTTTGAGTTCTATTGACAACTTAACCTTTAAAGTTTGGATGAAATCCCAATTTTTCAGAGAAGAGGAGGAAAAGGGTATTGAATGACACTATATAGCATTCTAGCAGGGGGGTTAAAAGTTAAATGCTCACAGCACATAAGTTTAATACATTTCTTTGGCCCACTGCTTTTTGTGTAATACATGATGAATGTAGCTTTATTACCATCATTAGAGCTGTCACTTGATTGATTGATTAATCAATTAAAACTCATATAATTAATCCACACACATTATATAAACAAAACAAAACAAAAATCCATCTTGTGTACTCAAGTGTTCAGCGGCCTCTGTTATTTCTTTATCTGGTTTCAGCTGTCCTTAGATCATTCCACTATTTATTGAAAAATATTATCAAAAGTATATTTGCAGGTCACTATGAGCCTTTTTCAAACAGTAAATAAAATAATAATTTGCATGTGAACAAAACAGCTGTTCTGAGGTAAAGGGAACCTCCTCTCTTTTGTCTTTATAGTATGCATTCACATCTCACAGCAAGAACCAGATTAAAAGATGGACCAATTGTCTGAAACTGACAAAGTACATGGCATACCCCCCCCCAAAGAATCCCAGAAACTGTAATTTGATAATTGTAGCTGTGTGATAAGTAAACTACATTTCCCAGGATTCGGGGGGGGGGGAGTCATATGCTTTATATGTATGGTGCACACAAAGCCTTGATATAATCCTTCTTATGTTCCTGCTGCACATGAGAGAATCAGTAACACCTCTTTTTTTTTGTAACGACAGTGGTACCTTGGTTGTCGAACGTCTCAGTTGACGAACATTTCGATTTTGAACGGCGTAAACCCGGAAGTAAATGCTTTGGTTTTCAAACACACCTCGGAAGTCGAACATGCCACATGGCTTCCTCTGAGTGCAAGATCCTGAGGCCTGGCTGTCGGCTACAGTGGAACCTCGGTTTATGAGTGTTTTGGGAGCTGGGCATTTTGGTTTTCGAACTCCAAAAACCCAGAAGTAATTTCTTCCGTTTTTGAACACGCCTCGAAAGTTGAACGGCTTCCGAGGCGCATTTCTCCATTTTTTCAATGGATTTTGCTGACCTCCCACTGCGCCTTGGTTGTCGAACGTTTCAGAAGTCGAACGGTCTTCCGGAACGGATTACGTTCGACAACCGAGGTTCCACTGTAGTTGCCGACCAGCCCTTCATGGCCTTGTGGTTGCCTGTCTAAAAACCAATGAACGATCCCCAGAGGTTGCCAACTGTTTGGGGCCTTTGTGCACATTTGGATTTTTTGACCACCTCCCCCTCTCCTGGCACACAGTCCAACAACAAAAAAGTGCACCCACACCTTTCAGTTTTTCAAAAGACCGGTGTGAAAAGTCAGATCTAGTAATTAATCTGAGCCTTAAAAATCACAGAGCTGGAAATGGGAAAGACCGTCACTCTTCCAATTTCCTCCTCCAACTCTGTGTACTGTTTGGGGGGGCGGCATGGGCATAGCCAAGGGGGGCAGTGGAGGCAGATGCCCCCCCCATCAAGTAAAACACTAGAAATACTTAACTAACTGACCAATCTCGTCAATTCTGCCCCCTAACAAAAGTCCTGTCCCCCGCACAAAGTCCTGCCCCCCCCAACAAAACTCCTGGCTACGCCCATGGGGGGGAAGGTAACCCCCCCTCACCACCTCCTGACTAAGGGTGCAGTGAGTCAGGAAGGGTTGTGGGTGGGCCCACTGCACCTAAAGGTTGATGACCCCATGTAGACATTAACACAATCCTATGTTTACCAAATTCAGACTTCCGAATTTGCAGTACAGTGGTACCTCTGGATGTGAACGGGATCCGTTCCAGAGCCCCGTTCGCATCCTGAGTAGAACGCAACCTGCACCTGCGCGTCTGCGGGTCGCAATTCACCGCTTCTGCGCATGCACGTGACATTATTTTGAGCGTCTGCACATGCGCGAGCGGCGAAACCCGGAAGTAACCCGTTCCGTTACTTCCGGGTTGCCACAGAACGCAACCTGAAAACGCTCAACCTGAAGCGTATTTAACCTGAGGTATGACTGTACAGTGCTACCTTGGGTTACAAACACCTCGGGTTACAGACTCCGCTAACCCAGAGGTAGTACCTCGGGTTGAGAACTTTACCTCAGGATGAGAACAGAAATCGTGCATCGGCAGCGGGAGGCCCCATTAGCTAAAGTGGTACCTCAGGTTAAGAACGGTTTCAGGTTAAGAACGGACCTCCAGAACGAATTAAGTTCGTACCCAGAGGTACCACTGTAATTTTCGATTACGCCTGCAAAACGAAGGTTTGGAAGGGAGGCATGACCTGCAAAAGTCTGTTTAAAGCTCCATCCTGAGGGTACATTTATCTTCACTTTGTTAGGAAAGCCACAGAGAAGGCTTGCTATACAACTTGTGAAGCAGCACCAAGCTCATGGCTGGTGGCAGCAACTTTCCTCTCCGGGCAGCTGCCATGGTTCTCTTGCCCTTTTTAACTATGTGGGCTTTGGAGGAGGCTGCTTTTGTCAAGCCTTTGACAATACGTGACTTTGTTACTTGGATCACAGGCTGCGCAGGCCTGGTCAGAGAGGGGCAATGATGAAACAGACTCCGGAGGATTCCACAATGCCGTTTCTGCAAGAAGGCTGCAGAGCGCTGCTCAGACTTTCCTGTGACAAAATCCTCCTTTCCTCCCCATTCTACTCAGATTTTCCAAATGCCAACACAATGGGCTTTCAGGAATTCCATTTCTTTAACAAACAGTTTTGCTTCCTTAGATGATCAGCGCGATTGCTCCAGAGCCGTAGCAGCTGTGCAAAACAGGTCTTGGTACTAACCAGAGCTCCGCTTTTGCCAGCAAGTCCTTCTCATGCAGCTCCAGATTTCAGGATAATTAACTGAGAAAATATGGGGCAAGGAGAAGGGGAGAGACCACACTTCTACTCTGGATTGCTCTGAACTAGAAAAGCATTTTTCATGAGCTCTAACCGTGGTGTCAGCAAGAGAGTTAGGCATTTAAAAAAACTGAGATGCAAAGCGTGCCTCCTTCCCCGACAAAATATATATTTTGCAACATGTTGACCTTTAGCAATTTGCACAGCAGTATTTAAACCAAGAGTGGGGAGCCTCTTTTCTATGAAGATCCATGGCAAGGGTGGGAAACCTTTTTTTCCGTCTGAGATCCACATTCCCTTCTGAGCTAGGTCACATGCCAGAGGGGCTGGGCAGAGGCAAAAGCAGATGGAGCAACTGAAGTAGTTTTTTTTAGCTTTGAACAGTTTACGCTCTCTGTCTTCCATCAGAGCAAGCGAAAGGTATTATCAGAGTCCAAGGAGGCTGTGAGAAAAGCAATGACAAACCTAGACAGCATCTTAAAAAGCAGAGACATCAGCTTGCCAACAAAGGTCTGTATAGTAAAAGCTATGGTTTTCCCAGTTGTGATGTATGGAAGTGAGAGCTGGACCATAAAGAAGGCTGATCGCCGAAGAATTGATGCTTTTGAATTATGGTGCTGGAGGAGACTCTTGAGAGTCCCATGGACTGCAAGAAGATCAAACCTATCCATTCTTAAGGAGCCCTGAGTGCTCACTGGAAGGACAGATCCTGAAGCTGAGGCTCCAATACTTTGGCCACCTCATGAGAAGAGAAGACTCCCTGGAAAAGACCCTGATGTTGGGCAAGATGAGGAGAAGGGGACAAGGAGAAGGAGACGACAGAGGACGAGATGGTTGGACAGTGTTCTCGAAGCTACCAGCATGAGTTTGACCAAACTGCGGGAGGCAGTGGAAGACAGGAGTGCCTGGCGTGCTCTGGTCCATGGGGTCACAAAGAGTCGGACACGACTAAACAACTAAACAACAACAACAAAAGGAGGCTGTGAAACAGAGCCCATGAAGAAGGGCATAGCCTGGGGACAGGGTGTGGGACTGGCATGGTATAGGGAGCGTCTCGAGAGTCAGATTGGGGGCTTTGTACCGGCAGGTAAAGGAAGTGCACACCTGGCACATCCAGGTTGGGAATGGAGAAGCTGGAACTGCTCAGCCTGGGAAATGGAAACAGAGATGGGGTTGGCTCCAAAGTCTACCCTACAAGCTGGCAAAGTGAGAGGACCTGGCTGAGGGTTGCAGTTGCTAAGGAGGTGGCTGAGTTGGCAGAAGCAGCCCAGGCAACCAGTTTTTGCAAGGGGTAATGGGTCTAGTTCCCCATAGAAGAGCTGTGATGGCAGCTAGCGAAGAAGGGTGCAAAGTAGCCCTAGGCTTTTCCTTGCATTACACATCTGCCTTCCCTGGCGATAAACTGATTGATTCCCATGTGGGGTGGGGTTGGGGGGGGAGAGAGAAGAGGGAGTACAAATAGCTAGACTAATCTGCGAAGTTCAGAATGTTAGCCTTTCACAATCTCAAAAACTACTGTGTATCCAGGAAATCCTGCCAGACAGTCACTGTTTGCAAACGGCTGGGAAATATGGTCTCTTGCCATCGAAAACAGATGAAAGGCAGGCTCTGGTTAAACGACCAACCCTTTGCCCAAATGAAGCCTTTCCAAAATAAAGAGAGTGTCTGCTGGCTGCTAGCTGACCTCAAATGAAGGAGGGTGACGGGTCTGTGCCAACACGGAGCCTTACCTAATTAAAGCGTGAGGAGAAGGAGCTAAAGCAAGGCTTGTACCAAAGAGACGAAGACGCTCTTGCCAGCTTTGACACTGCGGTGGAGACCCAGCCCTAAACTGCCTCCTTCTAAAGAAGGGTTGGTGAATCCCCCACCAGTCTCTCTAGCCGACTACCACCCTTGTTCTAAAGCAAAGCCGTCTTTTACAGTGATACCTCAGGTTACATACGCTTCAGGTTACATACGCTTCAGATTATAGACTCCACTAACCCAGAAATATTATCTTGGGTTAAGAACTTTACTTCAGGATGAGAACAGAAATCGTGCGGCGGCAGCAGGAGGCCCCATTAGCTAAAGTGGTGCTTCAGGTTAAGAACAGTTTCAGGTTAAGAACAGACCTCCAGAACGAATTAAGTTCTTAACCTGAGGTACCACTGTATTCTTATAAGGTAGGGTTTCCCAAGCCTGGGTCTCCAGCTGTTTTATGGACTACAAGTCCCATCATCCCTGACCACTGTTCCTGCTAGCTAGGGATGATGGGAGTTGTAGTTAACGACAAAAGGGACCCCACAAGCCTGAGATCTGCCCAGTCCCCACCCCAAACTAAATTTTAATGGTTGTACAGGGGTACCACCAGAAAATCTAAGCTTGAGAAGTTTCAAAATGTCATGCTACGAAGGAAGATGGAAACAATCTTCTGAAGAGCAACGTGGCAGGTTACAGGCCTGTGGGTGGGGGCACAGACTGCAGTTTCTCAGTGGAGGGGGGAAAGTGCTTTGTATATTGTTTTATATTTTTCATGACCAAAGTTGGAAAGCAGCACCATGAAGGGCCCCCCCAAAAAACCCAACAGAACATGGACATACACAATATGGAAGCCAGTAAGTCACACTGGGGCTGTGTACACTTTCCTCACCACCTCTCTCACACACTTGGAGCACACTTCTTCCCTCAAAGAATTCTGGGTACTGTAGTTTGTTAAGGGTTACTGGGAACTCTGAGGGGCAACATTAGAATGCCCAGAATTCTTTGAGGGAAAGAATGTGCTTTAAAGGTTATAGCGGATATGTACGCAGCCTAGGTAACAGTGAATTCATTTCAGTTTTTCAAAATCAAAGCAAACACTTGGTGGAAAAGGAAAACACAACAGTCCGTTCCGTTGAAATGATGCATCGGTTGGGGGGAGCTTTGACTGCTTGTGCATCCTGATGGCAGAACTCAAAAAAAAGTTCTTGCTTTTCTCAATTTTCTCTTTAAAATGCCAGCTATATGCCATGGTAATTGAGGGCAGGATCCAAAAGACTGATCTGGTTTAAATCTCACCTCTGTCATTTGGAGGTCAGTCTCTCTCTCTCTTTCCCATCACACCTCACCTCCTGCAATCTATAGTCACACTGACCTGGTTATATACAGATTGCTGAGATAATAATGTATGTGAAGTTCTGCAAATGCTCTAAAGGAGGGATGAAGGCGTTCGTGCCTGAGGGCCAAAGGCAGCCCTCCAGGCCTATGTGACCACACCTCAGGCTGCACCTTTCCCCCCACCCCCAACCAAACTTACTCCATGCCCTCCTTAAGAGCTTTCGCCTGGCTGAAATGTGCCTAACTGCAATAGCACCCCTTGCTTCCTTGGCTGGAGGATGGAGGGTGCATGTGAGGAAACCTCTGAGTTGTCCCCACCTACTTTTGCCTCGGCTCACCTCTGCTCATCAGCATTATGTCGAATACTAAATAGTAAATGTAATACTTCCGCCCTGGTATCCGTATAAATGAACATCAGGTTATAAATTACTTTTAATAATAATTTCTAACAGATCAACACAGAGCAGCCATTCTACGAGCCATTCTGCTATTGGTTTTTTTGTTTGTTTGTTTAAAGGAAGGGCAATTTGCCTTTGCCAAGCCGGGTTAAGAATATAAAGTCTCTCTTTTTCAAGCTGTTAGAGTGCCATGACCTCCAATCTATATCATTTCTGTACCCTTGAGGCCATGACCTACATTACAGATGAAGTCGGAAGTGAACTTTTATTTAAAACATATTCCACACAGGCGGCATTATATTATGCAGTTTTTCTGGTTTACTTTGTCAGGGGTGTGGAACAATAACTGGCATTTTATGCATATGTTAAGAGATAAAATATCTATATATAACATCTCTCTCTCTCACACACACACACACACACGCACACACAGTCCACAGCTGAAGATTTGGACATATTTAAGGCATTTTTTTGAAATACAGAGACTTGTTCACATGCTATTTTAAATAGTTTCAATAACCCATGGCAACAACCACCCAAATATTTGTGCTTTCAAGTAGGTATAGTTAATTACTGCCCATGTCTTGTTGCACATGTACTGCATTGGTCTTTAGGAACTGGACTTTCCAAAGATTCAGTTTAAGTTGGAACATTATTTCCTGTATCCTGTTTTGTTCACTTAGAACAGCCTTGCCCAACTTGGTGCTAAGTATTTTTGAACTACAAGTACCATCAGCTCCAGGCTTCCCTGTGAGTCAACCCAATTTCACGCAGGCACAGAGGACCTTGCCTTGCCACTGTCCCACCTGGAAATGCACCCTGGCGACCATTTGCTTGGAAAAGTGGCCACATCAAGATCTTCTTGCATACATAAAGCTTGCACACCAGCAGGAAAACATGTGTGGCCGTGTGTCTTCCAGGAAAATTTGCCAGCATTTGCCGGCAAGAAATGAAATTTTAAAAATATAGTAACGAAAGCATTCTTCCATTAGTTGGTGTGTCTTTTTTTTATAGCTCCTTTGCAGTTGGGTCTGGAAGCTGCAGTACAACTGCAAACAGCATATTACACCTCTGCACAAAGATCTGTACTGGCTGTCATTTTCCCATCAGGCCAAGTCGAAGGTTTCTTGTTGGCACTTAAATCCCTTAACACCTTGGAACCAGTTGATGTGCGGGATCACTTTGCCCAATATGGGGCAATCTGACCATTTCAACTCACGGAGCTTGCACTCTTGCAAACACCCTATGACGTTCGCTCCACATCTGTGAGACATCAAGCTTTCCGTGTGCTTTGGAACTCCCTGTCTATTAACATGAGGGAGGCACCCTTGTGGTGCCGTTCCAGGAGCCTAAAAATCATTTCGTTTTAGCAAGCCCGTAAACATGTAAACCAGTGATGCATTCTCTGTTTTTAAACACAGCTGATTTTATTTGTGTGTCAATAATTGTTTTATATTGCTCCACATATGCCATGGAACTGCTCTCCTCCCTCCGTGCACCCCACTAAATCTGTTCTGGGGGTTTTCCCCAGCCCTCCACAGCATATACGGGGAGGGCACAGGGTGTGCACAAAGGGAGGAGAGGGCGGGGAATTTCTGTAGCCGAAGCATCTTTGGGCTAACGGAGCAGTGGCATTGGCTACCGCTGCCTGCAATTAAGTGGCTTGTGCAATCTTCTTAATACAGTAAGTATTACTACAGAAGGATGCACTGAGGCAATAATGGTGCTTCCCTGCCACAACTGGGTGTGAAAGTGCTTTGACATCGGACCAATAGTTGCCCAATTGCAAAATATTTAGTGCTTTAAGCACAAACCAGCAAAGAATCATCAGGGGTTTCCAAACTCTCGTGATTCTACAATGAACTTTACAATTCTATGATGAATCATAGAATCATAGAATCATAGAATTGGAAGAGACCACAAGGGCCATCGAGTCCAACCCCCTGCCAAGCAGGAAACACCATCAGAGCACTCCTGACATATGGTTGTCAAGCCTCTGCTTAAAGACCTCCAAAGAAGGAGACTCCACCACACTCCTTGGCAGCAAATTCCACTGTCGAACAGCTCTTACTGTCAGGAAGTTCTTCCTAATGTTTAGGTAGAATCTTCTTTCTTGTAGTTTGGATCCATTGCTCCGTGTCTGCTTCTCTGGAGCAGCAGAAAACAACCTTTCTCCCTCCTCTATGTGACATCCTTTTATATATTTGAACATGGCTATCATATCACCCCTTAACCTCCTCTTCTCCAGGCTAAACATGCCCAGCTCCCTTAGCCGTTCCTCATAAGGCATCGTTTCCAGGCCTTTGACCATTTTGGTTGCCCTCCTCTGGACACGTTCCAGTTTGTCAGTGTCCTTCTTGAACTGTGGTGCCCAGAACTGGACACAGTACTCCAGGTGAGGTCTGACCAGAGCAGAATACAGTGGCACTATTACTTCCCTTGATCTAGATGCTATACTCCTATTGATGCAGCCCAGAATTGCATTGGCTTTTTTAGCTGCCGCGTCACACTGTTGGCTCATGTCAAGTCTGTGGTCAACCAAGACTCCTAGATCCTTTTCACATGTACTGCTCTCAAGCCAGGTGTCACCCATCTTGTATTTGTGCCTCTCATTTTTTTTGCCCAAGTGCAATACTTTACATTTCTCCCTGTTAAAATTCATCTTGTTTGTTTTGGCCCAGTTCTCTAATCTGTCAAGGTCGTTTTGAAGTGTGATCCTGTCCTCTGGGGTGTTAGCCACCCCTCCCAGTTTGGTGTCATCTGCAAATTTGATCAGGATGCCCTTGAGTCCATCATCCAAGTCGTTGATAAAGATGTTGAATAAGACCGGGCCCAAGACAGAACCCTGTGGCACCCCACTAGTCACTCTTCTCCAGGATGACGAGGAACCATTGATGAGCACCCTTTGGGTTCGGTCAGTCAGCCAGTTACAAATCCACTGCGTGGTAGCATAGTCAAGACCGCATTTTACCAGCTTCTTTACAAGAATATCATGGGGCACCTTGTCGAATGCCTTGCTGATTCAAGAATTTCACCCAATCTTTTATATTCAGCACCCTTATTCAGCATGGCAACTGCCTATACTGTACACCACACCTAAAAAAGAACATTAAATTTTTTATTTAAATGAGAAAGCTTCAGATTCCCCAGCTTTCCTCCTCCTTCCCCAGTATCACCTTAAAGGCAACTTTTATTCGTTTGCGTCCAGGGCAGCTGCTCCTGACGCTGCCACTCAAATTACACCACACCACCTTGCATTGCACTGGAAGAATGTTTGCTGAAACCAGTAAATCTGCCCTCAGTTCAAATGCTAGCTAGAGATGTGCAAACTCCCAAAGACTAAATGGATAAAGAGAGTTTCTTCACATCTCCGACAACAGGCTGTTTGAAGCAGGAAAACGCAACATCTTTGTTAGAAGAGTCTTTTCCATGTGCAGACTTACCCGATCTGTATTTTTCCAGAAGGAATCCCACCAAGTGCAGGGGGGCTGTCAGCAGTCGGAGTCAGGAACAGGTCAGCAATAAAACACCCAGTGTCAGTGAAGTGAACTCTTTATTCAAAGAAACCCTAGCGATCCCAGCAACTCTTCCCAGTAGGTCTTGCCCCCATGAGACAGTTTCAAGGCCTAAGGTCCCTGTCTTCCACTGCTCTCCTTCCCTGGCAGCCTAATGCTCTGTGTCTTTTCTCTCTTTGCTCCACCTTCTTCATTTCTGTGTGTGTTCTGGGAGACCAGGGGAGCTGGTCACAGCAGGAGGGAGAAATTCCCTGGCTTCTTCAGCAGCCTGCCTCATCTCTGCCTCCTGGCCTGCCTCCTCTCCTGCCTCTAAATCTGGACAGCCCTCTGCCACAGCCTCTTCCTGCTCACTAAATCCTGTTGCCTCTTCAGCTTCTGACAGCTCCTCCTCCCGGTCTTCTCCCTCTCATCGTGGTCCCACCACCAATTCCCTGGCTCTGAGCCTTCTTCCCCTGGGGGTTCCCCAGCTGGTACCCCACCCCACCACTCCTCTGCAACCAGCCAGTCCATGACAGGGACTTGCCTCCAAAGGAGGGCATTTTTGGGTTGTATATAAAATGAAGGCATCCTAGAAGTTCAAGGACTTCTGCTTGCACAATGGGTGTCCCTCTCTGTCTTCTCTCCCTGTGTGCTCACCCCCAAAATATTTTCTGGGTTTAACCCAAACTTTCTGGAGCAGATGGGGGGGCAGCATGAGGAGAGGAGAGGGAGGGGAAACACTGCTGTGTGAATTAGATTGTTTCATTGGATACAACCTTTGTGACGGTGTAGATTGTGTGTGTGTGCACGATACTATTTGAGACCAAAATGTATTACATTATTCATATTGAGAGCACCTGTAGAGAAGCACATCGATACACAGCTGTGCAAAACCAAGCACACAACTGATTTGAGACTGCCTAGTCTGAAACACCAATAAGACTTTGGCAAAGACACATTTCTTTGCACCACAGTAAGGAAACACTCTGTGTGTATTGATGTTTACTCAACAACACACAAATACACACAAAGCATCCACAGAGCTACAGAATGGCATTTCAATTCCCGAGCGAATCTGACAAACCTTAAAAAGGTGGCTTCAAATTTTAGATTCAGTGGCAGAAACCAACTGGTTAAACAATTTGCAATGCCATTACTTAGAGCCAACAAAAACATCTGATGAATGTCCCTGGGTATTCTCACTAAAGGGTGGGCAGTAGGTAGGTCTGGATCTGCTGGCATATCTCCAGGTGGTTTGCAGTAGATCAGCAAGGCTTTCCTCACTTTGAACAATGGTGGCAGCTAAATAACCCTCCTTGCCAAAATTAAGAAAGCTCAGGGGAATAACCAGGAGAGTGTTTTTGTGTGTGGAAGAACTGTGAACTCATGGCACTCAAAAAGTCTAATTCCTGGACTTACAATCCTTTTATTCTAAGGTAAGCCTTTTCCACCAGGTGATAGCTGTGAAACAAAGTAGACCTCACAAGCCTGAAGTTTCCCCGACTCATACTCTAGATAGGTACGACTTAGAATCTGGCTTGTTAGCTCAATGGATCTTCAACGTCATTCCTTCAGGTAGGACCTCCCTGACCTTCTGTCCCTTAGCCTTGCCTTACCTGTCTCACCTGCTCTACACTCAAAGCACATGACACTTCCTGCCTCTAGCTCTGTGAGGGGCTTTCCCACAGCTCCTGTTTTCCATTAGCCCTTGGTTTCCTCAGTTCTTTGTTTCCTCTGTTTGTCTTTATATCGGCCCTCTGCCTGCTTTACCTCTCTATTCCCATTGGGCCGGTGCTAGTCAAGACTATTGTCAGTTTTGCCCAGCACTTGAGCCCTCCCTGTTTCCTCAACCCTCAGCCCTCATCTGCGTCAGCATCTCTGCCTGCTTCCAGTTCCTGTCAGTAGCTTACAGCCATTCTTTTCCAGAAACTCTGGGTGGCATTCAATTAAGTTTTACTCAAGAGTAGATCCATTGAAATTCACAGGCACATCTAAGTTAGGTCCATTAATTTCAGTGGGTCTGCTCTGAGTAAAATTTAGTTACATACCATCCATCTCCAGCCAAACAGACCTTTCCCCTTCCCTCACAGAACCTGCATTGTCTGTCAACATTCCGTCCACACGGCTGTCCCTTCAGAATATTCATAGGCAAACCATAATATCGACACAGCTTAGCCAATGATAGAGCAGAAAACTTGTTCCAAGGCAGGCAAAACAGGCCTCCCTTCTTAGCTGTGGCCAAGCCGAGATCAGCCACATTTCAAAGACAGAACTGCATCAGGAACCACAAGTATATTTCATTTTCACCCATTTGCTGCTAGTTCTTATTGCCTTTATGCAATACATTTTAAAGCGGAACAAAACCAGAGAGCTGCACCGAGGATAAATATTTGCATTTTAAGTTGTTCTAATGATGTGTTTTAATATTCAAGTTGTGTTTTAATTATTGTAACCTGCCCTGAGGCCTTAGTGCATGGGTAGGCAAACTGGCCCAATCGCCTTCTAAATCTGGCCCACGGACGGTCCGGGAATCAGCGTGTTTTTACATGAGTAGAATGTGTCCTTTTATTTAAAATGCATCTCTGGGTTATTTGTGGGGCCTGCCTGGTGCTTTTACATAAATAGAATGTGTCCTTTTGTTTAATATGCATTTCTGGGTTATTTGTGGGGCATAAGCATTCATTCCCCCCCAAAAAAATATAATCCGGCCCCCCACAAGGTCTGAGGGACAGTGGACCGGCCCCCTGCTGAAAAAGTTTGCTGACCCCTGCCTTAGGTGTGAAGGGCGGCTAATAAATTTTAATAATAACAAGTGTTCAGAAAACACATGGAGAAAAAGGAGGCCACTGCATCGTTGCGTATTATGATTAGGCTACTTTCATTCCCTCATTGTTTGGTACTTTTAGAAATATTACTGTCAGTAACAGCCATTGTCACTTGGGGTGCTTTATAGCATCCTGTTTTTCCTAGGAAAATGAACCAGACATCTGTGTTTTGCGGAGATAAAGAGAGAGAAGCCCGATAACAATATTGTTATAATAGCAGCCATCCTGATACAAAGAGGAAATGTATATGAGATAACATCCTCAGCGGGCAAGACGTCCACTTAGAATTGGCCGCTTTTGCCTTTGCTAGAACTGCCCATATATATGCAGAACACACTGATCTGTGTGCGTGTTCTTCAAATGGATAAAAATGACAACCTTGTAGGCATTCCGTGCATTTTTATTTTAAACCACATATTCTTTTTGCGGTGCCTTCGCTGCAGAAGCTTCCACCGAGTTTGTTCCATCAATACAGCAGAGGCCAAACTTGTACAAGAACACTGGCTAAGAAAGGAGCAGGGAACTCGCAAGAGATCACCTGCTCCCTTTGGAAAACCACCCAGTGTGGTGTGTGGTGGTTGGGCAGCTATTATACGTTAAGTGGGCTCATATGTTGTTGTTGTTTAGTCATGTCTGACTCTTCATGACCCCATGGACCAGAGCACGCAAGGCACTCCTGTCTTCCATTGCCTCCCGCAGTTTGGTCAAACTCATGTTAGTAGCTTTGAGAACACTGTCCATCTCTCTAGCTTTCTCGCTCATATGTTAGATATGCACAAATCCTTGGGTTCTATCCAGTGGTGTCTCCTCCACAGTGGGAAGACTTTTGGATGTAGCAGAGGCTTCCATTTGGGAAAGAAAAGGAGACAATCTTCATCAATTCCCCCTTTCCCCACCCAAACCACCTTCCATGCTGTTTTCAAAAGGTCATCCAACCCCTTTCAGAATAATTGGAGGAAGGAGATGAGGGGCAGAGAGAGTCAGACAGAATTCTCTCCCCATTTCACTGACAGAATCTTCCACTAGAGATCATGGCACTTTCCATCAGCTGAGGAGCACCACCAAATTCTGCTTAAGAGAAGTGTGCCTCATTATCTTGCACTGGAAACACTGCTGTAGGACTGCTTCTGGCAACCCTGTTATCATTGCATGGAGTAATGTTTTCCACTGAAACTGCTTTTGGAATGTTCTTCACTGTTTCAGAATGTTTTGCTTTGTTTTTTAAGTTGTGGGTCTGCTTGCTGTTTGGGGCTCCTTAGGGGAGAAGGGCAGAGAATAAATTCAACAAACCAATTCAACAAATAAATAATAATTATGAAGCACAGAAGTGCATAAAAATGCTTTTTAAAATTACGAGTGGCCATGTGTCCTGCTTTACAGAGGACAGTCCTCTGTCTGAAGGACTGCCTAGCACAAGTCCTGTTTAAACATATGCATAAGAGAAAGAGGCAAAGGCCTTGCCTATCACGCACAGTAGACAGAGCAGCACGTTGCCTACTAATACACAGTATTCCCCATTATGGTGGTGAGATGCATCATCTTTCTAATTAAATCCTAATAATGTTTCGCCTGCGCATTTTAGATTTAGCACACACACATTTTATGCAAATCTGTGCCCTCTTTTGTTCTCTTGCTTGGCAATGCAAAAGCGGCTACCCTATTGAAAATCCATTGTTTTTTGAGTTCCACATGTTAACTATTAATGTATTATATGGCTGACTTCTCTCCTCCCTCCATTATTTGAAATGAGACTCTTGGTCTCTGAACGCACTCCAGCTTGAAATGCACAGCAAAACTGTTGGAGAAACGTCTTGTTTGCTGTACACAGCGCAGCTTCGCCTATCAAACACTTAATCTAGACTTCATGTTATGACTCAAGCGTTCCCTCTCATATTCCCTGCACGTTGCCGACACAAGATTTGCAGAACACTTTGGTAATGGTTATGAAATGGGGCAAGGGGATAGCTTTCCAACAAGTTTCAGTTCAAACGTACTTTAGTGTTTTATAATTACGTGGACAATTTATCTTGAGATCAGTCGAATCCGTCACTCAAGGGGATTTGCTATCACAACAGCAACCTGGTCTTTGTTCATTGGGGTTCCGTGTGAAAGCAGAAGAATTTTTAAGATCTCCTTGCCTTCCCCGACCACACCACACACACACACACACACACACACACACACAGAGAGAGAGAGAGAGAGAGAGAGAGAGACAGACATACAGCATCCAAATTTGCAGGGGCACTCACAGATTATAATGCGCTAAGAGCTAGTGGCCTGCCATTAAACTCTCCACATTCCTGGACTTCTGTTTCAACATGCTGTTGGCACAAATCCAGCACCTCTCTTCACCATTCCTCCACAGTGCTATGATGATTACAGGGAACCTGGCAAACAGAAACCTTATACATAATGCAGCGTCTCGTTTACATGCACATTTTAACCAGTCAATCCCCAGTTCCCAGGAAGAGCACTGCAGGTCTCAATGGACTAGCATACGCATCTTGTGGCTTCCATCTGGCAACCAATACATGCTTTGGTTACAGATAGTACATGTAAAAAAGTAAAGGGACCCCTGACCATTAAGTCCAGTCATGACCGACTCTGGGGTTGTGGCACTCATCTCGCTTTATTGGCTGAGGGAGCCGGCGTACAGCTTCCGGGTCATGTGGCCAGCATGACTAAGCCGCTTCTGGCAAACCAGATCAGCACACGGAAATGCCATTTACCTTCCTGCCGGAGCGGTACCTATTTATCTACTTGCACTTGACGTGCTTTCAAACTCCTAGGTTGGCAGGAGCAGGGACCGAGCAACGGGAGCTCACCCCTGTCACGGGGATTCGAACCGCTGACCTTCTGATCAGCAAGTCCGAGGCTAGACGAGTCTAAAAAGCCCAGGGCAAAAAAATTCACAGCCCTCTTGCGACAATGGTGGCTCAAATACCAGAAGTAATGTATTTAGTGTTAACTCTGGAAGTGTGCACTCGATTCTGACCAAACTAAGCCTCCTGGTGTATATTTTGCTCAAGGAGGCTTAATTTGGTCAGAATTGAGTATACACTTCCAGAGTTAACACTAAACACATTACTTCTGGTAAATGAGCCACCGTAGTCACTAGAGGGCCATGAAAATTTGTGTCCCGGACTATTTAGACTCGTCTACCCATGTACTATCTGAAACCCAAGTGGCACATTGGTTGCCAAATGTGAAATAAATTGGCATTATTTTCAGCTCTCCTGCCTTATCAACAAGATCCACTTCTATGATCTCAGGCCCCAGCCATACCTCGGCTTCATGTGGACTGCAAATCTCTTGTGCCTTCTTTAATTTCCCCTCGTTCTGAATAGGAGAGCTATTGAGTCATTATTTACACACTGGGAATCTTTCTTCCCAATACATTTTCAGCACGCGGGAAGGAAACACAACTGCTGCTTTGCAGATTATGCTAAGCAAGTGTTGCAGGTCAGCATCACACACGTTCCGTGAGGCAAGCTTTAAAGTTATTCAATTCAGGTGCCTTAAATAGATCTCTTGACCTTCAGGTCTTCTTTTCTAAGGCCTTGTTACTTGAGTTGCAGGAGCAACTGCTGAGCATCCATTCCCCCACAGTTAAAGCCAATTGTTCCCTAGCTTGTTGCAGTATATTTAAAGGGGCTAGGCTGAGATACCTTGCAAATAATTTCTCAAAGAGCAGAATCTTCTAGGAAAGGCAAAGTACTCTACAACCAGTTTTAGACTGGTTGCCTACATATACCTTCACCCTTAAATACACATCTTGATTTTTGTTCTGACCCAACATTTTCACAGATCTTTATACAGGGTGGGTCTTTTAAAAGGAACATGTGTACTCTGTATGCACGGGGCCTCTTTTAAAGGACTCTCCCTGTATATGGGAATTCCTCTTAAGAATGTGCCCAAGTCTTCCAAACTTAACAAGTGGTCCTCATTCACACTCATGATTTACACCAGCCTCCTCCAGCTGGTGCCCTCCAGATGTTTCGGACTTGAACTCTCATCCGGCTCAACCCACCCTTTTGTAATTACGTTTCTGAAGAAGACTGGCTTGTCTAAAAAGAGGATAACAGCCAAGAGAATACGGATAGGATGGAATGTGGCACACACATGCATTTAAAAAGATAAATTAAAAAGAAGAAGACTGTGCGCAGAAGACTATAAAACTTCATCCTGTTTTTTAAAACAGCACAATCCTTTTATAATTAATATTAATCCTCCTTTGTACCAGGAAATTCTCCAGCAGAGCTTTTAGCAGTACTTTCATAAGATTGTAGGTATGATAAATGAAAGTTTAAAGCCTACGCAAGTAATTTGTCAGGCAGTATATTTTATTGCATGCTTTTGCTATTTTCCAGTGCCTTTTTGAACCACCAACAACTGGGGGAATTAAACCACTGAGCTAACAAAGGCCCCCTACTGACATTTTTTTTTAATCAGCTCTGCACATTTGTTCTGGCATATTTGCCTGTAGTGTTATCATAATGCCATTGCAGTGCTAATGCAGTATTTTTCACTGTGACGTTGGGCTGGCAACACAGTTAAGACTTGCTCTCTGTAAGTGCTTATTTGCTTGGTGGAGGCAGTCTAAGAAATGGCCCCAAAACATTCTCAGTTTAACTTGTTTTGAAAAGTAAGTCGTCTTGCTAATGAATAAGTGAGAAGCCAGTAAAGGTTTCAGAAACTCGCTTTATCACGTGATGCCTTAAACATATCACATATCCTGACAGAATATTTAAATTTAAGGCAAGGAACAATAAAGAACAACTCCTCCGGGTATAAGACACCAGTTATCTTGCTGTACACAATATTCCTACTGATTCAGATGCAACAGACTCTCTTGTTGGGGTGACGTCAATGCTCCTTGAGCTTACAATTCTCTGAGAAGGCCTTGACGGAAAAAAATCAGAATGGCTTTCAAACCAAGACTCCCAGACTTAACTCTAAACATTCTGAAGATGTTTTTTTAAAAGCTGCTCACAAGTACTGAGGAATACATACAGTGGCCTGCAAGGGGGGGGGGGGGATTAATGAAAAGTTCTAAGCAATGATAAGTAATAGAAACTCACAGCTTTAAAGAAGATTGCTTAGAAAGGTTTTGTGGATGTTTGGGAGGGCTTAAATTGGATCTGCTTGCAGACCTTTTTTAGGGGGAAATATTAGCAAGAGATTCTTTCTGAATCTTCACCCTGAAAACATCGGGAATCACAAATACGATCTTCTGCTTTTGTTAGGGATAATGTTTCATTTTTTCCAGCTGAACATTCCAGTAGATTTATTGTGTAGCAAACATTACCAAAACTAAACAAGAGGCAGTAAAAACTGTTAAAAGCTTATCTCTGTTTGGCAGCCATTGTTTTTAAGACAGAAACTGCATTATAACGTACAGGTTTTTCAAGGTTGGCAAAGCTACAAGATTCTGTCAAGGATCTATTTTTCCCCCTGCTTTATTTTTTTTTTAAGCATTTTAATATTACTTTTAACAGCAACAAGAGACACAACAAGAATGCATATTGAGAAGTGTTCTGCTGTAGTAAAAGATCTGCATTTGACACAGTTGGTGTTTTGTATGCTATTTCAAAGCCTATCATTCACATGAGCATAAAGAAGTGTCTTAACGAAGTTGCATATGGTTAAAAGGTTTACATTACAGTCCAATACATGTCTGTTCAGAAGTAAGTCCACCTGTTAGTCCTGGAAGACCTGCTCCCTGCCTTGCATATCTTTTTCCACCTGGCCTAAGCAGGGGCCCTCACTGACTCCAACTACAAAAGCTGAGACTACAAAAGTTGAACAAAATCTTGGACTGGGGTATTGATTAGTGGGGGTTTGTTGGGGGGGAGTTGTTGATGTTACTTTTTTGTATCATGATTTATGTGGAAATTGCTCTGTTTTGTTGTGTACTAGCTGATGTTTTGTTTATGACTACTTTTGTAATATTGTTGTAAGCCACCTTGAGAATGGTTTTAACTTGGGAAAGGTGGCATACAAATAAAATGATTGATTGAAGTCCCATTGTGTAAACGAATAAGGATAGCAACCTAAAACCACAACTCTGCGTCAAGACAAGCCTGATCCTGTACAACAGTGGTGGGGGAACCTTGAGGTTTGATGGCCTTTTACAAATTGTCCTAACACAAAGGATCTGTAAAACATATCTTTACTGGGATTGCCTTTTGCAGAGCCTTGGTCTCTCACATTACTTACGTAAAACTTATTATGGAAGACAGAGCTGGCCTCACCAGCAATAAATGAAGTTACACCATTGCATAGCCGGTGCTGAATGGTTTGAACTGTGAACCGTTGTCTGAGAATATTGTTAAAGGTCAACATTTCCAAGCCAAGAGGACCAGAAATCTAGTGTGGGAGTTTCTGTACAAAAGATCTTATTCTTCACAGTGCTAATTGTTTCTGAGGTTCCACTTACCCTGTTGCCTCCTTATTGAAAGCAAGTACGATTTAGCCCAGTGGAGTCAATTTCAGAGTAAAACACACTTAGGATTCCTCCTTTGGGTGAATCATGCAAACTCTTTAACACTTGCAGGAGCCAGCAATTTCCAACATGTGAAAGATCTGGGCTACAGCAGCTGCTGCTAATCTGAAGCCCTCTTAGCCTTTCTGCAGACCCTCACATCCTCTTTCCCCACTAACTCAAACATGGCTGGAGACAGAGGCCATCTTGCAATAGTGCAGCCGTGATGCAACTGTCCCAACTCTAACCAAACAGAAGGGCTTGTGGGAAATTATAATTAATTTTCTGGTGTCAATACTTTCACCCAAAAGCAAAACCAGTACAGTCGTACATTGGTTCACTCAAGCCTTGGTGACTCAAATGCTTTGGCTCCTGAACGTCGCAAACCCGGAAGTGTTCTGGTTTGTGAATGCTTTTTGGAAGCCGAACGTCTGACGCAGCTCCCACGGCTTCTGATTGAGTGCAGGAAGCTCCTGCAGCCAATCAGAAGCCGCGCCTTGGTTTTTGAACATTTTTGGAAGTCGAACAGACTTCCAGAACGGATTCCGTTTGAGAACCAAGGAACAACTGTACTGTACTAGAGAAGTTTATCCAGAGATTAAAGCCTCAAGTTCAATATGGGATCAACTTCCTGGAACTCTGAGAATCTCTGCCTTGCTCTCCACTAACCCACACCCACCCAGAGCATATTATACACAGTCTTAGCTCTTCAGAGGTTTCTCCTCAGGAGGTTGTCACTGCATGCAGATTTGTTTTTCTTAAATAAGACTGGGTAGCTGCTTCCTTTACCAATTCCAGTTGCACAAGTTCATGCTCTAATATAGGTCTGTCAAAACTAGAGTATCAAAACTCCTTCATCCGAGGGCACAGGTATTTGCTGATCCACTGGGGGTAAAGAATGAACGGAACCACAAATCGCTTTGAATCAGAAACAAGAGATGACTTGGGAGCGAGGCGCATTAGTTGACCACAAGATTACAGTTCTATTATTCTCTCTGTCGAACTCCAGGTCATGCCTTCTCTTCAGCTCTGCTCCCCTTTGAGAACTTTGCCTGGCTGAAATGTGTCTTCAAACTGTGATAACACACTTTGCTTGCCGGGATGGAGAGATGTGCCTGAGTCTAGGTGCCTAGAAATCTCTGAGTTTTGCGTGGCTAGAATGTAGTCCATTGTGCAAAGCTAAGAGTATTGCTCTGCCCCACTTTGCCTCTGGGGCTCACCTACCCCTGGCATGCCACCCCAGAAGGAAGCCCATGAGGTAATGCAGTCCTCTGACTCCTTTAAAAGCAGCCTCCCCAGTATGTAAAAGCAAAGTAAAGATGGAATCAGGATCTGACCTAGGCTCGAAGAATATAACAAGGAATTCTGTGAGAATTCCCCATAGCTGCTAGGCTGAAGGACTTTTCCCTCTTCTTGTTATTTTCTTCAAAGATCCCTCCCTCCCTCTTTTTACTCTTTCTATTGCCATTCTTCATTCATTTCAGGATAAATATAATCGCTCCAGGGAATTATCTTACTGGATATTCTATGAGAACGGCATAATATTTGATCAGTTTGGATGGAACATTAAAAAAAAAAAATAGTCATTATCTCCTTCTATAAAAACGAGGAGGGAGGGAATCAATGCCACAAGCCTGTACATTTAAATTCCGCCTGTATGACATTTCCTTCTACTTTAATTGCTTCCATACAGTTTATATCTGCTAGTCACGCTAGGCCTCAGAGTGCTCCATGCACCCTGCTACAAAGGCGCTCTTGTCCTATAATAACCTCGGCAATCAAAGTGAAGGAATTATGGGTAAGGCAGAACAGCCAGAGTTATTGAAATAAACAGGTTTCCAACTGCATTCAAAAGCACATTTCTGTCAGGAAGCAAGTCCGCCCTAACAGCTAGTTCTTCTGTCAGGATCTAGAGAGAAGTTAGAAGAAAACTGGGTAACAGCGTTAACTGCACACTGTCTAGTCTACATCCGCCTTTGGCAAACCTGGTTCCCCTCCTCATGTTTTGGACTACAACTCCCATCAGCCCCAGCTATGATCAGCGCCGTAGCGTGGGTTGTCAGCACCCGGGGCAAGGCAAGTAATTTGCGCCCCCTAACCTGGGGCAAGGCAAGTAATTTGCGCCCCCTAACCCCTAACCTGCCGCCGCTGCCAGCTTCTTCTTGCTGCTGCCTGGGCTGGTCTGGTGTGGTTCTCTCCCGCGCTCAGCGCTGCGCTGGGCGGCGGCTGCACTGTCCCTCCCCCAGATAGTCCCTCGCTCTCTCTCCGCACCGCACGCCTGGCACCCACCCCCTCCACAGTGGGCGGCGACCCAGCGGCTCGGATCGGATTCGCACAGCCAGCACTGCAGTGAGAGAGAGTGAGTGAGCCAGGTAGGGGCAGAGAGCTGCGAGTGCGAGCGCGCCCCCCCCCCAGATGTTGCGCCCGGTGCGGCCGGCCCCCCCTGCACCCCCCACGCTACGCCACTGGCTACGATGGGCAAAACAAACAAAGACTTAATTAATTTTACTCCATGCCTTCCTAACTTCATTTCAACTGGTGTTACCACATCAGGCAGGTTGCTAAGAAAGCCTTCTGAAACTTTTTTTTGAAAAACTGCCATGTTTCTTTAAGGATATAGCAACAACAACAACAACACCTGAATTATCTAGTCAGCCCACTTACTTGTCTATTTCTCAAGTGAATAAAACTGATTCTGAAATTACCTGTTCCAAGTTTCTCCTGAGGACCTAGTATTTTAATGGAACTGAGCATTGTTACACATATTCCTCACTCCGCCACCCTAGCCGCCTTTCATTTTACTCTAAAATTGTAATTACGTTTTAAGCCTCACACTTGGCAGACCTCCTTCTTCATATACAAGACAGACATTGTTAAAACAGCCCGTTGGAAATCATCATAAATACGATCTATCGTTTCAGCTGCAGCAGCTCGAGAGAATCGGTTTACAACACACCAACTTAGAAGTGCCTACTATGCTCTTTTCAGACACTCTTAAGCCAAGGCCCGAAATAGATACCCATCAATCCAAGCAAGTCTCGAATGGGCCTTCTCAGAACTCCAGAAATTGTTTCTTCACTTCCAGCCTAGTTTCTGCTGGATTAGAATAGCCACCCTAATTAAAACTCTCCTACTTATCTGGGCTCATAGATAACCCTCCGCAGGGTGCCAAAAACTATATAATACTTCCCTACCCCATCAAAAAAAACAAAAACAAAACACCACCCCCAAAACTCTATGCCATTTCATTCACCATGTAGAATATGGTCACCAACTCGCATGGCTTAAAAAGAGGATTAGACAAGAAAAATGTATTCCTCTATGTAACAGCAGCAACCAGAATATTGATTGCAAGGAATTGGAAGGGGGAGAAAATCCCATCATTAGAATGGCAAAACAAACTGTGAGTTTGGAGAAATGGCAAAATTGATGGCAATTATTAGAGGCCACTCAAAACAAAGAATAATTAAAAAGAGGGATGGAATGAAGGAATACATGAAAAAAGATGGTTCCGGAATTGAAATACAAATAGATAATGTGTAAAACGTGCAGGGGTAAGCAAGAAAATAACAACAGAATTAATTGGACAATTATTAAATTATAACAACACAACAAGACGGAAGAAGTAAAAATGGAGACCACGCATGGGTGAAGGGAAGTGGGGGGTATAGGGGAATTTATAATATTATTTATAATATGAACTTTCCAATTGCGTTGTATTTATATACAGCAAAGGGAAGTTTAGAGTAATTAGGTATATTTCAATTTAGGTAAATTATGTAATAGGTTTATGTTAGAAAACGAATATGGATTTTGAATTTGATGCTTGTAATTCTCTTTGGTTTTGAAAGAAAAAAAGAAAAGAGGATTAGACAAATTCATAAAGCTATCAATGGCTACTAGCCAGGATGACTTTTGTTCTACCTCCACTGTCAGATTGTACCATGCATCTGTATGTCATCAATTACTGAGAATCACAAATGGAGAGGGTGCTCTCTAACTCTAGTCTTGCTTGCGGGTTTCCCACAGGCATCCGAGAACAGGATGCTGGACTAGACATGCCTTTTGTCTGCTGCAGCAGGGATCTTCATATGTACTTACTGTTCTTTTTTGCACAATTGATTTGGCTGTTCTTCCACATAGCTACCCCTTGGCAGCAACTGAAAGTAACAAGAAGTCCCTAAGCCAACAAGTCTGTGCTTTGCTCCTCCCATTGTTGAGCCCAGAAACAAACCATGGAGTAGCTCAGTGAGGGGTTGCCGTTACATCTGACCCTGGGGCCATCGTTTGTTTCTCCCAAACAAACCACAACCAGGAAGCCAAGAACGAACCAAAGCATTTGTAGGGCACCGGTTGGAGAAAGCTAACCCAAACCTTCCCTCCCGCACTCCTCACTTGGGTACCTGGGCTGTGTTCCAGAGCGGGTAACAGTTTAATTGAAAAAGGAGAGCTACTTTTAATAATGAGCAGTGCAAAATGAGCGGCCATTACTCAGGAGTCAATTTGCGGTCATTAATAAGGCATTCTTGGTCCGCAGAAATCCTTTTGATCTCTTCCATCCACGTTGAGCAGTGCAATGAGAAGGCAACATTTACACAGATAGAGAAATGCTAATCTTACAACCCAGCAATGGTCTCTTGTCACAAGGAATATAAACCTGGAAGTCAGGAGCCTACAGTCCATGTGTCATTTCTGCACAGAAACTATGGAACTGCTACAATGGCTGCTATTAATGGGGTGTAAATGAGCTATATCCAAGTTTCAGAAAAATCCTACAAAGTTTTCTCCAAAGTTCTCCAAATGGAGCCATTCATAGAGGATAAATTCATAGAGGATTTATCTATAAAGGCTATGTTGAGGGCTACTAAATTCATACAGGATTTATCTATGAAGGCTATATCGAGGGCTACTATGTCATCTAAAGACTTGCCATGGAACACAAACAGAAGAGAGGTCTTGTGGGCTTCCCATAGGTATCTGAGTGGCCAGTATGAGATCAGAAAGTTGACTGGATTGGCCCTTAGTTTCATTCAGTAAGTTTCTCCTTATGTTTAGGATATATATATCCCCCATTTTCCATTAGGGTTGACATATTTCAAAAGGTACAAATCCAGACACAAAAAGTTGTTGAGCTTTTGTAGGGCAATTGCCTGATAGCCCCACAGCCACCGCCGAGCCCACACCAGACCCAGAGACTGAACCGAGCTGCCCACGCCCCCCAAAAATTATTATTTAACCCAAAATCCAGGACATTTGCTTTAAAATGTACAATCCCCCCCCGATAGGCATATAGGACCCCCAAAAGGGGACATGTCCAGGAATTCCTGGATATATGGCAACCCTGTTTTCCATACCGTCTTCCATACATTCCTACCCACGATCATGAATGCCACCATTCAATCTGTTGCCAGGCACAAAGCAGCTTAAGTTAATAATCACCCATAATCAATGATTACTTAAGTATAAGTGAAAAGCAAATACAAAACACAATTGCTTTACTATATGAAGTCCTGATTATATCTGCCTCAACACGTTGCTGCATATACAGCTTTTTCCAAGGTTCGCACGTATGATTGGATGCTGGGACGTGCCCTGCATTGTATTATCGCAACACGTCCAAGCGCCGGCAATTGGATTTAGCAAGAGCCTCAAGACAAATTAGAAGCATCTCATTTTATGGAGTCTTCATCAGGATCAGGTGAAGCCTACTTTGTAGTAATAATAATAACCATTTACCATTTTTTTTGCATCTGGCTGACACTCAAGGATCACTGAAATGTATGTGCTCTGAAGGCCCGAAGTATATGTTAAGGATAGACAATATACATCTGGGGACCCAAGTTTGAGAAACACTGTTAAAGGGTATAACAAGAAAGAGTAGAGTGTTTTGAAAACTGAAGTACGGTACCAATATTTTTATTGTAAACACCAAATTAAACATGCATGAACAATTTCTGTTAAAAATGTGATATTAACAACGTGTCACTTATGTGTATTGTGGATTAATTCATGCTTACCAAATTAATAAATAAAAAGTGTTGCTGACCACCCTAACCCCCCCTGTGACGGCCTGGCATTCTGTTTTGGCGCCCACAGCCCAGGTCCCAGAAGCCATTTGGCTCCTAGCTTTTCTATCCCAGTTGCTAATACTGCTTTGAACATACCTTTTTTAAAAAAAAAATCACATTTATCAAAAATTGGCCTCTTTACGACAACGCTCAATAGCAAATGTGCAGTGCAATCCCACGCATAGCTACACAGGACACAATAGGGCTTACATGTGAGTAAACATACACAGACACTGTACACTGTTTCAAAGACTTGCCTTGGGATTTGCAGGTAAAGCAAGGAAATGAGATGAGGCTGTTAAAAGTTGTGCGTTTGCTCACCCTCAGTATTACAACCGCTACCCCAAGTTAAAACATGCCTTTAGGAAACCGAGCTAAGCTGAATTAGTGCCTCATCTGCTCTATTATTCTTGACCACTCCTGCTGAAGCTACATGTTTATACAAGCCCTGAATGCAACCAAGGCAATGTACTCCTGCTAGTTTGCAAGATATATCAAGATGACCTTTAAACGCCAGTGTAAGATGGGAAGAGTACTCAGGAATACCAGAAAAGCAGCTTTTCAGGGACAAAATACTTTTAAAGTACCAGAAAGTCAACTTTTCTTTAAGGTGCAATAACAAGAAGTTCAAGGGCCTTGGAAGTAATTTTTAAAAAGGGGGACAAAGGCCTCTTAACAGTATGCAATCAGCTTTTCTTATTGGAGATTCTGGTTCCTCACAATGCAAAAATGTGTGTGTCTGACAGTGGAATGGACTCTCTTTCGAAGTGGTGTACTCTTTGGAAGTCTTTAAACAGAGGTTGGATGGCCATCTGCTAGGAATGTTTTGATTGTGATTCCTGCATTGCAGAGGGCGGGCTAGATAATGGATCCCTTCCAACTCTACCATTCTGTAATTCCAAGTCTAGGCCTTGCTTCTACAGGCCTTCTAAAGAACCCAGTACAGTGGTACCTCGGGTGACATACGCTTCAGGTTACATACGCTTCAGGTTACAGACTCCGCTAACCCAGAAATAGTGCTTCAGATTAAGAACTTTGCTTCAGGATGAGAACACAAATTGTGCTCCGGCGGCGCGGCAGCAGCAGGAGGCCCTATTAGCTAAAGTGGTGCTTCAGGTTAAGAACAGTTTCAGCTTAAGAACAGACCTCCGGAACGAATTAAGTACTTAACCTGAGGTACCACTGTAGATCTGCAGTACAGACTGACTGAAGCCCTCTGCTACATGAGATCTTGTATAGAGAGACTGGCAGAATTTAAGCAAACAGGCCGAGCCTCTGAACTGCAACCAAAGGCCATTTCCAGACTTTATACTGGCAAGCATTTCTTCAGTTCCGGCGGTCATACCAAGCTCTACATTCACAGGAGCAACACAGCAGCGGGCAAGCTGCTCGGTCACAAAACTCAGCTGCCAACATTTCCAGAAGCATGGAAGCCACTGCGGCAGAAATCCACAAGCCACGGACTCCTTTGCCAAGCTGCCCTGCAGATTCAGACAGAGGGACAACTCCCAACCACAGGAGCAGCAATGTCTGGAAACTGCTTGAGGCAAAACCGGGACATTTCTGCTGCTTCACACTCTTCCTTGTCACAGGAAGGTAAAATTGGGGGGGGGGGGACAAAACAAACTCCTACACGGACCCACAGAAAAAGATTTCAAGCATGCAAAAGGGGAATAAAAATTCGCCTCCCCGCTTCTTGCAATATTATGTTCCTTCTTGCAACATTATGAATATATTTTTGTTGGTTATTAAACACATGCATTGTTTAAATGTAAATAGCTGTCCATCAATAAGTATCCCCTGGGCATCTTACAAACAAAAGAATATTAAAAGCACAGTGCATGATCATTAAACCAATATGCAGTCCTTGGAAATGGGGAAGGGCTTTCTTTGCACAGAGGCAGCAAAACAGTTTACAGATCAGATTAGGCTACTTTAAATTCACCTCGGGCTGTTGTGGCCTAACATACAATTAGAAGGCGGGGGTGAAGAAAAAGGTATTCGACTGGTGCCCCAAAGACCAGAGAGAAATACTAGGGGCCGTGGCGGAGCAAGCCGATTGGGCGCCTGGGGAGGCCCGTGGGACCTCCGAGGAATCTGCCTGGCTCCTCCCACTCAGCCACCCTACAGCTGAGGGAGAGGCAGTGGGCGGACAGTTTGGGACAACGCCGACCCTGCACGCGCCTGAGCCAGGAGAGATGTGTGGCTCGGTCGCGCTGCAGGCCCTGCGGTGAGTGCTGCCCAGCATTTTGTCACCCCCCTCAGTGGTGACACCCGGAGTGGATCCCCCCCCAATGCACCCCCCCTTCCTCCGCCCCTGACTAGGTCAGCCTCTCTGGGGTATTCCATTGTTGGGGGTGCAACTAGCCAGACTATGCAGAGCTAGATATATTAACAGGAAGGATTCGAAACCTGCGGGACCAGAGATTCTCAGAAGACTGGAGTAAATACACATACTATTTGAAAAGTAATTGTCATGAACAGATTACGCTAGTAGGATTGCAAGAAGTTTTGTAAGGAGGATTATTTGAAATATTGCAAAAAAGACTATGAAGAAAATGATTAGTTAATGATAATTAAGAGTAATAGAAAAATTAGGAAATGCACAATATCACCAGAGGAGCTGACGGAAGTAAAAAATATTGTATAAGATAAGAAAATATGTTATATGAATGTTGGAAACGATTTGTTAAAAAAACTAATAAAAATATATATATTTTTTTTAAAAGGGGGTGTCACTAGCCAAACAGCCCTTGCTTTGGTAGCTACCTGGCTCACCACGTGGTAAGGCAGGACTTCCAAAATGGATCTTAAGGTCAGAACACACACAAGTGGCAGGAGATGATCTTCCAGGTCACTTACCAGTACAGTGGTACCTTGGTTCTCGAACTTAACCCATTCCGGGAGTCCGTTTGACTCCCGAAACCGTTCGAAAACCAAGGCGTGGCTTCCAATTGGATGCAAGAGCTTCCTGCACTCAAGCGGAAGCAGCGTTGGACATTCGGCTTCTAAAAAACGTTTGCAAACCGGAACACTTACTTCCGGGTTTGCAGCGTTCGGGAGCCGATTTGTTCGGAAGCCAAGTTGTTTGAGTACCAAGGTACCTCAGTACTTCAAACCAAAACAGATTAAGCAAAACAATGTTAAAAGGAACTGTGTTCAATTTGCAACATTTATACAGGCCACAAAATCTGGGTAAGATGTCATTCTGAGGCTATTCTAATGTATACATGTTTACTATAATTTGAGACTAACTATACAATGATGTTTTTGTTTTATTGACTGGCAAACATTCTGATGAAATGCACACATAGTAGTCAATTAAAATACAGAGGTGCACTATCAATTTCTTCTTTCACTGTACAAGGCTGTTTTCACACTCTTACGGACTAGAAACTTGCTTTAAAAAAATGAAAACTGAAATTCTCAGGAAGCAAAAATTCTGTGACCTTTGTAGAATGCTTTAAATATTGTTATAATACACTCTGACAGTGATTTCCTTCTGCTGAAAACTTGTGTAAATATTTTGGGCTGGCACAAGAAAGCATCTGGATCAATTATGTCTTTAATAAAGTTGGGATGGGAAATTTTAATCAAACCATTCCTAGATCTTCCGGGTCTCCTTTCTTCAGGTGTATTAACCACCCCTTTCCAAGTTTCCCATGTTCAAAAGGGGGCCAGAGGCAATACTGAGCTCCCAGCCCTCATATGTAAAACAAGTTGCACCTTTTGGAGTTGCGCCAGGTAAGCCAAACGTAATGACAAACTTGTTTTCCTCCAGTTCTTGCCGGTCACTATTGTTTTACCAGTGACTGTTCAAGGTTTGTTAAATATCTAAACATCTCCAGCCAAGTACAGCCAATACCAATGGAGAATCGTTCCTGGTAAACACATGCAGCTTTGTTGTAAGTCTGTTTTCCACCCCCCACTTTTGAGACCCGGTGTTGCGTTACAGTTTAGGGTGGTCCTGGGGCTACTTAAGTTTCTTACAGTCATCGCCAAAAAATCTCCACAGGGACCGACATGCAAAACTGTGATTTCTATAAGTCACAGCTGGTCCCGGGTAAACAAAGCAAAGCAAGACTTATTGTCAGTACAAAGTTCCAGCTCCACTTTCTTCTATTTGCAAGTGGAAATATATACCATTTGAGAACTAACCAGTGTCCTAATATAAACACAAATTGCTTTACAAGCCTTTAAAACCTTTGTCAAGGCCAATGGGTTGGATCTTATGCATACAGACTTGAGAACAGGTCCCACGGGACACAATGGAGCTTACTTCTGAGTAGACCTGCACTGGTTTGCACTGGTGAGTTCAGCAAAATTGACGCCTATAGATTTCAGAGGGGACCAAGACTGCGAACCTAACCCCACTTGATGGAGCCAGCCTCAGTGAATTCAATAGGACCTACTTCTGAGTAGACACAGTTAGGACTGTGCTGTTAGTCAGACCTAGCTTGATTCATTCATTTCAACTAACTTAGGCTCAAGTCCTAAACACACTTACTAGGAAGTCAGATTCATTAAACACAGAGGAATTTACTACTGAGTAAGCATGCAAATGATTATGCTGCACCGCTGGATCTACCCCAATGTGTTGTACGCCGACCATTTCAAACAGCATGAGTTCATGTTTTATATGTTGGAGGCCGTCCAGAATGGCTGATGTTGTTATTGTTGTTGTTTCCACCACTTCTTGATTCTTCCAGTGGGAGCTTGTCTCCCATTGGAGAAAACATCCAGAATGGTAGCAGAATTATTCTATTGCAACAAAAATAAGTAAGAGTCTTGCAGCACCTTAAAGACTAACACATTTCCAATGGTGCAAATCCACTTCGTTAGATGCCTGAGGCCTTATTCTCAGCTGGAAGAAATGTTTATATACAGTGGTGCTAGGGCATGGGGGAAAGTGAACAGGGAAGTCGAATGCTCTCTGTGCTTTATTTTGCACACTTTTTGTGCTCTGATAGATACCATGTACTTTTTGGATTTCATTACCATCTGATGAAGCAGCCACTGGTCCATGCCACAATAAATTTCTTACAGAACAGTAATATACATTTTTGAACCAATGATGCTTACTCTCAGGAAAGTGCATATACTGCACTTACCAGGGAGTAAGCTCTGCGGAAGTCAACAGGAGAAACATTTGTTGAATGACACTATGAATATTATTTTTTGGAGAGAAAACAACAATAACCAATGAATCCTCCTTATATTTCCTTGGAATTGAATCCCACTGTGCACAATGGCCCTAATTTCCAGGTAACAATGCATAGGATTGCATCTCAGCCAACTCTTTCTACTCAAGAGGCCAGACGTCATTGTATTCTACTCCCACACGGGTCTTTCAAGCACCCAATGCAGCCCTGGAGGACAAGGTGTGGCTGTTACATGGAGCCTACACAACATTAAACATGTATTTTAATTTAATGTGCACTTAAAATGCAAATGGCAGCTGCACTGAGGGGAGATTTCCCAATGCAAATAGCAGCTCCGGAGAGGCAATTTCTCCCAGGACCACAGCAGGGGAGGGAATAGTTAAACTTCATCTCCCTGCCAGCTACAACTTTGATCATCATCATCAGTTCCCCAGTGGCTGCCATTTGTATTTTTAAAAATAGGCACAGTAAATGCAAAAGACACTTTTAACGTAGCAATCCAGTTTGGGAGATACAACGAGAAAACACTCTCAACGGCACACTTGGGAGTTAGCAAATGTGTTCTTGAAATATCACGCTCAGGATATTTGTTTCCAGAGTTTGAAATCATCCCCTCGCAAAGCACTGACGAATGCTGACAGACTACCACAAATGCCCACCATCTGGCAAGAGCGATGCACAGGCGGAAAGCAGATTTCCTCAACACATCCTCTGCTTGGAAAGGAGCTGCACAAGTAAAAAAAAGCACGCTGTGTGGTACAGGGTATGTATCTGGGTCACTTAGAAGTGCACACACAGATCCCAGCACAAATCTGGGACCATGTAAAAAGGTAAAGGTAAAGGGACCCCTGACTGTTAGGTCCACTTGTGTACGACTCTGGGGTTGCAGCGCTCATCTCGCTTTACTGGCCGAGGGAGCTTCCAGGTCATGTGGCCAGCATGACTAAGCCGCTTCTGGCAAACCAGAGCAGCGCATGGAAACGCTGTTTACCTTCCCGCCGGAGCGGTACCTATTTATCTACTTGCACTTTGACGTGCTTTCGAACTGGTAGGTTGGCAGGAGCAGGGACCGAGCAACGGGAGCTCACCCCGTTGCGGGGATTTGAACTGCCGACCTTCTGATCGGCAAGCCCTAGACTCTGTGGTTTAACCCACAGCGCCACCCACGTCCCTCTGGGACCATGTATGGCAGCACCAAACAGGGAGCTGGTGCTGTCAAATCTGACAAGAATGGCCATATTATGAGCAGTCACTGATCTGTGTGCACCAGCATAGGCTCATCTTGTTACTCCAGAGATTCAGAGCCACTGCTAGAGAAATCTCACCCAATAAATCTCACTGCAACACCCTATTTCAGTTTATCCGGAATTCACAATCAAGATGATTGGAAAATCAAAAAGAAAGGGAGGAGGGAACCAACAGTGCAAACATTTCAGTAATTTCCAATCTACCCCTCCTATTCAGTCTCCTAAGTGGTAGCGCCCTTCTTTAAGAAGCTTTGTCTACTAACATCCAGATTTCCTTGCACTGCAGAAATCCTTAATGGCCGGTAGCATTTGTCTTTAGTACAGAAATACAGGAAGCAGGGTTGGCCCATGACATTGGGGGGGGGGGGCGAGCCACAAAATGGCACCCCGCTTCCTGCCAGGAAAGAAGGGGCGAGTGAAGATCTACATCAGGAACAAGGCGGGAAGAAATATCTACATCAGAATCTGCTGCGCCTGGAACTTGCCACCTGAGGCAGCTGCTTCACCCGGCCTCATGGCAGCTGTTTTATATCAGGTCAGACTGTGAATCCATCTAGCCAAGTTACTGAACCAGCCTTCTCCAAACTGGAGCCCTCTTGGTGTTTGTGGACTACAACTCACATCCGTTCCAGCTAGCAAGGTCAGGGATGATGGGAGTTGTAGTCCGAAATATAAGAAGTGGCTTGTTTGGTCAGGCCAAAGGGTCATCTTGTCTAGCTTCCTCTTCCCCCAGTGACCAACCAGATGAATGTGGGAAGTCCACAAGCAGCACCCAAGTGCAAGATTATGCGCCACGCTTGTGATGCACAGCGACTGGCGTTGAGAGGAATACCTCCGCTAACAGTGAAGGCAGAATAAAGCCATCATGCCTGGTAAGCCACTGACAGCCTTAACCTCCATGAATTTGTCGAACCCTCTTTTAAAGGGACGCGGGTGGCGTTGTGGGTTAAACCACAGAGCCTAGGACTTGCCGATCAGAAGGTCGGCAGTTCGAATCCCCGCAACAGGGTGAGCTCCCGTTGCTCGGTCCCAGCTCCTGCCAACCTAGCAGTTCGAAAGCACATCAAAGTGCAAGTAGATAAATAGGTACCTCTCCGGTGGGAAGGTAAACGGCGTTTCCGTGCGCTGCTCTGGTTCGCCAGAAGTGGCTTAGTCATGCTGGCCACATGACCCGGAAGCTGTATGCCGGCTCCCTTGGCCAATAAAGCGAGATGAGCACCGCAACCTGAGTCGGCCACAACTGGACCTAATGGTCAGGGGTCCCTTTACCTTTTAAAGCCATCCAAGTTGGCTGCCATCACTACAACTTGCGAGTGAGCTCCATATCTTTACATGTGGAGCGGGAACTAGCTCAGACTAGCAGTGGCTCTCCAGCCTTTCCCATCATTGGCTTCCCAGTGTCCTTTGAACTGGGAAGGCCAGCAACTAAACTGGGACCCACCGCATACACAGCATGGGCTCTACCGCTGATTTATGGTGTGCATCCCCCTAGCCTAGAAGGATCCTTGATTTCACAAGGATCCTGTGATTCTTCTGCTGCATTCGTCGGCAGTCTGTTGTTCCATGATGGAATTCAAAGCAACTTACTTCTGAGCAATGTGTTAGCATCGAGGGTGCGATTCAAGCTGTACTCCTCTCATCCCTTCCCTATCTCACCCTTCTTTTCCCTCACTGCAGCATAGCGATGCTCTCTATAAACATGTTCCTCCCATGTTTGTTTATCTCAATGTGTAAACTGACTTTGGGGCCCACACAGGCCCTGAAGGCCATACAGATTGCCCATGTTTTAGATTCCTGTTTCTCTACCCACACACAGATGGCTTTGGGAAAGGCCCCTTCATCCATTTTCCCATCACACTGTGGCCTTGTTTGCAGGTGATGCTAGGGGAAAACTGCAGGCATACAGTCTCTGGGAGAGCAGCTTGCAGCTGCTTTGCTCTGCCCTGGTTATTTTGGTGCTGTGCCGAGCCAAGCCATGGATTGGCCTAGCCTGTCATCCAAACCTGGGCTGGTGGAAGAAGTGGCTCTCCAGGTGGGAAAGAGCCATCACACTAGCATCCAGACAGGTGGGTCGCTGTTGCCTACTGGCACAGAGAGCAGTAAGGAAATGGGATGGTTGGTGCAGCACAAATGCACCAGCAGAGCCAACCCAGTGCTCCTGCCAGTGCCGCTGCACTGCACTGACCTACCTCCCCCTCCCTCCTGATAAGCAACATCAACTCTCCTGCCAGAAAGCCAGCATAGCAACTCCACTCCACCTAGCAAGCCAATTCTAGCTGATGGGTTAACTCTCTCCAGACTAACCACACACTATAGCCAAAGTATGCCCTATGGTTAACAGCTTATGGTTTGTCCAGGTTGCACTAAACCACGGCTTAGCACACAGTTAGAAACAGGCCTGGAGCTCCTAGGGTTACCCTTAGCCCCTTCTTTGGTATATTTCGGGATATAATTTAAAGCTTCTTCTCCTTTATCAAAAATAATTTATCTGGAATAACATCAATAGTGTTGTTCTCTCTTTATTCCTTTTTTTTAATCCACAGATAAAAAAAAATCCTTTTAAATATTATTTTTGCAATCTTCCTGGTTGCCTTTACAAAGTAGTGGAGAACCTGTACTGAGCAAAGAATTCTTTCTATTTAATAATACTGATTTGAGCCTTCTGGTGTTCATGTAAGGAAGACTGGACAATTTATGCAAAAGTGACAATTATCAGCAGACTGAAGATAACCCCGAAATGCATATGAGAAAATTTGCAAGGGGGGGAAAACAAATCCATAACAACTGTAGCATAGACTTTTGAGAGGCAGGAGGTTGCAGGGTGGGAAGGAAAACATCCCTGCCAGCTGGGTGGGGAGTGAGAACAGAATAGAGTGTCTGGAACAGGAAGATAGGGACACAAACATATATATACACACACATATAAAGTGTAAAATAAAACCATTGTCTGGATAGGCCACTTCCTGTTTCATTCTGAGAAGCTATTTTTAAGACATTCCCAGGAGCAGGAGGAGTTGCCCATCAACATCAACAGGGAAATTAAAGAATTGAACAAGCTTGTCCACCATTACCCCACTCCCCCAAGCAGCAATGGCGGTGGCGGGTGGGGGAAAGGAAACCCCACTCAAAAAAGAAGTCTAGTGAGAACTGAACAACTCAAGTGGGTATGGAATGCTGGCTTGACTGCTGGGAGGCAGGGCTAGGAAATAACATGAGAGGAAGGGGAATGGAATAGAGTGGAGCCACTGGAAACATCAACATGAACACACGATTTTGTTGTAGCACCTCAACTTATATTGGCGGTAAAATCAAATGTACTGTTTCCATTGACTTGCTTCCAAAGAGGTTAAACTCCAGTGGGCTACACTGCGGCATTTGATTTGTTCCAGGGCTCACCCCCAAGGACTTAAGCTCAGAATTAATTTTCAGTGGTACAACTCAGCCAAAGTGTCCCTAAGTATGCACTAAGCAGCAGCATCTAGTCCTAGTCCTCACACACCTGAGACCCCCTAGCAGGGAAAGAGGCCTTCGCTTGCACATCACATCCCAGCAGGGCCTACCAGTGCTGATGCCCACCTGAGCTGTGGCCGTTGTAAAGCCATTATTTTCATGTTCCCACAATGCCCCAGAGGCACATTACACAAGGACATGAAAATGGAAGGTGACTCACAAGCAGCCATCACAGAGGCTGCCTCTTGCTTGCTCCTAGTAAACCCGCCATATGAATGTCCCTGCAGGCAACGGAGGGGGCTCACAGGAGGGCATTTTCTGAGGGGGTCCTTCACTCCCGGTTTCAACTTTGCACACCTGCTCAAGTTTACGTGTGCAGAGGAATTAAAAGAAGCATGAAGAGGTTCATGAAGAGTTGATTCAAGTCTGGCCCTAGGGGGATGAGCCCTGTTTTCTGTGCCAAGGTTGAAGTATCAAAGATATTGCACTGAGAACCAGCAGTCAGCATGTCAGACTTGGCCCCGAGAAACCCAGGTTCAAATTCCCACTCAGCCATGAAGCTCACTGGGTGACCTGGGGCCAGTTATACCATTGTAGCCTAACCTATCACACGGGGTTGTAGCTTGGATAAAATTGGGAGGTGTTTGAATGAGGCTGAGTGGTGGAAGAATGATGCACACTACCTCGAGCTCCTTGGAGGAAAGGAAGGAAAATAAATGATAAAGGTAAGCTCCTCTGAGCGGATGCAAACTCCTTCACCAACAATGGTCACTTTTGTGTATTTTTATTTATTTTTTTAAAAAAACTGAGGTTATATCCCACCTTCTTCCCCATAGAGCTCAGGATTGCTTGCATAGTTCTCCCCCTCCTCATTTAATCCCCACAACAACCCTGTGAGGTAGGTCAGGCTGCGAGTGAGTGACCGGCCCAGTGAGCTTCATGGCCGAGTGGGGATTCGAATCCTGGTCCCCGAAGTCCTAGTCCATGAAACACACATGGATTTGTGTGATGTAATTTCCATGTAGGAAATAGCATAAAACTCTACACCGGATGAGAGTGCTCAGATGTACTGGTTAGTCTTTGTATATCTTAACAGACCCACCTGTATTTCTCAACACTGGACTACACTCAGAAACTGCCTTATAGCAAGTCAAAGCTTTGGCCCCACTAAGTCAGTATTGTCTGCGCTGACTGGTAGCAACTCTCTGGGGCTTCGGGATGAAGGGGGGGTTGTCTTCTCCCAGACCCGTCCTTTTCCCCACCACTGATCTTACACGTCCCAGCCAGGCCTAGCGTTGCCCCTGACTCTTTTGAGTCGCCTCCCTGCACTCAAGAGCAGCCCCCAAGCCTTCATTCTGCTCGCTTCGCCTCCCCCCAAGCTATTTCCTCCCCAGACTTACTTGAGGAAGTATCTCTGGCCCGTGTGCGTGAGTGCCATCTCCCAGCCGGGAGGCAGCGGCAGCTCGTCCGTCACGTCGTAGGATTGCTGGCGGAGGTGCGCATGTTGCTGGGCCTGGCTCGGGGTGGCCCCGGCCCCGGCGCCCAGCTGCAGGGAGGCGGGCGACGAGTGCGAGCGGACGTGGTGGGCTCCGACGGCAGCGCTGCTGAGCCGCGGCGGGTGGCTGCCTGAGTCGGTGCTGGACTGCCGGGAGTGGGAGCCCGAATCGGGCTCCTTGAAGAAGGACTCTGGCAGGATCTTTTTCCTCCACGAGCTGGGCTTGGGGTTCATGACCGAGTTGAAGAGAGCCTCCAGGTCGGTGTCCAGATCCTGCGTGACATGGATCACCTGCTGCCCCGGCGGGGGAGGGACGCCAGCAGGGTTCATTTTCGCCACCTTTTCCCGAACTTTTCTTTCCCGAACTTTGGGCGGGGAAGTCGAGTCTCTGGAGCAAATCTCTGGGGTTTCGCCCTCTTAAATCGCCAGTTTCCAACCCCCGTCGCACAAAATAAGTATTTTGCAGTGAGGGTCCAAAAGAGACCCGAAAATCATCCGAGACACGAGATGCAAATAATGATGATGATGATAAGCTTCTTCAAACCCTTCCAAAGCTAAACTTATCCGAGCGCCCTTTTTTTTCCCCCTTTCCTCTTCTCCCCAGAGGCCCCGGCGGCTCCAAGGCAGCCGTCCCCTCCCTCCCAAAACTTTTTATCTCGCAGGATCTTCCAGAGTACACATGAAGCACGTCCAAGTCAGGCCCGGCGGAAAGTTATGCAACTTTTCTTTTCTTTGCTGTCCCTCCCCGCTGCAACTGCAGAGATTTGTTACAATTCCCTCTTAAGAAAGCAGCTCCTTTAAAGGACTAGTTGGTGTGTGTTGGGGAGGTGGGGGTAGATCTGCAGCCGCGGCTGTCACGGGAGGGAGGAAAGGAGGGCTCAGCCTCGCCGCCCGGAATTCCAGAGGAGGCCTGAGGCTCGAGTGAAAGCTTCGGAGGGGCTTGAACGTTCTGATTTGGAACGCTGGCGCTCCCGTGAACGTTCCGATTTCGAACGCCGGGGTTTCCAGGGGGGTCTTGCCAGCGTTCGGTTCCCAGGCCTGACCGAAGATTCCTCCCCCTCCCTGGCCGAGCGCAAAAAAAAAAAGTTTTTGATTTTTCTTAAAGGGTGGGTGGGCAGAAAACCGATCTTTTGCGGGGGAGAAAGAGGGGAAGGGGGTCCCCTTTCCCGTTCACATACCCATGGTCCGGATCTTGAAGAGCTGAGTACTTCCCGCCGTGGTAGTGGCGGCAGCGGCGGCTGCTTTGGGACTATCCCAAACAAAGTTACCCAAAACTCTCAGGGCGGCGCAGAAAGTTTGGCAGCTGCATTATTCATGAGCTCAGTGTCTGGGACCAGCCCGATTACACGGTACACCCACTGAGAGTCCTCCCACGGCTCAGCTGAGAGCCGGACCCTGCTGGATTTTTTTTCCCCCAGCTGGGATAGAGGAGCCTCCTGCGGGTGGGTTTAGGGAGTTTTACGGGGATCTTGGACGGAAATCCAGCGGGGTTATGACTAATACATCGGGCGAAGGAAGCGTGCCACCGCTTCCTGCGGGACTCTCCCTAATAAGGAATCGTACAAAGGGGGGGAGGGGGAGGGGGTACCGTGCAGAAAACCAGCTCGTCCCTGTCGCTCGTTTGGGGGCGGCCTCGCCATTATCAGACTGGCCGAAACTACCATTCAATACTTCCCTGAAGCCACTTAGCCGCTTTTTCTCAGATATTCAGTGGGACTTTCATATGCAAAAAGGAGTTTGAGCACAGCTCAGGGTTAGGCTCTGACAGATCCTGCATTGAGAGTCGCATCGCAAACGGCATGGTAGGAATGTGTCCGCCCCCCGTCCCCGGTTGCAGGTTCCCACAGGTGCCTGGTGACTGTGAGAGGAAGAGATATGTGGAGGGTTTCTATAGCTCCTCAGTGCTGATGCTTCGATTGGGAGCCTCTCCCCTTCTTTCCCCTGCCCGTTGCAAAGATACTGCCGTGCTTAATCAGTCCATTGGATTTCATCTACTAAAACTGTAATCCAAACCCCATTTACCTGGGAGTAAATTCCATTGAATTAAATAGGGCATTGAATGGTTAAGATTGTGCCTTTTAAAAACTGCAATGGTAAGCATTCTCTCAAGCCCAAAATAGCTGTGTTGGCCCATGAAACATATTCTTTTATTTATTTGACTCAAGTCTCTCATGTTACCTGTGGTGCTGGTCTTAACACAAAGAGCAGTCATGCAACCCACAATACACAGTATAATGCAGTACAGCTTCTGCTTATTTTCCTCTAGAGCTCTTGCATATTACAGTGGTACCTCGGGTTACAGACGCTTCAGGTTACAGACTCCGCTAACCCAGAAATAGTACCCCAGGTTAAGAACTTTGCTTCAGGATGAGAACAGAAATCGTGCGGCAGCAGCAGCAGCAGTGGGAGGCCCCATTAGCTAAAGTGGTGCTTCAGGTTAAGAACAGTTTCAGGTTAAGAACGGACCTCTGGAACGAATTACGTAAGTACTTAACCCAAGGTACCATTGTAGTTGAGGATATCCATAGCTAACAAATAGAAACTACACTGCTTCTTTGCTTTCTGTCCCGAGCAACGTTGCATAGAAAAATCTTGTGGCCTGCCTTCAGCCAATCAAAACAGTAGAACTAACTTTTCTCCCCAAGAAAAGGATTGCTGTAACTACCCATTTCCTGAGAACTTTGTCAACCCTTCTGGTTTCTATCCTTCTGGGTTCAGGCACTGTTTTGGGATAGAAACCAGCCTTAGCCTTCAGGAGTGGGCTGTGTATGACCTTGTAGCTCTTACTTGATCTCTTGGGAATGTTTAATACCACTGACCACGCGGGGCCAGATTAAGACCTTTAGAGGCTGTAAGCACCTAAAAGATTTTGGTGCCCCCATATATATCTAATTAAAAATATAAACAATAATAAACCGTAAAATTAACTTTTGTTTTTAGAAATTAAACAAAACCTATAGCAAGATGGGAAATGATCTTTATTTTGTGTATACCTCCACTTTATTTAAAAAAATTTTGTGGGGGGGGGGAGAGAATTCTCCCAATTTGTCTAAATGCATAGTCTTTGATCAGATCCTCAAAACAAATCTTATGTAACACATCTGCTTCTATACTTAATAGAGTTAAGGCATCCAGCCTGCCTTGTTGCATAGTTGTTCTGTTGGGGTTTTCAATATACCTCAACTGAGAAAATGAATACTCTGCTGAGCAATTTGTGATTATTAATGTTAAGAAAAATACGAAAGCAAATTTCTACATTTTGTTGTGTTCCCAAGTTCAAGGTATATCATTAATCTCCATTATTACTATTTTTAGTATTACTATCTTAGTATTATTTTTATTATTACATATATATGTATGCAATTTTCCCATTTATTATGGGAGCCTTTATTTGTGGAGCCTGGTTTAGCTGTGCCATATGGTCCATGGTAAATCCGGCAATGGAAAACTTCTGTACCTTCCCTAGATGCCCTAAGCACATGCTTATTTTGCTTAATGGTTAATCCAGCCCTGTGACCATAGTATCCTCCTGAACAATCTGTGCAAGTTGGTGGCACTTTTTTTGTTAAGTGCTTTGATTCATAACAATGCATTTCCCTGTACATGTGAGCAGTCCCAGTTGCCTTGCCCGTGCGCTTCCATGAATAATGTGGTGTTTGTACCATAGATAAAGCTAGCAAATCCCACACCGCAATATTTTTCGGTATAGTGATATTTTTTCAGGTTTCCAGTTGCAATGTTATGTTATCCAAGGGCATCCTTCTCAAGTCAGCTCACGCACAGGAGGTGACATCCTGTATGAACCAAACATGGTTGCTTATTTCAAGCACAACAACAATTTTGACCATAGGTTGGTGCTATTTCCTTTTGCGTAGTAACATCAGCCAGCACTTAGGGGATGGAGAATTTCTCCTCTGTATGAGTAGCGGCTGGCCCAAAAATAAAAAAAAGTAATTACAAGAAATTAGCCTGAATACAAATACATATAAAATATTACTGTATATGTTTCTTTATTCAGATCAGAAAAGATAAGAAGGAAAAATGTTTGGTCATTATACCAATAAGCTGTACAGCACATTATGCAAAAGGCAGCTGTACATAAAATTAGAAAAGCTTACATGTTCAACTAATATTGATGTCTGGTTAGATTATGATGATTATTCCAACTTGCATCTGACATTATTACTAGATTAGCACCCAAGCAAATTCAGCCCTTAAATGTAATCTCAAGAACTTGGCCGAGGAAAAGTTTTTGACAGGTCCAGTTGCACTGTTGTTTGGCGACACTGGTTTCCATATGTTTACTGAGATGGCAAATACTACTTGATGTTACGCACTATTCGTCTACAGTGATTTGTTTTCATTTCTCCCAAAGCTTGTTCCAGTTGCTGAATCAGGTGAAGCAACGTCGCAGGGTCGGTCTGTAATATTTGAGTAGTTTGGTTTCCATTCTGAGTAAGGTGGAGCTTCAGAGTCACAACAGGCTTAATTTGCTGTCTCAGACTTCTGCTAGCAAGCTATGTAAATAGTGAGGTGAGGAAAAGAAAACTCAGTAAGATTTAAAATGAAGAGATGTGCTAAGAATAGCAATTAACAAAAGCATTCTAATTCTCAGCATTCATAATTCAACAGGGAAATATAGATATATTTTACAGTGTGTACCTACTACATTATGATATCCACCCCTTGATTCAGAAGGACAATTGGATATACTGGGTTAGGAACTAAAATAAGAACCAAACACTATTATCTTCATTGTTATAATTTTGGCCTTTTAAAGTAAAACAAAACCCATGAACAATCAAATGTATCATAAAAATAAATTTAAAATACCAACAATTTTGATTCCTAACTCACCTTTACTTTAACAGTTGTGGCCTAGTTTTGGAGTTCCCCAAGTGTAAGGGAAATACTGGAGAAATAAATCAGGGTCTTATATTCCTATAAACATTACATGGGATAATGTTTCAACTGAGCCACTTTTGCAAAGTCAAATTCTTAAGTGCCAAGGCAGCCAGGTAAATAGAACTTCCATAACAGCTGGTGGCAAAGCACTGAACCTAACTGCTGAAAATACACTTCTGTGTCTAGAAGAAAATCAGTGCTAGGTTGTAGACCCAAGGTACAGTGGTGAAGAAATCCCTTTTGCCCAAGCTAATGAAATTTATAAACTGAGATCTAGAGATCTCTGTTTAATGCTACTAGTTGCATGCATTTTCTAATCCCAGCGGCAGAAGATGGGGTAGTAAATAGCCAAAGGTGTTAAATTTTTTATAAACAAATTTTAGCCAAAAGCAGCATATTTATCAAGCAAAGCCAGGGGCAGCCGAAATTGCTGAAGGTAAATAAGCTTTGCCTACATTGAAGACTTCGTTCTATATTGTAATGTTTCTAGAAATGTAGGATTCTGATTTACTTCCCCAGTACTTTCCTTATACTTGAGGAATTCAGATTAATTTTATGTTTCAATTTTCATGGCAGACTCCAACCCCATGATTACTGAAAATATAGCCAAGTTCCTTACTGTAGCCATCAAAACTAGGCCACAAAGGGAGGATGAATTTTGAGTCAAATTGCCTGCATTTTTAAAATATTACTTTTTGATTGTTCATGGATTTTGTAATACTCTTATTTTAAAAGGCACAACTGGTGTACATGCAAATAGTCTCCCACCCCACTGCAGCTGTCTTGATAACCCTATGCTGTATCTGAAGTTTATGGTCTGTAGACCAAATAAACTAAACTTGGGGGGGGGGGAATTCCAGGAACTAGTGTTATTTTTTGAGCTTGACTAACCACATGAAATGCTCCCTATTAGGCCTCTTCTGGTGTGGGAGGAACAAGATGAAATGGATAAACATTTTCAAAAACAGATCAGTGCCTTTGGTTGGCAATTTCTGGCTTAAGACTAAACTCAGCCCAGGGAAGGTTGGAACACGGATCACTCCCCTCACCTGCCTGGCCAGCTACAGTTGCCACAGGTTCATAATAGGCTGCATACTAGCATGGAGTCAGTAACATAAAGGAGGTGGGAAGGAGGATATGGAAGATGAGAAGATCTGAGGAAGATCACAAGTCCTTTCATAGGGTTGGGGGACTTGTTTGAGAGTACCTACATATGCAGGTGAGAGCCTTCTTGCTTTTGCTGACTTTATGTAAGATATTCTGGAAGCTTTTCAGCTAAAGAGCAGGGTAAAATGCTTAAGGTGATAGTGAACATTTAAGGGGGGCTGTACACCTATGTGCTTGTACATGTATGCGAGTCACCCTTGCACTCAGCTCACAAATAACTTTCCACACAATTTGTTTGCTGATTTTTATTATACAGACTAGTTTGCATACTTGACCTCTTACTGGCTCTGTTAAAGTCGACATTTTTCCCAGTTTCTTAATTCTGTTTTAATTTTTTTTTGTTAAGCTACATTTTCAATAGCTTGTTAAATGTCCTCTGATTTAATTTTTCATTTTTTTTAATGGCAAATTTTAGCAACAAGCTGCTGCTTTCAAAATCAATGTTCCAGTTCCATAAAACGTCAATACAATTGTCTGTAACCAGACAGAACACTGGCGTACTGTCTGAGCTAGTTCTGATACACAGATGGGAAATTCTGTCTTAATATTAAAGTACAGCTTCAAAGTACATGAAAGCCTAAGAAGTAGGCTGCATTGTGCTGGTAAATCACTGGGCTACTAACTGTGCAGGTCGCTTTCTACTGTTCTATCATGAATAACCGTACGCAAACATGTGTATGAATAATACTACTGCTACCGCTGTAATTTTGAAACTATTGCCTTTAGCAGTTTGTGTCATGCCAAATGTAAACAGCGCTATAAAGATTTTCACCCTTACCTGCACATCTAGTCTCCATTCAAGACTGTGATAACTAGGCAGCTTCGGTGCTAGTTCAGTAAGAATACTTCTGATCTCCTTCCTATTGTCAAGATACAGCTGAAGCAATACAGCATTCAATTCTTCAGAGAATCCTAGTACAAGTATAGAGTCTTGGAAATCTATCTCCGATATCTAAAGATTAAAAATAGAATCTTTGAGTTCCTGATTGCTTCTATTACTGTTTTACTTACAAACATAGGAAACTCCCATATAGTGAGTTGCAGCATTGGTCCATCTGCCTCCAGATTGCCGACACTGTCTGGCAACAGCTCACCAGGGTTCAGGCAGTAGTAGCCTTTTCCCAGCCCTGCTTGGAAATGCCTGGGATTAAGCCTGCATGCAAAACAGATGCTCTGCCACTGAGCGATGGCCCTTCCTCTGCTCACAGTCTTTGTAAATTTGTGTAAGGATTGCATTTCCAACTGTGAAATATGTGTGAAAGGAAATCATTTAGTAAGAATTGATTGACTGCAGTCTATTAATACCAAATAGAAAAAGGAAGCAGAGGCCAACATAGAAAGTAATTCACAACATTCATAATGCAACACCATTTACAGAAATATTGGGTGGTATCCAATTAAAGCATACTCTAAGGTTATTTATGTCCACTGATTTGAACGCAGGGTGGATAAAAATCAATGATTTTAAAAAAATAATAAATAAAAATAAATCGGATTTTTTTGATTTAAATCAGATTTTTGAAATAAAATGCTTTTGGAAGGAAAATCTTTCTAAAGATACGTTTTCTATTTAAGTTACATTGTAGTCCAAAGGCTATTCATCAGGAAACAAGGATTTGTTTAAAGTTTTTGATGTGTGCTAAAATTCAGTCTAAGGTGTTTTTTAAAAAAAATTGTTTAACCACATCAGTTAACAAACATGGATACATATGCTATAATGTTATTGTTTTAGTTAAATAAATTGTTTAAATTGTTATTAAGGAAATGATTATTTTTCTCCTTCCAATAAAGTACAGCAGAAAAGTTGTCCAAATATAAACAATAATTTCATAATTACCTGTCTTTGTATTTCTAATAGTATAACCAAATCAGTAATTTTTGATATAACTGTAAAAACTACTCTGAAAATTTATCATTCCAAAAATGAAACCTTCATTTGGTTGTAAATATTAAGATTATACCAGCAGGAATGTTAAAAAATGATTTAAATCAAGTCTTACTTACTAGTGATTTAAATCGATTTGATTTAAATCAAATCCACCCTGTTTGAACGGCTCTATTCTATATCCAACACTGGATACTACCCACAGTTTACAATGTGTACATGCCCTCCTATTCCAAATGTGTATATGATGCATCTCATTTATGACATCCATGGTCAGATGATCATTTTGATACACTGGGCAGAAACTAGAATAAAACCTAAACCTAATCATACAGAAGAAACCGACTGAATTTTTCAGATTTAATCCTCTTAATATACATAGGATTTTATAAAATGGCTTTATCTTTTTGAAAGCTGGTATCCAAAGTAGTACTAAGTCTTGGTCCTGTCAGTGTTTCTTTCTCTTGCCGCCTCCACTCCACTTCGGTAGAAATCAGCAGGTGAAGTTTTCATGATGTGGAGATAAGCATTAACACCTGCTGATAAGCAGCGAAGGGACTGATATAAAAGAAGTTGGCAACACTATATGGAGGATGCAGCAAAATATGAGTTTTCCTGAGCTTTCAACTGTGACCTTTATTTACACACACACCCCGCCACCGCTGCCCCCAACCCACATATCCAAGAAAGTAAGAAGTTCAAAGCATCTGCCTAGCTCACAAAGAGCACTGTGAGTTACACTTACCATGAGTTTTGAGCTCTCGGTGAGAAGGTATGTCAATCCTTCTACACCATGCTGAATTGTTTCACTACTAATATTAAGTTTTCCTGAAAAACGGGATGAGAAAACATCAAACAGGGATCTGATCTGATCCAATACAATATACATGCAAGTAAATCTCAAATAAAAATAGGTTGCAAATCTAAGCACACTTAGTCTGCATATCCTTACAATATATGGTATATAATAACGGAAAGTAGAGGCAAAAAGAGGCCTCTAGCTTAGAATATTCCACTTGTGTACATGACGATTATGGGAGATCAGAGGCCTTAGTAAATAGTGCTTGTATTGTAGACTTAACTAATCTTTGATGCATTTTGTACTACAGCTGCTGTCTCTTCAGAATCTATTAGGGGGGAAAATGTAAACAAGCATCATCTTAACAAATATTTGAGAAAAACAATATAGACCCAGGACCAACCTATATGTTCAGAAAAGTAAGTGACACAGTGCTCCAAGGACTGTGCCACTTAAGAATGCCACTTGGAGACAGCATAATTCCATGTTTCCCTCTGTCAAAATTCCACACCTGTGGAAAACTTGTGTCTGGGAGAAGGAGTCTAAAAGAAAAAAAATTTCACATAGAAGCATTCAAACATGCCACTATTCCTCCTCTACATTCTCATGGCAAACAGTGCTAAGACAGCACCATTTGTTTTCTAAAGACACAGATTGACTTGTACATCAACAACCCGCAATCTGTTGCATCTGCACCAATGAAAGCTCAGTTCATTTCAGTTGACCTTACACAGGCACTACAGCCTGACAAATCTGCAGGGAATTATTTCAATTTTGTTGCTGCTTTGTAATAACTGGAGGAAGCTACAGGTGTCATCATGTTCCATTCAAATCAAAGATGATGATATATTTGACTCCAAAAAATTCTTAATCAGTAAGCCCTCAACAAGGCAGATTGCTTTCTGAAGTGCTTCTCACCTGCCTCATTTTAACATCACTCCAGGAAGGGATTTTGACTGCCCATCTGTCAACCATGTGACATCATAATGACACAGTGTAATTGACAGGTGGGTGGCCCTGCTCACCTTTCAAATTTGGTCACTGAGGCTGATGCTGATAAGGATCTGGCCCATGGAGCCAAAAAGATTTCCCAACCCTGCTTTAAACAAACCACAATGTCAGGCATGGCTAAAGCAGTAAGCTATTCCCCTCCTGGTTTATATACATGCTCTTACCGGGGGAGGAGCGAAGCAAGCAATTAGGAGCAACGCACACAGTTTGGTTAACTGAGTCAACTACCTTAGTTTACCTTTGTGTGAAAACACAGCTATTCTTGGTCCAACATATAATTTTTGCAGGACCAACATTGTTACCTCTGAATTGGGCCGATGTCTAGCAGTGTATTGATTCAAGGCCCTTGGAAAATACTGCCCTTTAACCACACTTCTCAAATTCTTACTTGCTGCTCCTTCGTAGATTTTTGGGTTTGTGCCTTTTCTTAGGAACTCCAGTGCAATACGGCCAAATTCATTGACAACTGAAAAGAAAGAAGATTTGTTTGCAGAATTCATTGACAACTGAAAAGAAAGAAGATTTGTTTGCAGAATTCATTGACAACTGAAAAGAAAAAAAGATTTGTTTACAGAACCAGGAAACTAGATGATGGCTTGGTTGTAGAAAACCAGACTTCATTAGGAGTATCTCAACTTAATACGGCTTATCTCAGCCTACTGTAAATTGTGAATCCATTTTTTTAATTTCCACACGGCAGTTTTTATGGTAGTAAAAGTCAGCAGGGATGGGCACAGTACTAAAGCGTGCATCCTAAATTTCTGATCCTTGTGAATGTAAAGAAATGCATTTTTTGTTATACAGTTGTGAGATTTCCATTGTGTAGCAGCTAAGGATTGATGGTTTTACCTGTATTTGGATAATTTTATTATGTGTTTTTAATCTCTATTTTTAAAATTAGTATTTTACAATATTTTACGTAAACCACTTATTTATTTATTTATTGGCACATAGGTTTTGCTTACTAAAAATATATAAAGACCTAGTTGCTGTTACAGGGGACATGGGGCTGCTGAAGACCCCCATCTCTAAATATTTGCCTGAGAACATATGATGTCACCACGTTCGACATCTCCCCACTACCAGGCAGGAGGAGCTAGTGAATTGTGGCAGGGAAATACCAAGTGAGATGATGTCTCAGCATGTTTTAACAGGGAGATACATGCCAGTGACAGCCACACCTGCCTGCCCAATAATGTCTAGTTAAGAATCTGAGAATGTGAACTGAGAAGTTACTAACTGAAATGTTACCTCTGCTCTATGAATGTGGGGGTCACAGCCCAGCTGTGTGTTTGCTGCCTTGGGCTTCCTCCACAACATGGAGCGTAATAATAAAGACCTATGTTATAGGACTACTGTAAATACTACTAAGACAAAGTATGTGAAGCACTTAGAAAGCTCCAAAGTCCTACTTAAATATTTACTATTAAAAGCTGTAGCTAATCATAAGCTCACACAGAAAATGCATAAAGCAAACATATAGAGGTGGGGAGGAAGCAAGTCTCAGCTCCACGCAGGCCCAAACCTGAAACATCTTGTAAAGTGAACAAATTTATTCACAAATCAGTGCTGATTTCTATTACATACAACTGCAATACTGTAGGGGAAATGAAGCTAGATTTATTGTGCAAACTGTATCAGTTTGGTATAACTACACTTAAGTGCTGTATAGGACAACAGAGGCGGATTTAAGGGAAGCATGACCAGTTTCCCACAGTTGGTGATGAACCAAGAGGGCACCACAAGGGGTACCACAATGATATAATCGGGACGCGGGTGGCACTGTGGTCTAAACCACTGAGCTTCTTGGGCTTGCCGATCAGAAGGTTGGTGGTTACCTTTGCCACAATGATGCCACAGAGGGCGAGAGATGGAGCGGGGGGGGAGAGACGCCGAATTTTGGCATCACCTAGGATGCCACTAAAATTTGAAAGACCGAAGTCCGCCACTGAGGATAATGCTGCAATGCCAACCATGTCTTCTAAGACAGCAAATCCCACCGAATTCAATGGCCTGAACTCGGCCCAGCGCTTTGGAGTGAGGCTCTTCCAAGAGAGATTCTTCTCTCAACCTTGCAGCGTTGGCTGAAAATTTTTCCTATGCCAACCATTCAAGAAAAGCATTTTCAGTCATGGCGGGCTACCTGCTTTAATTTCTTGAAGTGGTTTTTACAGTGTGCGTGTTTGTGTATGCATGCAGTTGACCTACACAAATATTTTTAAATAAATAAATAAAATGATAATGATAATTTATTTATACCCCACCCACCTGGGTGGGTTTCCCCAGCCACTCTGGGTGGCTTCCAACAAAATATTAAACTTTCAACTCAACTGCATGTTAATAGCACATCTAAAAATGAATGTCAGTTGGTCAACATTCACAAAATGTTGAACACTGTTTAAAATATACATATTACTGAAAGTTACAACTTCCCTACGAGGCAGGCATGTACGTTTTCTCTCTTACTTGTATAGCACCATCAAAATTACAGTCTCATTTGTTTAAAACTACGCTGAAAAATAAAAAGTAGCCAATGATAAAATACTGCTTTAACTTAAAGGTCTCTCTAAATAAACAAAAATAAAATTTAAAACTACCCTTTCTCTTCTTTTTTCCTCTTCATGTTTGCAATGTTTATAAGTACTGTGCGTTTTCTTCTACAATAAGATTACTGAACTGTCCGATATTTAGTGGCACAAGTAGAAAATAAAATAAATCCAAAAGCAAATAAATTAAAAAGTATAGGCCAACCACTGGACATAAAGGTTTAGACATTGGGAACAATTCGCCAAGCACAGTCGCTGGGGTTAGGGCTGCAGCGTTTTATCCTCTATCAAATTCGATGTAATTTGGCGTTGGTTTGTCAAAAATTTGGAAGACTAATAGGTGTTATTTGCCACCACCACCCCTAAAAAGAAAGAAAAGCACTGCAGCTTTTATCCCCTAATCTCGAAGAGTTGAGGGGTTTTTTTTTACTTTTTAGGGCTCGATCCCCTAAACGCTTGCCTGGGAGCAAATCCCGTTGAAAGAAACGGGGCTTAACACCGGCAGGGCAATCCTGACCCGTGTCTAACTCACGTCAGAAGAAAGCCCCGTCGACTTCGGTGGGATGTGTCACCAGGTAAATGCGCGCATCCCAAAAAGGGGGGTAGGTTTGGGCTGCAATCCTAACCCGAATGTCTTTTCGCTCGTACCTGAGCTCTCCACCTGGAGAAGGAAGCCCAGGTGCTCCTTATGCTCCTCCGACAGGACCAGCAACATCTTCCGCAGCTTGGCGCCCCCCGCCGACCGAAACCGACGCCGACCGTAACCCCGGCGCCGCTGCTGCGCGTCAGGCGGAAGCTTCCCCCGCAGCCACTGCGGCGCCTCAGCCAAAGCTGCCCGGCCGGGAATCAACTCCCGCGCCGAAGCGTTCCGCCTCCTGATTCTGTCCCCACGCAGTACTGTACTGCAATCCATCCCCTCGCGGGGCGTTTGGGAATCGCTAGGCGGTTGTCAAGCGGCCTCCTGAGGCTGACAGCTGCCTTAATTGCATTCATTAAGGCATAAGCTTTCGTGGAGGTCGCTTCACCAGACACATGAAGCAGTAGAGAGATATCCCTGCTGTGAGTAACACGTGAATATGGGCGTAGCCAGGATTTATGTTGCGCGGGGGGGGGGGGACCTCAGGTATGCATTTTTTTATTAACTTGATTTTGGGTGCTGTTATGTACTGAGTTGAATAGGATCCAAAATGCAGCAGTCTGATTGGTCCTAGAACAATAGGCTCCAGAATGCAGCAGTCTGATTGGTCCACAGGAGCCACCCAATCCAGCTCCAGGTGGAAGTGAATCCACAACCTGATTGTCCTACAGGAGAATCCTGGAACTAGCCAATCACGCAGGGCCCATTGTATAAATAATGTATATAAAGCAGACATTCTTGGGGTAACTTCCATTCCTCCTCACCACTAGGAGCTGAATAAAGAGCATGAAATCCACTCTCAACTCCGAGTATATTTCAGGTGCCCCCCTGCACTCCCTTGGCTATGCCTATGCATCTGAAGAGGATTTGGGGCCCCTTCTAGAACAGGGTTTCCCAAACTTGTGTCTCCAGCTGTTTTTGGACTACAGGTTAGGGAAACCCTGCTTTAGAATGGCTGTGGTGGTGGTTTTTCGCAGGTGCATTCTGCAACATGCAGTTGAAGGTCAGAGACCTTCAACAAAATGGTGCATTAAGAGGTGGATTTATAGTGGACCACACATCATTCCCCTTTAGAAGTTGTTCTGTGATACATCTGCAGTGTTGCTGCACTGCTGCCTTCTGAAGAGCAACGAACGTGGGGCAAACACCCCGCCCCGGACATTTGTGGCATAGAAAGTTGCAGCTATTTTGTTGCAAGTTGTAGGATATGCACCAGTTGGAAAATGAAGCAGCACATGCCTGCCCTGAAGCTTTCGTGGGTACAAACGATATTGAAAGCGGGATCAGAAGTTCCCTGATATCATTGGCACATTGGGAGGGCTTTTGGTCGCATGGGTTGCCAAGGGAACAAGTAGGCCAAAATGGCAGCTTGGCCCATGGAATCAGAACTGTAGAGTTGGGACACCGAGGATCATCTAATCCAACTCCCTGCAGTGTAGGAATCCTGCCCACAGCTGCCCCTAGGTGAGCTCCATGCAGGAACCATATTTCTGCTGATTGGCTCAGCTGTGGCTAAGTGTGGAGACACCCACAACCCCCAAGAAATATTTTCTTTGGGGTTGTACCCTGGATTCAAACCTAGGACTCCTGCATGTGAGACCTAAATTCTTCCACCAAGCTTGGGCTCCTTCTGTAGCCAAATGTGACCTTTTTTGTTTGTCTTACTATACATGTGCGGTTCATTCTCTACAACAGTCGTTAAGAGGGGATGGTCAGAGACAACAAAAAAGGAGATAAAAAGGCACAACTGCTTAATTTCTAAGATTCAGTAAGCTGCAAAATGTGCAAGTGCTTTTACTCTGCTGGAAAGGTTTCACAGCCCGTTTACTTTTTGTATTTCTCCCACACATGAGACAGAAGGTTTCAATTTTAATCTACAAATTTAACCCTCAATCCAATTCTCCAAAGACAGCACCTATTGTACACGTTGAGTACTGGATAGTCTGAAAATAGTCCTCATTACTCAAAGGCTCCATCTCTCTTGAGGCTTCACTTCAGTTTTTAACTAATTTTGTTTTTATATAAGCAAGTCTTCGTCAACTTTGTATAGGTTTATTTGCTGCATTAAAAAAAACCTGCAATTCGGTGTTTTTTTAAAACAGACTTCAGTCCTCAGGGGGGAAAAGTCCATCTGTCAGTTCCAACTTACTAGCCTTCAAAAATGATTCTCTCTCAATCTACTCCCCTCAGATGAAATTTATGTAAAGTAGCATGCTGACTGCTTACAAGGCCTGTCAATTTACAGTGCCTGACACTAAGAGCCAAAAATATACAGTCACAAATTATATATTACATTTTGAATATATCTGTCTTACGAATATTCCATGATGTAATCCTCTTTGTATGTAGTTGGTGGGGTGGGAAATCTAGCTTAAAATTTTCAGCAAATGTGTCAGGATCTCCAAACACAACTTTTCAAGATGGATCATCTCCAGCAAATGCTCGTTTCAAATGGAGGTTGGTAAGCACACAGGTTTGTATATGCTTTTTTTAGCCAGGGTTCTTGCAATGCCAAGTTGTTCGAGCCAAGGTTTCTCTTTAAATGCACTGCAATAGAAGATTTAGATATGATGTCTGTTACTTTTCACTGTCAAAGAAAAAGCAGAGAATAAGTACATATCACACCTAGTTTTAAATATATATAAAAGCAAACAGACAAACCCAAACACCCTGTTTTAAATCAAGGAAACATAAATATGTAGTAATGCTATAGTTGGTTGATGAATTTCCATCTCGTACTATTTTTATTTATGTAGTACTGTAGGTGTATGTAGAGCTTTGCAGATTAACATAAGCAAAATTAGAATTCCTTGCCCCAAAGGGAATGCAATTGGAATTTATCCAGAGGGAGAGATACCAGGGGGAAAAGCGGGAAAAAAGAGGCAAGGTGATAAAGGGATAAATGTGAATATTTACATTCAGATGTATTTAGGGTTTGTTTCTGCAAGAGACAAACACAGAGTGATTAAACCAAAGGCTTAATGCTGAGGTGGCTAGTCTGCAGCCCTCCTGGTGTTGTTGGACTACAGCTCCCATCACCCCTGATTGTAGACTGTACTGCTTAGGGCTGATGGGAACTGGAGCCTACATTGCCTCAAAACTTACCGAACACAGAATGTGTCTAGGAGCAACCTCCATGCTGTTGGTTTCCTGTGTGCAGGATTCCACCCCATTTCCAACAGGGAAAACATTCAGACATATTAATTCCCCACTTGCAGCTTGAGGTGGCGCAGTCCAGGAACAGTTTTGCTACGTGATGTGTTATGAGATGCTCAACTCCCAACTCCCATCAGCCCCAGCCAGCATGACCAACGATCAGGCATGTGGAAGCTGCAGGCAAACAACATCTGGAGGGCCACAGGATCCCCACTCCTAATCTATACAACTCTAAATACGGTGGTCAGATAGGGACTGATTATCATGTGAAGACTATTTCAGGAAACTTCCATGGCAAACATTAGCCTGTTTCAGCTTCATGCATCATCAAAGAGAGACCACAGCAGTGATCATAGTTTTTACCTTTCGCCTAAGATGGGCACAGGTTACGCTGCAGAAATCTCCAGTCACTTAAACTAGGACAAAACATATATTCATGGAGGACATCAAATGACTACTAGTCATAATAGCTATATTGCCTCCAGTATCAGAAGCAATATACCTCTGCATAACAATTATTGGTGACCATAACCCAGAAGAGGGTAATTACATTCATGTCATGCTTGTAGACTTCTCATAGGTATATGGTTGTATGCTGGACTAGATGGGCCTTTTGGTCTGACCCATCAGGGCTGTGCTATTGCTCTTAACCACTGGCTGCCTAAGAATGTCACAAAGCATCTGCCTCTGGCCCTCCTTCCCCTTGCTAATAAAGATCCCTCTGTGGGTCTGGAAAATCCACTGGTGAATGGTATGGCTCTTAAAAGGTCCATCATGGAAATGTAGGTAGATATGTCCTCAGTAAGTAAACAATCCAGGAACTGAAATCACAGTATGATTCTTGCTTGGTTTTAACTCCCTTTGGTTAGAACAAGCCACCGTTCCCAGACTTCAGATGTTATGCAGAAGCAAAGGTACATGATAGTTGGTTACCAATCAGCCTAACCTAAAACCATGGTTTTGGGTCATCATTTGATGCAGATCAGTCTCTTCCATTTTATATGTTGTCTACGCTTATTACCTAGTTCTTTGCTTGTTTTATTTCCCTGCACAGTTTAGCAACTGTCAGCTTACTCAGCAGTTTCCTGCTGTTTCCTACCATCCTTTAGCTTGCAGCTGCATAAAGGTATTTTTCTTCAGATGGAAACATCAGGGTTACTATTGCTTAAATCACTACCACCACATGGTGGCAGTATGCATTCATCAGCGAGAGTCTCACTCTCAAGTCTATCCAAGACACCCTTTTGTAGGAGTCACCCCCCAAATAAATATTACAGCTAATAAAGAAGATTCAGTTACTGCATCTGCACTTCTCTCTTGCATATGCACTTAAAAATAAAATCTTTAAGAGAGGGAGATTATGTATTCTGTGTTTTTTCTCAGAATAAAGTAGCCTACCCCGACCCTAAGTCAGATCCAGCTGTCATGCATTTGTTAAATAAGCTGCAGACTTCATTTACAGTGGTACCTTGGTACTCAAACGCCTTGATTCCCAAATGCCGAAAACCTGGAAGTAAGTGTTCTGGTTTTCAAATGTTTTTCAGAAGCTGAACATCCAATGCGATTGTCGGCTATTGTTTCTGGGGCGCCTGCACAAATCAGAAGATGCGCCTTGGTTTTTGAACATTTTGGAAGTCAAATGGACTTCCGAGACGGATTAAGGTTGGCACTTTTGTTTTTGGTATTTATTTTGAGTTTTTGAGGCTTTTTTGATTAATTTGTTTTTGTGACTGTGTGGAACCCAGTTCAGCTACTGATTGATTGACTGTGTGATTGTGGAAATGGATAAAAGCCCCCCATCCAAACAATGGCTATCATCAGTGCAGGTAAGAAAAAAAATAATTTTAATTTTTATCATTTACAATAATGTCTTATTTATTTTATAGTACAGTACATTGATTATTGCTTTCATTTTATGGATCAACGGCCTTGTAAGATAGTAAAATTCATGTTAAATTGCTGTTTTAGGGGTTGTTTTTAAAAGTCTGGAACGGATTAATCCGTTTTGTATTACTTTCTATGGGAAAGCACGCCTTGGTTTTGGAACACTTTGGATTTGGAACGGACTTCCGGAACGGATGAAGTTTGAGAATCAAGGTACCGTACCACTGTATTTGGTTTTTAAAAAACAAGACCAAAAAAACATTCAGTCCTGCGTTGTATCAGCTGTTTTCAGGGCAGGGTACATACTCCAAAAAATAAGGCCAGGGGTGTAGAGGTGAGGCATCCCTGAGATGGGGCTGCTCAGGCTGCTTTTAACCTACTGCGGGTCCCTCCAGGTGTTCAGATGAACAGAGTTCTCTGTGAGACCTCAAGCTTCTTTCGTTGAACAGCTCTCCCCAGGATCTGAGTTGGATGAGATCCTGACAGTACAGCCTTTTCAGTTGTGGTGCCTTAGCTGTAGAAGACCCTGCCAAATCAGGTCTATCTGGCCCCCTCTTTTCTCACTTTTAAGAAGATTCTTAAGATCAAGCACATTTTATGTTGACAGGTGTTTTCAGGCTGGCATGTTTTCTCTGCTGGATGCTGTGCTGTTTTTATGATATTTCACTGCTGTATGGTTGATAGTATCTCGCTTTTTCTAGTGCTTTTGTTTTATGATTTAGGTCCCAATCTTACAATTATCTATTGAGAAGTATGTCCCATTGTTTCCAATGGGCGATATCCTACTATGACTAATGGCTAGATGGAACTTCTTTCCAGGAAAATTTTTATTTTCTTAAGTTGACTGCTGTGCTCACCATAGAAATATGGGAGGTAAATGTTAAATAAAACTGTAAAGAAGATCAGTGCAGTTTGGTACAGTGGTGTTAATTCGTTCTGGAGGTCCATTCTTAATCTGAAACTGTTCTTAACCTGAAGCACCACTTTAGCTAATGGGGGCCTCCTGCTGCCACTGCGCTACCGGAGCCCGATTTCTGTTCTCATCCTGAAGCAAAGTTCTTAACCTGAAGCACTATTTCTGGGTTAGTGGAGTCTGTAACCTGAAGCGTATGTAACCCGGGATACCACTGTACTAGAAAGATACATAGAATTGGGTGAATCAATGGGATAAAATAGCTTGTGGAAGATCAGGAAAATGCATAAAACATATGCCTTTAAAGCACACCTAAAACATAAAGGTAAAGGGACCCCTGACAGTTAAGTCCAGTCGCGAATGACTCGGGGGTTGTGGCGCTCATCTCGCTTTACAGGCTGAGGGAGCCGGCGTTGGTCCACTCTGCAGTTTTTCTGGGTCATGTGGCCAGCATGACTAAGCCGCTTCTGGCACAACGGAACACCGACACCAGAGCAGCGCACGGAAATGCTGTTTACCTTCCCGCCGGAGCAGTACCTATTTATTTACTTGCACTTTGACGTGCTTTCGAACTGCTAGGTTGGCAGGAGCTGAGACTGAGTAACGGGAGCTCACCCCATCACGGGGATTTGAACCGCCGACCTTTTGATCGGCAAGCCCAAGGCCCAGTGGTTTAGACCACGGCGCCACCCACGTCCTCAAAAGCACACCTAACACATGCTTAAAGAAGATGTTTCACCCCAAGAACCCTGGGGATTGTATTTTATTACAGGTGCTGAGAATTATAGCCCTGCAAGGGGTAAAGTACAGTTCTCAGGATTCTTTTGGGGAAGCCATGTACTTTAAAATGTCACTTTTTATTTATTTATATTTTATTCAGTCTTGACGGTGGGGTGGGGGCAGAATTAAAAAGGATACAACACCAATAGTGTGATTAGCTGCTGCCTTTCAAACTGGGGTGTTTCTGGGTGCACTGCCCACCCTTGGTAAGAACAAAGATAAACATACCTGGCTATAGCTAAGCAGTAGATTGCATTCTCCCTTGGTGATCTTCCACTGTGTTCTGAAAAAGACTTGACAGAAGAATTGAGCAGAATTTTTGCATTGGAGATGGAATAACGAGAAACAGGCTTGACAACAGAGACAGCGGGTAGAGGAACTCTTGCTAAACACATATTTTGGTCCATATTTTCTTCACTGCTAATGTGCAGAATCTTCCTCCTGGCGTTATTTTTCTGTGTCAGTCTGCCCGCATTAGCATGGTTGTATGCATCTGCTACCAGGGGCAATTTGACATTTGTCCCTAGGTACCCCTTTGAAATCGTCAAGCACCAGTCACCCTGCCCGTGCTGGAACTGAGAGTTTATGTTTGGTAGTTCATAGCCTCTGCGGCCTGTGCCCTTGACTGTGGCCGAATAAAAACTTTTGGAAGTCATTTTGGGTTCTGTGAAACCATCCACAAGGACAGTGTCCCCAACCCTAGTCCTGAAGACTGATGTCTGCTTGCGCAGCTTCTTCGTACAGATGTTATTTTGAGCCTTAAGCAGCCACAGTTTTAACTTGATGTAGATTTTCATGGGAAGGGAGGAATTAGGGTAAGAAACCACGGACCACATCTTGGTGACTAAATACAGCACACAGTTCTTGTGTCTGTGTTGGATACATAGCTGCAAGGGAGTTTGTCCTGCAGAGTTCTGGCATTCGAGGCATAAGACACTGTAATTGACAAAGGCTTTCAGAACCATGAGTTGGCCTGCTTCCGCAGCTGCATGAACTGGACAACTGGTGACATCCGGCTGGCTGCTTTCGTGACACCACTCTCGATAGGGATGTATGCCAACTGGTTCAGTGGGTTTCACACCCTGTTTCAGGAGCCACGCCAAAAGCTGAAGGTGCCCGAAAAAGGCTGCCATATAGAGAGCTACCCTCTTTTGATATCTGAGAGAGAGAACATGAATGAATAGTGAAAAGTAAAACAAGTCCTTTGCAAAAATCATAGTTAGGCACACAGTAGAGAGAGGATAATGCAACAAGGTTTTTTTTAAGTCATGAGTCTGAAAATCCGTGAATAAAAGTAAATAATAATAATAATAATAATAATAATAATAATAATAATAATTTATTATTTGTACCCCGTCCATCTGGCTGGGTTTCCCCAGCCACTCTGGGAGGCTTCCAACAAAGATTAAAAATACATTAAAATGTCACACATTAAAAACTTCCCTGAACCTTCAGCCTTCAGGTGTCTTCTAAATGTCAGGTAGTTGTTTCTCTCTTTGACATCTGGTGGGAGGGCATTCCACAGGGCGGGTGCCACTACAGAGAAGGCCCTCTGCCTGGTTCCCTGTAGCTTTGCTTCTCGCAGTGAGGGAACTGCCAGAAGGCCCTCGGCGCTGGACCTCAGCGTCCGGGCAGATTGCTTCTGACTGTAAAAGCAACTACTCACTAGGGCTGTGCAGATCAAGCTCCATCTAAGGCTGGATCTAGACACACCAAAGAAGCGTTTCAGTTTAAAGCGTTGTGAATTTAAACAGGGAAAACGGGTAGAGAAAAATGGGACTCCACATCTTCATCTGGTGGCACAATGTTATATTGCATATACAACGCATATAAAACACATTTTCTTTACCAGTCTAGCTGAGTCCTAAGTACTTTGGGGTTTGCATTTTGTTTTTGTTTCTCTCCCTGTCTCCATTTGCAATCTATGGAGGCACCTAATTTGCCTGAGAAGCACCTTTCATAAAGGTGTCAAAGCAAGATTAGAACCTAGGCCAAATAAGAAAGTTTTTTTTCTTTAAGGCGAGGGGCATTTTGAAACTGACCGTTTCGGTCTCAAATGGAAAACCTCTTTATAAAGTTAACTATTATTTTAAATTGATTGTACCTGAGCACTGGTTCTTCCTTTGAAAGATAGCGCTGGACCTTGGGCTTGTTTCCTAAGAGACATCCAGTCAGGAATTCTTTCCACCCATCCCAAACATCCAGGTGAAGAGTTGTGCCTGCCAACGGAAAGTTCCAGTCCTTTGCTCTGCTTCTAGCTTTTTCATGAAAATTTTAAAATCTCACATGTTATAATAGACTTTTCACAAGGTCATTTGCTGGCGGGAACTGTTGTTACATGCCATCACAACCAAAGTGTGCTATTTGAGTTCTATACAGTTCTGCTTTCCCCAACCTGCAAGTCCTCCAGATGCTTTGAACTACAACTCCCATCAGCCCCAGCCAGCATAGCCAATAAGAGCTTTAGTCCAAACATGGAGAGAGCATCAGGTTGGGAAACGCTAATACCGTATTGGCCTGAGTATAAGCTGTATCCAAAGATTAGCCGCACCTTTAAAATTCAAGGGGGGGGGAGGGACAATACCCAAATATAAGCCACTCCCTTAAAATCCCGCAGACACTCACACCCGTTCCATTTTACCATATGTCTGTTTCAGCAGCAATATCGTAAAAGCCAATTTTTGTAAGATTGCGAACTTAAGCCACACTTTAACTTTTCAGAGTCAGAATTTGGAAAAAAGTGAGGCTTATATTCAGGCCAGTATGGTATATTCTTTGTGTTAGTTTGCATTTCTTAGTACAGAAAGTATTGATCTGATGCGTAGAGATCTTTCCTGTAGTCTGCTTAATTTATGAGGGTCCTGGAAGGTTTCTTTCTGTGTCAAAGAAACAAGCAGAAGGGTCTTGTTTAGGTTATTCCTTCAGAGAAGCTGAGCACAGCTGGCTTAGTAAACTGGCTCTCTTATCTCTTTCTGTCACGGTCATGCTGACTATAAAAGTAGGGCCAGAAGTAGCCTTGGTTTCACTTTCTCTTTCTATCTCTCTTCCGCCTAGTGTGGTGTTATGTACATAGTATGCTTAGTGTGAAGGTTTAGACTTATTATAAGTTCTTGTAAGTTTAAGTTAAGTCTGCTGCGACTGGATTTCTTATAAACAGTGCCAATCCTGAATGTATTGGATTTGTGACCAATAAAGCTCTGCTGGATGAAATATTAATTGCCTCTGGTCTATTTTTGGGGATCCTGCAACATGTTTAAGTTGTTACTGTGCTAACTATACAATGGAATCTACTCTGGATCAATACTGAGTAGAATTCCATGACACTTTGTACATCTTGCGGCCAGTTTATGTGCAGGTTTCTGTGGAAGTAAATACGTTTAATGAGCTTCTCTGTTGAGTATGCGCTGGCATACATTCAAAAATTCTGGGAGGGCAAAGCAGGACACCCCTGCCCCCACCATCCCACCTGTCCCACCTTTGTACTCCTTCGCTTGCTCACCAACCCAAGCCATCTCTGCTCTCCTTTGCTCACGCTGCTCCTACTCCCTGCCCTCCTCCCTTGGCCTGCCACCTCTTCCTCCTCTGCCAGCACTGCAGACGTACTTCCGGAAACTGGCTTCCAGAAGTGTCAGGTCAGAAGACGTGAGAAGAGCAGAGACGTGCAGGGGGAAAGGTGGGTTTTGCTTCTGGGTTGTTGTTTTTTGGCCCCGTGCTCAGGTGTGAGCCAATTGACTCGCACCACAGCACGGAAGCAAAAAATACACCAGTGTTTTGGTTCTGCACTCTGGCACGGCCAGAGCATGGGACTGGGGCATCCAGGATTGGGATCAGAAGCCAGGAAGGCTTCTGTCAATCTGGAATGCCCCGCTTAAAATGGGATAGTTGAGTGGTATGCACTGGACTATAGCCTTACACCCTCGTATTTACGGGACCGCCTCTCCTGGTATGCCCCGCAGAGGACCTTAAGGTCCATGAATAATCATAGTTTAGAGGTCCCAGGCCCTAAGGAAGTCAGATTATCCTCCACCAGGGTCAGGGCCTTCTCAGTGATGGCTCCGACCTGGTGGAATGCTGTGTCCCATGAGACCAGGGCCCTGCAGGATTTAACTTCCTTCTGCAGGGCCTGTAAGACAGAACTATTCCACCTGGCTTTCAATTTGAACTTAGTCTGATCTTTTATTCCCCTTCTTTCCCTCCCCCTCCCCTTTTTATGAAGATAACCCGCTCTGGGATCCCACAGCTAATTCTCTCCTGGTCTCCTCGCTGGCCCAAATAGGACCAATTTAGCCAGCTAGCCCTGGTGATCATCTAATGTTTATTGGATGGATTTCCCCCCTAAATTGATTTTTGAATTCTGAATTTATTGTTATTCACGTTTTATACTGTATTTTATGCTGTTTTTTGTTGCATTAATTAAGTGTTTTAAATTTGTTGTTAGCCGCCCTGAGCCCAGTTTTCTGAACTGGGAAGGGCGGGGTATAAATAAAAAAAATTATTTATTAATTCTATACATATATCTTTGCTCAGAATTACACCCCGAGTTCAATGGGCTTTACAGCCTGGTAGGTGAGCATAGGCTTGCAGCCTTACTCTATGACTACTTATTTTGCTTTTCTATGAGGCAAACCAGTGTATCAACAATGCTTCCTTTCAAGTTGTCTTCGTCATTTCATAGGCTACTTAGATATAGATTGCTTACTACACAGTGTTGCTGTTGTTTTATAATGTGCACATTGCATCAGCAGTATCTCTGAACAAAGGCTGAATTATCTGACTTAACTAGCTTTTTATCAGCTTTGTTCGTTTTAACATTTCCAAATACTCTGTATCACTTGCAGATGTTAAGAAGGCACTCGTGGGAAGGCCCAATAATATTGCAAAATATGGTGTTGTCCAACATACACAAAAATATTTTTATTCAGGGAAACAGTCCAAAATGATACCTATTTCTTAAGCTCAGATATTTCTAGAAAAGTCTGGAGAGCTATGTTATCAGGTGGGAGTAGATAAAAACCCACAAACAGTCTTAATACCTATATCTAACTGATAGTCACTCAAGGTATTGCAGTCGTACATCTCTCTGCCCTCTGGCGTCCTGAGACAATAAATGCTGTTTGGAAAGCCACACTTCAGGGTTACCAGGCTTTTGAGCTGGGAAACCTTTAACCCCAGGAGATAAATCTTCCCCATGATGGGCACTTTTTCACGAGTGACAGCATTGTAAACATAGAAAACTGGCTTATCTTCTTCCTGGAAAGGAAACCCAACAATGAGATCAATATTCCAGTGGTAAATTGTGCTTATAGCCCATGTAGAATTCTGACTATAAGACATGGGGACATCCATTGCCCACACATAGAATGTGGTCTTGTGGTTGATGGTGCAGCCCACAACAGCAGCAATCAGTTTTGTTTTAAAATTCAATTCAGTTTAATTTACAATCTCTACCGTGGGGAGATACAGGAAGATATGAAGACCTAGCACTGTCCTATATACAAAGAGCTGGATTTGCATTCCAGATCAGCCTGGTTACAACTTAGTGCAAGTCCTTCTTTTGCAACCTTCATTCCCATCTGTGAAATAGGAATAACCTCTGACCTACCTCACAAAGTAAAGGTGTTCAGAGAGAAGACGAAACAGGACTTGTAGAACACTTGTCACAATTAAAGGTCCTGTTGAATGGAAATAATGGTTTCTAATATAGGATTTCCAGGCCAAGAGAACAATGTCTGGCTCTGTTTCTCCATCTCTGTAGATGCCCCAATATGAGCGCAGTCCTTTTTCAGTTCAATTCTGTTTACTCCAACTGAGATCAGAGGACTGCATTCCTAGGTAACTGGGCAGAGAATTGCAGCTCTCAATGTTCTACGCTTTGTTCTCATCTTCAGTGATCTTAGTAATGCTGTGCCAGGAACAATAAAAATTCTGGCAAACTAACTCTCAAACTGAGAAAACAAAGTGACCTGGGATAAATTGTTTCAGGATTCTCAAACCACAGCCAAGCTGAATTCAGAAATTCTCTCTGTTTGCATATCAGCTTCAAAGGGGGGGGGGGCGGGACTGCTCTGGGCATTGGGGGAAATCTAAATGGCGGATTTCAAGTCACCTGGTACTGATTCAGGGCACTGCTGCTACTGTTGCTGCCACCGCCACCAGGTAAGTCCACCTGGTGTCACTAAGGACCCCTTCCAACTTTGCCAAGAGGCTGGCTGTCCTCAAGCCTAGAGCTAGTACTGCAGCCAGCCAGCCCATCAGCACCTGAGATTTGTGTTTCTGGGACTTACCCTACTCTTGTGACTGTAAAATGTTTCAACTCTTTTTAATTCTCAATTTTTAAATTGTTTTAACTAGCTCTGGGACCTGCTGATGATGGGTGGGTAAATAATAATAGTAGTAGCAACACCACCACCCTGCTCCTCTGCCTCCCTAAGGTTAAAACTAGCATCCTGCTAAAAGACCGTGATGTTGGGAAAGATGGAGGGCACAAGGAGAAGGGGACGACAGAGGACGAGATGGTTGGACAGTGTTCTCGAAGCTACCAGCATGAGTTTGACCAAATTGCGGGAGGCAGTGGAAGACAGGAGTGCCTGGCGTACTCTGGTCCATGGGGTCACGAAGAGTCAGACATGACTAAACGACTAAACAACAACAACAAGAAGAAGCATCCTGCTGGATGCAGCAGGTAGGGGCAAAGAGGAACTGTGTTTGAGGCAGAACATCCTTTCACATATCACAGGCACTGACATCCAGGCAAGGGGCTGGCTACCATATTAATGTGCTTTCTGTACAGATCTATCTTTTCCCAGTTTCCATTTTTCTGAAGAACTACAGAATGTGATAGGATACGGGATATTAAGCAATACGGAATATTCAAGGTTTTGCATTTTAAAAGAGAGCCTCGAAATTTTTCAAAGGCTGTGCTCATACCATACATCCAAATCACAGGACTCCGCCCCCCCCCCAAGAATCCTGGGAACTGTAGTGCTGGGAATTATAGCTCTGCGAAGAGTATACTACAGTCCCCATGATTCTTTGCAGGAATTGAAGTGTATGGTGTGTGTGTTGTGCAGTCAAAGTTCCTTACAAATCAGTGTGAGGCTAAAGCCTGTGTACGTGTGGCATTTTATTCTAGAATCAGTGGAGACTGAGTATTTCCCCCCCCCCCAAGTAGGCCACGCACAATCAAGATCTGTTGCATATTTTCCTGCCCCTGGAAAGCATGCATTGAGAAACTGGTTTCATTCCAAAAGGTCACCATAGATTACCCCACACAGTGTTCTTTTGAAAACAAGTGTCGACAGCCCTGGCGACAGGGTGTGTATACATAGCTGCCCAATGACATAATGGGTGGGCATCTAACTAGGTCACAATCGCCACCTCCTTCCTCTTTCACCTAGGACATGTGTAGGGAGGACTAGGTGTGGATAATAACCCAATCAAAGGGAGGAATTTCAAAGGAATATCAAGAAACCACACCCATGCTTGTGGATGGCAGGGTCTAGAAGCAATCCAGATTGAAAGCAAAACGCTGAGGATAAGCATGTACAATTCCAGGTAGAAAAGGCATATTTTTGTGCTACGAACACGTTGTGTACACAGCCTAAGGTTTAACTCTCCTTGCATTAGCGCTTTCCTGCCATCATTTTCTGAAGGTGACTGCATCTCATTGGAAGATCAGGTGCTTTTTGATTCCTGCTGTGTGATCCTAGCCCAAGATCTATAATTTAGCGAGGAAATCAGCATGCATGGAGACTTTCCGTGCTAATTAGGCAGCCTAGGTTTGTTTGTTTTAAAACCGTACTATACCTTAACAACACATTTGATGGTCGAAGAAACTGATATGCCCACATCAGCAAGTATCCAGCTGTCCTTTAACACTGCTCCTGCATAAATTAGCTCCAAATACCGCCTGCCTTGCTTATCTTCTGAGAGAGGAACGTGAAAATAATCCTTAAAGGGGGAGGAAATAATTATTTTAGAGCAAGTCGTAAACACTTCCATCGAGGGCAAATAACCTGTTAGCGTTCAAGTCAATACCCACCACTGAGGGAGCTACAGGGAAGGCCTATTGTGAAGTGGCAAAGTACCTTTCCCAGGCTCAGTTCCTGGCATCTCTGTCTAAAAAATCAGAGGCTCACTGACAGTCAGTGTAGACAAGGGCCACCTTCCCTGGCAGGCAACTTTCTGGGGGCCGCATTGCGGCAGTGGGCAGGGCGAGAGGCAGAAGTGGGTGGAGCCATGGATGTGACTTGGACCTTTGCACAGCAGACTTGCATCCTAACCCTTGCAAACAAGGGGTTGTCACAGCCCAGAGGGCCAGACAGAAAGGTCTGGAGGAACACAGTTGGTCGCCGGACCCGAGGTTCTCCACCTTGGTGTAGATGATGCTGAGCTAAATGGACCACTGTGGGACTCCATATAATGCCAGCTTCCTATTAAAATGGGAATTAATTGTTTATGTGGATCCCACCCCCTCACCATCCTTGCCTCCTCCGCAGCTATGTGGACTAGCCACATAGGCATTTGACGATGACTTGTTGCTTCAGTACAGGAGGCAGTGCCTGAGCCCAGTACTAGAGACTGTAAGGCAGTGTTTTCCAAACTTGGGTCCCCAGCTCTTTATTGAACTACAATTCCCATCATCCCTGACCACGGGTCCTGCTGGCTAGGGATGATGGGAGTTGTAGCCCAAAACCAGCAGGAGATCCAAGTTTGAGAAACACTGGTGTAAGGGGTCCCATTGCATTAGGGGGACACTTAGTGTGGGGTGGGCAGCCGGCAACCTTCCCGACGCCAGTGGACTCCAACTCCCATCAGCCCCAGCTAGCATGGTCAACAGTCAGTGAAGATGGTAGTTGCAGCCCGATAACATCTGGGAGGCCACAAGCTGCTTATCCCAACTCAGTGCCAGATCCTGTGCTCTGTTTACCAGGACCAGGTTCTCTCATGCTGTTCTTCATGGCTTGAGGTTATAATAGGCTTTAAAATATATCTATCTATCTCAGTTTTATTTCCCTGATGGAGAACAAGAGCCCTTTTGAATTCAGTGGGATATACTTGCAAGTAAACATTCATACTATTGGACCGTAAACGTGTTTGGGTTGCAATCCTATGCACACTTACTTGAGGATAAGTGCCTTATAATTCAAGGGGACATACTTAATAGTAAAAATGAATAAAAACTCTGGTAAATTAAAGCATATTGAACTGTATTTTTATTTTGTCTTGTTTCATATCGACTTACGGTGCCCTGGAGTGAATCTGAAGCCCCCCTCAAATGTGTTTGGTGGTTGTGCCAAAATACATAAATCCTTGTACACAAATTTAAATTTTCTCTTTTGCATACTGCAACTGGAAGGGTTTAGCTGAACCTTACAAGACAGCAAAGCACTTAGTTATTTAAGTTTGTCTACTCAGCTTTGATCACTCAAAGAGACTATACTAACCATCTCTTGTGAAAATATATGCAGATTCAAAACTACCTAGTGAAGCTGAGGTCACATTCACACCATATATTTAATGCACATCTAGAGCACATAACTTCTTCCAAAAAGAATTATGGGAACTGTAGTTAACCCCTCAGGGATAAATTCCCAGCACCCTTAAAAACTACAGTTCCCAATATTTTAAAGTCATGTGCTTTAAATGTATGGTGTATATGCAGCCCTAATCAGATGGATTAAAATGTAAAATATTATACTCTAATATAAAAACGAATAATATAAATTTAAACCAGACTCTTGAAATGAAATACAACGAAGACAATTCCATTAAATTTGAACTCTCCTTTTTTTTTAAAAGAACCTAGCGCGTAGGAAGACCTTCCTTAGAAGTTTCATTTTGGCAATGGATATTATCTGATTCAGATTCTCACAAGCACTTAAAATCAAAATAATAGAGAACGAAGCAACTTGGCCAAGCCCTTACCTTTATCATCAGTTTTAGATCTTTCACTGTGTTCTCTGATGAAATGTCGAAGGATTCCCAAAGTCCTTCAAAAGCGACGAAAATCCTCATTTTGGAAAAAAAAAAAGCTTTTTAGAAATGCCTCCAACGTCTTTCTACTCCATCAAATTCCATGTCAGATGCAAATCTTATCTCCGCACTGGAGGCAAAAGAAAAAACTATTTAAAGCAGGCTGTAAACATCCAAGCAAAATGTGCACATCCCACCCTGCCCCCGCCTCCCAAAAGCTAAAAGGCAGCCTGGAAAACCAGGCTCAAGCAGGCAGTGTAGACCCTGCAGGAAACAATGAGTGGAATTTGTTTCCCAGGCTGCACTGAACAGCAAAAAAAAATGTTCCCTTTTCCAACCCGTAAACTTAATTAAACCAGCAAACCACGTATTGATCAAGGCAAGTGGAAGCAAGCATTCAGCATGTGCATGCATGTTCCAAGCTAGTCGTATTTGCTCAACAAGCACTTCTCAAACCACAGAGCGCCAGAACATAAGTGAGTCTGGTGTTTATTTTATTGCTTATGGTAGCCTTCGCACTTTCTGTAAATAAATCTAATCTCGGCACTCATGTTACCATAACAACTTTATAAGTCAGCTCCACCAGTTTGGATCAGAAGCCAACTGTACTGTCCCCTCCCCCCCCCCCAACAAGGATCAGACAGCTTAATAGCTTGAAACTATAGGTATCTGAAAAGCAAGTGCATGAGAACTGGGCAAAGAACCATTTATTAATATCCCTGTGTTATTTCATACGCTTTCAAGTTTGGGAAAGGCATGTCTTAATGGCACCATGTTTGTTTGTTTAGTCGTTTAGTTGTGTCCGACTCTTTGTGACCCCATGGACCACAGCACGCCAGGCACTCCTGTCTTCCACTGCCTCCCGCAGTTTGGTCAAACTCATATTAGTAGCTTCGAGAACACTGTCCAACCATCTCGTCCTCTGTCATCCCCTTCTCCTTGTACCCTCCATCTTTCCCAACATCAGGGTCTTTTCCAGGGAGTCTTCTCTTCTCATGAGGTGGCCAAAGTATTGGAGTATCAGCTTCACGACCTGTCCTTCCAGTGAGCACTCAGGGCTGATTTCCTTAAGAATGGATAGGTTTGATCTTCTCAAGAGTCTCCTCCAGCACCATAATTCAAAAGCATCAATTCTTTGGCGATCAGCCTTCTTTATGGTCCAGCTCTCACTTCCATACATCACTTATGGCACCATAAAGACTAACAAATCTTTTGTGGCAAAAGCTTTCGTGGACTAGAGCCCACCATTAGGTGTGTGACATGTTATCCCTAGTTGGATGCTTGCAGATGCACTTATGAGAATAGAGGTGGGAAATGTTTTCTTCTCCGTGTGCCCTCAGAAGGCTACTCAAAGGAGATGCAGAGGTAGCTGCATAAGAATGGGCTTTCTTTAGTATTTCATAGTATTTCACTCCGTCTGTGGAATGCTCTCTCCAGGGAGAAGCACCTGGTGCCATCCTTGTCAGTCCTCAGGTGCCATTCTAAGACCTTTTTGCTTGCTCAGGCTTCAGGTCATTAGGCCTATGGTGGTACCCATCTTTTCGTGGGGTAGGAAGGACATGTCCTTATTAATGTCGCTAGATCAGCTTTTTATGTATTTTGTATTGTTCATTGCTTTTTTTCCTGGTTTTAAATTGCTTTTATTTGTTGCATGTTATCCTGTCAAGTCGCTTTGAGACTTTTTTTTGGTACAAAGTGACTGATAACTGTAATAAATCAGTGTCATCATCATATGGCCAAATGGCAATGGAATTCAAGAGGCATGCATATGTTTAAATTTTAAATGTATAAAATATAATCAGAGCCAATTGAAATGCTTGACAACTTGTCTGTACACCAGACTCTTAGTTGGTTTTGCTGCAACAGGGCAACACAGCAAATCCTCTGTTTTGTATCTTAAACTGAAAATATTTTTGCGGCTAACAATTCCTGCAATAGTAAGCTAGCTGGTACTTCGAGAGCAGCCTTCCTCCACCTGATGTCTAATGTTCCTTTTGTATTGCAGTAAGTTGTTGTGTTACGGAATGGAGGCTTTTTGATCACTCCATGTTCTGCTAAATTTTAAATGGCAGGAAAAACTGTATGCCAATATTCAGACCCAAATTTAATCAATGCAACATTCCAGCATTTTTCTGAGCCAATGGGGTTGCCATTGGATTTTTGTCTAGTAACAGTTAGCACAGAAATAAGCAATGCACATTCACTAGATGCCAGTAGATTCCCAGAGGCGGCTTTTATTTGTCTGAAAAATCATGTGAAATGTGAATATGAACAGGTAAGGAAACATTGTGAAGATGTGCAGAGTTTTGAGAAACTAAAAAATAAAGTGCGAGATTGGCTTCATTATTATCAGATAATGGAGGCATATAATTCGGACAAGAAAATTGGCTTCCAGGTGGAAAAATCAAAATTAGAAACAGAACTGTTAGAACCCAAAACTAAGACTTTATCAAAGATGTATAACTTGCTGTTGAAATGGAATACTCAGGATGAAACGGTGAAATCTGCTATGATTAAATGGGCACAAGACATTGGACATAACATAATGATGGCTGACTGGGAACAGTTATGGACCACAGGTATGAAGTTTACGGCATGCAATGCCTTTAGAGAGAAGATTATGAAAATGATATACAGGTGGTACATGACACCAGTCAAGCTTGCAAAAATCTATCATTTGCCCGATAATAAATGTTGGAAATGTAAAGAAACTGAAGGTACATTCTTTCACCTTTGGTGGACGTGCCCAAGGATTAAGGCTTTCTGGGAGATGATCTATAATGAATTGAAAAAGGTATTTAAATATACCTTCCTGAAGAAACCAGAGGCCTTTCTCCTGGGCATAGTCGACCAATTGGTGTCAAAGAAGGATAGAACTTTCTTTATGTATGCCACAACAGCAGCAAGAATACTTATTGCAAAGTACTGGAAGACACAAGATCTACCCACCCTGGAAGAATGGCAGATGAAGGTGATGGACTATATGGAATTGGTGGAAATGACTGGCAGAATCCGAGACCAGGGAGAAGAGTCGGTGGAAGAAGATTGGAAAAAGTTTAAAGACTATCTACAGAAATATTGCAAAATTAATGAATGTTAGAATGATGTTGGATAGAAATTAAGTGGTTTTTAGCTGTAATATTATAAGGGAATATGAAAATGGATTATTAATAGGTTAAAATTCAATGTCATAATATTTTAAGATTAAAGACTAGGATAAACAAAGAGGGGAAGGATTTGCTGAACTAACAAACCGAATTGGAAGACAAAAAAGGGAGGCGCGAGGAGGTCCGGGAAACAAGCCAATGAAAGATAAGTAACGGAAAGATTGAGTTGTTTTTAACTACTTTTATTTTGTATTTTTCTTTTTTCTTTTTTCATTTTGTAATATTTTGAAAATTTTAATAAATATCTTTTTTTTTTAAAAAAAAGAAGATGGAATAAAATGCCATCTGAACACAGACACACACACACCACAGATACGACACATTATTTTGTTACAAGGCCCTATTTGTCTGTTTTTATGTTTTTTTAACAGATGGGCTACTGAGAATATTGCCTTTCCATATATATATATATACTATATGCCATGGCGTTTCTCCTTTTCTAGGACTGAATTCAGATCTTCTACATTCAAGCATAGTACTCTTTTGCTACTAAAGTTCTGCCCAATGTAGGTTTTGCCTCCAAGAACCGAATCAGAAAATGTAAATGCTTACTGACACACCTCTATTTATGCCGAAAAGCTATGTAACAATCAAGGAGTAGTCAGATAACCTTCACGCAACTTTGTTATCACTGCCAGGATCAATAACAGCCTACATCTGTCGCCTGTTAGTCTCTTTCTGCAATTGCTGGTGGTGCAAGAATCGGGCCCTAACCACACAGTCACACCCTGAAAGACCAATGGCATTTAAAATGTCATCAGGCTGGTTTGTACAAGTTTCCTTTATCATCTGACAACTGTAACACCAAATGTGAACTTCTATGTATACTATTAATTTCTTCACCAAAACTGAACGATCACTTAAACATGTTGATGGGCAGCACCAATATATCCAACAGAATTATAAATTGCTGTCATACCAAGTACAATGTCTTGAATGGGGAAAAAATGCTTTGGCAAAAACAGAAAACACATCTGCTGACACAAGGCTGGCTTCCCTATTTTCAACAATCCACCTGTCTACTGCTGCCTCCGTACCACATTGCATAATGTATCAGAGGATCTCCCCCTCCCGCAACATCAACTTTTTAGTGGGTGCTGTGGCTCAAGGGGCTTAGTGTAAATTTGAAGGCTCCAACTATTGGGGATGGAAACACACTTTACTTGCAGAAGAATACCTCTGGATACAAGCCACCCTATCTGCATAATGTAAGGCCCTTTTCAACTGAGCTGTTGCTTTTCTATGAAATCAGTTCACACCACGGGAAAGTCAGAGGACTAAGGAGTGATATGGTAATAACAATGGCATGTGATCTTTTACTCAGAATGTACTTCAACTGTTCTGCAGTCACACGGCAACTGGTAACTGGAGCAGAGTTATATCTGGCAGTGAAAGAGGAAGGAAGCTCCCTTCCTTGATTCAAGCAATAGATTGGGCAAAGCCTGTCTTCTTCATCCTGTGGTGTGAACTGATTTCATAGAAACAGCTGCGTTGAAAAGGGCCTCACATTATGCAGATATAGTGGCTTGTATCCAGAGGTATTTTTCTGCAAGTGAAATGCTGAGCAACACCTTGCCCTTCAACTTGAGCATCTACATTGCTATGTTACATGTGAGGAGACCAGGTTGGTTTGCAAGTAGCTACTACAGGCAAAATAGACTAAAAACATTTTCTTTATTATTTTCCTGATGCAACATTTTGTCACTTCCATTTGTCTTCTTACCGTCTTTTATTATTAATAAGCTTCATTAAATTGGTCTTGGGTGCATTTGTATCAGCCTCAAAGGGTTATTTTAAACCTTTGTTTGCCTAGACTATTTGGGAGCCATTTTGGGATTGGGGAAAGCCAAGGTAAGCTATATGCTCTCTGGTCTCCAAAGTATGTACCTTGGATCCCCAGAAATCACTCCCGTCTAAGGGTGAGAGAGAACCTAAGGAAGTTTAGTAACAGCTTGCCTAAAAGCCTCTTGTATGACTGGTAGGCATGGAAAGAAAAGAAGAAAAAGTCATTTATCCCCTCCTGCTACATTTCGTACATCATTTCTAAGGGCTTCATACGGAAAAGTGCTAGCATGAGAATCATAGACTATTCTTGCATAACTTCAGAGTAGACATCAAATGTTATTCAGTCATATCTACATCCAACTGGGGTGGATGTAGATGTAGAATAGATGTATAATAGAAGTCTTAATTTTGCAGCATCTTTTCTCTCTTTCCTACTCCCAAACCACACGGAGCTTCTTTCCTTTTGCTTCCCACCCTGCACAATATGTGTATCTTCCATCTTGCAGAGATCTGTTTCCTCTTATTAGAAGCTCTCATTGGCTTGTTTTCCTTTATATTATTAGCGCTCAGCGTTTTTCCCGGCACAAAACTCTACCAGTACTCCCATCCCTTATTCGGCACTTCAAGCATCTTCAACAATTGCCTCTCACTTATTTGCTTTGTCACGAAAGGTGCGTCTTTCTTTCTTTCTTTGCATCTTAAGCCACCTTTTCCCACCTGCAAGAAGGGCTTCCATCCCATGCATTGTCGAGGGACCAGCGTGGCTTCCTGATGGTTGTCTTCATGAGGGCAAAACCAAAACAAAACCACTCTGCACATGCTCAAAGGCTCTGCTGTCGCTTGCAACTGGTTCATTCCAGCACATAATATCGTATATAGAACAAATGACCTAAGTAAATTTATGCCATCATTTTGCTTTAATACAGGCTCCTGAGAATAGCTGTCAACGTTTCCATTTTTTTTAAGGGAAATTCCCTTATTCCGAATAGGATTCCTCGCAAGAAAAGGGAAAAGTTGACAGCTACGCTCCTGAGGCCACCCGCCCTCACCCCCATTTCGCCTCCTGCCAGGACCAGCCGCCGCATCCTCCCTGCTCCTCCTCCCTCCTCCCTGCGGGCCCCGCCCCCTCCGGCGGCCGTCACGTGCGAGCATCCGTGCGCAAAACACCCTCCGCCCCCCTGCGACGGGCATCCGGGAGCGGCCAATCCCCGCCGCCCGCTTCTCCCTCTCCGCCTATGCGTGGGCGCGTTCTCCGCCCGGGGCGGGATTTCCGCCGCTGCTTCGTCTGAGGGGTCGAGAGAGGGGGGTCTTTAGACTATGGATTCCGCCTGAAGCTCTTCCCTCGCTGGGCAAACCCCGCTCGCCCCTCGCCGGCTTCTGCCTCCGGATTCCGGGTAAGCGAGAGGCGGGCGTCGCCGCCGCCACTGCCGGGCTGAGAGGAAGCGGGCGCCGGAGGCTCGGGGCTCTGCCGGCTCCGGCGTCTGCTGCGCGGGGTCGTTCGGAGAGCCCAACGGACCCTCTCGCCCTTCACGGGCCTTTGCCGCCTCTTTCCCCCCTCACCTACCTGATCCACCGAGAGCCCGCTTTCGCGAGGGGGAAAAAAAAGAAACGCGTCATACGCGCACGTCTGAATGGGGCGAAGGGCGGGCGCGTGTTGACAACCCAGGAATCGGGAGGAGCCAAGTTGGCAAGTTGCACTTCACTTTTTAAGGCCTTACTTTCAACTTCTCGTTTCCCTCCTCTTCTTTTTTTTTTTGCGCTTTGGGTCGAAACTCGCGCAACGCAGCGTCGGGTTTCGAGACGCTCGTCTGCGCAAAAGAGCGTCTGATGCGCCGGCCTTAAAATCGCTCCCCTTGTTTAACGCGGCCCCGTGCCAGGTATGTAAAGGTGTGCTGCATTTGCCTTGGTTCTTAACCTGGGGTGGAACTGGGCTCGCGGTGGCGGCTTGTGGTTTTGTCAGCTGGGTTTTGTGATGTAGCCGGTGCTTGTGATGACACGACTTAGGTTTTTCAGAGCCTCTGTTGGGGTTGAGCTGGAGGCGCAGGGATGTATATATCCTGCACGCTCTCCTCTTAGTCGTTGCTAAATGGGGGAGCAGACATGGGGTAGCCGCTGCTTGCGCGGCACTCAGCTGTGCGAGTCTCGTTTGCTGCCGGGTTCTGTGCTTTGGTCGTACTGAATCATGAAGTGGGTTAGAAATTCAATATGGGTCTCTTCCTCCTCCTCCTGTAAATGTCATTTGTTTCCAGCATGCTGGGTAGGTGTACCCCCCAAATCTCACCCACATGGCCGGATTCTGGTGCTAGTGGCCTAAGCCGGCATTGTATATGTATGAGTGTCCGTGCTCAAGCCTGGGGTGTGTTCCACAATTGTGTAATACTTTGTGAGGCCTCCCTTGATGATTTCAAGGAACATTAGGTAGCATTGAGTGCATCCAAATTGATGTGCAGCCTAATAGATGATGGGATTATACTGCAGTGTTTACCTTCACATCCTGTTATCTGCTAGAGATAGGTCATAAATGGCTTGGGACCAATTTATGAGGGCTTTTCCTTCCTCTGTGTAGCCAAGAATGCCCTATTTGGACAGCAAGGATATGCGGGGAAGCGTTTTAAAGTGACTGCTCTGCAACTATCAAGCTTCCTGGAAATCTGGTAAAAGCTGAGCATGCCTTTACAAGTGTGTTGTAGGCTTACTTGGGTAGGTAGTTTTACAATTGCACTAAGACATTGGGCTTTACCATTTATTAATGTGCTGGCTGTACTGGGACAAGTTGACTTCTAATTTTGTCACTTGTCCTGAGTTTTTGCTGTTTAGCAGCTAAGACTGCACCCTGGAAGCAGTTCCCATTCTACTCAGCATTGCATTGTAATTTTGCTACTAAAAACCTCTATTTAATATACTTATTGTTTGGGTGCTTACTGCACCTGCCTGTACTATTATGGTAGTAGCAGATAGTAGCTGTGAGATGTTACAACCAATAATATATTGGCTGCTTATACTGGTAGTGATTGCACCAACCTCTTCCTTTCCCAGGTCATTGGATAAATTTAAGAGCCTTATTTGTGATGTTATTGTGATGTTATGATTATCTTAAACACAGGGATCCCACTATGTGGCCACTGAAGGCTATATCTATAGCTGCTTTTGTTTCTGTGCTGTAGCAGATAGCTGCTGGCACAGCAGATTTTTCTGTTCAATTTGAAATTTGTTGGTGGCACTGATATAGCTGAAACAGTCATTGTGATGGCATATCCTAAAAACATTATTTGATTGTGCAGCTTGAGAATAGGCTTTAAAAAACATTCATTGATAAAGTGCCTAAAGTTTACTTAAATGCTGCACACAGGCCTGCAGTATCGGAGATAACACATGTGGTAAAGATATGGTGAGGGAAGATGAAAGCAAGGAAACACTGGTGCTATCTCTTGGAAGAGTCAAAAGGCAGCCTGAGCCATTGAGTGGGCCCTGCTGTTCTGTTTTTCTAATTCCCAAATGGTAATTGCCGTGATAAGAACTCAAAGCCTTGAAGAAATCATCTGCTGAATATCAGACTTCAGCTGTCCCCCAGTAGAAGGGACTTGTTCAAGATAATTAAGAAATCACCATGGTAAGAATATAATCAGAATAATTTTGAATTCTCTTCTTAGTTTAGAAAATAAATTACAGAATTTGTAAGCAATAGAATAGGATTCAAAACCTGTTTGAATTCTTTTTTAAAAAAATACTAGAATTATGCTAGGTATAGTAGACATAGGATAGTTGGACTATATTACCCTTGTGGTCCCTTCCAACTCTACAATTCAGATTCTATGCAGTGCTAGAAATTAGCCAGGCGTGTTTTGCTCTTGGCATGGGTCAAATTGCGACCATGTGGAGATCTCTGGATGCCAGGTTGGTGACTGGGAAAAGCATAATGTCACGTAGAGAAGGATCTGAAATATTTCCCTTAAAGCTTGAAATTGTTTTATTCTGGATTATTTTATTTGTTGTTTTAATGTGTTGTAAACTGCTTTGAGATTTGTTCTTTAAAATATAAAGCAGTATAGAAACGACATGAAGAATGATGATGATAAATCCCATTGGGGGGAACCTCTGGTACCTAAACATTCCATTGTGTCTACTGGAACCCAGGTTTAAGGGGCAATTTGGTGATTAGATTATATATCTGAATTTCTAACATCTGAGATGTTACGTATTGGTCTCTTTGGTGTTATCTGTTCTTTTCATTTCATCTCATTTCATTTTCAGAAAGGCAGAATGTTAACTGTTATAATAAACAACAGTAGACCACATCTGTTTCTAACGAAATGGGCTCATATTAGTCTCACTGCATCCTTTCTTTTCTAAAGAATGAATTATATAGTCCTTCCCAATCACCTGGCATTGCAGTTACTTAGATGGAAATGTGATACTGAGAAGATACTTTGATTTTTATTTGCATTTAATGCACTTTAGAATTCAGAGAGCACTGAGCTCTTAGTTCTTACAGATTGCCAGGGACGTGCTTGGTAGACTGCTGTTAGTTTAACACACTGCTGATCAACTTGTATTGTCTGATAAAGCAGTCAGTATATTTGCATATGGATTATGTCTGTGTAAATGGTGAAGAAGCCACAGGTCTCTCACACAGTAGGTCAGCTGTTCAGTATCACTTTGTTTTCAACTAAATCTGTCAGAGGAAAAATAAAAAAGTTCTGGACATGCTCTTTTCATACTTTCCAGATTAAACTTCCTCTATTAGATAAGTAGTATAGCTGATGTGTTTCTCAAAACATAAGCTTAAGTGTTATTTCTACTGTTAAATGTGTATTGGGTGACTAGCTCCTCCTCCTTATGTGTTAATGGAACATTGACCAAACCAAGGAAGATCCCTGCCCAGCTATGATCTAATTTGTTGTAGGCACTTTGGTCTCAGGGAGTTGGTCAACAGCTTGAGAGGATTATCACTTGCTGGAAGAGCAGGGAATTCCAATCTGGAAAAGCACCCTGTGGGAGACTGTGAAGAATAAAAAGACAAAATCTGAGAAACAGATTAAAGCTCACCCATCAGATGCACAGGAAGAGAGAAGGTTTCTGGGACAGCTGTCAGGCACTTGGAGAATTAAGATTGGATCTTTTATTCAACTACATAACTTCTAAAATGAGAAATGTCTCTATACTGGGCTTGTGAGTCAACTGATTTTCTGACTTGGATTGAAGCTACAAGTTTTCTAGCTAGAGCTCCAAGCTGCATTGGATCAGTTTGGGTGTATATATTGCCTGAAGCAAGGATTCAAGGCCCCTAACACTTCCATCTCTCCAACAGTCCACCCTATTGCTTTGTTGCCTGTTCAATAGGCAACCCTGAAGCAGCCTAACATGAACCAGGAGAGTATGGAATAAGGCCAGGGCATTTATCTTATATAAAAACCATTTGAAGAGGAGGTCAGTAAAGATCAATCCCTTAAAGGTATATGTAAATTGCACTAGAGGTGTGGGCAGTTCTTAGCTCAAATATGACCCTCCATTTCTGAGTCCCCAACAGTCTGAAGACCCATGTTCCCGTGTCACACATAATTGTTCCTTGGTAAGAACGATTCTTGGAACTCTGAGCTTTTGATAGGGTTGGGAATGACCGCTGTATTCTCGGTTGCTGTAGAGAATACTGAGCTGATGGACCAATGATCTGGCTTTGTATAAGGCAGCTTCCTGTGTTTTCACAGGTGCTCAGGAAAATTCTGAGAGCAAAATGATTAAGCTGTTTCCCTAGTTATGGTATTGAGCAGCCTGATCTTCCAGTTGCTTTCATCATGTCCTAACCTAATTTGCAGTCTTCTTGGGTTGCTCTAATTTCAGGAGCCAGTGACTTGGCTTCTGAGTGGGTATCGTGAAGCTACCTGGCCTTCTAAATGGGGTGTAGGCACAGTATCTATTTCTATTGCTTTGCCTTAGGGAAAAGTGTACTGAGAAGCAAAATACAGCACCCCTGTATTTAGGCGGCGTGTAGATGCAGTTCCTGTAGCTTCACAAATATTGCACAATGTCCCTTCCATTGGTACACTTAAGTCTTGGGGTGGAAAAGACAGGACCAAAATACTTGGCCCACCTTTCCTTTCAGGTGGAAGGTGCCTGGCCCAGTGAACCGAAACATTCTCTAATACCTGGATTCAAATATCCCTGGTAGGTGCTCACTAAGTCACATTGAGTCATATTGAAGCGTAAGTCAGGGAATGTCTATGCAGTCAGAATGAGACTCTGTAGACAAGGGATGGGTCTGTTTTTACCGTATTTTTTGCACTATAGGACGCACTTTTTCCCTCCTAAAAAGCAAGGGAAAATGTGTGTGTGTCCTATGGAGCGAATGCAGGGGGGAGGCAGGCGGGAAAAGCCCCCAAGAGCCGCACACAAGCTCCGTGCGCTCTTGCGGGCTTTTCCACAGGAGGGAGAAGGGACTGACTGGCCGCATCAGTCCCTTCTCCTACCTCCCGGAAAAGCCAGGAGAAGCCGCGATCTCTTTAAAGGGGTTGCGCGGCTTCTGCGGGCTTTTGCGAAAGGTGAGGGAATTCCCCCACCTCCCAGGAAAGCCGGGAGAAGCCGTGCAGCCCTTTTAAAGTGCGCGCGGCTTCTGCCGGTTTTGCGGGAGGTGGGGGAATTCCCCCACTTCCCAGGAAAGCCAGGAGAAGCCGCGATCTCTTTAAAGGGGTTGCGCGGCTTCTGCGGGCTTTTGGGAGAGGTGAGGGAATCCCCCCATCTCCCAGTAAAGCCAGGAAAGCCCTGCGCAGCGTCTCCCAGCAAGGAGAGGCTGCACGGGGCTAAAGGGGAAGCCAAAACAGCGAGCGGGATCCATCCGCTCGCTGCCTTGGCTTGCTCCATAGCTGTGCGCAACCCCTCCGGCAAGGAGAGGCTGCACGGGGCTATGGATTCTTTAGCCCTGGGCAGCGTCTCCTGGCAAGGAGAGGCTGCACGGGGCTGAAGGGGAAGCCAAAACAGCGAGCGGGATCCCTCCTGCTCGCTGCCTTGGCTTGTGCCATAGCCCCGCTCAACCCCTCCGGCAGGGAGAGGTTGTGCGCAGCCTGTATGCTGCTCTTTGGGCCTGGGGAGGGGAAATATTTTTTTTTCTTGATTTCCCCCCCTAAAAACTGGGTGCGCCCTATGGTCCGGTGCGCCCTATGGTGCGAAAAATACGGTAGTTCTGTAGGGCAGGGTAAACAAGCTTCCATCTGGGTTACAATCAAGAGGAAGGAGAGCCTGCTGTTGGTCTAGGCATTGGGTTAGGGGGTAGGTTAAGTGTTCCTGAGTACAGTGGTGCCCCGCAAGACGAATGCCTCGCAAGACGGAAAACCCGCTAGACGAAAGGGTTTTCCGTTTTTGAGTTGCTTCGCAGGACGAATTTCCCTATGGGCTTGCTTCGCAAGACGAAAATGTCTTGCGAGTCTTGAGATTTTTTTTCCGCTTTTCCCCCCCTTTATCTAAGCCGCTAAGCCTTTAATAGCCTTTTAGCAGCTAATCCGCTAAGTCGATAAGCCTTTAATAGCCGCTAAACCGCTAATAGCGCTAATCCGTTAAGCCGCTAATAGGGTTGCTTCGCAAGACGAAAAAACCGCTAGACGAAGACACTTGCGGAACGGATTAATTTCGTCTTGCGAGGCACCACTGTATGTGCCTTTTATTTTCTCACATATAAGAAGTGCTGAGATGTTCTCTGGAGGAAAATAAAGCCCTGCTCTCAAAAATTAGGTATTGACTGCTCTGCTCTATCTGGGTGTAAAGTGGAATGTCAAGTTTCTAAACTGCCCCCTGCCCCAACAAAGCAGTGCCCAGTAAGGTAGCAAGAACAAGCCAATATAGAGCTGGATGGGGAGCGGAACTAATTGGAAGAAGGAGGTGTGGTTGTGGGGGAGAGAATATTTTCCAGTCTTCATCTGGCCTTCCTGATTATGATGCCGCTTGCTAACTCTCTAATCTTTTCTCAAAAACTCACTTTTCCACGAACGTTTGATATACCCTGTAGTCTACATATCCCATTGTAACTAACCTGAAGTATATATAACTCAAATAATACATATTCTCCCGCTGTTTACACTGCCTCTATCATACTCTGACTCCTTTGTGTTGTATTTTAGATTGTAACTCCTTTGGGCAGGAATTTGACTTTTATGCTTTGTAAAGTGCTATTCATACTCAAGGATAGCAGTACTCTCCCACATATCATAAAGATGCGTGCTTTCCTACTAAATATAGTAAAAGGTATACCATTGAATTATTAAGGACTGACAGGGCTTTATGGATTATAGATATAGCTTATTTTAAATTGCTGAGATGTTCTTATTTATTCTAATGTTCTTGCTTTTGGTTATTAGCCACCTTTGAGGTTTTAAAAAGGCATGCATGCATTTTTAATAAATATAAAAAAAGGTCCAAAATGAGTTTGTATAACTACTCCTACTGGGCCTCTCCAGTTTTAATCAGTATGTTTGTAGGTTGGTTTATTAAAATACTAATCGCAAATTAAAATTTGCATGCACAGCCCATTCTTCCCTACCACCAGTGACTTTTTTTTTTACCCAAAGCTAACAGATATGCCAACTACTTCTTTTCTGTCCCAAATTTGATTTTTTTTTTTAAAGTAAAATGTGGGCTGCCTTTCCTTTCGTTTGAGACCAAAGATAGCAGTTATCTTTCACAGGTGAAACTGCTGTGGCTTTTTGTCTCTCATTTATTTAGCAAGAAAGTCAACTAATAGTGTCCTATTGAAATCTTGTCAGTACTTCTTTTACCTGTACATCTTTAATCTATCTTTCATATTTCCAACAGGATAGGAACTCTTCTATGCTGCTGTGTTATTGAAAGATGGGTTGAGAATTGTTTTATCAACTTGAGGGCCACTTTCCCTAGTAGGCAACATTTTGGGAGCCACATGCCAGTGGTGGTGATACAATGAATATGATTCTTATCTTTGTAGTCCAGTCACACAGGTCAGAGTTTTGTATGTATGCATCTGCCCATCCAGGCAAGCAGTTGAAGGTCACATTCCAGTCAGGCCAAAAAACTGGAGGAAGGAGCAGAAAAGGGCCAGTGAGTCCCGTGGGCTGTGGAGAAATAGAAGGTCCCCAGTCCTGAAGTTCCTCATTCCTGCTGCAAGATTTGTGTTGGAGAATATTCTATACTTTGATTTCCAAAACTAATAAACATTAAAAGCTACCTTTGTTTTCAAAATGAGTGGTAGCGTTTGTAAAATGGGAAGTTGGATCTGTTATAGTCTTTTATTTTCTTGTTCCTTGTATCTATTTCTTTCTTTTACTGGAATAGGAATACTGTACATCATCAGATTGCCCAGACACTTGCAATAGCATATATTCCTTAATACAGAAAACAGTTGTTCTGCAGTCAAAGTTCTTGTGATTTCAGTTTACCCTTTTTCTCTCACGCTCTACAAGTTAGTTCAGAACCTTCAGAGATCTGTCAGTTTTATGTATTTAAAAGCATTTATAAACAATGTAAGTGGTTTTTTAAAAATGGGACTTCATGTAAAGTGGAGTCATTAAACTATTGACTTTGCTTGTGTTCAACGTTTCATGAGGAAGCACATTTGGCTGCAGCCTCAATTATATTCTGTAACTGGACTAGGGTTCAGAAAAGTAACCTACAGAAGTATGTGAGAAGGAGTATTGGAGAAGGTGAATGCTTTGGGGCTCTTTCAGAATATTAATTAGGCTTGATTTTTGTTTCAGAGGCAACTGGGATTTGAAAATAGGTTGCATCTGATAGTTGATAGCTGTCAAAAGTGAAGAAGCTTGCCCTACTTTAAAAGAAGAATTGCAACAGTATAGGAAGAAATAAGGTGGCAAGATCAGTGACCTGACAATTTGTTCAGTTGTCTCAGGGCGAGGAGATCTGTTAAGCTACTGCTGGATAGAAAGCTTAAGGGAAGATGATGGAAAGGAAGTGAGGTTCAGATGGGCCAATCAGACTTAATTCACAAACTGTCCATTCCAGGTCTGCTGTGATGCTAATGATGACAGCTGAGGTTGGGACTTCAACAGCCATGGGTGCTAACAGGTGTGTCGTGGAGCAAATAGGTACTGCTGTGGCGGGAAGGTAAACAGCATTTCCGTGTTCTCTGGCTTCTGTCACGGTGTCCCGTTGCACCAGAAGCGGTTTAGTCGTGCAGGCCACATGACCCTGGAAAGCTGTCTGCAGTCAAACGCTGGCTCCCTTGGCCTGCAAGCAGAGATGAACGTTGCACCCCAAAGTCACCTTTGACTGGACTTAACCGTCCAGGGGTCCTTTACCTTTTTGCCTTACCTATTTCTGGTGCAGTACTTCATGTATGTGGTGACTCTGTCCCATTTCCAAAGAGAGATTTTTCTATAGGCAGGATAGTTGGAACATCTGTGAGACCAGTGCATGAAGCCTTGACAAATGGGAAATGCAGATTTTCGGCTTTCAAAAGCTAGGGCTCTCTAGACTTGGTGAAGTGTAAGGATAATGGACACTGTAGTATTTGAGGTGGTTAACGCATCTAAAGGATCTTTGCATTGTTGAGCAGTAGATTCTGGCCTGAAATTAGTTTTTGGAAAATAGTTAAACAAGAGCCAAAAAAGTGAGTATGTATTGTGTGAATGATTCAACTGCTCAGAGTGTAACTTCCTCCTGAAAGTCAGACTTTGCCTTTGAACATTAATAAGAAATGATAAGAAATTAATGCTATTAACTATGCATTCCAACCCAGCATAGTATTGTACTACTGAAACTCTCAGCTGCCATCTCTTGCCAAGTGGATAGCTAGGCAGTGTTGATGATTCCAGACACCTCTTGAAAATCAGGGATGGTGGGGCTCTGCTAATATTTCCACAATTCATACAGAGGTGTGTTTTAACAGCCCCCCCCCGACAAAAAATGTCCAGTGTACCTCTGTGACTTTGCATTATAGGGGAAGATCAGTAGTGGTGGGCAAAGTACTCTTCAGGGAAGCTTAACATAAAAAGATCCTGCAAGATTAAGCTAGTGTCCCATCTAGTCCAGCATCCTGTTCTCATCATGGCCATCCAGATGTCTGTGGGAAGCCTGAAAGTGGGACCTGAGTAAATTTCTGCAGTTTCCTGCAACTGAAAATTTGACAGCCATTGCTGTTCTTCTCACTGATGAAGAATGCCGCCTCATCTTCCAAGGAATCAAAGAACCTACTCCACCAATGACCAGTTTATTTTGTGGGAGAATTAAGGCAGAACAGAACACCAGAGGCAAATGACATCTGTGAAGTTAATGGTATTGTCCCAAATTGGAATGCCCTCCCCAAGAAGTACAGCTAGTGCTAATATTAGTCCTTGCAGTCACAAATTAAATATTTCTGTTTACCCTGGCATTTTAGGGTTTTCTTTTATTCATTTAACAGTTGTTTATTGCTGCCTCCAAGCTTTAATTTATTGATGTTTTTAATTGTTTTAATCTTATTTATTTGAGTGATTTTATATCACTTAATCATAGTTGTCTCTTAAGTGGCATATAGGAACTACAAAACATTAAGACTGAAATAAGTAAAAATTACAAAATTTCTCAGTTTAAAAGCCTGCTGGAATTAAAAAGTATTCAGTAGGCACCGGAAGTTCAACTGGGAGGCAATCTATTTGACCTCAACTGGAAGGAAATTCCACAAAATACTGAACACGTGGCCCCTTGTGGATACAGGCTGTACATCTGAGCCATGGGGTACCACTAGCAGTGATTCCCTAAGGAAAGATGGTGATCAAACAGGTATATAATAGATTAGGTGGTCCCTGAGGTATCCTGGACCTAAGTTGTGTAAATTCCATTTGGATAAAGGGCGGTTTAGAAATATTTTAAATAATAAAAACATTTAAAACTCAAAAGCACCTATGTATCCAGTCAGAAATGTTGGAATTTGTGTGCATTCAGTTTCTCTAATGTGAATCAAGAGTGAGACCATAATAAAGCCCAGCGAAGTTTATCTTTGGATCCATCATCAGTTTTTGGAATTTTTCACTTGTGTGAGGCACAATCCAATTAAGCAAGAGCCTGTAGTCCCTGAAGGATGTGCTAAAATTCAATACTTTTGTGTGCTCTGTTGGCCTGCATGTGACTGCTTCTGTGTACTAGGCTAGCGCCTGGAAGTTAGCACAAGCTTTAGTTAGCACAAGGTTTTCAGGTGTGAAGCAGATTGTAAGTGAGCATTTCAATTTCAGTATGGTTTAGTAGTGCCTTCTGATTCTATTAGTACAAGTAGATTTCAATTAATAAATCAGTGTTTGGAAGACTGAAACCATTAATGTAAATGAAAGCAGAAGGCTGGAGGAGTGTGTGTCACTTGATTGATAGAACTTGTAAATGACTTAGTAGATTTGTTTTAGAAGCCATTGTGCTTCGTGTGCAGAGAACAATTATCTCACCTACCTGCCAAAGTCTGGTACAACTCCTTAGCAACTTTTAGCAAGTCTAAGTAAATAATAAAGGAGTTGAAATTCAAAGTAAGTTATTCTTGCATATTAATAAAGCAAAATATTTCAGCATAGTCATTGGGTGACTGGCTCTGTTTATGATCTTGTTTCTACAAGCCATTGGACTGGTAGAACAATGTTTGGGGTGCAGCTTAGTGTCTGCTGCGCTAGCAACACACCACAGCATTCATCTTTGCACTTGTCGTGTGCTTTGGCTTAGGATTAGCACTTTGCATTAACTCAGAGGACAGAATGGCACTCCTCTGCTGCCTGTCACTGCACCCATCCCCAAGTATGATATAACTATGTGATATGAAGCCACAGAGCAGAAAGTGTATGTATTGAAGATGAGGAAAATGCAGAATGGGGTAGGATAAAGTACAACATGCTTTCTATCTGAGCATTTCATCAGAACAAACCTGTGTGCCTGATGAACAGAACAATCTTTTGGGGTTGGGTGAGGTAGAATCTGGCAGAAATCCTTGATTGAGCTGCACTTGCTTAAGTAACTTTATGTGCAGTAGCAGCTATGTGTATTGGATCAGAGTGTTAATGCCTTCTGCCAGTCTTGACTTCCTTTGTTTTTGTCTTGCAGGAATTTAATTAAAATGCTGCTGTCAATAGGAATGTTAATGTTGTCTGCCACTCAAATCTACACCATTCTCACAGTTCAGCTGTTTGCTTTCTTAAACCTATTGCCTGTGGAAGCAGATATTTTAGCCGTAAGTATTATTTATTTATTTTCCCCTGTGCTTGGGATTCACCCAAAGGGCCCCCATCAGTGGAAGCACGGAACCAGGACTTCTGCTTGTACAGCAGGGCTGTCCCTCCCCCCCAAAGCACCCCAAAATTGGCTGAGAGAGGGGCTGGATAAGCATCACAGCAATGCATGGGGAGGCGAAAGGGGGGCTTCTTCCATCTGGCAAGCCGAAATACTTTTGCAGATGGAGTGTTCATCATAGTGCAGCATTAAATTACACCGTGTGTGTAAAGCATTCCTAAAGAGACAATGAGGTTGTCAAAGGATCCAAGGGGCTCTCAACCCTTAAACTGACATAGGAATATCTTTGAAAAATCTGAGCTAGCTTTTAGGTAATAGGGACACGAGTGGCGCTGTGGTCTAAACCACTGAGCCTAGGGCTTGCCGATCAGAAGGTTGGCAGTTCGAATCCCCGCGATAGGGTGAGCTCCCGTTGTTTGGTCCCAGCTCCTGCCAACCTAGCAGTTTGAAAGCATGTCAAAGTGCAAGTAGATAAATAGGTACCACTCCGGCGGGAAGGTAAATGGCATTTCCGTGCGCTGCTCTGGTTTCACCAGAAGCGGCTTAGTCATGCTGGCCACGTGACCACGTGACCTGAAAAAACTGTCTGCGGACAGTTGTCGGCTCCCTTGGCCTGTAAAGCAAGATGAGCGCCGCAACCCCAGAGTTGGACTTAATTGTCAGGGGTCCTTTACCTTTTTTTAAATGGGTGGAAACTGATTTGGGATGTAATAGGTTACAAGCAGTAATTGGTTACAAGCAGTGGGTGCAAAAAATGCAAATTTGTATGCATTTCCTGTTTTCTTTCACATGCTTGCTTATGAATATGGGGTTAGGCAGTTTACGCTTATTTTAAGATAGTAAAACGCTAATCAAGGGACTTCACTACATTAGTTCATCTACTTGCAATAGTCTCCACTTAGAACTTGTAAACATGCATTATTTAGCATAGAAGGTAGTAAAATGTCTCCAATGCAAAGAGGAATTGCTGTAGGAATGCCTGCATGGGGTGATATATTGCTTTTGATCTGCTGTTTCCATTTGATAAAGTTACTGTGTATAGTGACCTAGTCTGTTGGGGCTGATCAGTTCTAGTCAGGGGCCCAGTTTGTATCTCAATTCAACCATAGTTTATGTTAAACAATGGTTTAATGTGAATTCAAGGTTCTGATATATAAAGCCCTAAATGGTTAGTACCTGGTTACCGGCAGAATGCCTCTCCTATACCATCCAGCCTGGGGCATGAGAACTCCTGTGGAAGCACTGCTGGTAGTTCCAGGCTTAAGTAGAATCTGGTGATCACTAACCTGTCGGAGAGGCTTCTCAGCAGTAACACCATGGTTTTGGAACATACTTCCTCTGGAGGTTACTTTGGCACCAACATTCTGTATCTTCAGGCACCTCCTGAGCCCGTGCGTTTTTGAACAGGCCTTTTAAAGCTGCAAGATTGGCTTGTGTAGTAAGAACTGTTGCTACTATTAGTTTTACTACCTTGTTCTATGTGTTTGCGATTCACACTGGGGTCTTGTGATGAGGGAAGGATATAAGTTTTAAATATAAACAATATGTTGCTTGTTCACATTAAAGCATAGTTTAAAACAAACTATGGTTTAACATGATGGCGGTCCCTGCTTTTGGCCATTTCTAAGTGTTCTCTAATCTACAGTCTCCCGCACTTCCCTTTGTATGACCATTACACTCCATTCACTTCTGGCAAGAAATTAATGAATGTGAAACGTCTGTTCTTTTGTCAGTCTTGAAACTCCTGCCAATCAGCTTCATTGGAACGCCCTTAGTTCCTGTACTGAGAAAGAGGGGAGGGGGAATCTCTCATTGCTTTCTCCCTAACATATACACTCCAATAAAGCTTTCTCCCCTCCTAGGTCATCCAGGCTTACAGGACTGGATATAGTATTACTGCCATGCAAGCTTGAGCTGCAGTGCCTCTCTTCATTTATAAAGAAAAGAAATCTTCTTTGCCAGCAATAATGTGTGATTGCAGAACTTACTCCTTCCCCTCTGTTTTTCCACTACTCCCCTTTTAGTAGCTTCTTTAAACAGTGTTTTTTCTGTGATAGCTGTTCTCTCCTAGCAAATTCTCCATTCTTCGCTCTTCCCCCATCTGCATTAAGCCTGTGGTCAACCCAGGAATCTGTATTTAATAAAAGAGTCCCTTATTTCTTTTGACCAGAAAGTCCTCCGCTTATGACAAGGATTCACTATTACAAACACACTTGGCTCTAGTTGGCTCTAGTTCAGTTTTCACAAATGGTACATTTTCTTCCTTGCAGTATGTTAAAAACATAACTTTTATTTTACTTAATTGGATTTAAAATGGCTCTTTTTTTTTTTACTCTGGTCAGAAGCATAAAAAGAGCTCAGGCAAAAGAATGCAGATTACATAATTTTAGTGGGTTTCTGCAATCTGACGGTTGTAGATTCTGAACTTCCATAAAGAAAGCATTTTACAATGTCTAAGTTCAAAACACACACTGCCTGTTTTGTCCATTTTAAAGAAATAGTCTTGATTTTGCTTTGTAACAATTTCCAGGGGCTTGTCGTGTTAGTCTGTTGTAGAAATATTAGCAAAGACTGTTTAGGATTAAAAACTTTAATGTTAAAACATTTTGCAAACCACTTTTTGCTGTTTACTGCGCATTCTTTTTACAGTAAAAGCAGACTTTACAGTGAAATTTAAGGAACTGGAACACTTCCAAAGAGGAGTTCAGCATTTAACTCATTGCAAAAATGTTTGAAGGTGGAAGAACCTTGGGAATTAAAATATTGCTGAGCTATGTTATAAACTGAAACTGAAGCAGGTCAATAGGTGAAGAAAGGAACTTCAGGGGCTGGTCCTGGGCACAATGTGGGGCATATGACAAGATTTTGTTGAGACAGTTGAACTGTACTTTGAGAAATGAATGATTTGTGCTATTGGTATCTTATTTCTTAGTAGTATGACAATGGTTTTATATGGTCCCCTTTCCAGTTTAGTACATAATATAATCCTTCACTTTCCTTTTGCTTTTAGTTTAATTTTGAAAATGTAACACAAACATTTGATGACCTGCCAGCAAGGTTTGGCTACAGACTCCCGACGGAAGGCTTGAAGGTAAGAAGCAAGAGCAAGTAACAAAATAGGAGCAAATAAAGAAAATTTAACATGGTGCTTTGTGAGTTCTTAATATGTAGCTTAGTCTCAATTGGCTCTATGGATTTTACAACTGCGCAACAGACTTAATCCAAAATCAGCTGGAAAAGGTGGTAGGCACGACTGTGTCCCTATAGTAAGAAAAGAAAAGAAAGAGCTTTCTGCCAATAGTGTTGCCTAGAGCAACGGAAGACAATGCAAAGACTTTCCTTTCTAGTGTGGAGGATTTCAAGAATACTTTTATAATCCTTGGTGATTAATTAAGGGACAGGGTGTTGAGAAATAAAGCTTTGATATATAAACCCTTAGATAAACCTGCAGAAAAGCATTTATGACAACCACTGGACTTCCATGTGAAGATGTTATTAGAAAGCAGTCAAGTAAAAGACTGAGCCCAGAACATTTAAACTAAGGCTTGGCTTTAGAATGATACTAATCTACTACCTGGCTCTCTAAAATTACAGAGTTGGAAGGAGTGTGGGAGGTCAGCCCTTGCTCAATGTTGGATCTGCAGTGCAGGATACAACTGCAACATCTCTGACCTAAAATGAAGGCGATTCCACCACCTTCCAAGGCAGCTTCTTACATTGCTAAACATCTCCTACAGTTAGGAAGCTTGTACTAATGTTCAATCAAAATCTGCTTTCCTGCAGTTTTCACCCAATGATTCTAGATCTTCCCTCTGGAGCAATCACCTTTCCTCCCTTCTGTGGCAAACAGTAGGTCTTCCTTTCATCAAGGACCCAACCCTAAACCTACCTGAAATAAGTGTCCTCCTATTAACTTCACAGGCTTTATTTCTTGTCCTGCGATTGTCCTGTACTTAGTTGCTTGACAGTAACTCAGTGGGATTGAATTCTGAGGAAATCTGCACAAGATTGACCTGTTAGGAAATGTTTTTATTGCTCCTGATTTTGCTTATAATACTTCTGATATGCAACTATTCCTCAAATGAAGTTGGTCTAAGCTATCAGTTAGTTAGCTTTAAAACTGATAAAACGTAACAGCCACGTTTGATCCTATCTAAAACAAACCTTAGCATAAATAACCATACTATATTTTAATGCATGCTTGCAGTTCTTATCTTATTTGATTGCCCCATAACAATTGTACACTTGTTGCAATACCCCAATATTTCTTGCAGTTTGATTCAGGGCTTCTGCTGTAGCCAGTGACTCTTAGTCAAATATAAGTGACTTCTGCATTTTGAACACTTTCTTTAGTTAGACATTCTTGGACAATATGACCTTGTCCAACAATGGCCGTGAGTCATTTGTGTTTCTTTCAGTTGATTCTAAACATTTACAGCCTTAATGAATGTGTATGCTCAAGGACCTCTACAAAATACAAAAACCTAGCAAAAGGTTTTTTTAAACAATGCTGCCAAACAGTGTTCTTGGAACAATTTGGTTTAAGGGCTGTAGTAGCCTCCCACCCAAACCCTGGCAATTCGAATTATGAAAGCACCAAGGAAAATCATACTTTAGTTTATTTCAGCTGTTGTTTAGAATTGTGGTGACACATGTTGTGCCCATAGATCCTTGTGAAGCAGGTTGTTCTTGATAGACATGAGCACAACCATATGTACCTGAAAAGGGGAGCCTGTAGTCCAGCAGCATCTGAGGGCCATAGGGTCTCCTCTTCTGATGTTGCCTTCTCCAGAATTTGTGGTACTCTTGACTTAGGGCAGAGAACAGCAGGCAGTAGGTTGCAGTATTGAACTCACTTGTACATCTTCTCAAAGACAGTATTGTTTGTTCTGAGAATAAGTGGTTTGGGGATTGTGAGAACACTACCCACAACTTGATCCTCCTCAGATGTCTCTGCAACACCTAGAGCTGATTTACTGTTGAATTTAATGCAAAGACTTTCAGGATTTGGTGAGTATCTTTAACTTGATACCACCGTATCTATGATACCATCTAGGCCTTCACAGTTTCTGATGTGTAACAGTACGTAAGGGGACTAGGAAGCAGCAGTATGTTGTACTGCTGTTTGTAGTGCAACATATTCCAAGAGCATTTTGGTTTCTCTGGATATTGACTGAGGTCTGCCTCCTGTGCCTGCTAATGTAATTGCAGCAAGCCGCAGCATTCAATGTCTCAAGGTTAAAATCAGTGCATGATAGTTGCAAACACCAGATTGTGTCACTATTAATGCCGTGGTATGAATGCTAAATGCTAGCAGTGTTTTTCAAACCTCTGCTACTGAGAGTCTTGTACATATATTTTCTAATAGTGATTTTTTTAAAGTAACTTTACAAAATATAGGAGTTTTGCTGAAGAAATTTAAAATCCAGACATATCTGAAAGAAGCTTTTATCATGTGCCCTAATAGTCAGGAAGGTGGTAGAAATACAGTTGCAGTAATTTTATTTTGTTTTCATTTTATTTTTGAGGCAAGAAATAAGAATTGCAAGAAAAAATAGAGGTATTGGAATAATTGCCATTTTGCTATTATGAGAAAATTCTATTTATATTAATTTCAAAACAACATACCACGCAACAGCCAAATGCTATTCATTTCCCCCCCTCATATATCAGTAAAGCATTTGCTTTAGTGCCAGTCTTTATTCAGATTTGCAGTTCAGGAAAGCAACACAGAAAATTCTGCTATTAATGTGGGAAACTGGGAAGCAGTGGAGAATGGTAAGATGTATATTGATATTAAATTCATTGAGAGCAGCTGAACTTCCGAATGTACAACAGACTGGACAGAAGTATTCAAATTTATAGGAATTCCTTGCCCTATAATGAAATAGTCATACACCTGGAAGACATGTTCCTCCTTTTTGGAAGTATGGTTGTAGGTATCCATTGTATGTTAGCCTATAGTGAATATGAAACTTGATACAAAGCACAGTAGATAAAAAAATGGGGATTTTGGGATATCCTCAGAAACAGTTGCTTGCTGAAGTAGTGACACGTGGAAGTGGGTGCTCTGATGCACACTTGGAACTTCCTCACTGTGGTGTTCATATTGGTAGAGGAGATGGCTCCATCTGCTTTGCTAAAGGTCAGACATCCCCAAACTCTGCCCTCCAGCTGTTTGGGGATCCCTAGCTAACAGCATAAAGTTTTCTGGTCATACTGTTTCAGAACTGCTGAACATTGAAACTTGGGTGAAGACAATGTTCAAACAAGGCTAAATGCACTGCTTGCTTTTTATTCCTAAAACCATAATTCTGTTCCTAATATATTGATTCACAATAGCGATTGTCACCAAATAGTTAATAAGAGAAGATGCCTAAACCTGTGTTGAGGAGAGAGAGCAAGTTGTGACATTCTCTTTTTTAATTCCAGCTGCTTTGATCTGTGTATACAGAAGATTGGTTACATTTATTTGGCGAAATAGCTCATCCTTGTTAAGTGACCTTGGGTGTTCTGAATATTTAATTTCCTGGCTTTCCTTTGTTGGGGTGGGCGGGCGGGGAATCACTTGAAAGTGATTCCTTTAAAAATCCAGCAATTATTCCAGCTTTGAAAGGCTTGCTTGAACAAGGTGATAGAAATGAATGCTACCCAGTACCTGCCATGTTTTAAATGCAGATTGCAATAAAAATCCTACCATCATGCTGCCCATGAAAGTACCTGAAAGCTTCATTAGTGGAGTTCTGCTTTTAAAACACTGAAATTGGCAGGCTTCACTCCAGTAGAGCACTTCAGCATATCCTTAACTTTAAACTTTAGCTTTCATGAGACAGTGTGCATGTTTAAAACGAAGTAAACACTTAAGTGCTTTGTTGGATTAATGCCCAGGTGAAGTGGTACTAGAAACATATCTCTTTCATACTTGACAAGTTGTCATTACAAGTTATACCATACTTTGACTTTTGATGATTTTTGGGTTTTGCTGAACTTAAGCCCCCCTTACTACTTTATTTAAATTATAAACTCTTCGTGTCCTGGTGCCATAGAATGATCTACCATGTTTCTAATCATTGTGGCGAGAACTTTCTAAAAATAGGCATATGTAAGAGGGCCAATGTCGTGTAAGGGTTAGAGGATTGGACTGTGACCTGGGAGACCAGGGTTCAAATCTCCACTTAGCCATGAAGCTCCCTGGGTGACCTTGTGCCAGCCACTGTCCCTCAGCCTTTCCCTACCTCACAACATTCTTAGGAGAATAAAATGGAGAGACGACAACAATTTGCACCACCCTGAACTCGGAAAATCTAAGTAACTACCAGCCAGTTCCCAATCTCCTCTTCCTCCCTTCCTGTTTGGTCAATTCCTTTTGAATAGCTTATACCTCTCAATTTCTACATTATTATTTATTATTAAAAAGTTGTATACCTCGGTGTGTTCTGAGGTCTGCAACTGCTGTCCTTGTTCCTCAGGCCCAGAATTGGTATCCGAGGTGAAGGCATGGAATCGATTTTGCAGCTCCAATGACACAGCATGGCCCCTGACAGTCCTGCTTCTCTGTGTCACGTTCCTCCAGGAGTTTGTCTCCTACACTGGGCAATCTTCTCCCTCTCTAGGGGCATCCTCACCCCGCATCGCTGTTCCAGGATGGTCCACTCTGCTTTAGTGAGAAATTCCTCATCTTGTCCGATAACTCCAAGTGTGGAGAGGTGGGCCTTAAGTTGCTGTACCTTCCCGCAAGGCAACCATCTTGCACTTGCTGTAGGTATAGTTTTGCACTTTCTCTGGCACAGGTGTTGCAGGTCACTGCAGCAGCTCCCTCACCACCAGTGTATCTTGGTCGTACGTACACTGTGAGTCAGCATTCCTGTTTACAGGTCCTGGCCATGAGCTCCCAAAGGCTGCAATCAGCTAAACAGAACGGGTCTGGCTGCTGACTTTTCCCCCAGCTCACTTCCTACTTTAAATTTGAAACCAAATGGCTGCTGATCCCGTCTTCTAATCAAAGGATATGGAGAACAGCATATAAAGGTTCTAAAACACACCCTAATATAGTTTCTTAATGCTCACCCGGGAAAAAACAACTACTTGTGGATACAAAACCAACATATAATATGTTGTTCCCTCCATACTAGTTTTCTAGTTAAAGGAATTGTCTTTAAAATAAATACAGGGGCATTGAGAAAATGTGTGCTGTCACCAGCATCTTAAAATAGTATAGTCTGTTCTACCACTGCTACATGTATCAATCTGGTCAAAATTATCTTCTCTAGCTGTAGTGTTAAGAATTTTCACAACTTGGAGTTCAATGATATGAGGCAAGTAGCTTCTACTTATGCAGCCATTTTGTGACTGAGAACTGACTGATTTGCTTTTGAAAAATGTCTTTCAGGGTTTTCTAATAAATTCAAAACCCGAGAATGCATGTGAGCCCATAACTCCTCCACCTCTGAAGGACAACACATCTCATGAATTCATTGTATTAATCAGAAGACTTGATTGCAACTTTGATATAAAGGTAGGTAATTTCTCATATGTAAGGATTCTGAACAGTGTTTCTGAGGATTCAGAATAATCTTTAAGTTTGTTCTTTTAAAAAGAACCGTGTAGATCTGGTGTATACATACACATTTCTTTAGGAACGTGTTACCAATTTGCACCACTTGTGGTAGTTGCTTGGGTTCTACACAAATATTCTTTTAGTCATTTTCTGCATCATTGATTAATGTTCTGAATGTCATTTAAAGTGTAACATTTTGTGTTTTACTTTGATCGGCTCTATTTTTCTTAATTTCACAAGATTTATATACCACTTGATTGTAATAAAACCTCAAAGTGGCTTGTGTCCTTAAAAAGATTGCATGTGGTTACTTACCCTCAGCAAAATCAGTATTATCAAGTGTTGCTGTTGTGGACCCCACATTTCTGTTCTGTAAAGAAGGAACAGTGCTGGAGGAGGCGTTTTGTGGGGGGTTGACTTGTATTAGAGGGTAGGATCATATGATTTCCCTGGAAGAACATTTATGAGGGCATACTTGATGGAGTGTAGTCTACTGTACATAGGAAAGAGTTTTATCTGGTTGTTCTGGTTCCACCCACCACTGGCATGTGACCCCTTGAAGTTGTTCATGAGGCAGTGTGGCCCTTGGACTGAAAAAGATACTCCAGCCCTGATGTAGCAGGAAACAATGGCTTCCTCTTATGCCTGTCTAATCCGGATAGGTTCTTATATAAAATATAAAATGTTTTTGTTGAATATTGTATAGCTTTCACCTCATCTGTAGTATTGGGAGTGTGGGTGGAAATACTGCATTATTATTTTTTGTGGACAAAGTTGAACCAAATGAAAAATTGTGCACGCCCAAATGGAAAAAATAAAACGAGAGTACCATATTTAAGTGGAGTGCCCCTAGCAGTCCAGTTAAATGACTTACTGTTGGCATACACTGATTAAAAACCAAATCACCTGATGTTATGCTGCCATTGTAGGAATGTTATTGTAGCCAACGAGGTTCCCTCCATATACAGTTGTACCTCGGGATGCGAACGGGATCCGTTCCAGAGCCCCGTTCGCATCCTGAATGGACTGTAAGACATGACGGCGTGTCTGTGCGTGCGCGGGTCGCGTTTTGCTGCTTCTGCGCATGTGCGTGATGTCATTTTGAGCAGCTGCACATCCACGAGTGGCGAAACCCGGAAGTAATGCACTCCGTTACTTCTGGGTTGCCACGGAGTGCAACCCGAAAGTGCTCAACCTGAAGCACATTCAATCCGAGGTATGACTGTACTGGTTTCCCAACTCCCCTCAGCTCCAGCCAGCATGGCCAATGGTAAGGGATGATGGAGATTAAAATTCAGAAACACTTGAAGGGCATCCCATTGTGTGGCAGTATACAACACTGTTTAGGATAAAAGATAAAATGTAACATTATCTAAGGATTCCAATTTAAGATACATGGAATGAAACTTTGTTGTTTAGTTCACATTGAATACAGTTTAAGGCAGTATGCCTCTGAATACCAGTTGCTGGGGAGTACTCATGCTTAGAGTTCTCTTGCACTCTGGTCCTGCTTGTGTGCTTCCCATAGGCATCTGGTTGGCCACGGTGAGAACCGGATGTTGAGAGTGGGTGGACCTTTGGTCCGATGCAGCAGAGCTCTTCTCATGTTTTTAGACATGCTCTTATCATCTGCCCATCCTTCCAGTTGCAGGATGGAAAACTAAAGCATCTTGGTATTCTATAAATAATCTAAACTGAAATAAACACTTTGTATTAGGTACTACACTGATGGCTATAATTCCAACAGATGAAGTGTATTAGGAGAAGGCTGATCCTAATTTACAAAAACTTTAATGACAGCAGAGAAATGTCTCGCAGGAAAGTAACTTTCCCCCCTTTCTTTTAGTTTTGTGTAGCATTATCCTTTCCCTTCTGGGGCTGAATACCATTAACACTATGGCATGCTATTCATTATTCAATAGGTTTCTGATTCCCATACTCCTTTTATTTTTGTTATAAGAGCAAGCCACTTTGAAGCTGGAACAATCTTGGAATAAATTTTCACAAGTAGATGAAGGAATGGCATGCATTTTTACAGGAGGAGCTTTGACAGCCTTAGGGTTGCTTTTGTTAGATGGGATGGAATACTATAATGCTGCATTGCTAATGTCACCTCTGAAAGTGAGAGCAGGAAAGCAAAACAGCATTGTCAAATCAAAGCCTGAAATGTTGGGCTTGAGCAGGAGTGGCTAACTTGTGGCCCACCACTGCCTTTTAATTTTCAGTGCTTAAAATCCTGGGTAAATTACCTAGGTGTTCTGGGATTATAGTACTACTGCATACACCATAGTAAACAAACTTTCTGTGGTCCTCCAAGGTGTGCATGCACATCTCCCTAAAACAGAATCAATGTGCATAAATAAACTTAGTTGCAAAAAACCCATATAGACTCACTGCACATTTTTTCTCTTCTATTATCATTGTCTGTACTGTTCTAGTTACTTGGGCAAAAAAACTTGTTAATTGATTTTGATAGCAGCTACGTTTGAACGAACCTTGCATACTCACACAGTTGATTTGTTCTTCCATTCTCATGAGCCAGGAAGTGTTAGTTAAGAATAGTTTCCTGCTGTACCAGAACTGGTTCTTGATGGTTAATGGCTTCTAAACTATCCAGAATATTAAGCCATGCTTTAAAGTTGGCTTCATATTCTAGATTTTTTGGAAACCATTCCCCATTGATGCCTAGTTCAGACTTAATGGGAAGCTGTAGTTAATGGAGATGTCCCAAGGTGCCAGCTCCTTCTCACCAAGCTATGTGAGGCATGTTCATATTTATTTATTTATTTCATTAAATTTATATACCACTTGATTGTAGAAAAAGCATCAAAGTGGTTTACAACAATAAAATGACCACTACAAAATTTACAACCATAATTTAAAGCGTACAGAAAGTTAAAACCACAATAGAATAGACTAAAACAAATCAAAACTCATACAGACTTTCTAAACATATGGGTAGACACATCTACATAAGAATGACTTTAGCAGGCACCAAAAATAATACAGTGAAGGTCAATAGGCAGGGAGTTCCAAAGTGTCAGTGCTGCCACTAAATGATTGAGTTTTTATAGATGCAGTGCAGGTATTATGTGGCACCTGTAAAAGTGCCAGTTCTGCCAATATCTCAGCTTTACTATGCTGAGGTATGATTGCTTGCCCAAATGGGCCCAGTGAGTTGCATCCAACATTCGCATCATCCAACGGAAAGGAGCCTGTCTTGGATGGAAGGTTGATCTAAACCTGTGTGTTCTGGATAGCTGTGTTAAAATATTTTGTGTTGTACAAAACGAATAATATATTATATTCCTGTAATAGTTTATCCTACAATTAGCTCAACTTCAAATCTTCTGTGGTACACAAATCAGAAAAAGTATGAAGCATATCTTGTGTGCTTTCTGATCCTGTGACATCAGCATAGAACAGATCTCGCTTCAAAACTTCACAGCTGAATGCAGTAATGAGAACTGCCTGTAGCTCATTCATTTGATCTCTTGCTGCAGTGGAAAAGCAAGCCGTGGGAACAGATGACAGCTTTCTCTGTGCAGCATCCAGAAGTGTAACCTATGCATCTCCCAAAGGATTTGGATGTCTGTAGCAACAAGAGCTGTAGGAATGTAAATGCCAGTTTCCTTTAGGGGAGATAATTGCTGTGACCTGGTGGTAAAAAGTGCAGTATGGTTAACCTACTGCAACAGACGAGGCGCCAGTGTAGGACAGATTCTACTGATGGATCCAGTTAGACAGCCCACGCCTAAAGAAATGCTATTGACTTTGCAGAGCACAGTTGCCAGGAGAGTTGGGTTATTTGTGCTTGAGAAATGCCTACTGAGCCCCAGGCAGATTGTAAATTATCCACTAATAGAATAAGTAGCAGGCAATTGGGGATGACACAGAACTTGGGCATGGACAAAGTCTCCTGAAGTTGTGTGTCTAATAACTGAAACAATAGACTGAAAACAACTGCAATCAATTCTGATTCCTGAATGGAAAACCTGCATGATTTGTTTTTTTAAAAGGCGGCACATTTCCACAAAGTTTTGTTTTTAGAGCTCTTTCAATCTATTGAGAGGAAATACTCAGAAAACAAATCTGGGAATTAAGTTGAATAAACAATAAGTGAACTTGTGAGTTTTTGGCATATTTTGCTGGCTCCTTTTGTGTGTGTTTCCTCTTTTGTAGATCAGCAGGTTATGAATATCCATGAATGTCTGCCTGGTAGATCAAATGGTTGTTTAGACATCAAAATCTAAGCAGTTCAGTTTTGTGTTTATGTATTTATTTGTGAGGACTTTGGAAACAAAGTGTTCCAATCTTATCCCCAGCCCCTACCAAGAGTGCTTCTGTTTCTGCTCTAGCTAGATTGAAGCAGGAGCCTTGGAGTGCTGTTTAGGGTTCACAGAAAACTGCTGAAAGCTTCCTTCGCTGTGCTTTATGATGCTAAAGGCTTCATGGTTTGGGCAGGCTGCCAGCCCTGAACCTTAATACTTTATTTGTGGTATAGCAGAGGCGGAGAAACCCAAGGTCGGGGGGCCCTTAGAGTCTCCCCAGGTTGTACTCCCCTGACCACACCCCTCACATGTTCTGCTCCTTGGCTGCCTTGAATTGCCCTTCAACTGCGAAAATATATCTTGAGTGTAGAAACCTCCGCCTTTTTGCATTGCGGGATGCAAATTGCCCACTTTTGCCTCTGGTCCTGTCCACTACTGGTAAGTGATACCCTCCAGAATGTTGCCCACAAGTTAACGTGGTTTTGTGGCTGGAAAAGGTTTTCCACTCCTGCTGTATAAATTAAGTTAGTGAGCTAACCTCATGGTGCATCTTTCCTCTCTGGCTCAAATGCTTACCATAAGAATATACTGTTGGGGTTGGAAACAGGGCCACCCCCCCCCCTTGCACTGGTGTTTAATGGGCACCTTCAGCATCCCATAACTTAGCTGGCCTATAAACCTAGACCAGCTAGGTCGTTGTTGTTGTTTTTTTGGGGGGGGGTTGCAAGAGCAACCACAGCTCTGTACAGCATATATTTAACCTGTGTTGTCCTTGTGAGAGACGTCACTATAACTGATGAGTAAGAGAGGGTGGTTTATCCAGAACACATTTTCCCCTGTTTTGCGGGATGTGATGGAGACACATTATGTGGCCGTGGCTCAGAATGAGAGATGGTTTCATGTGTAGAGAGATTCCTCTGCTCTCTTAGAGGCACAAGCCTTACTGAACATGTTTTGATACGGAATTTGGGGTCAGCCTTGGTATCAGTTGGCGCTTGCAGTATAATGCATTGGAGCTGTGAGAGCATTTTAAAACCCTGAAAGGAAAACAGAAATTATTTTACAATGCTGCTACATTGAATCCTTATAGTTCTAATTCAGATCACCACATGTGATGAAGATTTAGGACTAGATTTTGAGGAGGCTTGGAGGGATTCTTAACCCATTTATCACTGTGCACATGAAAGAGGAGGAAATAATCTACAGTTTGAGAGTGTGAGGTTTGACATGAATGTGTAAGCTTCCAAGGAAGAGATTACAGCTGTTTTGCACTTCCCCTGGACCTGCTGCACTGCTGTAGGCTAAGCCATGCTTTGACTTAGTATGTTGTCCAAGCCAGGACTCATGGCTTGTCTGAAGGAGACAAACCATGAGCCTAGGTATGGATGACACGCTAAATTAAACTGTAGCTTAGCTTGGAGCAGCAGGTGAACTGTGGGAAGAACTCATTGGTGACTCCAAGAACCCTGACACAATTTTGCTAAGCCATAGTTTGGTTACGCTTATGTTTTAACCAGCTTATTTTATTTAGTTATGTCTGTGATTAAATTAGGGAGTTCCCTCTCCCTTCCTCCACCAGTGGAAAGCTGTTAACAGAAGAATGTGATCAAGCCTAACGTTTTTGCATGATTATGCAGAAACAGGCTGTTACTAGGATCACTGTTAGCTATTTTTAGTGCAGTAGTATAAAAGTAGGACACCAAATTCTGTTGACAGTGTAACATACCTCACGGAGTTCCTGGAAGTATTCTACAGAGTTAACAAATTGGTTAACTCTGTTAACCAACTATATACTGTTAACTAACTATATACTTAGTCAACTTCAGTTGGAAATGCAGGGTACTGAATAGTGTACATTATTAACGGTTCTAGTTACAGGTAGGTAGCCGTGTTGGTCTGCCATAGTCGGAACAAAATAAAAAAATTCCTTCCAATAGCACCTTGGAGACCAACTAGTGCACAAAGGACAGTATACTTCCGGTGTGGTGGTGTGATTAGAATGCTGGACTGAGACCAGAGTTCAAATTCCCTACTTACTCATAAACTCACTGGGTGATCTTGAGCCTGTTACTGTCTTTCAGCCCAACTTACCTATTTCACAAGCTTGTAGTGATGATAAAATGGGAGAAGGGAAGGTGGATATATGGATATATTTTGTGTAGCAATTTGAATACTGCATGAATGAAAGGGAACTTGCTAATATCTTTAATATTTGCTAATGTTCTTATGCACAAAATGTTCTGAGTTAATTTCTCAGTTCTGTGCAGTTTTTTTGTTGACAGGCATTTTGTTTGGCTCACAGGTTCTGAACGCACAAAGAGCTGGCTATAAGGCAGCCATAGTTCACAATGTTGATTCCGATGACCTCATTAGCATGGGATCTCAAGACAGTAAGTACAGGTATCTTGCTTGATGACATTCTCCCACTCTTTGCAACAATCAAAAACAGAAGCTTCAGAATGTGTACAATTCAAATGAAAATTCATTTACTTCCAACTCAGCCAGTTGGAAGTAACATTTTCGGTCCTGCTAATGTTTTGAAGATTGTAAGCCTGTCAGACGTTTAGCCCTCCTCCTTAAAAAGGACTGAAATCAGTAAAGGTGATCAAGATATAACAGTATGACAAGAGGGCATAATAGACTGGGTGGTATATAAATGCCAAAGATAGATAGATAGATAGATAGATAGATAGATAGATAGATAGATAGATATGTATCTAAAATAAATACTATTTTTGTTGCAATACGCTTTATAGTGCTGTGTTCTCCTGAGGGCCATTTTCCTTAACTTATTTTCCTCCTTTCATGTTTTTAAAACTTTTGTTGTTGTTGTTCTCAGAGTGTTTTTTTAAAATTGCAATAAAATTCAACGGGGTGGAGGGAACTAATTGACATGAATTTCTTGAAAGTACTGGTGGTTGTAGAGTACAAATATGTAATGTGTGGAATCCATCTTCTGCAGTAAGAAGGCCAGTTCAGAGACAGTAACTTGTCAAAGCCAAATACCAAGCATTTTATATAGCCAAAGTGCTCCAGCAGATGCATAATAAAAATGCTGCTAAAACCTTTAGGCCTGGAATGTCAGTTCTGTTTTGCTTTAGTGAAGGTCATGAAGGACACCCACATTTCCAACAATAGTCCTTGTAACTGGGGTTCTGTCAAATACTAGAACCTCTCACACCCTGACACGCTGCTATAAATGGAGATTTAATGCTCTTTCATTATGCAGTGATCAATACTTTTGCTCTTATAAGCCCATGTGCTTGCAGAGCAGGTACATACAGCTGGTGTAAGTCAACTAGCAATACCACTAGAGGGCATACTAGCATAGCCTGTAACGGACATAATAAAATGAGCAAATCTTAGAAACCTGGGAACCACTCATTCAGCCTACCACTGCATCCAGACACCAGTCCAGTATTGGGCAGCCATTTCCAGCTCGGATGTTACAGACAATTAAGAGTTGAGTATCATTGGACACCTTGCTCCAAAATTTCTTATGACCGCTCCCTACTGTGTTCGTATTTGGAAGTACTGAAGCAAGGGACGAACAAGATACTCTGTCTTAGATTGTAACTCTGCTTTTGGTGTATCACGTCATCAGATCTTGCATTCCTAAAATGTGGTTTTGTAAGTGATTGGAAAATGGCTGCATAGGCACAAGAAAAGCAGTTGTGAGCAGCATACTTGTATTTGCACATGACATTAGAGGTTTTTGCAAGATATGAAAGCACACTATTTCACACGTAACAGAGGTGGTGAGGAGTAGGAAACATGAGAGACATGTTTGTTGTGCAGCCCCTCCTTGCTGCATCTCCCATCACACTTGGAGTTACTTTTGATCGAGGTCAGAAATTACTGTACCTATTTGCACACCACCAGAAAGTTCTTTCTTATTGTGGCTGTTCACGCAGAAGCAATTACACCGGGGTGTTCATTACCCACTGCAAGGCACAGTTGTATGCAGGCTATTGCTAGGATATTCCAGACAACAGAGGGGACATGCATTCTTATTATGTGGTCATGCGGGGTAAGGATCATTTACATGTTACTGTGTCCATGTGAAATACTGTTGAAGGAAATGGATTTTTCACAGCACACCCACGCAAAAAGTACCTGAACAGTTATTTCATTGCCTTTGCACAGTGATTTGCTTATATTCACCAATTATCACTAGTATTATACCCATATATAGTAGTAAACAGCACTCATAAACTGTATATTGTTGCTCATCTTTTCTCCCTTTCTGTCCTCTCTCTTTGAACAGTTGAAGTTTTAAAGAAGATTGACATTCCATCTGTCTTTATTGGTGAAACATCAGCTAAGTCTCTTAAAGAATTTACCTATGAGAAAGGGTATGCAAAGATTTACTTTTATTTTAGTTGTTTGTGAACTGTTATTATCTAGTGATTTTTCAAACTTTATATGGATTTTTAAATCAATAAAGTGTGATTTAAATACTTCAATAAAATGTGGCACAACCTTTTTTGTCGGGGGAAGAATGTGGATATAGGACATAGGCAAGAGTGATTTATATTCAGCTACCTTAACATGAATTTCACTATCAATCCTTCTCCTTTTTCCCCCTTTAACAGAGGCCATATTCTGTTAATCCCAGAGTTCAGCCTTCCTTTGGAGTACTACCTAATACCATTCCTAATTATTGTGGGAATCTGTCTCATCCTTATTGTTATTTTTATGGTAAGTATAACCTTCTCTCCTGCTCCCCTTCCACAAGTGATATAAACATACTGCTGTTGTATTGCTGGAATCCGTTTAGCCTACGACTTACTTGATAGGGTGCTTCTTCTTTTTTAAAATGAAATCAGCACACTAAAGCTCTTAAGACGTACACTAAGAAATATCTAAAAATGGCTTTGAAGCTGTCAGCCAATTGAGATCCCCAACATGTATACACCAGTTCAATAAGAGATTCTGTGGGAATGGGTATTCATATGTATGCAACGGGCTGCAAACATGAAGTTCTGCATCTGTCGATATTAAAAGGGAAGCTGGTGTGGGCCTGGAGGTTCTTTGTATGCATCTGCTTCGGTGCCCACAAGAGATCAAAAGTGCATGTCCTTCTTTCCTTCTTACTGAAAGTTTAAATGGTGCCTTTCTCAAAATTCAAAGCTGTCACTCCCACCACTCAGTGCTTATCAGTTTGGAAGTGAAACAGTGCTGCTCCAGAATAAAGTAATGATTTACTTGGGGAACTCTGTAGGTTGGAGGAAGTTCATACATTGGTAAATAAAAATTTTAAAGAATTACAAACCCAGAACAACAAGGGCATGTGAGCTTCTAGAACTTAGGAATTGTTAGAATTGGAGAACCTCCAGCACGTGGGCCTGTCATGACCAATCAGTGGGTGCACTTTGGCCCACGAGGAATTTCCTCCCAAACTATACCTACCTGCCCATCTGTTGACATCGCTGCTGAGGGAGGACAGAAAAGAGACAAAGCAGATCTGACTGCTGAGGCAATCCCTCCATAAGGCCAGTTGGAGTTGTATATTTTATGCTACAGGTGAAATTGATAGTTTTCTGCATCACAGTTGACACAAGCATGTTACTTTGATGCCATGCTTGATTTGCAAGTTTCATGGATGAGATGACAGCAGATGCTCCAGAGACAAAACTCTTTTACTCGTTTTAGACCTAACTTTTTTTATATAAAATTCTTTGAAGATACCATGTTTTATGCTATACCCAGTGATTTTTTTCTGCTGTTATGTTGAAGACACAGATTGATTCCTTGCAGGTTAATCTAATTAATCTTTAATTAGATTGATTCCTTGCAGGTTCAGTGTCTTCCTTGTATGTAATTTTGAAAAAAGGAAGGAACCTTTACAACTCTCCTAATTGTCCTTCATCAAAAGAGAATTTCCAAAGAAGCTGCATGTGGTCCCTAAAGTGCTTGCAGCTCTTGTTAGATGCTCATGTTGTGCCTTTATTTTAAAAACAACGTAAAAAATCCTTGCCTTTTTAGCCTTGCTGAGGTTGCTTAGAAATTAATGCCAGAATAACAGCGAAATGCTAGAAACAAATAGGTTTTTAAAAAGCCTAAACAACATATCCCCAGTTAAGAGAATTATGTGAGTGCAGATGCTCACACATATATGTAGACCATGCATGGGTTCTTGTTCATTTCATTGGGGGGGAAACATCTGCTTGTACAAAGGAACATACTTTAGATCTTCTTTTTTTGATTTTAGAATGTCATAGTTACTTTTTTTCAAATTTATTTCATCTATAGAAGGAAAAAAGTAGGCTGTGTACTCATTTACTCGCTTAAAATGCAGCTAGGTCATTCTTTTTTTCAATTCAGATCAAAGCTGGGTTGGGAAAAACACACATCAAAATGCAGTATTTAATAAGAAACAGCAGGATAGATTTGGATTGTGGCTAGCGTCATGTGTACACCACTTCCCAAACCAGTGGTGGGAGTGTACTGGATGTAAGCATTAAACACAATCCTCAGCTTTCTGGGGATTTCTTGAAGCAGAGCTGGCCATCTGAAGTTGAATGGACAAAGATGTTTTAATCTTAGAAATTACACTTTCAGTTCTTCTATCATACATTAAAGAACAACAACCAGAAACAATGCTGACCTCAAAGGGTAACACCATAGAACATAGAATAGAGCTGCTAGGAGACAACTGGTCAAATACAGTGGAATTCAAACTCCCTAGGGAAGAAGTACCACATGTTATTTAAAAACAATTGTATCCCTGGGGACGCTGCCTTTGATAAGCTTACTGTATGTGCAATTAAAGGAAGACACTGAATTGCAAACCTCTGGAGAATTTTTCTGTGGAATACACAGCTATGTACTATGTCTAGTTTCTCTAATGTACGTATCAGTCTGAATCATAGAAAAGAGGCAAAGCAAGAGGAGGTGATACCCAAAGATGATAAACCCAGGGTTGAACTTTCAGTAAAGAATATGCAGGCTCCATCTCTCAACATTTTTCCACGGCCACAGCTGAGCCCAGAGCATGAGATGTAGCAGAGAAGGGCAGTTTCCCAGCCTCCTCTTTGGCATCTTTCCACAAAGGATGGGTGCACATTCTCATTTTCAGTATAAGTAGCCACTTAAAAACTCAGCGCATAGCAACTCTAAGCACATGGGAGCGACAGAGTCATTTGTCGCATCTGGCCACAGCACAGTGGCTCTATTTTCCTGCAACCATAGCTAAAGGCTATAAAGCAGATGGGGAGATGACTTGAATACAAACTTGCAATGAATCTGATGGAGCACAGGTGAGAGCTGTTTATTGAACCTGCTCTGTGGCAGTGATGAGGGTGAAGGGTCATTATTTTTCTATTGCCATTTCATCTTCATAGTTCTGTCCAGCTGAGCTTTTCTTAGTGGCTTTAGGTCCTTCCTCTCTCTTTTTTTTTTTTTTTAAATTGCATTTCTATCCCACCATTTTATCTAGGGAGCTCAAGGTGTTGTACATGGTTTCTCCCCCCACCCCTTTTAATCCCCACAACAACCCTGTGATGTAAGTTAGGCTGAGAGTGAGTTGCCGAACGTCACCCAGATTGCCTAGTGGAGATTTGAACCTTGCTTTCTCAGGTCTTAGTTGGACATTGTAACCACTACACAACACCAGCATTTTGACCCAGCAGAAGAAGTGAAAGACTCCTCATAGGATATGCACTTTGAGGGTGGAATTGCTCACATCAGCCGCAGCCTGGAAGCCACTATTGAGGCAGTTCAGTCTATGATTTATCCACAGAGCATCTGGTTCTGATGGATTATTTTGTTGAGGCCTGAGGATATGGGCAAAGTTAGATCTTTCCTACATGACATTGTGTAGGTAAGAGCTGACCAGCTTGGTTCAAGAAATCAATGCTTTGTTTTGAGGGAGGCGGGTCAGTCCCATCTGCATTAAAGGAGGTAGGAGTGCAAACACTCCTGGAAAAAGTCGTCCCTGGGCATAAAAGATTGTAACAGCTTGGCTAGTGGGTAAGAACCATTCACTAGGCAAGGTGCTTGAGCAGATGGTTGCTGTACAACCCCCTAACTCTCAAATTATAGTAATTGTGTAGATCTGTGTCAATCAGGTTTCAAGCCTGGGTTTGGTCCAGAGATTGCTTTGGTCGCCTGATGGTAGGAGGGAGACTGGGGAGTGTGACCCTGTTGGTTCTTCTAAATGCACTAGGTAGACTTCTTTAGAGCTTGTCACTTGTCCAATAGCTATACTAGAGCTGCTTTGGTCTTATAGTAGCCTTGAGTAGTGGCGACTATGATGACTTCAGAGAAGATGAAGCAATATAACCTTGTGGAGGTGTTGGTGTGCAGGATAAGGATATGTACATAGGTTTTTCATTCCCACTATTGAGTCATGTTTTCTGTGTGGCTGATTTTGTCTTTCTTCTTTTGAACAACTGTTCTCAGAATGAAAGGAGACTTGAGTTGTGCGGTGTATTACTCTTAAAAGTTTCCGTCTTCTATTTCTGTCTCTTTCAAGATCACAAAATTTGTCCAGGACAGACACAGAGCAAGAAGGAATCGGCTTCAAAAAGATCAGCTTAAGAAGCTTCCGGTACATAAGTTCAAGAAAGGTAAGTGTGGCTTTTTAGAATTGATTGAATAATCTATGCCATTTTAGAGCTACAGATGACACAGGCTAATTTTGCCAAGGCTGCAATTTTATGCATATTTACCATGGAGTAAGTCCCATTGAATTCAGTAGGGCTTGCTTCTGAGCAGAACGGTATAGGATTGCAATGAAGAACTCTACATTGAGTTTTCAAACCTGAGCAGGTTTGATGTAGATTGAATGGCATCACATGATTAATATTACAAAGACATTGTGTTCTGTCCCCAGCTTCTCTGGTTAAGGCACTCAGGACTGGAAAAGATCTCTGTGTAGTTGAACTGGCATTATAGGTCATTACTACTGAACCAGGTCATATATTGCTGGAGTTGGCTAAATCTTTTCATTAACTACTCATAACCAAGTTCCACAGTGGAAAAAAGCGGGCTATAAAGGTACTTTTAAAAAAATTGTACATGATACAGTTTGTGAGGACAGTGCATGCTGAAATGCTAAATTACTACATGAACCAATAGACATTACAGTGCAACTATCCTTGTTATCCATATTGGTAAAGGTAAAAGATAAAGGACCCCTGGACAGTTAAGTCCAGTCAAAGGCAACTGTGGGTTGTGGCGCTCATCTTGCTTCAGGATGAGGGAGCTGGCATTTGTCCATAGACCACTTTCTGGGTCATGTGGCCAGCATGACTAAACTGCTGCTGGCGCACAGAGGACTATGACGAGTGCCAAAGTGCACAGAAACACTGTTCACCTTCCCACCACAGCAGTACCTATTTATCTTCTTGCAGTGGCATGCTTTTGAACTGCTATGTTGGCAGGAGCTGGGACAGAGCAATGGGAGCTTACCCCGTCACGTGGATTCAAACCACGACCTTCTAGTTGGCAAGCCTAAGAGGCTTGGTGGTTTAGACCATAGGGCTACCCGCATCCTATCCAATATGGATAGGCCAAATGAGGACATTAAAATGAAGGACTTACTAAGGTTTTTGTAAGTGGTGGCAATGCTGTCTGGCATGTAGCCATAGTAGAAATAAGCAACTGGGGCAGGGGACAAAAAGTTTTATGCCATATGGTGGAAATGCAATGGCACAGGGTTGAAAAACACTCTGCCAGCTGCATCTTTACAAATATGATCTTCAGGATTCTGTATATACTAATTGTGCTCCTGATCATCTGTATAGACAGATTGAATCACCTCTGGAGTCTCCTGGACTGTACTTACACATTATGTTGCATTACTGTTGGGAGGGGAAAGGAAAGAATAACATAATTATCACCTTAATACTAGCAACTGGTTTATGTGGGTTGGGCAAGTTCACTGGTTGCAGATCAGTGTTGTGTATTTTAAAACTAATTAAAAAATTAAAATTAAAACTTGTGCAAGTAGCCTATTCACGTGAGCTTCTTTGGTGATCACTTGTAGCTGAGTAAGAGCAATGAGCAGTGTGATATTAAAAAAGGAAACTTTTGTGTGATTGCGGTTCCTCTTCCGTGAGTCTGTGACTTACAACAGCACGACCATGATCGCTTGCAAGTCCCAGACTCCCACAGAGCATTGTTTGCATGAGTAGCTTGCATAATCAGTTATTTGTGTGTGAGCCAGTTGCAGTATGACCTGACTGCTAATGTAGCCTAATAGTTTGGACACATGAGGACACGGGAGTCTTGATTTTTTGCTTTTGAAAAAAGGAAATATGTTTAATCATTGTATACGCACTGTTGTATGTGTTTTACAAATCAGTTATTAAGTCAAGAACTGAAGGCTTATGCTTGAATTGGCTCATGTTTCCCTTCAGTCTCTCCTTTCCATTACAACTGTGATGACTGTATTAGGCACAATCTGCAACCCTTTCCCCAACTCCAACATTCAATGAACCAATATGAAGCCCTTCAGTTCTTGGGGAGGAAGAGTATGTATCTTTTTGCCAGTGTTTTTGCTCTACATGTTTTGCCTAATTCATTGGACTTTCATCCTTAACCTGTAGCATGCAAACAACTGAGGGGGAGATTTTCACTGACATTAAGATAACTACAACATTGTCATTGGCAACATGAAGAATATATGAGGCTTACACATGGGCTTGGATTTCGGGGCAGAGCTGCACCCTATTTGCTGTTCGCCCTTGATTGCTGTCTTCCATTATTGAGGACATTGCAAAGCAGATGTTCAGCTGAAAAGAGTGCACAGTGTCATATACAAAGTTAGTTTCTCATAAAAAATAATGAGGCTGATATTTGCTGAATATTTTTGTTTCTCGGGCTTAAAATTTAATAGAAAGGAGTGCTAATTTATTTTCCTGATAAGGATTTCTGATGGAGATGAATTAAAGAGGACAAATATGCAAGGAGAATTATTTTGTTCTTGTTGTATTGCATGTTGTTTTACTGGGTTTGCCAGTATGCCTTGCTTATGGAGCATGGGAGGGGTGTGGTAGAATTGTGGTATCCATGTATGTGTTTAGTAAGCATGTTGCTTTTTGCTTTGCTTCATAAAAGTGGAAGAGATCTAATAGGCCACAATATCATACCCAAGGCTGATGTCAGCAGGTGACATGTTTGGACCATTGCTGAGGCTGACTTCTGCTGACCCAGGCCTTGTTTTCCAGTCAGCCCCCACTGCAATTGCTCAAAGTTGCCCACCATAATGCTATTTCACTGCAGGGCATTGTGGGTGATGATAATGGCAGCTTGCCTTATGCTCTTTAGAGGAGTGCAGTCATTGTCCTTTCATTATATGCCTGCCCATCTGCCACTGTGTCATGGTGGAAATGAATAGGAGCAGGGTCACCCACTAATGTTTAGGAGGCCACATTGACATAGGGAGCCCCATGCTGAGGGTCCCCTCAAACCTGGAGACTGCTCTGATCAAACCTTTGCTCTAAGGTATTGCCAGTTTTTAATTGACCTTCATTAGCAGAGATCTGACAACTAGAGTCAACTTACATGTGTTTGCTGCCATGTGGAGGTACCTCAAAATGTGAAGTGGTATAGAAATGTCACGAGAACATACCTTTTCCAAAATTTGGGAGGCATGGAGATGAAAGATTCCTCTTTCTGAGAAGTGTACCGTGTATTTATTTATTTATTTATTTCACAAAATTTATATGTCACTTGATTGTAGAAAAAACCTCAAATTGCTGTCACGAGTTTGCACATATAACTGTAACAGGTCTATATATAGAATTGAGTTCTAGAGTAAGTGCTGATTTTGACAGCCAGGCAAGTCTGTTAAATCTTTAAAGCTGTTGCTGGGTGCTTAGAATAGGAAGTCAACCCTTTGCCTAAGAACTGATTGAGGAGGAAAGCAATGGGGGAAGGAAGACAAGGTGTAAGGCTCTTCAAGTTAAAAAATCTGTCTGGTACTTTATATTGCTGGAGGCACACATACGAACACTTGAAATATGAGTGGAATAACACTGCTTATCGTGGAAGAAACACATTCTCCTAAGCACTTCTGAAGAACAACATCCATGGGGCTTAATGGAGGGGCACACTGCAAATGCTCAGCCTTTGGGGGCGGGGGGAGAGAATATTTCTGATGAAAATAGTCCCACAAAGCTATTTGCCACACAGGTGCCCATATGGCATTTTTCTTTCTACAGGGCAAATGCTGACTTAATAGCGCTGTAAATACTTGCATGTTTTGCCCTACATGGCAAATAGTAGCTTTGGAGTGTTGTGATTTTAATCAGAAAAGTGGCATAGAATAATGTGTTACATACCCCTCCTGGTGCTGCAGTCCTGATCAGGTGACCTTTAAACTTTAAAAAAAAAAAATTGCAGGAGATCCCATGACACACTTCCCAATGTCACATCTCGTTTGGCCCTGAACAGCCAGAGCTGCTGCGAGGGTATTTGGAGGGCACAACTCTTCCCTGTCTAACCATTGACAAGAGTAGTGCTCCTTTCATGGTGACAGGTCTGCCACAAGTTAATGGCTAGATTCCAGGCAGTTCTTGTTTTATGTACTAATTTCAGGCACATATAAGCTGCTGTATTAGCTGTCCCCATGAACACAGCCACAGGCTTCTGAGATGGGTGCCAGCTGAAAGTCCTCAGGCACATACTATTTTTATTTGTTTCCACTTTATTTGAATATTTGCACTCTCCTAATGGAAAGCACATTCCAAATTACTATAAAAAAAATAAATTCCAATGCCAATTGATTTTTTAAAACAGCAAATAGACTAGGCTTTACAACACTGATATTTTGTGTTCTTTGGAGGCAAGACGACAACCCAGAAATCTTCTGTAACTCCAAGGAAAGCTTTTGGATTATTCTGTTGCTTTCCCTTGCTCATCTTTTCCTGAAGTCTTGTAAACAACTACATTTTTTTTTATTGTAAAGGCTATTACTAACTGCTAATGCTAATTAATTACACTGGAGCTCTCCAATGTGTGACATTTAAGGTGCAGTCCATTTATACTCAAACACACTGCCAAATTATTGTTTAACTGTACAAACCGCTGGAAAAGTGATAAATATTTGATCAAGGGGCCTTTGTGGAATCAACTGAGTGGGTGCTGTATTGAATCTATTATTGATGGAGACACTAGCATAGAGCTCTTCATTCTGGTCTTCCATGATAGGCAGAATCACAGCTAACTCAATTCATTCAGTCTTTCACAGGTTTGGAAGAGCATCTGAATCTTAAAGATGAATTAGCACCCCCCCAGGGGGCCCCACTCTTTTCCATCATGGTGAAAGCCAGAGAAACCACAAATATCTTTTTCAGTATGAAATGTTAACTTCCTGAGGGTGAAATGAGTAGAGAGAGTGTGTGAAAAATAGAGTAGATCTCCACTTAGACCAGCAGTTCTCAAATGGCACGATTTGGTATGGGTCTTAGTAGACCGCCACATTCATTAATTCATTTTACAAATCAAAGCACATATATATATGGAAGTCATATTTTGATAAATGTAGTCTTGTCTTTCTAATGTAATGTGCTTGTGAGCAAAGTTCTGTGAAATCCGATGTTAAAAGTTTCAGCTCAGATTCAGCATTCATCCCACTTGCTGGCATTAATTCCCCATCTCCTATAACCAGTACATACTATTACAATCACATGGTGGCCATTACTTCTCAAATAATGGTTGCATACTTTATATTTCCCTAATCTGCCAGGTTAGAAGTGCAGAATACATGCATTAATTATTTCATATAATTCATCATCTAGAACACATGGACCAAACATCTACTAAATTAATACACTGGGCAATTCCAGCATGGCTTCTGCAAGAATAAGACCCATCTAACCAGCCTCTTAAGAGTTATTTGAGAATGTCAATAAGCACATGTACAGCATGTATACTTAAGACTCTCAATATGCTTTCTATACAGTCTCTTAAAGATTCCTAAGTGAGCTTAGCAGTTATGGATCAGTAACTGCTTGAAGAGCAAGAAACAGAGAGCAGGAATGGACAGTTCTTACAACAGGGGCATGTAAGACGTGGGTTCGTCCAAAAATCAGTTTAGGAACCTCTGCTTTTTAACTTGTTCATAAATAGTCTGGAGTTAGAAGTGATCTGTAAGGTGGCCAAGCTTGCTGATGACACCATATTGTTCAAGGTGATTGGGGGGGGGGGGGATGATTGCAAGGAACTCCAAAAGGATCTCTCCAAATTGGCTGAAATGGGCATTAAAATCACAAATGCAATTCAGAAAAAGCAATGGTTAAGTGATGTACATTGGGGCAAAAAATCGTAACTTCAAGGAAATGCTAATGGGGCCTGAATTGACCATGACTGAGCAGGAATGAGACCTTGGAATTGTAGTAGATTGCTCGATGCAACTAATGTGCAACAGCTGTGAAAAAGAAAATTCCCTGTGAGGCGTCATTAGGAAAGAGATTGAGAATAGAACTTCCAGTAGCATGATTCTGTTACTCGAATCTATGGTTGAGCTGCAATACTGGGTAGCATTCTGGTCGTGTACCTCAAAAAGGTTACTGAAGAGCTGGAAAATGTGAAGAAAAGGGCAACAAAAAATAGAATGTGGATTGAGTTGGCTTCTAAATGGCAGGCAGAGTCTCCAGGGGTGGAGGAGGCTTCCTGCTATAGACCTTCGCCCTCAAAACTATTAAGACTTGGCAGTGCCCTTCCTCCCTGCTTCTCCTTGCATATTTGCTTGCGCTTGAGTGAGCCATACCCCTGCCCGCCCCCCCCTGTGCATGTTGTTAAGGAACACAACGTTTTTAGTATGTACAGGCAGACATATTTCTTGCCACTTTTCAGTATGTGCAAGGTTTCTTATAGTTATTTTGGAAAACAGCCATCTTTAGTGTGACCCCCTCCCCACTCAAACTGCTTTAGTTCAAAAGCATCAAGATAGAAGCTAATATTGCACTGGTTGTTAATGCCATTTGCTAAGTTGCATATAAACTGTGTCAACTTCCCGTAGGAAGACCTAAGGAAAAAACCTCTAAGCCTGTTGGGGGAGGTGGGGAACAGGGCACATTTCAGTCTTAATTATTCTTCAAAGCTCCTTTAAACAATGTGGTAGCTCTGAGTATGCTGGCGTCTAGACAGAGCAAGCCTGAGTTATCCCTGGTGTTGCCTACAGAGGGAAACTTGTGTGATGGCCAACTCTAGCCCCATATTGGCTCTTTGTCAGGTTTGGCAAGAGAGGAATAAAAATGGCTTGATTGTTGCTAGATAAGATTTCCCAGGACAGTAATGCAAAATGCATTAGCACCAATAACAACAGCTTCAGCCCTGTTGATGCTAAAGGATTAACCTTTCAGGGCTTTCCTGGTACTTATTTGGATGGGAAGTAAAGCAGCAGCTCCAGAGGATTGTAATCTTGGTATTAGGCATTCCTGGGTTTTCTTTCAACTGCAGCCTACTCTGCTTGCAGAAAAAGCATTGTGTGATTCCTTGCATTCAGATGAGGCTAATTAGTCAAACTTTTTAGAAAGGGAGAGGGATCCAGCTATTCCTTCGCTGGATTTTTGCTTTAATTCTGAGCCAACAGTTCTTGGCTGTTCTTGGTAGCTTGCATTTGGCATGAGGGGTATTGTGCAGGGATGGCCTTACACCTGTCTCACAGTAGTAAGGGAAGAGAATCAGACCTTTCTTTTATTATATGTGATGCATTTCTTAGCATTTAGGATGTAGAGCCTGAAGACTTGGTCAGGCATTTTCTGTTGAAGCCAGCTTTTCCTATCGAGACAGGGCTTGTGGAGTCTTTGTAGAGACTGCCGTTGCTGTTGTTAGTTGCTTTTTTTGAAACTCAGAGACTTGCAAAAAAATGAACACTAAAAACAAGGATAAAACAAGTTAAAATACACAAGTAATATAGAAAAATTAAGATACAGAAGCCTGGGATAATAAGAATGTTTTGCCTGGCATCTAAAAACACATAGTGATGGTACCAGGTGGGCCTTCTTGGGGAGAGCATTCAGTAAGCTGAGAGACCCATTTTTGTGTTGCCATCCTCTGTGCCTCGCTTGGAGTGAGCACTTTGAGAAGGGTCTCAGGTAAAGAACACAGGTTCTGGGTTGGTTCATGTGTTGAGAGGCAGTCCCTGAAGTGTTAGGATCCTGAGCTGCAGAAGGTTTTATAAGCCAAAGCCAGTAGTACTTTGACTTTGGTCTAGAAACCAATTGGTAGGCAGTGCATTCAGGCCAGGATTGGTGTTAAGTGCTAGGCAATTTTGTCTCAGTGAGCAGCCTGGCTGCTGAGTTCTGCACCAGGTGTCTCCATCGCATGACCACCTTTTTAACAGAAGGCTCTGTCTGTACAAGTAAAAGAAGAGACACACTGATCATGTCTGTTGGATTCAGTAGGGAAGCCATTCTGAGGGGGTTCATGGTTTTGAGACCTACAACTAATTTTGGGAGAAGGTGGTGTTTGAAGGTGCCTAGGGTAGGCTGAAAATTCTACGCTAAGTAAACTTTATGTGGCAAGATTGGGAAAAATTCCATAAATTCATATAACTGGTTTAACTGGTATAGTTAAACCAGAAGAAATGTTGAACATAGTTTATCATGGAAGTCATATTAAGGATGCTGACAAAGAAGAAAACAGTGGTTTGTGTTATTATAAACTAAAGTAATATAAGTACAATTCTGTCATTTAGAAATTGTGTTATTCTTTCAAATGGGATTGTCCTTTATCCTGTTACTGTCCATTACTGGCCCATCTGCCTGACTTCACAATACTGTATAACTCCTCATATGGTTCAAGTCTTAGTAATTTTATTTTCATGGCTTCCATTGTTAGTATCTTAAAACACTTCAACTGTACAGGTATTTAGCAATATAAGGTTTACTAGGGGCTGCTGCCCCTGCTTGTGTTGTTCAGATAGCTCAGTTGGTGGAACTTGAGACTCTTAATCTCAGGGTTGTGGGTTCAAGCCCCATGTTGGACAAAAGAGTTTTGCATTGCAGGCGGTTGTACTAGATGACCCTCATGGTCCCTCCCAACTCTACAATTCTGATTCTAACCAGTGCTCTCTTCTTTGAAGCAGTACGTGTCGGCACACCATACAGTTGCAACTCTTTTACGATTGCCAGACAAGTTCCTGGAAGGTGCTTTGGCGTTTCCATCCCATGTTACACAAAACATTGCAAAATACAAAACCACACCCAATGCAAAGTGTTGTGTGCACTTTGATGCACACACAAAGCTTCTGAACAAGTCCATGCATGTATTTGTCAGGTGCCCATCCGTTGAAATAAATAGGGAAAGGAGAACTATTGTATATAGAGGAATTGTGTATGTGTGTCTGAGCTTGGATGTTTATAACAAATGCTGGCTTGGGGTACAAGGATGTATACTTCCTGGTCTTACCATGTTAAAAGAATCAGAACTATTCCCATTAACAATTAGTAAACTCCAAAGGGTAATCATCTAACCTGATAAATTAATATCTAAGCAAACATAAATTCACCATAGGTATCTTCCCTTTCAAATTGTGTGTTTTCATCATATTGTTGGTTTTTATATTTATGTATATATTATACTCTCTCTCACACACACACACACACACACACACACACACACACACAGTCATGTTGTTATTATTTATTAATAATTTTAGGAATCATGACTCCCAACAATTAACAAATTACTATTCTGTTGTAAAAATATTAAGATGTCTTAGATTGCTTAACCTCTCTACAATTATAGTTTCTCTCCAGGACTAGAAATGATACACATTGCTCTTTCTGAGAAAAGATCAAAAATAATTTTGGTATTGTAGGCAGCTCAGAAACATCGTCTAATGAAACAAGAGCTCTAGTTTCCTTGCAGCCTAGTGTTATGCAGATCTCAGTACAGGGCTCTCTTCATGACTATTCTTTACTGCGTTTTGGGCCCATCTTCACCCATTTTTCATACACCTTACCATAATTGGGGTAGCAGCACTGGAAGCTACCTTAAACCCACTTGAAACATTGCTTTATTATTATACTGACGGGCTGTGGCTCCAGCATTTCATACAGGGATTTCAGTACTCTCTGGAGGTTCCAAGGACAATACAAAGGTTCAGCATTCTCAGTATTACTCTATGAGAGAAGCCTGCATTTAGCAGTATTTTAAAATGTTATGGAAAGTGACCCTGTAAGAATGTGAGAAAATAGCATTAATAGCTTAACATGAAGAAGAGATGAGACACAGTAATAGAATAAAAACAAAAGAGACAACATTTCATCAAATTAATTGTCCTGCATTCTAAAACAGCCTTGCAGGATTGAGGAGAAATTCTCCGTAGAGCCAGTTTTCTATCTTGCAGTTTCCACTTTTGTAATGCAACTTTTATTCCATTTTTTTCTGCTGCAGGAGATGAATATGATGTTTGTGCCATTTGCCTGGATGAATATGAGGATGGAGACAAGCTCAGAATCCTTCCTTGTTCTCATGGCAAGTAACTTCATTTGGGCTTGATGTAAAAATGCAACGAATAAGAAATCAAAACCTGTGTTGTTGTTAACAAATCCCTTTAGTTGTCCAAGATGCACAGTGAAATACAAGGGTATTGTTGGGACTTCTGAAAATAATAAAACTGGAAAAAACCATCCCTTCCTACTTTCATCTACTCAACAGGTTGTTTAGTATGTGGAGTTAAGCAGGAGAATAGTTTAAAGTACTATAACGGACAAATAAAATTGTATTTGTTCAGCAGACTGCTGCAAAAGCACAGATGGAATGGCAACTTTTCCAGGCAGCCCAGTGCTAATGGCAGTCAACACTATCCAAAGAAGCAGGTGGTTCCCCTCCCCTGGAGTCTGTACCACTGCCAAATGCATATGCCAGATCATGCATATGCTCTGTTTGACTGCTCTCCCATGTCAAAAACCCTTTCCTATGAAAAAACTGGCATGCCAGGAAAGTCATGTAGCAAATTCAAGGAGTGCATACAACAATGGCCAACAGCAATAGCCAGATAGAAGTCCTGTCTAGTGAGGTTTCTTTTTAATATGGGAATGGAGCCACATTCAAATATGCTATTTCCTACTTACATTTGGAAATGCTAATCTGAGGAAATCTATGCACGCTTACTTATTTGAACAGGTAGGTCAGCTAAAAGTTAGGAAGTGTTACACACATCAATGCCTTGATTGCAGCTAGAAAGTGGTGTTTGCATAATTTGCTCCCTCCCCGATTAATTCTGCTACCTGAGAGACTGACAGTGTTATGTCTGCCTTAATCCAGAATAACTTTTCTCAGTAATAGGCTGAAGTATACATCTAAATGACGGCAGTACATGCATTTGATTAGATTGAGAGCTGCAGACAGGGCCCCTTTCACTTTTAATTTTATACAGCACTTTGTGCTTTTAAGCAGTCCGACAAAAGTATTTTCCTGATACCCAGTGCCACCTAGAATTCTGTACAGGAACAATCAGGGATTTCCAGAGGGCTTCTAAAAGTAGCAGCAATGCTGAGCTAGATGGACCAATTATTTGATTTGGTACAAGGGAGCTTATACCAAGTCAGACCTTTGGTCCATCCAGTTCAGTATTATCCACACTGACTGGCAGCAGCTCTCCAGAATTTCTGAAATGAGATATTCCCAGTCTTACCCACTGATGCCAAAACTTGAACCCCAAATCTTCTGCTTGGAAATGTCCTCTAATATTCAGCTTTAGCCCCTTATTTTCAAAATTAATTGAAGCTTGACAAATGTTCTATTGCTGTTCCTCCATTGAGGATAACACCTAAGCAGCACATGGTTGATTTTTTTTGGGGGGGGGAGTGGACCCCACTAAGCTACCTGCTATAGAACAGGTAGGGGTTTTGGGGCAGTGTTGTGTATGTTTTATCATGAAATATAAACCACCCTCTTTCTAAAACTACTGATGAAGTTAAGTGATTCTCTCTTTCCCCCCAAATAGCATACCACTGCAAGTGTGTGGATCCCTGGTTGACTAAAACCAAGAAAACATGCCCAGTCTGTAAACAGAAAGTGGTCCCTTCCCAGGGAGATTCAGACTCTGAAACGGACAGCCAGGAAGAAAATGAAGTCTCCGAGAACACTCCTTTGCTTAGGCCGCTTGCTTCCGTCAGCACTCAGTCCTTTGGGGCGCTGTCAGAGTCTTATTCTCACCCAAACATGACCGAGTCTTCAGACTATGAGGATGAAGACGACGACGACAATGAAGATATTGACAGTAGCGATGCAGAGAATGGAATGACTGAAGAGAGTATAGTAGTCCAGCTACAGCCCAATGATGAACAGGATTACAGAATGGCAAATACCGTTTGAACTTCAGAACAAATGGTGTTAACTGAACTCCTCTGTCCAGAGAGCTCTACTTTTATGTACACATACATAGGGAAGCACATTGTGACCCTGCTGTTGCTTCAGTAGAAGCAGCTGTTCATATAGTGTTCTATATAGTTTGATCTAATTACAGGTTTCTTTGTTGTTGTTGTTTTGTTCCCATTTGTCTTTTGAAGACAAGCGTTTTAACTGGACTTCACAATGGTAATGAGTAACATGGGGCACTCCCATCACTAGGGACGACAATGCACACAGAAAGAGATGTTATTTCAGCACCTTGTTAAAATGGAGTTTAGCCAGGACAGTAAATATTTTTTCTTGCTTACAGTGTGTTGGTAAGCAGAGGTTATATTGACAACGTTATTTATTACATGTATGGTACGTTCTACCCTGCAAATCCAACCAAAAAAAGTATATGGGTATGTGTCTGAGGGCTTTTCTTAGAACAGCTAGTACTCAATGAAAGAACAAGGTAGGCTTGTTTTAGTATTCATTTATCAAGAGCTTCTCCAACAGATGAGGGAGATGGGCTTTGATCTGCGTAGAAAAGCAATTTGCCTGCCCTTCCCATTATCCTATTGTGCTTGCAAGAACTGCTGGAAGTAGTGAAAGAAGTTTCAGCATCACTTAGGCTTAAACATCTCCTGAGGAAAATAATCAGGATACAAATGTATTCATCTGGCACACTTCGCTAAAAGCAACTCAGTTTATTCTTAAGACAGGGGTGGGGACCAATGCAGAAAGGCACCATCAGGCCACACCACATATAGAAATATGGAATTTTGTATGTGTGCTATTGATTCTCAAAGGATATATACCTCTATACAGAGCATTTGAAGATCCATTAGTCTGCTACAACTATGCACATAGAAAAATTAAGTATTGGATTTGAAAAATGAGTGCTTATAAATATCTAACAGAATTCTACTTACAGTATATCATGGAAAAAGATAAATTATATACAATTGTAACTATGTAGAAAGTAGCCACACTTCTGTATAATTAAACTGCAGAGATTTTTTTATATGGCCTTGTATAGGAAAGTTTGAAAGGATGTTAATAAAACATGTTTTCCACTTTAATACTGTATGTGAAAGAACTACATAACTGAGTGTTTAAAAACTGCAGTTGAACCAAAATGTAGTGGATTGCTGTGAACACAGAACCACAAAAGCAATCTTCCCAGAGGATATGCAAAAGGGGGGTGGGGGAGCCACGAGAAACTGTGTTCATGCAGTAAGAAAACCCCTCCCTGCCACTATGTGGCATTCAGGCAGCAGCATTCCATTAATGGCAGACACACTGCCATTATCACTTTGCCATCTCTGAGTAGTTACAACAGTAATGGAGAAACTGGCCTTCCAGGTTTTGCTGGCCTACGACTCCCATCATGGGCAGGGCTCAGGGGTGATGGAGCAGTAGTTCAGCAGCATCTGGAGTCTCCACCCCCTGTTTATAGTGTTACATAGCTGTTCTGTGTTATTTTCAAGCAAGAAATGGTGCAGAGGCTGCAGTCAGTGGGAGCTGTGAGCCAGTATAATAAAGTAAACTTTTGGGAAATGCTTGTGGGCATCAACCATATTACCTGCTGAAGATTTAACCTAGTTCAACTGTTTAATGCATAAGTATTCACTCACATTGCAGCAAATAGATTTTAGGGCACAACACATCAAGAATTACTTGTGCAAGCCTGTTGAAATCAAGAGCCCTATTGAAAAGCATATTTTGCTTTTCATTTCCAGTGACCAATATAGAACCAAGAAAATGAACAGTATATGTTTGTCACTTATAATATGCTCAATTCTAAATTACTCGTTGCAGTTTCTGTGTTAGGCATTGTGCGGTTTTTAAAAAAAACAACACATAAATATAAGTCTCTCTTTAGCCTTAGTGCATCAATGCCCTCATCCATATTCAAATATCCTGTCTTAGGGAAGCCTCTGTCAACTTAAAAGAAATGCAAACGCTGTCAGTAGTCTTCTCACAGCAGCTGAGAAATCATTTCTGCAAGTTGTGTTACTGTGGTAGCTGAGGAAAGGTCACTCAATGTGACTGGAGGAAAATTAAGATAGTGGGGGTGGGGTAGGGGGACGACGACACACAAATGAGTCAACAATCATTAGATGAAGGACTCTTCTCTCCCCCGCCACACATGCATACACACTCAACCTGCTTACAAAATACACGATATCACTAAAGTCCTAAAGCTTTCAGTGCACAGTATCCCTATTATAGCTAATGGGCAGTAATAATATAGATTGTGGGAGTTTACTATAGATCCCCAAGCCAAACGGAGGACATAGATGATGCCTTCCTGGAACAGATGGCCAAGCATGCAAAAGGAAGGGAGATAGTAGTAATGGGGGACTTCAATTACCCGGCTATTTGTTGGATGTCAAACTCAGCCAAGAGCATAAGGTCAAACAGATTCCTCACTGGCCTTGCAGACAACTTCATTGTCCAGAAAGTGGGAGAAGCAACAAGAGGAACAGCCATTTTAGATCTGGTCCTAACCAATGTTGATGACCTGGTTAGTGGGGTAGAAGTGGAAGGATCATTAGGCGCGAGTGATCATGCTCTTCTGAAGTTTACTATACAGCGGAAAGGAGCAGCTAAGCATACTAGGACTCAATTTCTTGACTTTAAGAAAGCCGACTTCATAAAACTTAGGGAAGTGCTGGGTGAGATCCCATGGACAGTAATACTAAAAGGAAAGGGAGTTCATGATGGCTGGGAGTTTGTTAAGAGGGAGATAGTAAAAGCACAACTTCAGGCAATACCAATGAGACGGAAACATGGAAGGTGCCTAAAGAAGCCAGGGTGGCTATCTAAAGAACTTTTAACTGAGGTAAGATTTAAAAAGGATGTGTACAAAAAATGGAAAAGGGGGGAAACCACCAAAGAGAAATTCAAACAAATAGCCAGCATGTGTAGACACAAAGTCAGAAAAGCTAAAGCACAGAATGAACTCAGGCTTGCTAGAGAGGTTAAAAGCAACAAAAAAGGCTTTTATGGGTATGTTCCTAGCAAAAGGAAGAACAAAGAAACAGTGGGGTCACTCAGAGGAGAAGATGGTGAAATGCAAACAGGGGACACAGAAAGGGCTGAACTCCTCAATGCCTTCTTTGCCTCAGTCTTCTCCGATAAAGAAAACAATGCCCAACCTGAAGAATTTGGAGCAAATGATTCAGCAGAGGAAACACAGCCCAGAATAACTAAGGAGATAGTACATGAATACTTGGCTAGTCTAGATGTATTCAAGTCTCCAGGGCCAGATGAACTGCATCCAAGAGTTCTTTTAATAAAGAACTGGCAGATGTGATCTCAGAAACACTGGCAGTCATCTTTGAGAATTCCTGGAGAACAGGCGAAGTCCCGGCAGACTGGAGGAGGGCAAATGTTGTCCCTATTTTAAAAAAGGGGGAAAGAGAGGACCCAAATAATTACCGCCCAGTCAGTCTGACATCAATACCAGGGAAGATTCTGAAGCAGATCATTACCGTATTTTTCGCACCATAGGGCGCACCGGACCATAGGGCGCACCCAGTTTTTAGGGGGGGAAATCAAGGAAAAAAATATTCCCCCCCCAGCCCCAAAGAGCAGCGTACAGGCTGCACACAACCTCTCCCTGCCAGAGGGGTTGCGCGCAGCTATGGAAGAAGGCAAGGCAGCGAGCGGGATGGATCCCGCTCGCTGTTTTGCCTTCCCCTTTAGCCCCGTGCAGCCTCTCCTTGCCGGGAGAGGCTGCGTGGGGCTAAAGAAGCCATAGCCCCGTGCAGCCTCTCCTTGCGGAGGGGTTGCGCGCAGCTATGGAAGAAGGCAAGGCAGCGAGCGGGATGGATCCCGCTCGCTGTTTTGCCTTCCCCTTAGCCCCATGCAGCCTCTCCTTGCCGGGAGAGGCTGCGTGGGGCTAAAGAAGCCATAGCCCCGTGCAGCCTCTCCTTGCGGAGGGGTTGCGCGCAGCTATGGAAGAAGGCAAGGCAGCGAGCGGGATCCATCCCGCTCGCTGCTTTGGCTTCCCCTTTAGCCCCGTGCAGCCTCTCCTTGCCGGGAGACGCTGCGCAGGGCTAAGAAGCCATAGCCCCGTGCAGCCTCTCCCTGCCGGAGGGGTTGCGCGCGGCTATGGCACAAGCCTGCATTCGCTCTATAGGACGCACACACATTTCCTCTCAATTTTTGGAGAGGAAAAACTGCGTCCAATAGAGCGAAAAATACGGTAAGCAAACATTCTGTGAGCACCTAGAAAGGAATGCTGTGATCACCAATAGTCAGCATGGATTTCTGAAAAATAAGTCATGTCAGACTAACCTGATCTCATTTTTTGACAGAATTACAAGCCTGGTAGATGAAGGGAACGCAGTGGATGTAGCCTACCTTGATTTCAGCAAGGCATTTGACAAGGTGCCCCATGATATTCTTGTAAAGAAGCTGGTAAAATGCGGTCTTGACTATGCTACCATTCAGTGGATTTGTAACTGGCTGACTGACCAAACCCAAAGGGTGCTCATCAATGGTTCCTCTTCATCCTGGAGAAGAGTGACTAGTGGCGTGCCACAGGGTTCTGTCTTGGGCCCGGTCTTATTCAACATCTTTATCAACGACTTGGATGATGGACTCAAGGGCATCCTGATCAAATTTGCAGATGACACCAAACTGGGAGGGGGGCTAACACCCCAGAGGACAGGATCACACTTCAAAACGACCTTGACAGATTAGAGAACTGGGCAAAAACAAACAAGATGAATTTTAACAGGGAGAAATGTAAAGTATTGCACTTGGGCAAAAAAATGAGAGGCACAAATACAAGATGGGCGACACCTGGCTTGAGATCAGTACATGTGAAAAGGATCTAGGAGTCTTGGTTGACCACAAACTTGACATGAGCCAACAGTGTGACGCGGCAGCTAAAAAGCCAATGCAATTCTGGGCTGCATCAATAGGAGTATAGCATCTAGATCAAGGGAAGTAATAGTGCCACTGTATTCTGCTCTGGTCAGACCTCACCTGGAGTACTGTGTCCAGTTCTGGGCACCACAGTTCAAGAAGGACACTGACAAACTGGAACGTGTCCAGAGGAGGGCAACCAAAATGGTCAAAGGCCTGGAAACGATGCCTTATGAGGAACGGCTAAGGGAGCTGGGCATGTTTAGCCTGGAGAAGAGGAGGTTAAGGGGTGATATGATAGCCATGTTCAAATATATAAAAGGATGTCACCTAGAGGAGGGAGAAAGGTTGTTTTCTGCTGCTCCAGAGAAGCGGACACGGAGCAATGGATCCAAACTACAAGAAAGAAGATTCCACCTAAACATTAGGAAGAACTTCCTGACAGTAAGAGCTGTTCGACAGTGGAATTTGCTGCCAAGAAGTGTGGTGGAGTCTCCTTCTTTGGAGGTCTTTAAGCAGAGGCTTGACAACCATATGTCAGGAGTGCTCTGATGGTGTTTCCTGCTTGGCGGGGGGTTGGACTCGATAGCCCTTGTGGTCTCTTCCAACTCTATGATTCTATGAGATTGTAGCCCTTAATTTCAAAAGTCTTGTGGCATTTCAAAGACTTACATTCATAAACTAGAGCCTGCTTCTTCACCATGAAAGGTTATGGCAGCCCATCTTGACATGCCTTCCAGATTTTTGGACTATAATGCCTATCAGTTCCAGCCAGCATGGCAAATAGTGAGGGATTATGGAAGGGGTAGTCCAAAACAGCTGGAGGGCACCAGTAGCTCTGCACTGCATCTTTCACTGCATATAAACTTTAAATGTTTTTAAATATCTTAGTTTTATCACTCGTGTTTTTGTCGCCCTGGGCTCCTCTGGGAGGCAGGGTGGGATATAAAGTTAACCAATAATAACCCTCCCTGGCCCAGTGGTTCTAACAGATTCTATAGTAAAGTCATTACTGATAACTTCATTTAGACAGGGGGAAAAATTCAATAGTTTCATCATGTGCATGTTGCATCAACCATTGCATTGGGTCAAATGTCTTGCAGGGGATGTTTTCCTGGACATTGAGTGATCATTTGGAGTGGCAAAAACCTTAACAGTGGGGGAGCATATCCCCAATTCATTTTTAAAAAAGCATATTTTGGCAAATGGCACAGGTGAGGTTCAATACTATCTCATAGGAGGACAGACTCACAGAGGTGTGGGTGGTTTAATTCCTTATGATGTTCAATGCATTTTGGCTATTACTGGTACGGTATATAGGCACATGAAAGTAGCAGACAGCTAGCTACATGTGATTCAACACCATCTCATAGCAGAGATACTCCTGGAACTCTGATGATCCAAAGTTTATTTTGGAATGTTTGTTGTCTGTTACACATGTTCTGGCTAATATTTACATCATTTCATTATGTTGGCTGTTAATGAGACATCAAAAACTTTGACAAAATTCATAGGTGTGGGTGCCATGGTTCATGAGATAGAAGCTGTATGCCAGGTGACAATTTTGGGAAGTGGCTTTTGCAGTCTTTTACCAACTTGTACATGTCTTCCCAATCTTCCTGCACCCCTGTTGCAGTCTAACTGGAAACTGCAAACCATAACATAGGACTCTTTTGTAAGGACAGCAACAGAAGTGCATGAGGAGCTGAATAACCATCAATCTGGTTCCTTCCTCATGACCATGGGTAGGCAAACTAAGGCCCGAGGACTGGATTCAGCCCAATTGTCTTCTAAATCCGGCCCCCGGACAGTCTGGGAATCAGCATGTTTTTACATGAGTAGAATGTGTCCTTTTATTTAAAATGCACCTCTGGGTTATTTGTGAGGCATAGGAATTCGTTCATTTCCCCCCGCCCCCCAAAAAATATAGTCTGGCCCCCCAAAAGGTCTGAGGGACAGTGGACCGGCCCCCTGCTGAAAAAGTTTACTAACTGCTGCTCAGGACAGCTTAACTATGAGCTGAAAACCACTTTTTACCCAGCAAGAACCCTCTGTAGAGATTTGGAAGTTTTATCAAAGTCAATCAGTGCACAACCCAATCATAAGCAGAAGTCAAAGCATCAAAATAAAGTGTACGCACTAGAGAGAATGTTGATCTACTTTATCACTGAAGGTGCATACTTTGAATACACCCATCAGAAGCTGTTGATCGGTTACATTAAATGAAGATAATACACCAATGGTTTGACAGCAGCCACTGCCCCAAGGGAATGTGTGGAATATTCAACAGAGCACACCAGCTAGTACAACATAGTTGGTGGACTGTAATAGGGTTCGATGGAGGGGCAGGGAAGGAGTTCTAGCTTTATGACTCTTTGAGAGGATCTCTATGCAGTCAAAGAGTATGAGCTATGAGAAACCACAAAAAGGGCAGGAGAAAATATGGTAGATGGTCACACACTTAAAGAGTGCATACTGAACACGGCAGAACAGCACCAAGCCTTGAGCTATAGGAGAGCAAGATTGCAGGAGGTGGTGCTGTATAGGGTGATGGCTGATACAGACTAAAGAGAAAACCAGGAAAACAATGAATGTAAGATCAGAACAGCAAAAACTTCTTCAGTTTAAGAATCCTTAGGGTTTAACTCGAGAGATCTGCAACAAAGAGTAGTAGAGTGGCTGCAAAAGCAAGTTTTTATACTAAATGTACATATGGAGAGCTACTAAAAATGTTGTAGAGCAGGTCCCCTGCCCCATAGCTTCTCTGTACATCCTTCTCCTTTCCACTTTCAGCCTTTTTAACATTTTCCCCACAACAAACATGCACATGGCCCTTGTTACACTCACGTTAAAAAAACCTTACTACTCAGAAGCAATTACAGTGGTACCTCGGGTTAAGAACTTAATTCGTTCCGGAGGTCCGTTCTTAACCTGAAACTGTTCTTAACCTGAAGCACCACTTTAGCTAATGGGGCCTCCCGCTGCCGCTGCACAATTTCTGTTCTCATCCTGAAGCAAAGTTCTTAACCCGAGGTACTATTTCTGGGTTAGCAGTGTCTGTAACCTGAAGCGTCTGTAACCCGAGGTACCACTGTAGTAAGTTCAATGGAGCTTACTTCTAGGTAAATGGATCTAAGATTGCACTCACTCTCTCATATGCATGCACATAGTCCCTTGTTCACTGCCATTACCGACTTCTTCACAATGGCAATGCAGTAATATTTTTGGTTTCTGTCCTGACCCCTAAGGGGTTTTTTAAAGAGCCGTTTCAAGCACTTCAACGTACAGAAAATTGATCAGAAACTGGTAAATCTATTGCTGACACAGGAATGATGAAAGTGCTACAGTTGGGGCTTTAACACCTTGTGCTATGCAGATTTGACTTCTGCAGTCATTTCCAAGGCTCTCACTCACTCCCAAGCTGCTGCTTTGCTACAATCCTGTCTGCCCTATCCCACACATTTTCTCATGCAGAAACCAACCATACAGAAGCTGCTTCAACTGCCCTTTTCAACATTCATCACTCAGACTGCCAGTCAGGTCACGCCTGTCATATGCCAGCATGGTGGGGTCCCTGTCATTAGATGCATTAGCTAAAATGCACACACAAGTCCTTCCACTCCAGGCATTATTGTGGACAAATGGCTTCCCTCCCTCCATATTTGTTTCGTCTGAGAAAAGGGTAAATGAAGACGGCTGACCAGCAGTTCTATGAACCACTGCTAAGTACTGAGGTGGCTGCTTAGTGCAAATTTAAACGTAAATGCATCTCCCTCACTGGAATTATTTTGGAGGAAAGCAACCTGATGGATCCTTTCAGAGAATCGCTGAATTCCTTCCAAAACCAGCATGATTTCTTCATTTAGCACTATTTGTACCCAGTGGCCATCCCAGTAATATAGAAGAGTCAGACCATGGCCCATCTACTTCAGCACTGACTATATGATGACTGGGAACAGCTCTGCAAGATTCCAGAAAGAAGTCTTTCCTAGCCTTATCTGGAGATACCAAGATTGAAACTGGGGTCTTCTGCATACAACGCTGGTGTTTCACCACTGAGCTGCTGCCCTTCCCCTTGCTATTGATTAGCTATCCCATTTTATTTTCTTTAGTATAGTCAAACAAGTTTAAGAAAATGGCAGTTCATTGAGAACAGAAAATATCCCTGATACTATACAACAGCAAATTCAACCAGTTTGGATACAGCTTTCTATTCTATAACCTGTTCCACAGTGAAGGCAAAAATGTTGCATATTACAATATTGCAGCAGCCTAGGAACACTAGTCAGAACCATTCAGGACTTTTTGTATCAGGGTGTATCAGGGCGCCTTAATGCGAGGATCTGAGCCAGACATTTTTGCATGTATTCTGTAGAAGTAACAGACTGGTGGAAGAATGACGAATGTTCACAATTTAGCCCACATTTTGTAAAGGGGGTGTGGAGGGAGAGGAACGTTCAAGCATGCAGAAATATCCAAGATTAACCTGAACCCACTGATAGATGCACCATCCAGTTAAATCTTTCCAAATCAGTCAACACAATAGCTGACCAATACGCAATAACAGAATATGAACTATTAGAATTCCAGTGTACAACTTCTTGTTAAGACCCAAGGATCACTTGGCAATAGGGCTAGTCTTTTCATGGGGTGAAATGAGGAACTGTCTTAGGTGGCAGGGGCCAGGAAGCAGTGCTCAGCCACCCTGCTTGCCTTTCTACCCAGGCCTGCCACCCACTACCTCTGCAGCCCACCCACCTGCCAAATCCCTGGTCAGCTTCCCCCCCCCCAAAGGTTCGAATCCCTGTGACGGGGTGGGCTCCCGTTGCTCAGTCCCAGCCCCTGCCAATCTAGCAGTTCAAAAGCATTTCAAAAAGTGCAAGTAGATAAATAGGTAACCACTCCGGCGGGAAGGTAAACAGTGTTTCCGTGCGCTGCCGTGCGTTTTGGAGTTCTGTTGCACCAGAAGCGGCTTAGTCTTGCTGGCCACATGACCCGGAAAAACTGTCTGTGGACAAACGCCGGTAAACGCCCTCAGCCAGTAAAGCAAGATGAGCGCCGCAACCCCAGAGTCGTTCGCAACTGGACTTAACTGTCAGGGGTTCCTTTACCTTTTTACTTTAGTTACTTTACTTTTTTTTAAAAAAAGGTTTTCTAGATGCTATGGCAAAGCAGCAGCAGCACAAGCACTCTCTCAGGTCACCTCACCTTCTTTTAAGAGAGTGAGGGAGCACCAGCGCTGCTGCCATGGTAGTAGCATCAAATCAGATGGGGAAGGGGCACCCACTTCAGGCAGTGCCGTGCCTTGCACCAGCCCCGATGGAAATTTTGCAGTCCCTCCATCCAAGAGCAGCTTGTAAAAGCAAAAGAAGATCGGAGGAGAAGACTAGCTAAAGAATATTTGTACAGTTGTACGTTGGATCCCAAATGCCAAACCCGGAAGTGAGTATTCTGGTTTGCGAAAATTCTTTGGAACCCGAACATCTGATGCGGATTCCAATTGGCTGTAGGAGCTTCCTGCAATCAATCAGAAGCCGCACCTTACTTTCCGAACATTTTGGAAGTCGAATGGACTTCTGGAACGGATTCCGTTCGCCTTCCGAGGTATGACTATAAATTGCTTTCTTCCAAAAGTGCTGGAGCCTCAACTACCTGGTTCATATATACCTCACAGAAGAGCTTGAGAAGCATCTGCACAAAAGAAAACATCTGAGACCTACTGAAGTCATCATCTATTTCTATTTATGAAGGAAGAGTGAATAATATTAAAAATACCAATAAAGGGAATGCTATTAACAGAATAAAGATTGCGAAGTTAAAAGAACGAAAGTGTCTATAAAACTTCTATTCTTCACCAGACCAACCTTTCACCCAGCTTAAAAGAATCAACTCATTTTGATCAGTTAAGACAAAATCAGACTCATTTCTTGAAAAGACAGGCAGACTTCAAACAAGGATTGCAAGGGCTCATTCATATCCTTGAGAGGAAGGGGGGGGAAGTATTATAGTTGTTCCCCATGCTGACTCACCTCTCACCACTCGTATTTCAACTTACTTCTCATAAAAACAGCATTTGTGATGAAACAGTTCATATATACCACCAGGAACTTTCTAAAAACAAAGCTTTAGCTAAGTTTTTAAACTAGGACTGCAATATTTAATTAAGAGTAATTAACTAAAACGGTTCCCTGGTATTGAGAAATCCCCTTTCCCCCCCCTCAGGAAGCAATACCACTTTCATGATAATGCTTACCACAGCACATGTGTATATCTAAAAACAAAGTGTGCTTTCCACTTCAGAACTATTTTTATATGCAAATTTTACACAACTGTCAATTAAGGTTCTTAATCGGGCAGCAGCCTTTTAAAAAGGATAAAAAACACACATCACGTAGCTGATTCCTAAGCCCATTTCAAGAATATTTTTAAGCTGTGGCAATTTCCCTAACCCAGCTGTAACATGCATTGTGAAGTGGTTCCAGATTTTCCATGCCACACAAGGCTGTGATCAGGATAGGTAATGGCAGTCTTAGACAGTATGCATATGTTCAGTCCAAGCTGACAAATCACCATGGAGAAAATTATGTAGGAAGGTGGGGGTAGAGAAAAGTTGTAACACACCACAAATGATAATTTAGCTCTTGCCTATGGTATGTTACCTTCAGATACTCTTCTGCTCTGGAAAGAAACATTATTCACAATCTCTAAGTGCCATATCCCTATAGGACTGCAATATGGTGATTCCATGTGCAACTCTTAACTCTCCCTTCCAAACTAAGAGCTGCTGGCTACAAGGGAAAAGGATCTGCACATGCAGATATAATAACCACTTAAGACTGAAGAGACACACAGGCTAAATAAGTGCTTGCTGCAGTGGAAAGATATCTATAGCAGCCTTACAGCAATTTGGGGGAAGCAATAAGAGAAAGAGGAAAATCTACATAATTTTACTTTTTAAAAATGGTACATCCTTTAAGAAGGAATAGCTTGAGGGGTGCAAGACCATAGTTCTCTCATTTGTAACAGCAGTAGAATTCAGCGGAGCAACACCATCCTAGGCTATACTCAGTCTCTAAAAAGAACCTTGTTTAAAATAAGTTTTTGTATAGTACCAGAGGTGTTGCCTCAGGGTGCCCCACTCCCACAAATGCATCTTAACTTGTATAGGAACGTCTCATTTTATTACTAAAAGCTAGTGCAACTGTTTTATAGTTCAAGAAGTAATCTTTATAGGTTCAGGTCCATAAAGAACTATACTCAAATTTTACACCAGAGTGACTCCATTACAATGAATGGGCGGCACTTTATTAATAAAAGACATGACCCAGGTAAATGTAATACAACATTAAACCCACCCTTAACAGTCAGGTCGCCACAAGGGCACTGCAATATGACACACCTTCATAAGGGGTGGGGTAAGGGGCAGATCAGAACCACATAACACACTAACTCATACTTTATTTGGTTGGAATAAATTTATTTCATCTGTCTGTAAACAAGGTGTTTAATAGTTATGGCATTTTTTGAAATGCATATTAAATCAGATGAGTTAGACTGTATCCCAGATGTAACAAAGTGCAGGGAAATAAATGGACAAATCAGCAACAAGAATTTGTTTTAAGTCTGTACATTATCCACAAAGGCCCGAACAATAGAAGCAAATACTAGTGTCCCTAAAGTAGTGCCATTCAGAAGAAATCTTTCTTGTCAGTTAAAATCCATCTCACAATAGCAACAGTTCATTTTTTTAAAACATTAGTATGGCACAGAATACATTAAAAATTCATCACAAGACAGCCAACTCAGTTATTCCAACCAAGACCATCTTCCATTTTCTCTTTTGTATACAGAGTTCTGCAGTTCTCTTTTAAATGGACATACAAGTTAGTACTGTGCTCAAACTGACAATTTGGTTACACGTTTTGGATGACTAGTGCACAAGGCAGTTCACTCCACAATTTCTGCAGCAAGGGCATAACAGGCCAAATGAAGATTAGATTTGAAATGGTATCCGTTTGGACCGTTTTATCTTACAACTACCAACCTTCAAAACATACACTGATATCAGAGCAGCAAATCTTATTTCTCAGTTGATGATCTGACAGACTGATCTCAGACTAGGCTATAGGTGTATAGCTGGAGGTGGTAGTTTGTTGACAATGACAATGCAGTTTCATATAAAAACCCAAGCTGCAAATCAAATTGGTCCTATGAAAAAATGAAACCGGACACACTCCAGATGGTTACACTGGGATATCTAAAGTCCATGATGGCAGCCTTTTTACATTTCAACTACAGAACAGGAGCTGGCAAAAACATAAACAAAATTACGTGCCTGAGCTATTGCGGTGATGGAATGTCCCTGGGGATTCATTCAAGATGGGGATGGTGGTGAAGGGGAGGGGAGAAGAGCATCGGCACCTTTTCATAGTTTTGCAGTTACCCTTTTAAAAGCAGGATGCGCTTCAGACACCATGGAGAGTTTTGCAAGTCTACACAGAAGAGCAACAACAAAACTAAAGCAACACTTGTGACAGCTTTCAAGCAGCAAATTGGTTAAACAAACCAGGCACTGTATTTAAAAATGTATATATATAGATAGATAGAGATGGAAGCAAACAAACAAAAAAGAAGAGTGGGTTAAAGGTAAGGACAAGGGGGAGGAAAGTAGAGATATGCATGCACTTTTTCCCTCCCAACCATGCTCTACAAAAGGAAGACTAATGAGCTGTGTAAATGCTCAAAGTGCTGAGGAGGCATTGATCAATCTGGATTGTACAATCGGCACCTTATTTAGTTTAATTTAAATTGGTTTAGTTCTCAATGTCACACTAATTGCTAAGACAAGTAACGCCTGGACTTGGCATGATTCCCTCCCAAGGCTTCAACGTATCATGCATATCATCTTTTGTGTTGCAATAGATGGTGCCAGATACAGAACATGGGTACAACAGTGATTAACATACAAACGAAAAGGGTAACTGGAGCCATGACAATAGGGAAATGTGTAAATAAAACCGCCATCTATAGGCTGGTAGTACTTTTAACACAAGAGGTGGTGGTGAAAACAGTTGCTATGTGGATGGGGAGAGGCTGCTTAGACGTCAGGCCTCCTCAGGTATAAAGCCAGTTCATAAGCTTTCTTGTTGAGTGTCCCTCCATGGACACCTTCCCTTTCCCATGGCCATAACCAATGCTGGAGTACACAAGGAAACAAGGATGAACAGAATTAAAGAAAGAATAACACCTTTCCCCACCAATAGAGGGATACAAAGGAGACACAGGTTCATACCCCATCACCCTGCATTGCTAATAAAGTTTCCACAATGTAGCTTGAGGCCAGGAAAGTTTAATAGCAATTTCCCCTAATACTTAACAGTCTGCCTAGCAACTAGAACCCAGAGTCTCTCAAGTATTTTGCCATTGAGTATGCCTTCTTATTCAATCCGCCTCCATGGACCCCTTCTTTGCCCATTACAAAGACCAAGACTGAAAGAGAAAAGAAAAGAAGTTTTACAAAGGAGTGTGTTAGACAAGGAAATATTCCAAGTTTTAATAAAGCAGTACAATAAGCATATTCAAATATTGGCATATCAGAATAGTTACCTGCACAGCATTAATATATTGTTTTGAACATTTACCTTGTTTAATTGAAAAGAATGTTCAGCAGACGCAGATGTTAATTTAGTATGACCAAGCTTTTTAAATGAGATACATGGGGTATACTGTGGGGTCAAGAAGCTTTGGCTACATTTTCTTGCAAGGTAAATAAAGCAGATGTGGGGTAATATGAATTGGAATAACTGGAATGAACCAACTGTATCATATTCACTTGCTCTAGTAGTTCATAAGTCAAAAGTTGTCCACAGTACAAAAAGAATCCAATTGTGTTTATGCCAAAACAGCAGAGTCCTGAAGACCTTTAGCAATGCAAGTACTGTTATATGCCAGTAGGTGTCACTAAAATGTGTTATAGTTCTGTGCGCAAAACAATCTTACATTCTCACTGTCCTCTCACTTTTGATGCTTCTACTTCTATACTAGTTGATTTGCCTCAAAGTAACTTGTAATTAGTCCAATAGGCCAACGTTTTATGTAATTTTTAAAAAAGAAATCAAACAGCACAATCCTATAGATGTCAACAGAGAAGTAAACTCTACAGAATTTAATGAGTCTTACTCCTACATAAATAGGTACAGGACTGCAGTTTTAGAGCATATGAAGTTGAACAAGCTGAATGATGATCAGTACCATATATCAAATTAAAAATAAAATCCTAAGCACTGGGTTTTTAATAGACTAGTATGCAGCATTTGTGGGAAACCTGTGGCACTCAGCTGTTGCCAACTACAACGCCCATCATCTCTGACTACTGGCCATGCTGACGAAGATGGATGGGAGCTGGGAGTCCAAAAGCAACTGGAAGGCCACAAGTTCCCCACACCTGTTGTATAGGATCAGGTTGTTAGAAGTTCCTTTTGGAACACCATCCAACATGCATTTCTTATTTAGTGGAAGGTTTATATGAGAAGTCTGCATGGACTGGCATCCTGAAGTATTGAGGATGTCTTGGGAATGTAAAGCAACAGATATTCCATATTTATAAACTGCCTAAATCATCTATGAACTACTTAGCTAAGCAACCAGGTACATGTGCTCTTTGTCATAAACTTTTGCTGTACAATAAATAACCTCCAAAATTAGAAGCCTGAACTTGCATTTTTATTCTACCTGAAGCAATTAATTTCAAATGCCAAAACATTAACATCCTGGGTGCATAGTCTTAAGAATATGGTCTTATTCTCCACAAAGCTATTTTGACAGCCAGTCACCTAATCCAGATCTTGTTGGACAGATCAATTGAGATAATTTAAAGCCTACATGTTTTTTAAGCAGTAGAAAACAAAACACCAGATCAAACACTAGTGAAAGTTCCAAGCTTACCTCGACCAGCTCTGCCTACAGCAACATTATATGTTGGCTCGCCACCTTGGCTCTTTGTCCTGATGTCCATTGTACAGTCACCATCCACATAGAGGCTATCTCTGATCACAGAGCACTTCTTTGCACCCAGAGTTAGACCATTGGTGAAGAAACCCTCGCGGTCTTTTCCTACAATCATATCTATTTCTACAGGCTGTCAAAAAGAGAAGTCCATAGAGTTTTAGAGCAAGCTCTCATACCTGGATTCTGAAGAGTCAATGTACACACTGAATGTACTAATGTAATAGCAAAAAGAGAACATAACTCTAGCAGAAACAACTGTAGCTTCTAAAGTCTAACACTGTATGAAGTTAATGAAGTAGTTCTGAGTGCTACAAAGTAAGATGATACCCAAGTAGAGTCTTCAAATATGTTTTTCATTAAGTATGCAATTAATAATGAGACCCTGATTTTAGATTGTGCATATACATCTATGGGAGAGAAGATCAAAAAAAGTTATATTAGAGCTTCATGCTGTCTACAGGACCACTCCCTGCAATGTGCCAAATAACTAAAGCACTATGGCAGAAGCAGAAGCACAAAGGGCCTATATTCTACATGCAACATAGGCACAAAATGCAGAATAGCCTCCATTACTTATAGCTACATGGCTGTCAATAAGTTTCAGGGATGCTATTAAACCATATTTTTAAAGCAGTGTTCTCAAGGTTATTGTTTCTAACACCGTGCATTTCTGTTCTTTCCCACACAGATTACAAAGTTTACATTACAGCTTCTCCAATACTAATAAGGCCATTCAGGTGGAAAATGCACGTGCTTTGCAGAACCCTCAAAAACTGGGTATGGTAGCTCAATGTTAGACAAGCAGGGGGGAAATTAATTAATTTTTTAATTTAAATTTTTATGCCACCCTTCATCCGATGATCGCGGAGCAATTTGCAATAGAAATACCAAAAAATGTGTAACATAGTAACAAGAGCATGGTGGCTACATATCAGCCCTCTTTTATCAGGAATAGTGCAAGGTGTGTGTATTCATATAGCAAAATGGAAAAAGGCAGTCCAGCAAGAAAACATGCTCCCGCGGCACTGTATGATGGAATAGGCATCTTGTTCCAGTAGAACTGCAGAGTCATAGCAGGCCCCAGCCATTCCCAAAGCATAAGCCAAGATTCTACCTATAAACATCTTAGCAGCAAAGAGACTGGCTCAGCAGCTACCAAGGGCACCACTTCTTTTAACCCATTCCTATGCCTCCTACAGACAGGACAGGGCTAAGCCATGCTTTAATACTGCTGACAGAGCCCTCAGTATTATTCTCAACAAGGGGCACTGACAAGAGGGGCGAGGAGTGCTGTTTAGAATAAGGGAGCTCGCTTTTCATGACATTTGCCTGCATAGACAGGCAGCCAGCCAAAATGGCATTTTGGAGTGGAAGGGGATGAAGCTAGCCAGCCACCACCCCTGTTGTAATGCAAGATCACATTGCACACCTAATGCACGGGTAAATAAAGGGGGAAGCGCCAACAGAATCTATATAATTTCAATATACATTTCAACACTCTCAGCCTGCAGATACCATATCGGTGAGTTAAGCAGGCAAGCACACAACCTTCTCACGGAAATCCCCCCCCTTTCTTTTTATAAACTCTTATCTCGAATGATCAGAAAACTTTATGGCAAGAGAAAGATGAGAGATGGAAAAAACTGAGGAGATAGAAAGACTGCAGTGCAGAAACGGGGTGATTAATATCTCGGGAGAGAAGAGAAAAGGAGGGGTTAAAAAAAAATCAGCGGCAGTGCGCCATCTTGGAGGTGAAAAAACATGGAACCAGTGGCGAGGAATGGATTCACAAAAGCCTCCTACGCTGGATTCGCAAGTCTCTCCCCAGCAGTGCGGACCAGAGACGAGGGAATCCTACGCAAAGCCTCTCCAAGAATCATCGCCTCCCTTCCCCGCGCCCGGCCTTTTCCCTCCTCCTCCTCCTCCCGCCGCCGTATTGCCGGCTATTGCTCCAGCCCAATTGCCGTGGCAATTAAGGAGCCCCGCAGCCTGGCATACAAAATGGTCCCCCGAGAAGCCCGAGGCTATTCCCGTCCCAACCTGGCCCCGCATGCCTTAGAGGCTAGGGAGGGCGAGCGGCAAGGTAGCCCAGCAGCAGGGGATCTCAAAACGCCAGCCTGCCCCCTCCTCCCTCCCTCGCCCGCCCAGCCACCAGATAAAGGGCCCTTTTCTCCCACTGCCTCAAATCACTACTTGGGGAGAGGAGCCTTAGATCCGAGGGGGAAAGGCAATGCCCGGGGCCTAACTGGCGCGGGCTGCTGCTTTCTTCCCATTAAAGGCGCTTTTACGGCCATCGTAAGATGCGGGTGGGCGGGAAGGAGAGGAGACACCGCAAGGAGGGAAACTCGCTGCCATTTACACCTTCACCCAGCTGGGCCTCTCCTGCTATTCCCTTTTCTCGCACCCCCCTGGTGTGTTTCTTTTTTGGGGGGTGGGGGCGCTACGGCCGTGGCCCAAAGCTGGGAAGGGGGCGCGCGCACACACACACATAATGCAAGCTAGCAAAAGGCAGAAAACGTTTTGCACGAGGGCGCTCCCCGCCCCCAGATTTCTCGCCTAGCCTCGGCTCCCCCACCCACCACCACTGGACCAAGGTGGGGGGCCAAGAGATAAATAATTATTATTTTTAGCTGGGTGGCAGAGGAAGAAGAGGGAGAGATGCAGGAAACACAGAAAGCCCCCTTTCCCCACTCCCTAGTCGTGGGAGAGAAAAGGACAGTCGCCTCCGCCGCACGCGGCGCTCCTTTTTCTTCCCTCGCCTGCGCGCGCGCTATGCATGGAAAAAAGGAAAAAGGCTGCACTTTGCAATCCGCCCCTCGTGGGATTAGGTGCAACTCCGTGGGGCTCATCCGCCTCCTCCCCCAAAGCCCAAGCCTAGCCGACACCCCCCGCCCGCCCGCCATCCCTTCTCCTCCAAGGGCCGAAATATGCCCGCCCGGGTTTGGTGTTTTTAAAAGGGGGGTTACAAATCATGGGTTAGCCTTCCATCCATCCCTCTTTCTCTCCCCCCCCCCCGCCACTTGCTTCTCTCCGGGACCCCCCCCCACCCGACCTACCTACCCCCGGCCGCCCTTACCGTAATGCTCTGAAAGATGCCCCCGGCCGTCGCTGCCCAGACGTACTTGGCGTCACAGTAGCCGACAATGGCGGCCTCCTGGCAGCAGCCATCGCACATCAGGTTATCCACGTAGCTCTGCCAGCCTGCCATCTTCGGCTCGCGCCTGGCGGATGGGGGGTTGGCGGGGAAGGAGGGAAGAAGGAAGGAAAGGAAAGGGAGGGGGGAAGAGAGAGAGAGGAAGCCGGGACTCGAGGCGGGAGGGAGGGAAAGAAGGCGAGGGCGAGAGGAAGCGGGGGAAAGAGACACACGGAGGGAGAGAGAGAAAAGGCAGAGAGGGAGAGCAGCCCCGCAGCGGACGAGACTCTCTGACGGACGGGAAGGCGGCGGCGGCGGCGGCGGCTGAGGAGAAGGCAGGCGGGGGAGGGGACCGAGGGGGTGGGTCCACCTGAGGCGCTTGCGGCGGCAACCACTGCCGCGATGGCCGCCCGCCCGCTTTTCTCCCTTTATTATTATTATCGTTATTATTATTATTATTAAATGGCAGCTTCCCCCACAGGGAGGCGAGGAAGAGGAAGGAGGCGGCCACTGGGCAGCGCCCAACCGACCCGCAGCGACGAACGGCGCGTGTGGAGGCGTCGAGAGGGAGGAGGAGGAGGAGGAGGGGGAAGGGCAAGCCAAAGAGTGCGGGTGGCCGCCGCTGCCGCTGCCGCCGCCTCCTCCACCGCTCGCTCAATGCCGGGGACGCTTCTCTTCGCGGCAGGATCCCTCCGCTGCCGCCTATTGGCATTGTGGGTCCTCCCGGCGGAGGGATACGCTGCGCTGCCGCGTGCTGAGGCCCAAGCACGAGGGGGAGGAGGGTGCCGCTCTGCTGCTGCTGCTGCTGCTGTTCTCCTTCGCGGGGGCTGCTGGACACCAGCTGGCGCCTTCTTCTTCTTCGCCGTGGCTGCTCTGGTGGGCTCAGGCGGGGCGAGGCGTCGTGGCAGCTGCAGAGCAAGGGTATGTGCGGGGGCCCGCGGGGGTGTGGGCAGGAGGGAGGGGAAGAGAGGTGAGAAATGCTAGGCGCCCCCATCCCACTTTTGCGGACTGCTGAAGCTTCGTTAAGTTTTTTTTTTCCTTTAAAAAGATGGGGCAAGTCAAAAGCCAACGCTTTGCAGCTGTTCCCTGCGTGGCGATGCAGTGGCGGAGGCGAGTGAGGCTTCACCTGTTGGCTTTTCCGCCTGCAATGTAGGTGTTGGGGTAGAGGAGAGGTGCGGGAAGGGGGCAAGACGTGTGAATCGTTATTTCTGGTGGTTCACATGCGACTGGTACCCAGGCTGAGATGCGGCACGTGTTTTCTTGGGAGTTCTTTCAGGTTTAGTGACACAGTGCAGTCCTAACCACGGTCTACTGGGAAGTAGGTTTTGTGGAGTTAATGGGGCTTACTCCCAGATATGTGGGGTTAGGGTTGCATCCCTGCTAAGGATCCTGCTGCCTAGAGTCCTGTAGAAAGAAGGTGTTTCTTCCTGGCCTTGCTACAAGCTTATGTGTGGAATAAGAATCCCCCCCCCCCTTTGCTAAGTTAGTTGCCCTGCAGGCTGATGCCCTAGCTTTAACTGGTTTTAGTGAAGAGTTGAAATTCAGGTCAGGATCCCGGCCCTTCACTGCAAATCCCAAACATGTCTACTCAGTTCACTTAATTTCAATAAAAAGAATTCCTTCCAAGCAAGAGCATCTAGGGTTTGCTGCCTTGGGCACTGAATCTAGATTCATCTCTGAGAGATTTCAAGGAGATGGCTGCAAGAGTAAGTAGTTTGTAAATTGGAGCCTCTGTCATATTCTTGGCTGGGATCACCAGATGGTTATCTGACCATACTGTAATAAAAGAGAAAAGGTTGCAGGCTTAATAAGTTTTGAGTGTTTGCTTACTTCCCTTCAGCACCTCTTAGATGGGAGGAGAGCAAAGGCTTGGCACATGCAATTTTATCACTTCTGCTGCAGGTTAAACTTTTTGGTCTGTATAAGAACCAGCCCAGAATTCTGGATGTTTGTAAGACTTAAATTTATGCAGTTTTTGTTATGTGCCTGCATTTGAAAAGGAGCATCCATTGAATTCCCTGAGAGTAAATTATGACTTTCTTTTCCTGCTTCCTCACTGAAAAACGTGGGTGTGGGTGTGTCACCTTTTGTTGCACTTGGACTCAATTTTTCTTCAGAGCAGTCCCACAAGTGACTACTCTCAGGTAATGCCAGAGAAGACCATAGCCGTCAATGAAACTTGAGCAGGCTGCTTTATAGACTACAGTGGAACCTCGGGTTGCGAACATGATCCGTGCAGGAGGCACATTCACAACCCACGCCTGCGCACGTGCGGGTTGCAATTTGGGCGCTTCTACGCATGCGTGATTTAGCGCTTCTGCACATGCGCAAGCGCCGAAACCCGGAAGTAACCCGTTTCATATACTTCCAGGTTTGGCACAGTGCGCAACCCGAAAACATGTAACCTGAAGCATCAGTAACCTGAGGTACCACTGTAATTGGATTGCTCTTTTAATCCTGTGGTACTTGTTTGGCAGTCAGGTCCATTGGAATTAACAGGAGTTCTTTCAAGCCTCAGCTCTTTATCGAAATGATGTGTGTTGTGGAATCCATATACTATTTAAACCAGCCTTGTGACATGCAGAGGTTCCATTTGACATGTTGGTTACTGGTCCCCAAACCTCCACAGGCTGCAACTTCAAGAATTGCCAAGAAGGGAGAACCTTCCTTGTTAAATCTTTTCCCATCTCAGTGTTGAAGTGACAGCAGAAACCAACCTGGTTTTTCAGTGCAATCATACACATCTCTGCGCAGAAATGAGTTCTATTCAGTGGCAGTTCACATGCCCTTGAAAATGTGAATAATAAGGTGAGGCACCCTTTGAATATGTGCAGAGATATTTCATTCATCGCTGAGTAACTGCAGCCAGTCCCCATACACACACACATTCCTGGAAGTAAGGTTAACATTATTGCGTGTGTTTTCCAGCTAATCTAGAATGCTGTTGCCTCATTTTTAAATGTTCTGTGCTATCTCTAGATTGATCTTACTATTAGGCAATGTGAGGTAATTCACCCCAGGCAGCACCCATGAAAGGGTATCCTTTCTTTCTTTCTTTCTTTCTTTCTTTCTTTCTTTCATTTATTTTTGCCACCATGTGAGGCCTCTCACTTGGTTGTTTTGCTTGAAGCATCAAAATGTCTTAAACTGCCTCCTCAGCATCTCAGAAATCTGTTTCAAGTATTGTGCAATTACATGTAGTAAGCCACCTGCTTGTAAATGAGCGTCTTTGGTGTGTTCTATGCAATTTCTTATCATACAGCAGAATTTTAAAGCTGAGTTTTGTTATTTTATTTTTTTTAAATCCTTGCCTTCCAAACCAATAGGCAAGAAAGTGGGAGAAAACGCAAAAGAGACAGCAACCCCAAGAACATGCTGCATCCGAAAATGGCCATCAGGCTTCCTTGTTCCCATCCATATAAGTGTTTAGTAGATCACATTAAAACTGAGCAACTTGCCCCACTTCAAATCTACTGTTTGCAGTATGGTTCATGTGCACAGGTGTGCCCAGATGATGACAATAAAGGGCAGCCTCAAACTGCCCCTGACCTATGGTAACTAAGGATAAATATGTCCCAACTGAGATTTGACCAATTGATAACTGATATCTTGTATTGTTAGTTTATGGATTAATGCGCAGCTCTAACAAAGGTACATGGCACATGAAGAGAACCATTCACATAGATGACGCTTCACTTGCTGTTTTCACTAGTCCTAGAAATTATCCCTACCAAAGAGACATCTTCCTGTCCTGTTTAAAAAATGTCTAAGCTCTACAATCCTGCAGCAAAACAGGAAGTGATGCTTAAGCCACCTATGTAGTTTTCTCCCAGAGGTTCCTTTGCCGATCAGTACTCTCACAGCAAGCCCTTTGGAAGTCAGTCTGCAAGTGTGGCTTGCATTCAAGTTATACCTGCAAGTAGACATTTTCCCTCCATAGGCTGCTGGCAAAGGAAGAATGTCTGTTTGCAGGCTTAAATCCAGGTAAGCCCCTTTGAAGGCATGCCCAGTGCAGTTGATCAGATTGGGGCTCGCTGTCACCGCCAGTCAGCTGATCAGGGCTGCCAGTGATCCCCACTTGCAAAGGAGCAATTAGGAGTTGACTTTGAGCTCCCAACTCCTTATTTGGAGCCATGTTTTTACCCACCCTACACATAAGTCAGGTGTGGGGCAAGTAGGCATGGTTTGGGGGGTGGGAATGTCCTTCTGGGCCCAAGGTTTCCCACCCCTTCATTAAACTTAGATGCCTGTGATCCAACACAAACACTTGGGCATTCACGACCCTTTTGTTTTCGCCCTCACTGCCAAACAAGTTGATGTGGCTCTTCAGCAGCGCTCTCACATTCAAACAGAGGGAAATGCAGAGGATGGAGCAGGTGAAGGCAGACTGCTACTAGTGCCAAAGTCAAATGCACCATTGCGTTACCCCCAGATGAGTCCCAAAAGCTCATCAGGGCATGCACACAAGCAGCGCAGAGGAGCATTATGGGAAATCATTGAGCCCTTTATACACCCTCATCCTGCCATGTGCCATGCAAGTCGCTCATGTTCCAGAGGATGTGTAACCTGCAGGGCTCCAGATTTTGACGTGGGAGGGGTGTGTGGGCATCCCATTCCTTGCATCACTTGTTTTTGCACATGCGCTCACAGTGCTGGGAGGAGGAGAGAGAGAAGATGGGGGGGAAAGAAGGCTTCTGGTCCCTAGTGTCTCTTGATTGGGCCGGGAAATATGTATGAACCTCTGGAGAGGGGCTGATCTGGGTCAGGCTTCCTCAACCTCGGCCCTCCAGATGTTTTGAGAGTATAATTCCCATCATCCCTGACCACTGGTCCTGCTAGCTAGGGATCATGGGAGTTGTAGGCCAAAAATATCTGGAGGGCCGAGGTTGAGGAAGCCTGATCTAGGTGCACCTACTATCTGACTTGGGGATAAAGCAGTCTCTGTTGAGCCCTGTGGGCTCTGGGTCCCATATCCATAATCGACTGGATCGAATGATAGTCATTTATAGCTTGCCTTTTTCATCAGGACAAAAAAAACCCCTCAAAGCTAGGAACAAATGGTCACAACAAGCCAGCTGGAAGGGGTCTCGCTCATCCTCTTGTCTCCTGAAGTGTAGCTGGCATGACAGTAATATATCTGTCTGCTCCCCCCATCCACCCTGATAGAGGGTGACAGACAGAGGCAGGAGCTGCAGCCACAGTGCTGTTCCCTGCAGCAGAATTGACAAGAGATCATATCCCACCTACAAGCAGAACTGAGGGAGACCCAGAATTTCCTGCACAGACCTGTGGAGTCCATGAGGATATTTATAATCCTGAACAAGGAGTCACCTAAAATGGAACGGGTGAGAGTGAAGACAACCACACACAGAGAGCAAAACCAAGTAAAGCATTATTCATTAAAAATGTGATGTGAGCCCATCCTGCAGAAAAATGGAAGGAGTAGGAGAAGAGGCAGGATCGGTGCCAGTGCCTCAGGATTTCTTTCTAATGTTGACACAGTTATTTGAGCTGTACTTTTGGAAACATGTTGGAAGAGTAGATTAACATAATTTTAAATCATGGCCGTGCCAAAGATACATTTATAGTAGCTGTGTTGTAATTTAGGGTACATTTAAAAATAACAACTTGGAATTGTGGTGTTTTAATTCCTGACCATGTATTAAAGTCTTTGTAAAAAAAACTTTCCACAGTGCCTTTATATAAAAGCATGCTTTTGCAAATGTGCTCTTCAAGTAACCTAATTCAGGGAGAATGAAAGCCAGGCCTTGAAGAGAATGCACAGAAGTGTTTGCCTACAGTGAGAGAGAGAGAAGGATAAAGGAGCACTTCCCCCAAAGTAGCTTTTGTGATGGTGCCAAAACTCTGTGTTCAGTGCAATGAGCTATATTCAAAATGTCATTGATGCTCAAAAGCAAAGTTGAATCGGAGCAAGATACATTTCTGCAAACTTGAATTTTACACATGTGTTCTAACTCTGGAAGGGCACTGTGTGGGTTTTTCAAACTGAACTTTTTTTCTTTCTCTTTTCTTTAAAAAGTATTTCATTTGAAAGAGAACCATGGATTCCAACAACTGATACAGAGACTCTTAACACAAAGGAATGCAGGAAATTCCACACTCTTTAGAGTTGTTTTGGTTACTGCTTTTGATTTAATGATATGGTGCCTTTAAGCCAGGGTTAGGGAAACTATTTTAGATAAGGAAACCTCGTTGCCAATTTTAAATTGCCCAGCAAGGCTAACAGAAAATAACAACCATGCAAATCTGTGCTCAGTTTCGACCTTTTCATGTTTTCTTCTTTGCACACATGGATTCACATGCAAGAATGATGACTTATGCATCTCAGTGCTTCCTTAAATGCACGCTCTGTCCCACCCAAAGACACACAAAGTAATGATCAAAAAAAGAAGCTTCTATTCCTTTGCTCTGGATAGCCAAGAACAGGAGCCAGTCCTGTGCTTGTTTATTTCCAGCAGCAGTTTTCTCTCTGGAGAGCTTTGTTTCAAAATGCCCTTGAGGCTTAAAGCCAGTTCATACATTTCCCAGTTGTGGAGCTTCTAGAAACAGAAGCAACCTGCACTTCTGATTCCCTTCTTTCAATGCAACATTTGTAACCCTTACAGGTCTCTGCCAGATCGTATCCCAAAGACCCTATGCATCCCCAGTGGGGGTCAGCAGTATGAATGGCAGGGCTGCTCCCCCGCCTGAGGCAAGGAGAGCTCCTTGCCTCCAGCAGCAAAATCCACAAGTGTAGCAGATCTGGCTGCCAAGGAATTGATAACCCATTGTAGATCTTCATTCACCCCTTTTTCCCTGGTGGGGGAAGGGTGCCATTTTGTGGTTTGCCTCAGTACCAAAATGTCTTGGGCCAGCCCTGGTAAGTGGGATGTGCCTCTACAGGCCCTGGAACTAAAGAATACGTGAATTGGCCACTGACAAAAAAAAGAGTGGCGCCTAGTGGAATTCATTCCAGCAGCAGGGCCAACCTTGAAGTTTCAGGGGTCTCTTGGCAACACTTGGTCCTCTTTCTCTGTAGTCATTCTGCCAACTGTGGACGTCAAATCAAACACAGCAGTTCAGATGGTTGTCTCTTCCCACCCTGGTCCTTTTCATTTAGCTGGCGCGGAACTCGTTGAGTTGCTTTGAACCTGAGCTTGGAGCCGAGCCCCCCAGAACAAAACCTAGTAACCAGTTCAAAATAAGTGCTTCACCAATAGTCCAAAGGATCCTTTTGAGGCGGGTGAATAGGGCCTTTCTCTTCTCTAACGTTAGGCAGGCAGGCCAAACTGAGGAGGAGGAGCAAAAATAAGAGTTTGGGGATTATAGTTCTCCTGTATCTTGCATATGCTTTGACCTGGTGTATGAGGGCAAACAGTAAGGCTGTGTACACACCATATTTATTTCTTTTGACTAATAATAGGGAAAGAGGCCAGGAGGGGGAGAGCCACACTATACATTTAAAACACGTCCCTTCTCTTAAAAAAAAAATCCTGGGAGCTGTAGTTTGTTAAGGGTGCTGGGAATTGAAGTTTCGTGAGGTGAATACAGGATTGTGAGAAAGCATTCAGAGAAGTGGTTCCCTTTTTCTGTGTAAGCATTCCAATCCCATAAGCCCTCACATAACAGTGTTATGCGTCCAACAATGTATAGTTTTTAAAGCTTCTGTCTTGTCTCCAGTTGTGCTAGGTAAAGCTCCCCCTCCCCATTTTAATTGTTTTTCTGTATGTTTCTGAGAATAGGTAGGGTGACTGGAACTATAATAGCATTACAGAAGCCAACAAATAAAAGATGCCTGAAGTAAGCTAAAAATAACATATATATATTTTTCTGGGATGGAAGTCAATGTAAAAAGTATGTTTGGAGAGTGAACTTCATAAAGATCTGGTATGCATGCATGTGTTTAGGGAAGAAAGCAACCATTTTCCTGCATAAAATATCCCTGTAGTCATGTTATAAGAGTCACACTGCAATTATATAGTTTTTTGGTGTGTGTGTGTGTGTGTGTGAGAGAGAGAGAGAGAGAGAGAGAAAAAACTGGTGCCAAACAATTGCACAGGACAGAATCACAGAGTTTAGAAATGCTGATTAACCTGAGCCAGAATTGAATCAAGTTTTAAAAATAGTTTGACTCCCTGCTTTTTACCACTGTAACTCTCCCCCTTAAGTCAAGCCTCCCAGATCACTTTGAAACCCCACCCTTGAGGAACTTGGCCCATGGAGATAGGTTAGAAACTGACGGATGACATGGTGATACCAAATTAATGGGGATAGTTAAATTTCCAAGGAGCCAGAAGACATTTGGAAGAGCTGATTTGGCCCGTGGTCTTGAGGTTTCTCACCCCTGCCTTTAAGCCAACATACTTTCAATTTTTCCCTCATTATTTCCTGTGTGAGTTGTGGTGATGCTTTTAAATACTTCTTTCTAAACCACATTGTGTTTCCTGTTTCCTATCTATTCTTTACCACAAGTGGTTTATAGAAATACGGTGGTTGAAACAGCTTCAAGTGACTGTAGTTGTTTATGCTTAACTTGGGAAGATTTTGCTTTGTTGTGATTGTAATCCCATGTAAGAATTAAGACTGACAGTATTTTAAGGCTCTTCAGGATGTCTCCTCACATCTAATTTCATAATTAAGGGTTATTACGCTAGGACTGGAAGCAAAACCTGGGGGAAGAAATCATTTGACTTTCACCAAACCTGATACAAAAATATGAAATTGGAATGTTCAAGAAGCTTTGCTTCAGATACCACATTACAGTGAGCGATATCAAGAGTTAGTCATAGTCAGAATAGGTCTCCTCTGAGCATGACTTAGTTGGATATCACCCAATGTGTTTTTAATCTTTTATCTCAGAAAACAGATGCACATACTTCCCAAGTTTTATTTCTCAACACCCAAGGATATTTTGCTTTATAGAGGCTATAAATGTAATGGCAAACCATAGTTTGCTTTATGAGCATGAGTAGCCTTGATCTCATGCATCTTTTCCTCACCTTTTCCTGCACGTGAACGGAATAGGTTAGAAGTTCCCATTCCTGGCTTTGTGGCAAACTGTGGTTTCTCCTTTTGTCTGAAAAAGAAGTGATGGTTTGCCACAAACCAGCTTCTAGACTTATTCTTACATGCACAGGAGAAGGAGAGGAAAGAATGTATGAACTCGAGACTGCTCACACACGTTCCCCACCCTGCATTCTGAAGTGATAACATTGCAGGTCATCTAACTTGTGATGTCGATGAGTAAGACGCAGCTCACCTTTTGGTATGAGCAATTGTCCATAGTAAGTACATATGGAGGTAATAAGAATTCAGAACCTTATTACTATGATTGCTGTTGAGCAAAGTACATTAGCTAATATATGAACCGTCGTTTGGCAGGATGCACACACTGCAGAGCGCTTCATAGGCGCTAACTAAAACACCCATTTCAATTAGGGAAATAGGTTGTAGCTGGTGGTGGCACTAAATACCTTCTGCTGGAAAAGAGGAGAAACTGGCGCACAAATTTATCCATTCAGATATTTGATACGTTGTTATTTTAAATGGGAGGCATCGGAGCAGGATTGTGTGCCTCCCAAGTGGAGTTGTTTTGTTAGGGTCAAATTCTGTTGTCGGTTTCTCTCCCAGAAACCTTGCTGATGTCAACAGAACGGCAGAAGTATTAAAAATAAAGTGGAGACTGTGTCAACATTCATTTCGCAATACATTGTTGAACAATGCCATCGCTAGAGGAAATCTCCCGTTTCTTTGAACCATGTCGCTGAGCAATATTTTTTGTAGGAATCATGATAATTCAGAACACACTGTTAACAGTGACAAGTCCTATGTCTCTACTCTCCTTCTGCCTTAGCCTAGACACCTACTCATGGCCTATTGGCTCTTGCTAGAAAGCAACATTCTTAGGGTTTCTTTCTTTCTTTCTTTCTTTCTTTCTTTCTTTCTTTCTTTCTTTCAACAGGTTTTGAGACCTCACAGAAAAAACATATAGGTAGTAGGCCTGAAAGTCAAAAAAATAAAGTTATAAAATCACTTTCACATTTATCATTTTCAAATCTCATTATTTTTAGGAGCCCATCAACAAAACTGAAAATAGTAACAACAACAACAACAACAACAATTTATTATTTGTGCCTTGCCCATCTGGCTGGGTTTCCCCAGCCACTCTGGGTGGCTTCCAACCAAGATTAAGAATACATTAAAATGTCACACATTAAAAACTTCCCTGAACAAGAGAACAAGGGAACAAGAGAAGCATGTTGTCCCCAAGATATGATTCTTGATTTTGATGGTAGGGATGTCTCAGGTTCAAATCCGCAAATAATAATCCTGTGAAAGAGGGCAAAGAGAGCCATACCCTTGAGGGCTGGTGTGAGGTTGCATGGGCAGACATGGATCCTAATCCTTACTCACCATGAGGCACGCTGGTGATCTTGCACCAGTCATGATCTCTCTACCTGACCTACCTCACAGGGTTATTGTATAACGATAAAGCATAGGACCCATTCTAGAGAGTGACGAGGCTGGCCATCTATCCCAGCTGCAGTGCTTCTCATGTATGGAGTACCTAGGAAGTGGGTAGCATGAGAAGATCCCTCATCCGCATACAAAAAGTCAGTTTGCAACTCCAGGTTAGGCTGGAAAAGACCCCTGTTTGGAAACCTCGAAAGCCTCTCCAGATCAGTGTAGGTGGTCCTGAACTTTAGGGAGCAATAATGTAGCTTGGTGCAAGACAGCTTCCTATGTTCCAGTCTCTTGTCTTAAAGATGCCTGCTCTGGGTTCCTTTAAGGAGCCTCCAAAATTCTAGAGCAAGGATGTTTTTTTTAAAAAAGATGTCTTCTCATATGGCTGCTTTTAACCCCTTAGTAGAAGATACAATCTTGATTAAAGTGTACCAGGTTTCAGTAGACGGGGAACCATGTAGAACAGGGAGGGAGAACCTCAAGGTAGTGTAGGACTCCCATCTGCTCCAGCCAGCATAGCCCATGGTCAGGCACGATGGGAGTTTGAAGCGCAACTTCTGGAGATCACCAGTTTCCTCATCCCTGATGCAGAGGAAGGGAGGGAGGTTATTTATGAAGTGGCACCAAAATATTTCCTTAACAGGAAGGTCCTAGTGTTAACCAGCCCAGAGTTCTATAAAATGCATTGCATTTGCCTGAGCTTTCAAACCAAGGTCAAATGGCACACACATCTTGCTTCTGTTTAAGCATTTGGGAGGGTTTTGCCAACAGGCAGGGTAGGTGTGAAATTCACTTCACTTCAGGTGATATACTTGCCTGGTTCATCATGGCACCTAGCTGGGTTTTTTCTCCCTCAGCCCTCCATGCTCACGAGAGGCATTTTCTGTATACCTCCGGTGAATGGAAGGCGCTGTGAGTGCGTTCTTGGATATGTAATTAAGCTTTATTGAACAAAGATAATGTCAAATTCCAATCGGAATTTCTGCTTGCAGTTCAGAGTTAAAGGTCTGAGGCAGCTCTGCAGATCATTATGCTTATCTCCCATGGCTAATGCAGTTCTGCTCAGCCTCACCAGCAATTCATCTCTAATCAGTCAGTCAACATTCCCAACACGCGTACAGCATAAAGAACAACAATAACAATACATTTTTATGGCTGCTCGGGTGCTGAGTGCTGCTCAATCACTGTCCCCCTCTTATGCAGAAGGGATGGAAAGTGCTAGTAAAGTGAGCAGAGGTATATTGTTGCATATAATTTCAAGCGACAAAAGCTAGCCCAGCTGTAGCCATGGTTCAAATTGCTGGAGTATTGAAAGCTTAGCCTGCTGCTGATGCCCTGTTTCCTTCTTGCTGCTTTCCCATTTGATTAAAACCTAACCTGCAAGAAAAGGACTGTACTTGGGAGAAAACCACAAGGTATATTCTCCAGTGCCCAGAATAAAATGAAGCTTAATAATAAGGAGCACATGTTGCACCCACACAATCTTCTCCAAAGTGAGTGCCTGAGCCAGCCATTTGTTGAGTGCTCAAGGTCCTGTTGTGCAAATTCTCCTCCCCAAGCTGATATTAAGGCTGGTCCTGTACATGTTTACTTGGACTGGGGGGAGAGGAATCTTTCTAAACTCAATGAGGAATATTCCTAGGTACGGTTGCAGTCCCTTGCATGCTTACCTGGGATGTAGGTATGTATGTATGTATTATTGCATTTGTATCCCATCTCCAAGGAGCTCAAGGAGAGTCTCGCGCTCTACCGACTAATGTTTTGGCTAGATCCATTCTCAACAAACCTGAATTCTCAAATTCCCTTTAAATAATAATTACTATTATTCTGGAAGAAGTTATCAGCAATGAGGTTGAGTAAGAGCTAAATGAAAGTGGTTTGGGGAATACAGTGGTACCCCGGTTTGCGAACTTAATCCGTTCCGGAAGTCCGTTCTTAAACCAAAGCGTTCTTAAACCAAGGTGCGCTTTCCCATAGCAGCGGGGGACTCAATTTACAAATGGAACACACTCAACAGGAAGCAGAACATGTTCTGCTTCCAAGGCAAAGTTCACAAACCAGAACACCTACTTCCGGGTTTGCAGCGTTCTTAAGCCAAGTTATTCATAAACTAAGCTGTTCTTAAACCAAGGTACCACTGTACTCTGCCACTGGCAAAACAGTCTTACCACATATACCACACAGATAATGAAAAAAAATAAAATAAACAACTTTCCTCCTCCTCAGCTAAGCTATTCTGCCATAACCAGTTCACCTGGAAATTCCATCTCTTCTTAATGATCCACCTTCCTGTATCTTGAAAAATCTAGGCTTCATTTGCAGAAATGTCAGCAATGGTCCTTCTGCAAGGATGGTTCTAACTCTTGAGAGTGTGTATTGCTACTTGGTATAGTGACCAGGGGTCAAATTCTACTCAGTCATGAAGCCCACCATGGGCCAGTCACTTAGCCTGATCAGGGTTGTTATGAGGATAAAATGGTGAAAGAAGCTTATACATCTCCTCGAGCCCTTTAGAAGATAGATGGGGTATAAATTTAATTTTTTAAAAAATTAATCACTAGGGGAAAGGGGATGTGGTTCAGTATTAGAAATCATGCTTTTGCATGCAAAAGATACTGTACTGTGATCAGTCCTTGGGCTCTCTAGGCAAGGCTAGGGAAGATTCTTATCCCAAACTCTGGATGGTGGGTACCAGTTAGGGTTGACAACCCAGAGGTGGAAGGAAGAGAGGTCTGACTTGGTATAGTACAGCTGCTTCCTATGTCCCTATATGCACTTAAAATTTTTTTCAAGAGAATCACATTTTGTGGGTGTGCAAAAGGTATTCATTCTTGGCACTACTTCTTACAATGCGAGTAGCCATCTTCTGTGAAGACAGAGATTCTAGGAAGGTGAGCAGCTGGTCCTGTTTTGGTAAGGTTTTCATGAGCAAATCAAGGATTACAAGCTACTTTGTCATTCTCTAATCCCTCTCTGAAGTGTACTTTTCATATGACAGTAGTGTTTGAGGACCGGGACATTCTCAGGGAAACCAAAATGCTTGTTTACAAAGCTATTGTACTACCAGCCTTACTGTATGCTTGTGAAACATGCCATCTCCAACTTCTCGAAAGATTCCATCAACGGTGTTTCCAAAAAATCTTACACATCACTTGGGAAGACAGGCGAACTAATATAGGTAAGTATACTGGATGAAGCAAAGATCACCAGTGTTGAAGCAATGATTCTTCAACATCAACTTTGTTGGACTGGTCATGTTGTGTGGATGCCCGATGACTGTCTTCCAAAGCAACTACTCTGTTCCGAACTTAAAAATGGAAAGCGTAATGCTGGTGGTCAACAAAAGAGGTTTAAAGACTGTCAAGGCAAATCTAAAAAAATGTAGTATAAACACCGACAACTGGGAAACACTGGCTCCAGTTGGAGAACAGCCTTTACCAAAGGTGTCATGGACTTTGAAGACACTCGAACTCAGAACGCAAGGGAGAAATGTGCTAAGAGGAAGGCATGCTTGGCAAATCCATACCGTGTTCAACTCCACTGTGGAAGGACGTGTGGATCCAGAATTGGCCTCCACAGTCACTTACAGACTCATTGTTAAAACTGTGTTTATGGAAGACAATCTTAGCTACGAGTGATCGCCAAAGGAGAAGACAATTTTGTAGTGGAGTCTCATATCATTTGCTCTGTGTATATGCAGTATATTTAGTGCTGGTCCAGTTACAGTCCTCACTTTGTTTCTAGCATTTAGACAGGAGGGGCCATAGACCAGTGATGATGCATAAGTTTTGCATGCAAAAGGGCCCTGATTCAATCCCTGACATTGCAGTTAAAAGGGTCAAAGGGAAAGTGGGGGAATAGGCCACACTGGGTTGTCCTTGGAAAAACCTGTCAGAGGCCCGCCAAGTAGATAGTACTTGACCAAATGAACCAATGGTATAAGGCAGCTTTTTATATTCATATTTGCACTGCTGTCAGAGGAAGCACCCTCTGTTTTATCCCGTGCTGCAGTAAAATGGCAAACCATTTTGAGTTGAAAATAAAGCAGGAGAACAGCAACTGGCCCAAGTTTGAGACCTGCAAAAGGGAAGCCCAGCTTTGGATATTCAGGGACTTGGTGGGAGGGGAAGGAAGAGCACTTGCCCCTGCAATTCACTTTCCGCGTCTGAAGTGGTCCTTGTATCTTCCCCTCCCTGCCCTTCTTCATGGTGAGATGTGGATACTTCTAATGTGGGAACCCTCTGCACACAAAGCGATGGGACAGCTCTGCTTTGTGTGTTATGGGGTTGCATAAGGAAGTAAAGGGGCATTTCATTTGCTATTCATTCCACATCTTTAAAGCGTCCAAATATCTCTCCTGCAATTAATATCAGACGTTATCTCACGTTGACAATTCAATAAATCCATCCAGCGCAATCCATAAAATAATTCTGTGGTTCATCCTTCTTGCCTTCTTTGATGATAAGGCGTTCCATAGTCCTTTTCATGCCACATTGCGACATGAAGTTAAAGCAACTGTTTAAATGGGAACCGCATGTGAAAATCATTCGGTATCCCTTGCTGTAAAGAGATCTCCCTTTACAAATTAGGTGTTTCATATAAAGGATGCTCATCACTAAGATGTATGTTAGAAACAGGTAATTAGACCTTCCTCTTGGTGGAATAATGTAATGCATTGGGACTGCATTTTGTTCAACTTCCGGTACTAATCGTACAAATTCATTTGTTGACATCATTAGCATATATTTGTGACTATAACCATAATCTGTACTTTAGATCGGGGACATCCAACTCCCAAGATACTATGATCTACTCACAGATAAAAAAAACCTACCCATCTACCCATTTGGGGGGAGACCCCAAACTTGTTGAGCTTTTTTTGGGGGGGGGGGCAAGCCGCTTCTTGGGGGGGGGGCCGACATAAATCGCTTACTGAATAGTAAACTCGGCAGCGATAACTCCATCTTCCATTTTTGCGGTCGCGCGCAAATTAAGGGAAGAGAGAGGGGCGGGGCCAGATGCCCTTTTTTCCCCCATGGAAGAAAGTGACCCTGCAATCGACCACAATCTACCACTATCACCCAGGGATCAACCTGTCGATCGTGGTCGACCAGTTGGACATCCCTGCTACAGATTATCTCTGGTAAACTATAATTGCAGGTTATGTTTATTTTCCTTTCTGCCTGATCCTTTGGTGACCTTATTTAGGTGTGCAGTCGCTATTTTAAGATATACACCTTTTCTGCCTTTTTGCAATGTACCCCCATATATGTCTGCTGAGGAGTAAGTTCCACTGAATTGAATTGGACTTACTCCTTGCGAAGTGGCTATAGAGTGCAGCTGTCAGGTTGTTGATTTTAATCTGCAGAATCTGTGAGGAGGTTCAAGATTTTGGTATGTAAGATACAATGTAAGGAAAGACCATTTTTCATCTTACAGAAGCTTATTAAGTAGGTTATGCTGTAACCAGGTGAAGCCGGATGTGTCGCTTGGTTGTTTACAGCAAAAATGTCCTCTGCCAAACACTGTGTTGTGACAAACTTGCTGAAAATGTTAAATATGTTCTGCTAAATGAAACAATTGGCTCACTTTGCTCCTCTTTTGTTTCTTCTTTTTAGATTTTCTCCTTTCTCAGAGAACATAACAAAATCCTAAAAATTTCAAGAAGGACTTGGCAATGCAATGAGTGATCTCCGTGTTCCTTGGAAATCTGTTGCAGTGTGTGCTGCTGATTCTTTCTGTTTCTGGAATTGTGTTGTAAGATGGCTCCTTGTTCTAAACCAGTTTTTAATCTAGTTCAGTTCAGTGCTAGCTTGATCTCACCTGCTTTCATACAATAAAATATTTCCATTTATGTTTTCCTTGTAGAATGACCAAAAATTGTTAAGAGTGGGAGGAGAACTAAAAGTAGGACTCCTGTGATTTGAATCAAGGCATCTGCCTATGACACCACTGGCACACTGTTTCATGAGAGTAGTAGGTTGCTTATGCTATACCTTATGCATGTGTGCTGGTTCATCAAGATTCATAAACAACAGAAAGCATAATATTTGATGTGGAACTAGATGTGACGAGGGGAATCTGGTGTTTCACTCCTAAGACTAATGTGAAGTGGGGGTGAAATACTTGCAGGACAAAATAAACAGGAGGAAGATAATGCCTAATTCTTCCTCTATCTGCAGATTCTCACCTGCAAATGCCACCAAACCTCACCCTCATTTTGCACTGACTTTATGTTTCCTTGCCACTGCCAGGCTCAAAAATTCTCAAGTTAGCCAATCTGACAGGGGAAATGACTGGGGGGGGGGTGGATATTAGCATGGGAGAAAGGGCAGTCCCAGGAGGGGTTTGCTGATTCTGTCCTGCAGCTGCGCACCCTCAGAGTTTCAATCTCTGGGCAAACATGGGTTTAGAAGCACCTTTTCCAAGATAATGTGCTTAGAAAATAGATACTAACTCAGCTATGGACTGAAGCTTCATATTGTTTCTTTTTCTGGCCATAGTTTTGCCTCTTTAATTCCTCATTCTGACAACATTAAAGAAGAATGGTGAATATGTCTCATTGCATTTATTTACTAATTGGTTTTAGGACAGGCTAAGCCTATATATTTCATGCCCTGGGAACTTAGTTGCCTCATTATCTAGTCTCAAGCGTTCTCCCCTCTCCCACCAAGTGCAGCGCATCTCAATTATCAGAGCATCCCTGGTTGCAGTTGTGCACATTCAGCATTTAGCCCTTGTCAGCTTTCAAACTGGCCACTTTAACTGTCCCTTTAAGAGCAGTTTGATCTGCAGTAATTAGCAAGCAATAAACGTTTACCTCAGTGCCACTGAAAAGCTTCCTGGGCAGATTTTTCCTGCAGGGCAAACCTCTATTTAAAAGGGAAAGTGGGGGAATAGGCCACACTAGGTTGTTGCTGTTGTTTTTCTTCTTCTTGGCAACACTATCAGTATCTATTGCAAGGGGTAAAATGTTTAGCAACTGAGCCCACCGTTCCTAGACGTGGAAGAATCGTGTGTATGTCAAATGCACCAATATTTTTTTCCCAGGGCAAGGAGGGATAGAACTGAAATGGGACAGAGGACACACAGATATGCACTCAAGGTAGAAGTAGCAATAGCAACAGCAGACGTCTAAAGAAAGAAGCTTATAACTAAAAGCTTAGTTCTCCAATTTTTGTGGAAACTCCTTTTTATGTGTCAGCTTTCGGTTTTCCTCCCAGTTAAGCTCTTACTAACAGCTAAGGGTGAGGCAGAAGGTGAAAAGGTCATGGTATCTGTACTGAGCAATATTACAGTGGTACCTTGGTTTACAAACTTAATCCGTTCCGGAAGTCCGTTCTTAAACCAAAGCGTTCTTAAACCAAGGCGTGCTTTCCCATAGCAGCGGGGGACACAATTTACAAATGGAACACACTCAACAGGAAGCGAAACATGTTCTTATTCCAAGGCAAAGTTCACAAACCAAAACACCTACTTTTGGGTTTGCAGCGTTCTTAATCCAAGTTGTTCATAAACTAAGCTGTTCTTAAACCGAGGTACCAATGTACACTGGTGGTTTGCTTGGGTTTTTTAAACCAGACGTATTTGTAAGAGAAGCAAAAATAAGAATAGCAAAAGAGCATAAGAAGGCCAAATGCCCATCTAGACCAGCAACCTGTGAATTGGGCAACCTAACGTAACAAAAGACTCAGCTCAACAGTTGGTAGCCCCTGGCCGAAGCATGAGTGATAAATCACACAGACGTAATGCTGTATTTTATGCTTCTTTAATCAAGGTAGACGTGATTGGCAGATGATGTCATCATTCAACTGCTGACCAATGAGGGGAAGTCCACATAAGCTGTGGGTGCTTGAGAAAACCCTGTGGTGTACATTTGAGGAAACATGAGAATTGGCAAGGGCGCAGCCAAGTCTCTTCCTGGATTAAAAGGGGGTTATAGTTGGGACATGGGTTGCAGGCATGAAATGGGGCTGTTTTCCCAGCCATTACATGGGGAAGAAAATTAATATCAGGGTTGTCAGCTTCATGGACTTTGGATACAAATGAACTACAACAAAATGTTGCAGTGCGGAGGGCTTCTTTTCAGGATTCTATGCATTCTACATTCTGCCGCCGCCATCACCCAGTTCTTATACTTTCTTCCAGGCAGTCAACATTCTGTAGCCACTGCACACTTTCATTCCTCTCTGAGCTTTTTTTGGGGGGGGGGGGGTCCGCCCTTAGGTGTATTCCCCTGAAAATACTTTTGGTATTTCTGCAAATCTTCAGGTTCTGCCAAGACTGGCAAAAATACCTCGTCTGTGTGGGTGGCAGCGCTCTGGCTAAGAAAACAATAGCACTCACACCCTGAATATAAAAAACAGAAGGAACAATCTGTACACTAATACACCCATCCCTACTTATCAGCTTACCAAACAATAACTGTCCTGACAGATACCTGTATTCAGGGAGAGTTGAATGATGTTAGGCCAGTTTTAACTAGAATTTTTGGCCCCTTTGCCATTCTTCTGGTTTTTCAGTGGTATGTGAGTTAACCCATTGTCGACTGGGGAAAAACCAGCTGCGTCAGATTGACTCTCTCCCATCTGAGATGACAACATTGCTCTTGTTCAAAGAACTTTGCCCCAGAAAAATAGTAGGTATTTGGCCAGCAAGCAAAAACAAAACTTAAGGTCAAACTGGATTTGCTTGCTGGCTCACCCATTCCCACAATATATTGCCTGAGGAGCAGGGGGAAATCCCACAGGCGTTTGGCTGGCCCTTGTAAGAAAAGCCTGCAGGATCAGGCCAGTTGGCCCATGTAGTTCAGCATCCTATACTCAAAAGTGGCCAGCTGGATGCCGAGACATTCGCAGGGAAACCAAAATGCTTGTTTACAAAGCTTTTTTACTACCAACCTTACTATATGCTTGTGAAACATGGACCACTTACATTTCATTAGCTTTACAATCAATTTAACATTTCAAAGTTTGACTCCATTCCCTCTCTTTCTGCGGTTCCTTAAATTTATTTTTTAATATCTTTTTTGCTCATTTAATTACCTACATTATGAAACTGCAGGTTATTACAATAATCCTGCCAATGTTTTTATCTGTTTGCAATTTATCTGTAAATATTCAATAAACCATTTCCCCTTCTTTTATAAAAAGTTTGTTATCTTGATTTCTTATTCTTCCGGTGAGTTTCACCATTTCTGCATATTCCATAAGTCTTCGTATCCATTCTTCCTTTGCTGGGACTTCTGCATCTTTCCACTTTGGGGCAAGCTGTATTCTTGCTGCTGTAGTAGCATACATAAATAAATTTCTATACTAACCATCCAGAATCTTCCAATATTCAGCTTCATTGGAGGCCTTGCTCTCCAAGAAAGGATTTAATACAAGAAACTTTTTCAATTTTTGCAACTTCTAGCACTAGATACATTGTGCCAGCATATTATTTAAACAGCTTTTTTTCTTCCTTAAAAAAAATATCAATAATTATTTTACTTGTATTCTGAAAGGAAAGACACATTCCTGTTCTCCAGGAGCTAGAAACCCAAACAGTTGTGTGTCACACAAAAAGGACCGCCTCCCTGACCTCTTTTGGCAAGGACAGTTCCTTCCTGTCTCAAGGGAGGAGCCTTAGGACACAGAAGCGTTGCCTGTTTCAGAGGGTTAGGAGTGGGATAAGAGAGAAAAAGGGATTCTTTCACCAGATTAAACAATGCGCCCACCAGCAATGCACACATTTGGGACTGCATGTTGATACAAGGCACAGGGGGCAGCAAACTTTTTCAGCATGGGGCAGGTCCACTGTCCCTCAGACCTTGTGGGGGGCCAGATTATATTTTGAAAAATAAAATAAAAAATGAATGAATTCCTATGCCCCACAAATAACCCAGAGATGCATTTTAAATAAAAGGACACATTCTACTCATGTAAAAACACACTGATTCCTGGACCGTCCGTGGGCTGGATTTAGAAGGCAATTGGGCCGGATTCGGCTCCCGGGCCTTAGTTTGCCTACCCATGATATAAGATATTCCAGACCAGGCTAGAACGGACACTTCTCTTTTCTGAAGTTAATTGGTTCCTGATTGGTTCCTGCCATTCTAGTACAAAAGCAGCTCCATCTCCTGGGCTCAACCTACTTTTCCATATGGGGTATGGCACAGTCAGAACAGGGCTTCAAAGCTTCTCAATTGGCTTGAGGTACCACTTGTGAGTGAACGGACCCTCTGATCTGACTCAACTTCCTGAGGGAGAGTCCTACTGGAATAGTTTGAAGGCCTATCTAGTCCAGCATCCTGCATTGCACATTGGCCAGCCAGATGCATATGGGAAGACCATTCATATTTAGGCATGAGGACAATTGCCTTCTCCTGCTGTTCTTCCCCAGCAACTGGTACCCTGCTCCTGATAAACATAGTAGATACCCATCATGTCCGATAGCCATTGATAGCTTTATCCTCTGTGAATTTGTCCAGTCCTGTTTCAAAGTCACCTTAGCTGGTGAACGTATCTTGTATCAATTCCATACTGAACTATGTGCTGTGTGATGAATGACTTCCATTTGTTTATTTATCTTACTGCCTTTATAATATTCCACCTTTCCTCCAAGGAGCTCAAAGTGGCATACATAGCTCTTCTCCTCCCCGTTTTATCCTCACAACAACCCTGTGAGGTAGGTTAGGCTGAGAGTGAGTGACTAGCCCAAAGTCATCTGGCGATATCCGTGACTCAGTGGGGCTTTGAACCCTGGTCTCCCAGGTCCTAGTCCAGCACTCTAACCACTGCACCACGTTGTCTCACCATACCTTCTCTCTGTTCTTAACCGCTTTCCATTGAGCGTCATTGGATGACCCGGGATGTCAGAGGTTGGGTGCATAATTGAAATACTTTATTGTCACTTGTACAACTTGTATAAGTGAGATTACACGAGCACCTCCCACTCAGCTCTCTTAGTCTTAATTCCCCTCGTTTCCTGACGCACACCCACCAAACCCGAAAGTCAGTTGCCCTGTTGTTGTCTTTTCATTCAGCAGCCTAACAGCCCATGGATAGAAGCTGTTCTTTACCCTGTTGGTGCGACTAATCATGCTTCTATATCTTCTGCCCGAAGGCAGAATAGTAGTAGTAATAATAATGATGATGATGATGATGATTTTAGGGGCTGGCCAACAGGTACAGTTCTATCCCTGCCCCAATGCACAGACAAGACTACAAGAGTAGAGGTTAGACTCTGGAAAGAAGAGCTGACCTCTCAGAACTGGAACTCCTTGCTTTGCCTAGAGAACACACCCTCTTCTAGGGCCAGGAATAGAATCTACCAGCCCTCAAATCCTGTTTTCTCCTGTAAAACCGTAGTCTATAATTTACGTGTCACAATTTCGAGAAGCAACAGTGAAGGGTTGTTCCTTGCTCAAGTAAAGCTCTCGGTAATTTGTCTTTCTCCAGGTTCAGACCGGTTTAGCTCAATTAACTTCACTGGGTTTCCCTTTGCATTTACATTGGAGTGGGAAGAAGAATCAATCCTGGCGTGAGGTTTGCCAGAGAACGACGTAAGCAGAGTTCAAACAGAGCCTAAAGAAGAAGAAAAGGTCCTGAAAGGAAAACGTTCCCCTCAAATAGAAACAACTTCTCTTTTAAAGCAGCGATCCACTTTAAATAACAAGCAGTCTAGAGTTATTTAATTGAGTGTTCTCTGGGTCAAGAGAAACTTCTACCTATTAAGCAAAGCAGCCAAGATCTACTCTCCATAAGTACAAAAGGGTTTTGAACGGAGTCCATTTTAGAGCAAACTTTACAAGAGTCTTTGCATAGAACATTCAGTGGGAAGAAAAGATTCGTCATGGAGCCAGCAGAAACTGTACAAAGAATAAAGGGAGAAGGTTTACCAATACAAATTAAATATTCTGCCTTGGGCTGTGTACACACCGAGTATCCAAAGCATATTCAAAACTGCCTGCAAGGATCCTGGGGGTTGAAGTTTTCCCTCATCAGAACTACAAACAGCAGTTCCTAGGATTCTTGGGTTGGGGGGGGGGTTGCTTTTAATGTATGGTGTTTTTGCAGCCTTGCCCCTCTGATTTACAAGGACAGAGAGTTATTCAAAGCTTCTTATAACAGCCCTGTGTTCAACAAGTACAGTCTTCCTTGCACTGAGATGCAATGAGTTGTACTGTTTCACCTGTTGAATTTCTGGCTACTGTGCAGCTCGTAAGGGCCCAGCAAAAAAACCCCTAAAAAGTGACAACTTTTTTACTTAATTTTACGAATGGTATTCATTACATCAGTCAGTCTGCCTCATGAGTCATTACTCTTTGCCAAGTTTTTCCTTTCCTGTGGGTCTCATGTGTTACGGCCCCTTCAGATTTTACGGTACTCCCTTGTGACTTCCCAGTCTTAGCACATCATGCTGCTCTTTGCTGAGGAAAAAGTAGCAGTCCTGCACTGAGGGGAATATTGCCAGTCATGGGATCATCTTTTATTTGTAAATCATAGGGCAGTGGTTGGCAGTGCAGTCTTTCTTTCTTTCTTAGCTTATATGCGCGCGCGCGCGCGCGCACACACACACACACACACACACAAACAAACACTACTCAGCCAGACTAAAAGGCTGAATCATCAGTTCAGCAGATACCAGGGGTGTTCAGGATTTTGGAGTGTCTTTATTCATTTTAAATTGGTTCTAATAAAAGTTTGAAGTGCCAGGAGGGAGATGTATTTCTTCTTTTCTGGGTTGTTGTTTTTAACCATTTGCTTGGGCATGTCGAATTGAGGGAAGATTAACTGTGTAGTCAAGAGGCCCTGATCTACATGCTTACTCTACAACCATCAAAACTGGTCCAAAAGAAAGCTTAGCAACCAGGTCACAAACAGCAAATAAAACCCAATTAACCGGGCACTTTTATTTCTCCTAGGTTTCCTTCATTGCAGGAGGTCATCTTTCTCCATGTACTGCAGCTGAGTATTTGCTTTTCCCTTTTTCTTCCTTCTCATAGAAAATGTAGCACAGGCTGCAAGCTTGTATATTGCAAATGTCAGTGTGGGCTATTGCCTCACTTAAAAACACTTACAAATTTTGGTATCTGGTTACCACCAACCAAGTTCTCTTATGGTGTCATCCTATAATATCATATCATTTAATCATATCCTGGAGTATGTAAGAAGAAATATAAGAATTAAAAGAAAATTATTATAAATTAGTTTGGAGATGGTATTTAACACTAGTTAGGTTAAATCAAATAAACAAGGAATATTCGGTGTTATGTTAGAGGGGATGCCAGGAAACAGGGAATTATGTTCACATGTGGTTGGAATGTATATATGTACAATTTTTGGGGCAAAGGTTGTTTAAGGAGATAACAGAAATCACTGGGTTAAAGCTGGCCAAAAGTCCAGAGGTAGCATTATTATCAATTTACGATGAGGTGGAAGGTTCACAGGCTATGAAGGACTTGTTCACAAATTTATTGACAGCAGCACAAATTATTATAGCTAGGAAGTGGAAGGGGCAAGCAGAATATAAAATGGAAGAATGGTATAAAGAGGTGTGAGAAATAGTTGTTAATGATAAATTAATACGTGCCATTAAGGTAAGATGGGGAATAGGTAGCAGAAATTATTTAGAGGATATACGGAGGGTGTTTGTGGAATTTGTACTGTTAAAATGGAAAGGGGTCAAACCAGTGCGAGAGGTGTTGATATTTTGGGAGGTTGGATAGTTACAATGGAATGGTCTCGGTGTTGGGGTGCACATTTTTATTCTTATTTATGTATGGTTACTTTCTCAAAATAAAAAATAAAATAAAGAAAAGACAGTGAAGTGTGCTGTGTCATAAAACAAACCAACCATGTTGTGACGATGCCTAAAACAGTGTCACCTTTTCTGCAGCCAAGGGGGAAGATTCAGCTGCTGCAGGAATAAATCAGCCACCTGTCTTTGCATTTCAAGCTCACCCAGCCATGCTCTTATAGGAGGCTTGTTTCATTTCTCACTGCTGGGACACAATAAGCAGAGCTCTGGTGACAAACTCTTTGGACATTAAGTTATTCCTTAAAGACTCTTCGTTCTTGTGAAATGGAACCAGTTACCTGTAGGGATAGTGGGATCTGCTTTGCCAGGGATACTGGCAGTCCCAATCCTGTGAAAGCCCTCCACCAGGGAGGGGTATCCTCTGGCCCTCCAAACCTTTCTATCTGGCCCTCAGGACTCTCTGTAGGCCACAGCCCTCATCAACCCAGCTTTGCACCCTCCTTGAGTGTCTTTGCCTGGCATAGAAATATGACAAATCAAATCAACCCCTGATATTGTGTCATGGAGTGGCTGGATCTAGAGGAGGGTTGAGAGGCACCAGCCATGGAGTCCCCATGGGAAGAAGAGCCTGGGATTGGTGGTAGCAGGACGACGGGTGGTCAGAGAAGGGAAGAGAAGACTGGGAGGCGGAGGTGGTGCCATAAGCAAGGGAGGTAACAGGGTTTAGTGAGCAAGCAAAGTTGGTGGCAGAGGACAGTTCAAGCTCTGAGGCAGAAGAGGGGGGTGGAGAGGTGTGGTGCCAGGAGACACAGAGAGAGAAGAAGCCAGGGAGTCACCCCTTCCTGCTGCACCCAGCTCCCCTCCCTGGTGATCTCCTAGAACAGGCAGAGAAATGAAGAGGGCAGAACAGAAGTCAGTTATGTGCAGGCGCCTCTTTCTCTAGCATGGAAAAAGACCACAAGTTTGGTAAGTTAGAAATGGATTACTTACAAATTCTCCCAAAGTTAGGTTCATGTGCTTTTCCATATGGCATTCAGAAAACACAGGCTCATCTAAAAATGCTACATATCTAGTTAAGGTAAAGGTAAATGGACCCCTGACCATTAGGTCCAGTCGCAGGCGACTCTGGGGTTGCGGCACTCATCTCGCTTTATTGGCCAAGGGAGCCGGCGTACAGCTTCCGGGTCATGTGGCCAGCGCATGGAAAAGATTCGAACCGCCGACCTTCTGATTGGCAAGCCCTAGGCTCTGTGGTTTAACCCACAGCGCCATCCACGTCCCGCAGCTTTTATAACATGGGTTAAAATCACTGCAGTTTTGAAAGATCCAGTCCATTATGCATTATCTTTATTCAAAATTGCATCCAATTGTAACCAGGCACAGACAAAAGCCTGCTCCTTGATCTCAGGAAGTACCATGCAAAGTTTGGTTAAGATTGCTATGCATCTGGACATCACTTAAGCGAACAGACAAGCCCATCCCCCAAACACTAGTAGCTGATTTTGAGAGCCTGTTTAATTTCTGTGAACTGCTTTGAGCACAGATGCGTTTATGTAAAATGCAGGATAAATATAAACCTGACCGTGTCTTTGCTTCCCTACATCAAGAAGAAGACTGGACTTGATGTCCTACAAGATCCTCTCTGCGATACTATGCTTCTGTTATGCGCTGTAATTCATTTTATCTAGCTTTAGGCTAATGATATGCTGCTGCACTGACAATTACTTACATGCCTTCAGCTCTAACAGCAGCCTCCCTCTTTCTAGCGGCATTTTTAAAGGTTGAAACCGATTCACCCTTACAGCTGCACTCACTGGCATATGGTGGGTTCCTCCAGACAACCTATTTATTGAGCATCCATCCTGATTTGCTTACACAGCGCTTAGATTCTATCTGGTCTTTATTGAGACCGTTCTGATTTGTTTGCAGAACCCGGCATTTACCCAAACCCTATGAAAAAGAAATGATGTGCATGTACTCTCTGTGTGTGTGCATGCGCACGCATGCACACATGAGAGAGGGAGACCTTGCATGTCAAGCTGTCACTGGTCCTTATTTTGCCATGCTTTCACTAGTACATGCATACCTAATTTTATTTGTAGACCTCCCTTTCCATAGTTCAAACCATGCTTAAGGCAGCATGCCACATAAAAAGCACATGATTACAACATAACAAAAGTAGTATTGAACAATAAAGAAAACAGCAAAAAGTGCATAACCAAATTGAACAATTTTCACATAAATCATAATAACTAAAATAAAGAGTAAAAGAATAATTTCAATAACAGCAATAACCCACTCCCCAACAAAAACCCCTAACGACACCCCAGCCCAAGAGCCTGTTCCTCAGCCTCAGCTTTTGTAGCTGGAGTCAGTGAGGGCCCCGCTCTCCCAGCCCAGGTGGAAAAAGGCCTGCAAGGCAGGGAGCAGGTCTTTCAGGACTTGTAGCCTGCAGTGTAAGAATAATAGAAAATACTGATTTGGCCAAGGCGCTACATTGCAGTTCCACATTGGAGAAATGTGATAGACCTTAGGTGTCTAACAGTCCATCCATTAAAAACAAACAAACCCCAGTATTAGCACAGGATGGGAATGGATATTTATCCTTCTCAAATAATGCTGGTATATATCTTTCTTCAGCCCAGCTTCCAAGATCCTGGATAGGAGCTTTCTAAACCTTAATTATAAAAGCTTTCTAATTTCTGTGGCTGCCAACTTCTATATTTGGCAAACAGCATGCTGAGAGGCAGGAACTAAGAAAATGAGATCACTGAATTTTAAATGATATACAGTTGTATTAAGAGTGTCAATATTTAATTTAATGAAAGCTTCTGTGACAGATTGTTCCCTACCTTTCAGGTTGCCAAGTTCCTCATTTGCTGCAGATTCTAGCACTGGTTGCGTTGAGAAAACTAGATTTTATATTCTGTGACACAGGGTTCATGGAATGGTACGCTCTTTGCTTCTGTTAATGGCAAAATGTTTCAGGGACAGCAAAACCCAGGTTTTGCATGGAGACTTGTGACATTTTGCAATATTTGCTTTGTTTACACATATACAAAGACAGCCCAAGTGGAAGTTAGCAAGAGGCAGTTCTTTCAGGAAGCAGATCCACTACTCTACATCAGGGACTCAGCTAGGTAAAGGTAAAAGGACCCCTGACCATTAGGTCCAGTCGTGGCCGACTCTGGGGTTGCGGCGCTCATCTCGCTTTACTGGCCAAGGGAGCCGTTGTACAGCCTCTGGGTCATGTGGCCAGCATGACTAAGCTGCTTCTGGCGAACCAGAGCAGCACACGGAAATGCCATTTACCTTCCCGCCGGAGCGGTACCTATTAATCTACTTGCACTTTGACGTGCTTTTGAACTGCTAGGTTGGCGGGAACAGGGACCGAGCAACGGGAACTCACCCAGTCGCAGGGATTCGAACTGCCAACCTTCTGATCGGCAAGCCCTAGGCTCAGTGGTTTAACCCACAGCGCCACCTGCGTCCCTGAAATTATGCCCTGTTGTCAGGAATGCCACTCATCTGAAAAGAAAGCAAAACAAAACGAATGAATGAAAGAATGGCAAGCAACAGATGAAGACATCCTGCCTATGAGACATCTCTCTTATCCCATCCCCCAATCTTCATTAAGGCTGTGTCTTCACTGTCAACCAGGCTGTTCTTTTTCACAATTCAGATCTAAGCTGGTTTGGTGGGGAAAACACACCAAAATGCAATATTACATGAGAAGCAACAGGTTAGGCACAGGATAGATGTGGATCGTGGTTAACATTGTGCCTACATTGCTTCCCAAACCAACGGTGGAAGCGCCCTGGAATACAAAATAAACAGGAGTCATATCCATGTGTTCGCTGGCTCCCTCTGAATGTGAGCCGTCTACGATCATTATGTCGGCATATTTCAGAAATGGAGCTACTTTCTCCAAATATACCCTCAACAGTCAATTTGGATTCTGCCAGCTGTTTAGCACTGCCAGCGCCAAAAGGTATAGAAATAATATAATAATAATCAGGCTTTGCTCTTTCAGCGCTACAAGTTTAGAAATGAATAAGCTCGATACTTCCAGCAGCCAGTTCTTTTGTAGTCCCATTTTGTGGGGCCGTGGGGAGGAGTCGCTATGAAAAACTTCGGCAAATGTTTCATCTTTACTCATCTTGCATTCTTTCTGGGTGGGGTGGGGTTTGCACAGCAGGGCTATGAATAGATTGGTACGTGGTTGCAGAATTGACTCAAAAATCCCTTTATTAGAACAAAGGTCTGTCTATTCTGGTTCTCTGGCTTCAGCAGTGACTACTACACAGATGCCCCACGGTGACTTGCTCTTTGCCCCAGCCATTTATATCCCAGCTCTGTCACTGAGATGATCTGAAGGGGCCCAGTTACCATATTTTTCTGTGTATAACAGGCCTCTGTGTATAAGACGCCCCCTATTTTGGGAGACTCCAATTTAAGAAAATGGGGGAAGATTGCCCAGAGTTGCTGAGCTATTTTGGGGGAGGATTGCCCATAGTTGTTGAGCTTACTTTAGGGGGGATTGCCAAAAATCGCTCTCCCGCACGCGTTGCTAAGACCACCTTTCATCTGTCCCCTCGCCGGCAGAAGCTGCCAATGACCTGCCCAATTGCCGCAGAAACAGCCAATCAGCACCACCCCTTGCTGCAGCCACCAATAACACGCACAATAGCCACTGGCAATCTCCAGCTCACAGCAGCAACCAATCACACGTCCCCCCCTTATGCACTATCCGTGTATAAGACAAGCCCCAATTTTTAACATAATTTTTAAATTAAAAAAAAATCTCATCTTATATACAGAAAAGTACAGTAGTTTCCCACTGCATTAAAGAAGCCCAGTTGGCCTCAAGTAGAAGTTGCATATTTAGGGCTGGTCCACACTTCTGCGAATTGACTTGTGTTCCAACTCAGCATTAAACAGTGGGTTTTCCCAGGGGAAAGCGGTGGGACAAAAGAAAAACCACTCCGACCTGTACCTAGAAAATATGGGCCAAGCGGAAAACCTCTTAGACCCATGATTTCTAGGCCAAGCACAATCTTGGTTGCCAAACGCCTCTGTTTTGGAATGTTTCAGCTCCCAAACACTGAAAACCCGGAAGTAAGTGTTCTGGTTTCCAAACGTTTTTTGGAAGCTGAATGTCCAACGCAGCTTCCGCTTGAGTACAGGAAGCTCCTGCAACCAATCGGAAGCCGCGCCTCGGTTGCCGAACATTTTGGAAGCCGAACAGGCTTCCGGAATGGATTATGTTTGACAACCGAGGTTTGACTGTACTCTAATTTACCAGAACATTTAGGGAGACTAGCCTAGTCCCCTACTTCACTGACCACACGCCACTGGTGTGCACAGGCGTAAAAAGAAACTCAGGAGATGTTGGCAAGTCCAAAGTGATGTTGCCTGCCGAACCCATGTGGAACACTCTTTCAGCCGAGGTTCGGCAGGCAACATCACTTTGGACTTGCCAACATCTCCTGAGTTTCTTTTTACGCCTGTGCAGTTGCTGAAAAAATTCTTGGATATTTATATTGCTGTATGCTGATATTTTATGAGATCAGCGTATCAATACTTTTCTGAAGCAATCAGAGCTTCTGAACTAATGCCAGTGGCTCCATTTGGTTTGTGATAGACATATTTATTAATAGACATATTTTCCATGAATTTGTCTTGATCGTTTTATTTTGAAACATGCCATCTGATGGTGGTCATCACTCTGAAAGTGAATTTTGAAATGCTTGTTACACATTATTTGCGATGAATCATGTATGAGCACTTTTAGGTCTAACATTTGATTACAAATGTTTTAGACGATTCATCATCTGCTCTTTAAATTTAAGCAAGTAGGCATTGCATCAATTTCTCAATACAGAGGGTGGGTTTTTGGGGTGGGGTGGGGTGGGGAGAACCTGAGATATAACTTCCTAAAGCTGTGTAATTAACCAAAACAAACAGACATGGACCACTCATGGTTTGAAGGTGGAGAAATGCTCTCAGGATAGTACCTTCCAGATACGCCAGGAATAAGCCATGTGGCACATGTTCCATGAATGTATGTTACATTAATTAGCATTGTTATGCTTCTCAATTGTTTCATGCTAGTGAAGTACTTAATTTAATGAAAATTGATCCTTAATGAATTAGATAGGCATGATCTCTGGTGTTAAATTAGATTCTCCCCCCAGTGACTGCTGCTGGGTTGCAACCCACACTGTTAGATGAAGAGAGTCTGAGCTATTCTAATTTAACGAAGCAATTAGAGGTGGCAGACAGAGGCAGTAAGGGTGATGAATGACACCCTTCCAATGCCTAGCAAAGGCTATGGTCAAGTCCGTCATTTCTAATCTACCTTGGTTGTATTGCCTTCCATTGCTCAACAGTTTCTATGCCGCAGCAGCTGGCATGTTTGCCAAAAGGCAACATACTTGCAACTTAAGATGAAAATAATAATTTCAAACCATTTGAGCCGAATATAGAACATCCTTGTGAAAATAAACTCAGCTGGGCTAGAGTCCCAAATAGACTAGTGCATAGGAATTTATAGAGATGTCTCTGTCTAGAAAACTACACCGGAATCTAAACAGCGGTGGTGGTGCCTACGAACAGTGATGACTGGTTCTCATTGAGACTGGTAAGGCAGAAGGCAGGGAGAACCAACTAATTCTAGTTTCGTCCAATCATGATATTGATGACACCCAACTCCACATCCTCATATGACCTTAGTCAGTGGCTTCTTATCTCTCTCTCTTTTTTGCCAATTAATGTATATTCGTTTTCAAATCAAAATTATTTTAATACATTTTCCCCCCAAAACAGGTTTCCCACTTTCTCAGATATATTCCAATCCTTCCCCTTTTAGGTAAAGGTAAAGGGACCCCTGACCATTAGATCCAGTCGTGACCAACTCTGGGGCTGCGGCGCTCATCTCGCTTTATTGGCCAAGGGAGCCGGCGTATAGCTTCCGGGTCATGTGGCCAGCATGACTAAGCCACTTCTGGTGAACCAGAGCAGTGCACGGAAACGCCGTTTACCTTCCCACCAGAGCGGTACCTATTTATCTACTTGCACTGTGTGCTTTTGAACTGCTAGGTTGGTAGGAGCTGGGACTGAACAACAGGAGCTCACTGCGTTGTGGGGATTTGAACCGCCAACCTTCTGATCAACAAGTCCTAGGCTCTGTGGTTTAACCCACAGTGCCACCCGCGTCCCTTCCCCTTTTACATGCTGCTTATTTTACAGATTTATCTCTAATAAACATCCTTTTTTCTTTTTTCTTTTAGCAAATTCCCCATCCTTTGTCGGTGGCACTGTCAGTATTGAGCAACATAATGGGAGGGACAGAATGGATCCTTGAGGAATGCCACAAGATGGCTTTCAGAGATCAAGAGGTGAGACAGGCCCCTCATTTGCCATGTAATCAACTGCTCACTCAAACCTCTTTTGCATCTATTGCCCCAGTGTTCCATAACACAAACATTTAATTCCAAGAAGTTAAGCAAAGGTGTGCAAGTAGTCGTGTGTCAGCTTATCAAAGGCACACAGCTCTGATGGGGACAAACTATTCTAGCTGTACAAGCTTAAGGCCCCTGTTCTATTTTATACGGAAGGATCCTTGATTAAGAGTATTAGCTGGGATACGGAGAGCATAAATGAAATTCAGCATCAGAAAACTAGGAGTAGCCAGGCTTGGGATGTGAATTCACTCTCTGAAGATGCTTTGCCAAGTGCACTTAAAAGCTGAATACAGACAAAGCTCTGTGAGTGCAACTTGTTAGTATTCAAACTTTTACAGAACTATTAAGCTAGCGAAAGTTGTCTTCTCCCTTCATTCTACTGACCTGTTTGCCCAGTAGTGAATTGGGTTACTATTGCCCTCTGCTGGTTAGAATGCCAAGCTTGCTCAGTAATAATTCCAAGTGTTGCTGCCATGTTAAAATGGGGAGAAAAAAAAAATTATAGAAGCAATGGTAGCTCAAACTAATCAATATCTCAAATCAGTTTTGTCCATTGTCTATGACTATCCAAAAGGTATTTATTTACACAAAGGTCTTGGTACTTGGATATTATTATCTACTGCTAAGGAATAACTTTGCAGAAGAACCAGATATGCAAACTGGAGTAATAGCTGTTTGTCACAATAAACACAGTTTGATCATTTCTGTTATTTTACTCAAACCCTGGAGAATGGGTCCATACTGTAACTTACTTGGATGTCTTGGTGGCAGCAGTGCTATTTGTTTCTTCCCCCTGACTTTTCAGCATATTGACTAGTAGTCATTTGCTACTAATTTGTATGCTAGTGGTCTATTGCCCCAAACCACCCCAAACCTGTAGGATGATAGGCAGTTGAAAAATACCATAAAGAAATGAAAATCCATCTGAGTTAGAGTGACCAGATGGAAAAGAGGACAGGGCTCTCGCACCTGTATAAACCCCTGAAATTATCACTTCCACACAAATATTAAAGGTGTGGGACACAAAT